TCAGCCCCGCTTCCTGCACAGCCGCAGTATTCCCCACAGAGGGTTTCGTCAGTCCGTGCAGAGCCAGCTCACTCCCCGCAAAGCGCGCATGCTTTGTCCGTCGGCAATCCCCGGCCCTGATGGCCCCACGGATGTACTGGCCAGCTTCGTGCTGCTCGGCCTGGCGCGCGATGCCACACTCACGCCCCGCGACCCTGAAACGCTGTTGCTAGCCCTGCGCTGCCGTGGTGCTCTGCTCTCTCTTCTTGCCGCTACAGCCTGCCCACTGTATCGATCGCAGCCGCCAACATCGCATTTCGCTGACCGTCGCACCTGGCTGATCCGTTGGATTTCGCCAAGCGCGTGATTTCGTCGTAAGTGAAGGAGGTTGGTGTCCCCTCACGGCTCAATCGCAATCCTTGCGCTTGGATATGTATATGAGCGCCTCGTGAGATCTGCGCGCAGTGTAGCTGCAGTGCGGAGGTCGGGTGAAGGTTACTCAGTAATACTGACCCGGAGATTGCCCCGGGGGGGGCAAAGTTTGGAATGGGTCGCCCATTTTGCTCTTTCATACCGGGGCTCCTTCTCCGATGTTCTGGCCTGGCCACTGGCCGCCGTGGGCAGTGGCCACCCCGGGTTCTGTGAGTTGAACTCAGTTCTGCAGCCCATGGCCAGGCCTGGCGAAGTCAGCGCCTGCCAGGGCCTAACGTTGAGCATGAAATGGAATCCTATCAAGCAGAATGCAAGCTAGACGATCACAGACTAATCAAAGGGTGGTGTAACAAGGACAGTGATGGAGAACACGCTCGCATGAAGTCAGCAGAGCAGCCGTGTTGGTGAAGTGCAACACACCACCTGCAGATGGGTCGAGTCTGTTGTCAATGACGATTGCTGCGTGCGTGCCGGTACTCGACGCAAGGACTACCCCGGCGTCCTGAAGGCGTCGGCCGGCGACACTCCTGGGGAGACCCCGAACTCACAACTTCACAGACCCGGTGATACGCAAGCCATCATGGTGAGCCACGCATGACGACTCGTCACTCGGAGTGCGTATAAGGAACCGACTGAAGAGCTCCGGGACCTGACTCACACGCGCCCGCGCCCGGAGGCCGGGCGTGACGAAATACTCTTTCGGCTGCGGCTCTTCCTTCTCGAGGCAGAACTCGCACGACAACAACTGGCGCGCGCTCAGGTCCGGCACGCGCGCGAGCCATCCGGGGCGCGGAGAGACGCAGGCTATCCGCAGGCGTCCTTGCCCGCAGCGGGGGTCTTCCTTCCTCTTTGGCATCCCTGTAAGGAGGTTTGAAGTGCTTGGTCCGTCCTTTTCGCCACTTCCCGGCGTGATTCTGGCACGCTCCATCGTCCGCCCTCAAGGTGGGCGGTATGCTATCTTAGCTGCGGAGGCCGCGCCCGACTTCAGAGGAGTGCGCTGTTTTGTTTCAACACATTTGACACATTTACCGGCTACATGGGCTACCGACGACCTTCAACTCGGATCGAGACCCTCGATCCGTTGGCGAGTTCTGGAGTTCCGCGATCCGTCGCATGGGTACCAACTTGTTCAGCTTGAAGCTGAACTTCACGACTCCATAGTACCCTCGGTCTGATGGACAAGCAGAGCGTTCCAACCAGTCCGCTCAGAACATGTTACGTGCGTTCGTCAACTACGAAGGCAATGACTGGCTGTTGCACCTCTCAATTGCGGAGTTCTGTTACAACAACACCGCAGCTACAGGCTACACACCCTTCTTTCTGAACGCCGCCGGCGGACAACACCCAACGGACGCGTCACACCTCATTGCAACGTCTATCCTGAACTCTGTCGACGATACGACCCCTGCAGCATGGCTACGCCGCATTTACACGAAGGAAGGAATCGCGATTCCTTCGTTCGTTTTACCGTGCCCAGCGGGCCGCGCGACGAGCACTTGAGCAAGCCGCTGGCAGGTGGCCGTGAACAGCACAACGCGCCGACCAGGCGACTTCTACGTCGGCCAGCAAGTTCTTCTATCAACCAAGCATCTACGCGTGCCGCAAGCTGTCTCGAAAGGCAAGCTACGCGACCGCCTCGTGGGACCACTCACCATCGTCGCCACTCATGGACCCAACGTCGTCGAGCTTGACCTTCCGACTACTTATGGCAACGTGAGCCGCCGCTGGAACGTCAGCTACGTGGAGGAGGCACCCGCCACGACGCGTGGGTATGCTCCGCGCGAAAACGAGCGCGCGGGACCGGTCGTGTTCACGCGCCGTCGTACCACGCCCCGGCGCTGGCGGCGTGGCTTATCTCCCAGGCGCACGAAACAGGAAATCAATGCGATGAACGTGGTAAATGGGGGTCACGTCGACGAGCTGTTGTTGTGCAAAACAGCCGGTCAACGCTCTGAACACTCGCGCGTACTGTGGCCGTTGTCCAGCATCTCCGACGTAATGAACTTTCAGTCTGACAAATGTGTCAAAACCGGCCCGGTTGTTGACCTCCGGGAGGTCACAATAACCAAGGAAAGGGGTGGCCGAGAGCAACGACGTGGTGGAGTACCCGCACGCAAGATGAGCAGGCGGCGGCAACAGATGTCGGGGTCCCAGCACCGTGATTCAGAATTCGCGAACTGGCGGTTCTACGTCGCTGGCCCGAAGGTAGTGACCCCGACGCGCGTGGATCTGGGCCTCGTTTTACGTCGGCGAATGATCCGCAACAGAAGGAGGCTCGCGAGGCGAGTTCCGATGTCACAACTGGCGCGCCTCTATCGCCAGCACAGGGCCGCATGCCTCAAGCATGTAGTCCCACACTTTGCGCCCGCCACGCCAGAAGGCATTCACGACCTCGTTGTCCGCGAAGTTGCGCGCCTTGACGCGGCCCACGCACCCGCCAACCACGCGTATCCCGTCGACAACACCCGGCACACGCCTTCGTACCACGCCCCGGCGCTGGCAGCGTGGTTTTCAGCAATCCCCGTGAACGATCACAGCTAAAACCCCCTCCTCCCTGACTCGACAACCCCCGCTCCCCGCCCGCCCCACACCGAAACCCCCCTCCCCTCCCTCCCCCATCCTGCGGCCGTGCGGGTGTTCCGCGGCCCTGGAGTCACATGACAACATCATCGGTGTGTTAAAGGTCCATGCACGAGCTTCCTGGGCGATGCACCCCCACCCCTTGCCAACCATCACGCGGACCCGCTGCCCAACGTGTGCTTCCAGGAGCGGCCCGAGTAGCGGGTGACGTGAGGGGGCTGTCACCGCCTCACCTGACATGCGTGATGTCTTGCGTGTGTCTCACCGGGCAGGGTCGCCGGCCGACGACATCGGGCCGCGTGATGGGGCTTGCCGACGAGTACCCGCACGCCCGCGGGGCTCGTCGCTCATCGAAGACTTCACTCAAGCTGCGTGCGCAGGTGCTGGGACCCCGACATCTGTTGCCGCCGCCTGCTCATCTTGCGTGCGGGTACTCCACCACGTCGTTGCTCTCGGCCACCCCTTTCCTTGGTTATTGTGACCTCCGGTTTTGACACATTTGTCAGACTGAAAGTTCATTACAGTGGTGGGATGTGGACTGTCAGCGCTCGTCCACATCGGTGCCCTGAAACCATTCTCGCTGACGCTTTCGCCGACATCCGGCGCCAGGGCCATCTGTTCCCTCCCTATCATAGTACGCCCGAGCACGGCACCACGTCTGGAATGGCTAGTGTTGACGACCCTCTGTGATCCTTTGTCGTTGAACACCAACCTCGGCCGTCAACGAAAGTCCAGGACCGCCCGAACTGCGGCGCATGCTCGAGGGGCGTGTCGGCCTCACATTCTCGGCCCGGTCCACGAACTCGACGAGCGCCATTGGTGCCGCATCGCCCTTTCGTTTCCCCGCCGCGAGCAACCTGCGGGAACCGCCACCATGTACGCACTTCGTCGCAGGTCTTGCGGGGTTGCACCAAGTCGGCCGGACAAATCACGCAGGGATACGTGTGTGCTGACGAGAGGCCCGAGGGTCACCTGGTGTAACCTCCACTGCGGTGTTTGTAATGCACAGCGAGATCGTCGACAAGCTTCCTACTGATGTCCTGTCGACTGTTGTCGAAGACGGTATTCAGCACGCTCTGCTTGGCTCTCCGCATCGCAGGTGCTGCCTGCTCAGCACTGCAAGACATCGCAGCGCGAGCTTCAGGTCGGCGTCGCACGCGGTCGCACAGCGATGTACCGCGCATGTTGCACGATCGGCAGTCCCCGGCCGCAAGCCCACCCGCAAATATTGCTCGCAAACGACACGTACCAGGCATCTCTGTAGCTCTTCCCGTGCGTGACGGCTCTGTCTGCCAGACGCCGCAGTTCCTTTGCACGCGCCGTGGTGGTGACGATACGTTCGTATTCGATGAGCTTAGAAACCAGGTTTCTGCACAAGGCAGCGCGAAGAACAGGCAAGCTGCTCTATACTGCGAGGAACTCACAGGTGCTGATCCTCCTTTGGAGCGGGGTTTCGAGACGCCGCTACATCCTCCGGGGGAAAGAGCGTCCTTCTGCTCTCCGATGGACGTCATGTTCGTGCAGTAGGTGGGGTTCCTGGAGCGGACCTCAAGAGGGCTTTGCGATGCGCTGCGCAGCGGTTGAGTTTGTTTCCTCGAAGGCGATGTTTCATCCTGCTGCAGCGATGACGAGGTGTAGTGACCGCTCTTTGACAGGCCGGCCCGGCCCCCTCCTCCACGTGCGGGTTCGCGGTGTTGGTCTCCTTCTCAGCGGGTTGGTCTCCTTCGGGTCAGTACATGCGACACGCTTCGCTTCTGCAGCCATACGACGCGTCACTTCTCGCGATGCGGCAACGTGGGGTTTGTCACGTAAGCCGCTTCTCGACGGCCATTCCCGGCCCTACAGGGGCTGCTAGGACTCCTGGAGGCCTCGGGGAACTAGGTCCGACACGACCACCCTCGACTTGACTTCCCCCATCGCGGCAACATGTTGGGCGATGGCACGCTGTGCCCGCTTGTTGGAACGCGCGGCGCCTCTTCGATCCGCACAGTCTGACGCGAATCGCCATGATGTTTACCGCAGCTGCGTGCTCCCCCACCCTGGTCCAGGTGCGTTTCTCGGCAGGCAACCCGCGGCCAGTGCTCCGCCGTGTTCACGCCATCTTCCCTGTAGGCAGCACGACGAGCGCAACTGTCACGCCAATCCGCATCCACGCCGCTTCTGGCTCGCTCTGCCTCTGCCATCCTATCAGCCGCCAACAGCCCACAGACAGTGCTGACCGCGGTGTGAGAGCCACCGCTCCTGCGCGACGATGACGTGCAGGTCCGGCGTGGCGCGCCGTCGGCCAGCAGGGCCACGCGCGTGGTTGCCCGAGCGGAGGAGGAGAAGAAGCAGGGCCTGCGAGGGCTCGACTTCACTCCCAACCGCAACGCCGCCGTCGGTTTCCAGGACGAGGACTCGGCCGGCCAGACGAACATTTTCGCCGTCGAGGTGCGTCGCCCGGGCCGTGCTCGCTCCAGCCTCAACCTGCGCTGTCGGATTGCGCGGCGCAAGTCCACTGCTGATTGGCTTCCTCCCTCGCTCGCAGCCCAAGTCCTACCTGGCAGGCTCCACGGCAGACACCTCGGGCGGTGCCCCGCTGTTCATCGCGCTGGCTTTCGGCATCGGCGCGGCCGTCGTCGTGGGCGGCGGAGTCCTGAACGTGAGCACCAGCGCCTCGCGTGCATTCCCGTGCCGCTGGTGGCCGAACGGTGACAACGACGCATGTTGCGACGGCGTAGAACCACATAAATGCATCGATCACGCAAAAAGTGCGCTGTGTCACGGATTCTTGCATGCAGTCGCGGGAGGGGCCAGTGGAGGAGGACATGTCCGCGTACGCAACGCTGACGGAGTACGTGGCGAAGCTGAGCTGATCGATGATGACACTCGCTCACATGTCACGATCGCCGACGTCTGCAGCGGAGGAGCCACTCCCAGCCAAGGTGCTGTGTGTAGCTCATGAGCAGGCTCGCGGGTTGCTCGCTGGTCATGCCGGGCGAGCTGGACGGAGTGTGATGCCATACTACCAGCGATGCGCGGTCAGTCAAAGAGCGCCTCAAACTGCGCGAGTGACATCGACAGCACCCCTGACCGCACATCGTCTTCCCCATACAAGAGGGTGACTCGGGCGCCATCGATCAGCAAGCCGGTGACGATCGCCATGGCAGATTCCGCGGCGACCGCTTCACTCAGCGGGATGGGCCGCGACACGGCAGTGATTTTGAACGGCGGCGTGGCCTCGAACTTGTAGGCGCGATTCTCGTACTTCTTCTCGGGTCGGAGCAGATGCATGACGCCGCAGAAAACACTCCCGCCTTGGTTCGACCGCGGCAGCAGCACGCTCGGCGATCCGCCGTGCGCGACGGCGTCTCCGTGTTGCAGCACCTCGAGTTGCAGAGACGACGTGGTCGCGACCAGCTGGCACGATCCGTCGACGCCAAGCCGTACGACCTGGTGAGGCTCCAGCCGGTAAGACGCATAGAGATGACCGTCATGCCAGAACGGCGACAGGTTCTTCTGAATAGGGTCGTTGGAGAAGTCGCACCGCACTTGCAGCGGACGCGTCGCGGTCCACTCGCCCTGGGGCGAAGGGCGCAGCGTGGACAGGAACTGCCGCATGACCACGTCCCCGCACTGCTCGCCGGGAACTTCGGCCGGCAGCAGCATGGCGAACATGGCCATGATGGTGCCGCTGGCACCAGGTATCAGACGCACGTCCTCCGCGCCGGAAGCGGAGCACATGGGGTTGTCTCCGATCCGAACGTGGGCTGGCACGCATAGAGTGTCGGTGTCCTGGACGTCCAGCCACGTGCAGGAGCTCGGGGACGCGAACCGCGAGTCCTGGAACTGGCAGAGCACAACACGACTGTGCCAGAAGTCGATGTCGCCGCGACGGCGGTCCGGGATGCGCGCAAGCGACCGGAACGATGCGAGATATCCCGACGCGGGCAGCTTGACGGCCGAGGGGTTTATCATTGCGCGAAATCCAATGGGGAAGTGCAGCAGCCGCGCGAAGGGAAGATGAGCTGCTTCGGGCGCTGTAAGCCTTGCATCGTCGCGGTGCCTGAAGCGCTGCAGTCCACGTGCGCCGACGCCTGACAATTGCGCTGCGGAGATGCCCAATAGAGGTAGAACGCAGCACAGGATGCGCACTACAGTTAGCAGCAGGTGGCCCGCTGTAGGTCTTGCGAAGCACATAGAGCCCTGCCAGCCGGAGGCCTCGCGACCGAACGACGCGTGAGCGGCCAAGCACCGACGTTACGGGACACGTGTCATGTCGACCCGGCGAGGACGCCCCTGAGCCGCGTCTGCGTCAACTAGCACTGACTGCGAACTACTCGGCTGAGGTCCTGTGTCGGCGCCCCAAGGCATGCCGAGCGCGTGCTGACAGCTCACGCTTGTTTGTGACGCTGCATGTTCGAGTTCGACAGGTGAGCCGTCGCAACGGTGTCAAATGGGTCCGCAAGAGAGTCTCCTGGACTCCAGTGGAGTCTCCTACTGGTCCAAAAGTTTGACACCCCCAAAAGGACAGTCACTGACACCAACGGTTGGTGTCACACCTCCGAGTGCAAAGAACACACCCGCGCATCGTTCGCGGCGTGATTGGAGGCTTGGACGTAACAATGGTTCGGAATGAACTGATTATCAGGTAGTATCAGTTAGTATCAGTGATACAATCAGTATGACGAAACGTGGCAAGCTGCAGCGGCAGATGTCGAGGTACCAGCACACGTACGTGCTGGACGACAGACTTGGAAGCGTGTTTAGCTAAGCAACCGTGCCCACTGAGGGTCGGAAGTGATGCATGAATCAGGTTCGACGACGAACCATATGAACCAGGCACAGCCGGGGAAAACACGACGCTCGGCGTGCCGTTGAGGCACCGTCCTGTCACACCGTTCGTCTCAGTGAGCTCGTTTTCACTCCCTCGCCGGCGCCAGCAGCATCGTAATTTGGTTCCCCTGGATGGTCGGCGCCTGTTCGATACGAGCAGCGTCGCCGACCTCCTCCTGGAACCTCTCGATCAGCTCCTTGCCCAGGTCTTTGAACTGCACACAGCGACCGCCCAGTCGGGCGATGCTCATGCGCACTGGCGCGCTCCGTGCGAGGTACGGGCGTTATACCCATGGCTGCGTGCACGCGCCACGCACGCGCGGTCGTCTCTCGTACCTGCATTTCCCGCCCGCGGAGAGACACGGTGACCTTGACCCTGTTGTTCTTCTCCAGGAACTTCAGCGCCTTCTTCAGGCGCACGTTGTAGTCCGCGTCGCCTGTGTTAGGGCGCATCTTCAGCTCCTTGGTCTCCATCACGCCGGCCTGCGAGGTTCGCGTAAACCGTCATCATCAAAGTTGCCATGGCCGTGCAAACCGTGCAAGTCAGTCGTTGCGCCTCCGAGCCCTGCTAACGCCGTGCAAAGGCGGGACGCTGACAAAAGATTGCAATGTCCGCGCGGTCGGGAAACGGCGCACATATATCACTCGAGCACGGCCTACATGATGCTTTAGCCTGACATACGCCGGGGCGTGATGAGGTGCACGCCAACCCGGGCGTTCAAAGTGGACGAAATGAATCGCCATGCCTGCACAGATGGATCGACGACGCTGCGCCACTGACCGCGCTGGCAGGAGGACAGCACCGCAGGTGGCTTCGTCTCACCTTCTGCTTCTTCCGCTCCTCTTTCTTTTTCTTCTCCTCCTCGAACTTGTATCGAGAGTACTCCACCAGACGGCACACTGGCGGCGATGCGTCCTTGACCACCATAAGCAGGTCAACTCCCTCCTCTTCGGCCATCTCCTGCAGGACGTTCATCCAGCGAAAACGCTGCGGTTCGGACCCCCCCACGTAATGTTGCGCTCCGTCCGTGAGGATCACCTGACAATGTGGGCAGAATGCGAGCATTGGTGCTCAATGGCGCTTCGAATTGGGCGAGCACCGCACCAGAGCCTGAGCGGTAGGCATCACTCCTACGGGCTCCTTGTCGACACCGATGACTCGAACTTCGGTCGCTTCGATCTCCTCGTTCATCAGCGGCACGTTCGGGTCCCGCGCTCCGCTCCGTCCCCGGAACCCCGTTCTCCCGCCCTGGTACGGCCCGCGCCGGTCACCCCGGCCCTCGCCGCCCCGTCCGCCGCGACCGCCGGGTGCTGGGGAGCGGCCGCGACCCATCGGCGACGGCGAACGGCCGCGGCCGCCACCGCCTCCTCTACCACGTCCTGGAGCGCGGCCGCCGCGTCCACGCCCACCCCGTCCCCCGCGTGCTTGTCCGCCAGCGCGGCACACCGTGAGCACGGCCACACGGGCGCGCGCTGGCACCGGGCGCGCCCTACAGACGGCGGATGCGGCCATCATGTTGGGCCCAGCAGCCAGGGAAACGGGCATGGTGGACAGCGGAACCTCGGCTGGCCGCAAAAAAATACTGCGAACAGGCCAGTGGGCGGGATGGACCAGTGCGGCAGGACAGAACTCAGTGCAATCTCGAACATGCAACGACTTTGCAGAGTGGAATCGGGCACGTGCCGCGCGAGGGAACGTCGAAGGCGGGCGGCTGCCAGGCACCGTGCTCAGCGTGCAGGTCTACCCAGCTCAGGGCCGCCCCAAGTGACTTGGACTGTCCACCCGTCCGACGGCGTCGGGTCCCGACGGGTCCCGTGCAGCAGGACGGAGCCGCTGAGCGGCGCTCCGAGTCGCTGGGAGCGGCCAGTGACGCGAAGGCTTCGAGACCGCCTCCTCGCCCGGCCTGCGCGTACGTCAGCGGGCGGATGGAGAGCCCGAACCTCCGCTGGTAGTTCGGGGGGTGGCTCCGAGCAACGTGCGCGTGGCATGTGTTCAGGCGTTAGACCAGCCCCGTGAAACCAGCGCGTGACCAGCAACACTGTGCAGCAGCGAGGCTAGTGGCGGCGTGTGTTGTTCACGGGCAGCTTGACTCGGCGCGGGCAGGTGAGCCGGTTTGGTAGGCTTCACGACTCTCCTCGCAGGCCACGCTCAGCGTCGGCAGCGTTGCGCGTAAAGGCTTCGCGAGGCGAAGTGCGACGCACCATCGCAATCGCGTGCGATTGTCGAAGACACAATCAGTGCAGGGCGCAAGCGGAGCTGAGACGCAAGGACCTCGCTCAAAGCGGGCGCACGAGCAAGGCGGCAACTCACGATGCTGACAGTATAGACTGGCTCGAAGCATGAATTTCATCCCATCTATCGTGTTCTCGGGGCGGAGGCCCGGATATGTGTTCTCAACTGGCCCTCACGGCACAGGGTGCGCAACAAGTACAGCACGTCCCGTGCAGCGCCGCGGTGTCTCCCTGGGGCAGCCGCGTGATCCGCGAGTGCCACGAGCGACAGTTCGAATTCACTGCGGACCGATTCTCGTGCAGGTATTACGTCGACCGCTCTCAGTCGCAGGGGTTGGAATCGGCCGACAAGCCAGTCGAGCGGAGGACCGCCGCCCAGCTTCTGGCAGACGCCGAGCGGCAGAGCTCTCGACGCACGACAGCAGTTCAGGTGAGCACCTCACGGCACCCTGGCTTGGAGTCTGCCGAGTGCAGGCGCGTTTTGACAAGAGCGTGCAGAATCTTCGGGCGGCACCGTTCTGGCCAGCGCGAACCTTGGACAGCCACCTCGGCTTGCGGACCTTCATGTGCCGACGCGAATGTACCTTTGTTGCGAGTGCAGGAGCTTGATGCCAAGTCAATCAAAAAGATGTGTGTTGCGCTCGGCCGAGCCCACGCACGCAACACCGAGATGCGTGCCAAGCACGCGGACGAACCGAGCAAGTTCATGGAGTCGGAGTTGGAGCTTGACGAGAGCTTGCAGAGACTTGCAACAGTGCGGCACCTCCCTCACAGTCGTTGACACACTCGCGAGCGCGCCTTGGGCCCATCAACGTCGGCGCCATATCAGCTTGAATGAAATGCTTGAGCTGAATCGGCTGTCGTTGAGCGCCGGTACCGCAGGTCGCCTCTGCACCCGAGCTGTACCATGAGCTGTCCCTAGGCGGCGCGTTGCCACTGATCACGTCCCTGCTCAACCACGAGAACGTGGACATCGCTGCGGGCGCGGTGTCACTGCTCCAGGAACTGACTGAGGCTGACGAGGCGGGCGAGCACCAAAAACAGGTCAAAGTGAGCTCTGATTACTCTGCATGACGCTGCATCTTCAGCGCTCTCTCCCACATCTTGGCCGCCACCTCGAGGATTTATCGTGCCTGACACGCGACATGACGTGGCATGGGATGCGCGGCGCATCGATGTCATTCTGCGCTCTGTCCTGCGTCCCTGCAACCTACTGACACTGCAAATCACTTTCGGCGCAGGCCTTCATCGAGGAACTGGTCCGACACGGAGTCCTCGAGGCACTCGTGGAACGCTTGTCTGCCTACAAGGAGGAGGCCGGCAGCGAGGCGGCAGCCGTGCACGCCACGCTTTCGGTAGTTGAAAACCTCTTGGACGCGCTTGGTCCGAGCATCGCTGACTTGCTGTCGGAGCGCACGAGCCTGGTCACATGGCTTGTTGCGCGGGTCGACCCGAAGAAGTTCAAGGAACTTGACCAGGTCAAGGAACTCGCGGGGGAGATGCTGGCAGTAATGGCGCAGAACAGCGACGCCGTCAAGAAGGACCTCGGGGCGTCGGGCGCGCTCGTGACGCTGCTCAGGACCATCAACGCATACAAAAAGGTGCTCTGACGCGTGAGTTGGAGGAGTCGTCATGGTGCATCAAGCATGTGGCGTCATCGACCAGGCCTCGAAACCCCCATTTTCCCCTTGCGTGTTCCGCAGACAGATCCCCAGACCCTCGAGGAGCAGGAGTTCATGTTCAGCGCATTCGACTCTCTCCTCGCGGCCCTGACGCTGCAGGCGAATGTGGACGCTTTTGTTCAGGCTGAAGGTGTGCAGCTCATGCTGCTTGTCCTGCGGTCGAAGCGGGCCGCTGGTCACGGCGCGCTCCGCGTGCTCGACTTCGCATGTGCGCGTTCGCCGCGGGCCTGCGAGCTGTTAGTCGAGCTCCAGGGGCTTCGCAGCGTCTTTGCTGCCCTCATGGGGAAGGCCAGGCTCGCCAAGTTGATAGGGGAGAAGCCAATGGATGCGACGCAAGAGCGGCGGGCTGTTTCGATCGTCTGCTCCCTGCTGCAGGTGAAGAGTCCGTTCCCCTCCGCACAGCACGCGTGCTGTCACGCAGTCCACGTGCGGTCACGCCTCTGGGATGGCGGTCACCTCGCAGTACTTCCCTGGTGACGTGTGTCCGTGCAGAATCTGGAGGACGATTCGGCCGCACAGGAACGTGTCTTGTCAAAGTTTGTCGAGAACGAGTTTCAGAAATGCGATCAGCTCGTCGACATTCTCTTGTCGCTGCATCATGATGTCGAGCGCGCGGTCGTGAGGGCTGTCGAGGGCAGTTTTGACCCCGATGCAGCTCAAGATGACATTGAAGAAGTGGAGGACGCCCGCGAGCACGCGGGCTACTTCGAGCTGCAGCAGGCGGCACAGATATTCGGCTTCGTCTTCGCGAGCGGTGACGCGACGATTCGGAAACACCTGCTTTTGCTCCTGCACCAGCGCAGCATAAGCATGCAAGCTGTGCGGAAACCTCTTCTAGAGCTTTACGCGTCGATCGGGGAGTCGGACGCGCCGGTCGCGGGCACAGTGACACGTCCGCGGCTGAAGCAGATACTTCAAGGGCTTGGTGTCCGAGATGACGAGCTGCATGTCCAGGAAGGCGCGATTCTGCATAGGGGCCGCGGGAGCTCTCCGGTGCCAAGAGCCACGGACGGTGTAGGCGCAGCAGACGGCAGGCAGCGCAGCCGCAGCCCAGGGCGTCAGGGTTGAGCGGCCCGCAGGGAGAATCGACCATGACACCGAATCATGTTGACATCCGCACGAGAACTTCTCGGCTTGAAGCCAGCCAGTGGTGCGTCACATTGACTGTAGCATTTATGCCCTGAAACACGACGTGATGAGCAGAAATGGAAGAAGGGGGGGAGCGGGGCTAAAGAAAAAATAATAGTGTTGCTTCTCAATCATGGGCGTGAGCCAATACGGACCGCTTGCGGCATGTGCGTGCCTACACGCAAGACTCACAACGTGCCACTGCTGAGTGCGTGCTGCCAGGGACGGCTCGCCGGCCGGGATAACATCGACACCCTGTCCTGCGTGTTTTCGCACCATCCCCACGTCTGCCGTGCGCTCGTGCTGGTGCCGTATCCTCGGGCGCCCCATCCCCCTTCCCCCCTGCCCCCCCTAGGCCGCGCAGCGACGGCTTAGTCGGAGTCGGCGGCACGGCTGACCACCGAGGTCAGGACCGGACGGTCCACGGCGAGGTGGCACCGTGCCGCACGCCCGTTCGGTCCTGGGCTTTAGGGCCCCGAGCAGGCGTGCGCCTGAACCAGAGCCCGATACTGCGAACAAGCTGACGCTGGTGACCGCATTGCCGCGCTTCATTATGAAACGCGCCCCCCAAGGCAACATGTACTCCTACCAAGCAGCAGCAGTGACGCAAGCCCTGCGCTCCCGCCTTCGCGGTGCGACCGCTAAAGGAATTTCTACCTCGCAGCATCAGTGACCGTTTCGAAGGCGTTGGGTCTACACCACAGCGCAGGAATTTCATTCCATGCCCTGCAGCCGGTGCAATGAGTGGACCGCGTTGCGCGGATGCCGTCTCTACGAGTGACATCTGACAAGAAGTGTCCGCAATAGTGTCCGAGTGAAAGTGTCGGCAGTATGGGTCGCGGGCGACTCGGAGGTGGACAGGTGATGTCTGCACGCAATGCTGCCCATGCTACCAAAACACAATCCACTGCGAGCGATACGCAGGACTGCCGTTGAGACATTGCGATCCGACGGTGGGAGCAGGCGGCACGCGATCTGCGCCGCGGCGCGCTGCATAGTGTGCCTTACTGTGGAGTGTACATATCGGCGCAATGCGCCTCAACTTCCTCACGAGTTGATTTCCCAGCCAAGCAGCGCTCCATCACGACGACTAGCTCGTCGTTGAATGAAAGCTTCCGCCGGCAAGCGGTTGTGGGGCACGTGGGCGCGGAATGCGTGGCTCCGTGCTGCGGCTGCTGCCGAACTGCATGGCGCCCAAGGCGGGTCACTCGCAACACTTTCGCGGTCCTACAGCATGACGACTGTCGCTGCTCAGCCCGCGGCGCTCCGAACCACGAGCGAGTTGGCGGCTCCCTGTGCACCTTCTTATGCTCTCGCACCCTGGGACAGGCGTAAATTGCTTCGAGGAGGCGAGCAGCAGGCTGCCTTCGTATATGTGGATGAAATTCGCGTCGCATGTGTGGGTTTCCGCAGGCGAAGGGCGGCCACGGCGGCAGGGGCGACCGCTTTCGCCACCATGAAAAAGGCAAGCGGCCCGACGAGCGGAACAAGGAACGACTCTGCGAAGCTGCCAGCGGACGCATGGTGCCCGTCGCGGTAGAAAACGCGGTGCGTTCCCGCCCACCTGTTCCAGCATGTCCGGCGCTGCACTAACACTGGGCACGAGCAGCGCCCCGGCTCTTTCCGTGACGGCGCAGGCGTTCGAGGAGTACTACAACAGGCAGGGCATTGTCGAGGAGACGGAGTGGGAGGACTTCATGTCCGCCTTGAGGACCCCCCTGCCGCTCACGTTTCGCATCAACGGCGCCGGAGCCTTCGCGGACGCCCTCCGCGAGAAGCTCAAGGAAGACTTCCTGCGCGACTTCTCGGACGAGCCGATTGAAGTTGACGGCGAAGTCATCGCGCCCCCGCGCCCACTGAAATGGTACCCTAGAGAGCTGGCATGGCAGCTGTCCTTTTCGCGCAAGCAGCTGCGCAAGGTACCCCATCTGGAGTCGATCCACGAGTTCCTGAAGGTCCAGAACGAGGCTGGTGGCATCACGCGGCAGGAGGCGGTGTCCATGGTGCCACCACTGTTGCTCAATGTGCGCCCGGAGCACCGGGTGCTCGACATGTGCGCGGCGCCGGGATCCAAGACGGTGCAGCTGATCGAGCTACTGCACGCGGGGCACGGGATCCCGACAGGGCTGGTCGTCGCGAACGACGCAGACACGCAGCGATGCAACCTCCTCACGCACCAGACCAAGCGGCTGTGCTCGCCGTGCATGCTCATCACCAACCACGAGGCGCAGAACTTCCCCGTCGTCAGCGCGCCGGACGGCTCGCCGCTCCAGTTCGACCGCATCCTTTGCGACGTGCCATGCTCTAGCGATGGCACGCTCCGCAAGAACACAGATCTTTGGCGGCGCTTCGCGGCGTACAACGCCAACAGGCTGCACGTGCTGCAGCTGCAAATCACGCTGCATGCATGCCGCCTGCTGAAGCCGGGCGGGCGGCTGGTGTACTCGACGTGCTCATTCAACCCCGTGGAGGGCGAGGCGGTCGTTGCGGAGGTGCTGCGGAGGTGCAAGGGCGCCATGGACCTGGTCGATGTGTCTAGGGAGCTGCCAGGGCTGGCGCGGTGTGCGGGGAAGACCAAGTGGGTCGTGCGGGACAAGACGCAGTACTGGGAGGAGTGGAATGAGGACACGCTGCAGAAAGGATGGAAGCTGGAGCCGTCGATGTTCCCGCACGCCGACACGGCCGATATGCCGCTGCGCCGCACTATTCGGCTCCTCCCGCACCACTCCGACACCGGCGGGTTCTTCGCTGCAGTCCTGTTGAAGATCCACGAGATCCCCGATTTCTCGCAGCTAGTCGTGCACCGCACGCGCCGCGCGCCCCCCAAGGGCGCCGCAGATACCTCCGCGGCCGACAAGATCGAGGACCAGAAGCCCGAGGTCAACGACGATGAGGGCGGGAAGGCCATCAGCAAGGCTAACTTGGGGGACGCGGAGGGCGCCGCGGGCGACGACGCCAATGCGCCGGACGGCGCGCCGAAGGAGGAGGGGCCTGGCGCGGGTGCGTCCGCCGACGATGCGGACAAGCCGCTGCCGGGGGCGCGCGGGGGCGGTGGTCGCGGCGGCCGACAGGGAGGGAAGCACAACGGTCTGGATCCCGTGATGCCTCTATCGGACCCGGACATGTTGAGAACGGTTCGCGAATTCTACGGGCTGAGCGACGGCATCAATCTTGAGACGCAGCTGGTGACGCGGTCGACGGGCGAGGCGGCGGCGCGGCCGAAGAAGGTTTATCTCATCAGCCGCGAGGTCAAGAATCTGCTGGCGACGGACCATACAGAGTGCATGAAGATCATGGCGTTGGGCGTCAAAGTTTTCGAGCGCCAGGAGGCCCAGACGCCTGGCGGGTGCTCGTACCGCATCGCGCAGGAGGGGCTTCCGCTGCTGTTGCCCCACATCACTAAGCAGCGCATCTTCGTGTCCGCGGGCGAGTTTGAACGCCTCCTGGACCAGCGCGTGGTGCCGGTGCTACAGGAGGGACGGATGAAGGGGCCCGACGAGCAGGGGCGCATGCCGTTGTCGGACCCGCGCACTGTCGAGCAGCTCGCGCAGGCACGCGCAGGCTGCTGCGTGGTCCTCTTGAAGGACGAAGACGCGAAGGTGCTGGGATACGCGGTGAGCGACCGCTCAAACGACACTCACGGGTTCGCAGCCGCGTCACCGCTGGCCATCGCGTGCTGGCGCGGCGTCGGGTCCGTCTCCATCCTCATGAGCAAGACAGACGCCAGGGTGATGCTGGACCGCCTGCGCGACGCAATGAAGGGGAAACAGAAGGCGGCCGAGGGCTGAAGAAGCGAGAACAGGCGGCGGGGCAGCCGCTGGTGCCTCCCGCGCTCGAAGGCTGTGTGACCCTTCAAGTGCCAGACCTCGTGCACTGTTCACGCACAGGGTGCGACCCATCCACGATTGAAAGCGAAGGATCTGGGAAAGTCGTGTCCGCGAGCGAACGAAGTGCACCACCAATTAGCAGGCGCATGGCAAGTCACGGGACGGTCCCGGGGACCAGTCCCTTGGCCGGATATTTCGCAGCGACAAATTGCTCCTCCTCACCGCGATGGCGTCTGAGAGCGAATGGGGGCGAAATAGCACGGCAGACGAACCCCCGTGGGGAATCGGAGTAGACCAAGTGAGGAAGCTCAGCAGTGTCACTCGTATGTCATTCTACACCCTGCCATAACTTTCTTTGCGACTGTGGCTGTTGTTCACTAGAAATATCAAGTGCATGGATCGGCGCGTCCTGAAGTACGGCGGCTTCCTGCTCCTCGAAATATTTTTGCACTTGGTCGTGCAAAGGGGCGACCCACGCGCTGTCCTTGGACGCCTCGTTGCAGCAATACGACCCAAAGTACAGCACCTTACGCGCCGCGTTCCTCGCCCGTCGGCCGCCCCGGGCGCCCGACCTTGACGAATCGCTATCCTCGAAAGCATCTACTGCGGCAAGAATCATCCGATGCAGGTCGGCAAGGGCACACACGACCACTCCATGGCCGCCGGCACAGATTTTAGCCACGTCCGCTGCAAGCTGCACCGCGCCCGCTCTGCCAAGCATCGGCACGGCCCTCTGCACGCCTTCCTGGAGCGCATCTCCTATCGCCTCTGGCGGCTGCCGCGTACAGAGCGCAGTGGCCACTTGGAGTGCAACAGACATAGCCCCGGCGGGGTCGGCGTGCCACTGCCCGCCGTGCAGCCGCACCGCTGCGCAGTAGCCAACAAGCGCACTGACGACCGCATTCCGCACCAGCTTGGACGGGGAGCTCCCGGGAGCCAAAAGGGAAGAAATGGCAGGTAACCCACCAACATGCTCCCAGCCACCCGGCGAGGGGGCGGCGCCCCCGCCAGCGCCGATATCATCGTGCCTCAGCGTGGGAACGTCGAGCTTGCTGAAGCTTTCGCTGTGCGCAACAGCCCTTTCTCCGATGTGTGAGACTGCAAGTGTTTGGCCGTCGCCGAGCGCTTCCGCCCACCACGGGGCAACAATGCCAGCCCGGAGACCCAAGGAGCCGCTCGCGGCGTCCCGCTCGAACAGCTCCAGCTCGGATGGGAGCAGGTCGGAGGGGCTGATGTCAGCTCCGGTTTGAATTTTCGCCCCGATGCGCCGCAAGGTCCCCTCGCTGAGATGCACACCTCCCTCGATGCAGTCGGAGTGATCGCTGCCCTCTCCAGATCCCTCCGTGCTGCTGCGAGGGGAACCGGCGTCGCCACGAGGACCCAATCTGCACTTGACACAAAAAACCAACGCACCTCCTCTTGCTTCGTTACGCAACGTTCGCCGAGAGGCTGACATCGACAGCATGAAGCCGAATATGTGAAGGCTGTGAAGAAAGAGGGGGAGAAAACACCAATGTTGGACGAACGAGTCAGGGTACTGACCTAGCCAAAGAGGCAGCAACTCCTCGCCGCTGTTCAGCCGTGGCGCGGGTCCCTCGCAGGCTAGAAACAGCTTGTTGCATGTAGAACTCTTCGGTGCATGCCTTGCCGTGGCGTGCGAAGCATTCCTTAGAGCAGTACCTGCACAGAGAGGGATGCTAGGGAACAGCTGTGACCTGGACAGCACGCATGCTCCACGTCCCCGCCAGGCACTCGTCCTTGGCAGCATACCTCGTACGACAGCGAGGACACGAATATCGCGAATAACTCGCTTGGCAGACCGCGCACATTGCGGCGCCCCGTTGGGGTTCCCAATCTCCCTGCCTCATGACCGCAGATAACACAGCATTCTGGCAGCCAGCGGCCCACCAGCCTTATCTTCCTGCACTCCTTCACCCAGCGCTACCGGAAAAGCTCACTCGCCGTGCGCACTGCGGTAGAGAAGCAGCGATGCTACAGCCATGGTGCCCCGAATGGTGCCCCGCAGTGACAAGGGACTGGGGACGTCTCGGACAAACCCGACCGACACGGCGCGGACAACACGTGTGCGGTGACGCACTGCAATATCATCGGGCGGCCCTGGCGGCCGTCCGGGACGGTCCGGGACAGCCCTTGGGATGCCCCAGGTGTGTCGAACGCAACTGGAGCCACACGACTGGAGCCACAACAGGGGTTGAGGACCCGACGCCCCAACGAGCCCGCAGCGAGCTTGCTTTCGAGCTCGACGATTCCTCACGTCATTGACGTGACGGTCGGGTGTGGTGCAACTGAGACACGTGTCGGAATCATTTCCGGCCAGCGGCGCCTCCCCCATGGCGCACACAGCATGTCGTCTCGGGTCGAGGTCCTGTGCATGAGGTTCTTGAACGCACGAATGGGTTGCAGAGCACCAACACTTCGCTCAACGAGAAGTTCTGCAAGCGCTTTGTAACGACTGCGTGTCGACAAGAGGCCGTGCCGACACGCAGCGCTGACTGTGCAGGCAGGGCAACGATCGACAAACATCAAACGACATTGGTGGCCCACACTTTCCGACGTCACAACGTCCCCGCCAGTGCGCGCTTGTCCGCGTTCTGCCTGATCCACGGGTGCGACAGGACCTCCTCCAGCGGCATCCTGCTGCTCGGCTCGCGGCGCAGCAAGCCAGAGATGAGCGACTTGGCGCCGTCGCTCACGGGGGTGCGGTCCGGGTAGTTGAGGTCGACGTTGAGAATGCGCCGGTACGTCTCCGAGTGGCCCGCGGCCTCGAAGGGGGGCGATCCGTAGAGGAACTCGTAGCACAGCACGCCGAGCGACCACACGTCGACTTGCTGGTCGTGCCCCTCGCCTTCAATCATCTCGGGGGGCAAGTAGTCCAAGGTCCCACACAGCGTGTGGCGCCGCGACGACGGCGCGTGCACAGACCAGCCGAAGTCCGCGATCTTCAGCTCGCCATTCAGGCCGATCAGCAAGTTCTCTGGCTGCAAGCCGAGCAGGGAACGGCAAGAGGGTGTTCTGTGGGCGTTGGTGGAGTCCGGTGCGTCGCAGCCAACTCCGCTATTGAGAGCCTTGCGCGAGACTGAGGCCGGCGATTGCGCGCAACGAGACATCACTGGCACGACGCGGTCGCTGCGCTGCGCGCGCGCACCTTGATGTCGCGGTGGATGATGTGCTTCTTGTGGCAGTACAGGAGAGCCTGTGCAAGCGACGCGATGTACGTTGCGGTCGTGCCCTCGTCGAATCGCCGGCGCGCCTGGAGCTGTTTGTACAGCTCGCCCCGCGCCGCGTACTCCAGGATGAGGTACACGCGGTGCTGCAGATTCGCGACGGTGCGCGGTGTTCGTTCAGAACAGGATTCGACGCGGTCTCCCGCAGCGCACAAAGTTACGTGCAGCGATGCACGGCGCCCTGAATCCACGTGGCCAGAACGTCGCTCGACTGGCGTGTCATCGCGGGGGCGCTGCATGGTTGGTTGAGGCGTTGTGAGCGGAGCCCACCTCGTCGTAGAAGTAGCCGTACAGCCTCAGTATATTCGGGTGCCGCAAGTGCGACTGGATCTCGATCTCCCTCCTCAGCTGGTGCTCGACGCTACTGGCTTGGAGCTGCCGCTTGTGTAGCATCTGCGAGGCCCGGAAACCACGCGTGATGGTGGCCCCCGTCCTGACGACGTCGAATCCAGCACACACCGCGCGAATCCATCAGGCACGAGCTCCGCAGATGCGGTGTGATGCAGGGCGACATCGCTGCCGCTGCCGCGCACGCGTTGTAAATGGCTGCACGTCAACGGGGACCGTTTCGAGTGAAACGCACCTTGAGGGCCACAATGTACTTGCTCTTCTTCTCCCGGGCCAGGTAGACGTTGCCGAACTTCCCGCGTCCGAGCGGGCGGCCGATGTCGAAGTCCGCCAGCGTCCAGCGGTCCACACGCCCCCCCCCCGCTGCTCCCTGGGCCCGCGGTGTGTCGCGCGAGGCGGACGCCATCGGGGCGCCCGCGTCGCCTTGAGCCCGTGTCGGACCAGTGCCGTGGCCGGCATAGGCAGGCTCGGCGACGTTGGGCTCGCTTTGCAGCAGAACCCGCTGTGCTCCCTTACCAGCTCCGAACCTCTTCCCGTCCTTCAACGCGCCAGCGACGGCGCCAGACTCAGTCAGGCGGGCCCCGGCGGTCTCGCTCATGCTTCGGGACAAGGTGCCTGGCGAAGCAGCGCTCGTCCGCGGGCGACTGGCCGTGCCGCCAGCGTTGTCAGCTGGCGCAACCAAGAGCGCCGCGGGAGCCCACTCTGCGGTTGTCAAGAGTGGCCTTGCCCTCAGACGTCCTCCTCGTGCAGAAAGATATCCTCAGGGCGGGGGAGAACACTTGCCCACCACGTCACAGCCCGCCCAGCACGCCGCCCTCTTCACTGCGCCTCCACAGGGACCGCAGGCGATCGCACGGAACAGGCTAGTGCATGCGACGCGACAAACTGCAAGGAAGCGCACGGCCGGAAGCACTTGTTGCAGTGCGCGCCTCTGGCGTGGCGCTTTGACGGCGGGACGCGGGGCCTAGAAGATGGAAGAAATTCAATGTTGGGTCAGTCTGTCATCGGCGGCCGTCGGGCTCCTCGAGTCTAAGTCCCCTCGCCCGTCCGTTTGCCGGGCTCGATGCCCTGCGGAGCTGCGCGTCAGCGACGGAATGCACCTGGCCGTGTCCGTCGTTCGAGCCACGCCGCATTCTGCCCAGACACGCTGGCCGCACTGCTTGCCTCGTTCAGAAGTGGCGACGGCGACCATGCGCAGCCTCAGAGTCTCTGCTCCCGCGAACGAGAACGACAGCGCGTTGACTGGGGCACAGCTTCGCGGAGCCGTCGTGCGGCCGGACGAGGGTGCGACCTCGCTCCAGTGCACGGGTCCAGGAGAGGCGGCCGGACTCGTCTCGAGCCGCAAAGCGCTCGGCAACGTCCCTCACGAGGGCCTGGGCAGGCGGCAGAAGACTCCGTTCACTGTCGGGACGAGGCGAGCGCTCGGCGACATCACGAACACTGGTCGGAGGGCAGGCGACGCACCTGTGCTCGACACACGTCTGAAGCAGCGTGACCTGCGTGCGAAACAGAACACGAACGCATCAGCGGGGCTTCGCACAGGCGGACGCGCCGTGTGCGACCTGCTTGCCGTCTCGGACGACCTCTGCGAGAGACCTGCTGGCAAGTTGTGGCATGAGCAGCTCCGCGACGAGCAGGAGAGGTGTGTGCTCGATACGAGACGCGACATTGCGCACCAGTGCCCGTGTGTCCTGTCGTCGTGCATGTTGCGCGATTCAGGGCGCGGTGCGAGGCTGCGCGGGCTTGCCACGCAGTGTCTGCCTGCTGCGTGCTCCCGACACATGGTGCGCTGCTCCCCGGTTGTGGCTGCGCAGGCTGGAGGCAAATGCACGTGAGCATGCTGCGGAAGTGCTGGCGCAGCTGCAGCAGCGGTGCGGCACGCCCGCTCGTGCGGGCCCAGCGTGGAACTTGGCCCACCCGTCCCCGCCGCCCCCGACGCCCGAGAGGTACGTGCGGACTGTCGCCGACCAGAGAATGTCCCCGAAGGATCTGCTTCGCGTCGCGGTGCCTCGACGTTCCGGGAGTGCGTGAAGCTTGCGGTGCAGGTCGGTTGTTGAGATGGACAACGACCTAGGCGTGCAAGCGTCCGACGTGATCGAGTCGTGGGGTGACGATGGCTCACAACGCGGCGACCTGTGGACTTGCACTGAACAACGTGGTGGTCTGGAAGTGCGCGAAAGCGTGCGTCGCCCGTGACTGCCAGCGACCAGCAGCCTGATGTCATCGCATGCACCTGGCGGGGCGCGCGCGAGCCCCGAGCAAGCGCGTGGGGCAGAGTGGCATAGTGGTCGACATGAGAGCGCCGTTGCGGGATGAGGGCTTGGACTCGCACTGTGCGACGCGACAGCGTCGTTTGTGACATCGGCTTGCCGAATCCGCCCGGCAACATCCACGTTTGCCTGCACATGTCCGCAGCACCACTGTGTCATCAATCTGTGGGGATCTGCGCGTGCCCACTCACGAGCTTCGTCTTGAGACCCGCTGTGTCTGAACACTCCCCAGTTGCTCAAGGGCAAAAGCTGGGCGGGTGCGGCATTCGGAGATGCTGGTGCAATCTCGCAAGATGCAACCTGGCGAGAATCCTTCGCGTGCGGCGCTGGAGGTGCTCGCTATGCGGACATGTTTGCAGGGCAGGAAGCGGTGTGTTGACCGCGAACCGCTGCGTGCGCAAGTCAGCGAGGGCAATCAACACGAGTGCTGCAGCACCATGCAGTTTTCGCACAGTACTCCAATCGCCGGCTCACGACTGGCGCCGCGTAGGGTGTCGGACAATCAGTGTCAGACCCGTCTGAGGCATCAGCAAACGCCTCCGACTGTCACCCCTGTCATTTCTGTCATTCTGACAAGGTCGCGCCAATGTGTAGAGGAACATGCGGCATATCGTCAGCGGCGGCGGTAGAGGAGCGCGGGGCCCTGGATAGGCCGCGAGGCGGACCCTGCCCGCCTCCTACTGTTAAGCCCCGGTCGGTGATGCCGGGCGCTGCGAGCACGTTACGTGCGCCACAGTAACACTTGCGGCCAGTTGATGATGGGACGAAGGCGTAGAGGAGCCGTCTTGTGCTGAGGGCCAGGTCGTGCCGTCGCTACGGCCTCGACTGCGTCTCTGAAGTGGCCGGCCCGCCCCGCCCCACATGAATGGGCCCAGGAGTGAAACAGGTGACGGAGACATCGATCATGGCACGAATGCTGTGAGCGTGCTCGTTTCTGACGTCAGAGTCGCGCGTGCACCGCGGCAGGCGGACATCGTGCTGGGGTGCTGGCGTCTTGGGGCGCCATCGCGCACGGGCCATCCTCGCCGTTCAAAGGGAAGAGCGCGGCGTCTACGCGATGCCAGATATGCCGGCAGCCGTGACACGCACGCCATTTGGGCGCACGGATGCGCTGGGCCCCGCGTGGCCGGCGATGAGCTTCTGCGGTCGATTGCCACATCGGCCTGAACCCCGGAGCTGCCTTGGCATGCTGGTCCGACCTGTTGCGCGAAGTACACCGGTCGTCGTAGTATCTTGCCACCTCCGCGTGCATCTTCGACATTGACCTCGTCTCAGCCAGGGAGCGTGCCAGCTTGCTTGTACGGCGGTGACGCAGGAGCGCGTGCGCGAAGCCCGCACCACGTGGCCGCGGAGTGCCCGAACAATCACATCGTCACAGGCGCTCATGAATGAGCTCCAGGTACGTATTCTCCAGGAAGGTCTCTTGCGTGAAGTTGTCGTTCAACATTGCTCCTGGCCATAGATGTCCGTCATCGGCACCGTCCAGCTCCGGGCCGAGCGGGTGCATGAGCACCGTGCGCACGATGTTCCTCACCGGGACAGCGCGGACGTCTGGGTGCAGCAACGTTCTTCCCCTGGTGGTGCAGTGCCGCCATTTCGTCGCCCACGCCATGCGCTGCCCAGGAAGCGCTCCGCCGTGACCGCCCTCGCTCGGCAACAACTCGCCTTGGTGGTCCTCGTCGGCGAACAGCTTGACCACGGCGATCGCGTCCGTCGTCACGGGCTGGGTCGCTGAGCAGGCCTCGACGACAGCGACAAGGCGCGCTAGCCGATCGACGCCGTCAACCTCGACCTCGACGTCCCACGTCCTGCCGACGGTGGGCGCCGGAGCGTCGCGGGTCCGGGCACCCGGCGTCGTGTCGAATGGCGAAGCCCGCGCGATCCCGCACTCGTCTTCGATCTTGACTCCCTTTGCCAGGTTGCACGTCGCTCCCAGCACGCTCTGCGCTGCTGCGACCGGGTCGTCGCGGCCCTGGCGCACGAGCTCGCCATGCACGAATTCGATGAGCGCCAGCGGCACCAGCTGCAGCTCCGGAACCGCGCAAACTGCGAGTCGCAGGTTCGACGCTGCACGCTCGCGGGCATTCAAACGCATCAACTTGCCGAAGTCCATATTGCGCAGGTCCAGAATGCTCACGGATGTCAGGAACGACCCCGATGCGGCCGTGGGCTGGGTGCGATGCCGCATCCTCGGCCTCGGCGGCTGCACGAGGAGCATAGTCTCGATGCGCAATGCGCGGAGCACAGCCTGCAGCACAAGGGCTCTCGGTCGCCGTCATCATCGACCGCGCTCGCGCGCGCACACAGCATGGGATCGCGCAGCACGTGCCCGTACCTGTCGGCGGTAGGTGCTCGCGTTGTAGTTGCTGCGCCCCGTCATCATCTTGTGCCCGCTCTCAAACATGTTCGTCGACCCCACCGCGACATCTCCAAAATCCTCCAGCAGCTCGCGGTAGTGCCAGCCGGAGTGCGCCTTCGGGAAGTCCGGCTTCTCCTCGAAGACCTCTTCGTACACCTCCAGGAGGTGCTTGTACGCTGCGTCGAGCGCGTCAAGCTCCTCGGTGCTTGGATTCCGCGTCTCTCGCAGCAGACTCCAATCGAGGAACGCGACGAGCACGCGGATGATGTTCTCCCGAATCGACGGCCACGGTATGTAGCGCGCAGCAAGGTACGGCAAACAGATGGAGAGCACTCGGGCCTCCTTGCCCGTCGCCTTCGCGACCTTGTCCGCGTCGTTCGCGCTGCTGCTCTTGCCCGGGTCGAGGGTGAAGCACGTGGGCGGGTGCAGGCCAGGAGTCAAGTTGCTCAGCCTGTGCAGCCCATCATTCATGTCCTCCAGCGCCTTCGTCGACCCGTTTCTGCCAGGTTTGGGCCCTTTGATGTACGCGACCACGTACTCGACCAGCCGCTTCGACCACCCGAGGTCCGCCTGATGCAGCGCACAAGGGTAGAACATCTGCAATGCAAGCATCTCGACCAGAACGCACACGCGGGTCGGTGCACGGGCTATCCGCGCTCCTCCGCATGGCCGTCAGCAACAGGATGCGAGCGCTCACCGAGAACACGTCGACGAAGGGCTCGAACATCGTCAGCGCTGGCACCACAGGTTGACACGTGACCTCCTTGCAGTACTCTCTGACGCTCGTGAAGGTCTGTCCCCCAGCAAGCCTGCGCCGAGCTGTCTCCACGCAGTCCTCAGCACCGCCTCGCCACTTGCGCGGGGCCTGCCTCGGGTCCAAATTGGACCGCGACGCACAACGCGAGCAGCAGTCGCGCGTTCCCGTCATCAGGCGCTGCTCCGGCGTGTCGGACGGGTAGATGGTGGGCACGACGCACACGCGACGTTCGACGCCGTCTGGGAACATGACGCGCATGCCCACGGTGTTGCTCGCTGATCTGCGCAGCGTGTCGCGCAGCGGTTGCAGGACCTCACCGAGGACGTTGTGCCACGCCTGCCGCGTCTCAACGGACTTCGGCCCATCGCCGATGCTGTAACCCGGGAGCTCGGCGAGCAAAGTGCGCGTCCTGGACCGCAGTGCTTGGAACCCATGTGCGACGCAAATGTAGAGAGGGTGCACTCCCCGCCTGCCGCTGCTCAGTTTCGCGCCGTCTGAGCTGAGGATGACCGAGAGGACGTACGGGCGCTCGTTGGGGTACTCCCTGTGCACTCGTTCCTGCATGCGACGGGCCGTGCAACAACACTGAGGCACACGCACACGAGTGCGCTGGCAACGCACGCACTGCGCAGGGCGTTCGCTGGGTCAACGCGTCGGCGGCGTGTGGCGGGCTCACCAGCACGTCCCCATATCGCTTGAATTTCTGCGTGCCACCAGCGCCCCACACATCATGGTTGAACAAGTCCTCCGTTTCTTGCGTGTCCTGAGGGAAGGAGCTGAGCATCCGAACCAGGATGTCGCGCAGGCTGCCCTTCATGTACACGTTCCGCGGTCCCGCGTCGAGGCGGAACCTCCGCGACCACCCCACGGCCAACTTGTGATCTTGCAGGTGCTTGTGGATGCGCTCCTGAGAGCTCAGATCCCCGGCCAGGAGGTCAGTAAGCGCCGCACCGTCGAGACGCGCGAGTGCACTGAGGCTGCGGACCTGCGACTGCGTCATGTGCTCCAGGACGGCGGCGGCCTTGTCTTTGAAGGTGGGCCCTTCATCGCGCAGCTCTCTTGCCGCACGCGCGTCGACGGCGTCGTCCTCTGCGGGCCCCCCTTCCGCCGGAAGTTCTTGGTGCTGGTTCAAGAACGTCACCTCGAGCGGCTGCACGCGGTCGCGGCCGTCGGCGTCCTCGCTCCCGCCGCCCTCCCCATCCGAACCGACCACGGAGCCGCCATCCCCGAACCCTGGCGCCTCCGGCGGAACGTAATCGTCGTCTACGTAGTCCGTGGATGCGTCGCGTCCGTCCCCACCGCTGTCTGGCTCTGGGTTCTCGCCGTCCGGGCCGCCTGCTGTCTGAGGCTCCGCCAGAGCGGGACCCACGTGCTCGCCGCGTTCGTCGTTTTCGTCGCCGGCTGCGCCGCGCGGAAGGTTCTCGACACGCTCGGGGTTGTTCAGGGAGTGCTGCTGCGCCTGCACCCTGCGCCATGCACCCTCGAAGGCACTGGCCTCATTGACTCGCTGGCGCTTGCGGCAGCGGCCGTGATGGAGGTGCTTGTCGAACTCGTTGTGGTCCAGGAACGATTGTAGGCACCACTCGCACACCCTGGCGTGCACGGCAGTGCTCCGATCTCCGGCGAGGGGGCATTGCGACGCTGCGGGCGCTCCCGTTGGACCGCGCGTGCCATATGAGCTCTCAGCGTTCGCCGCGTCGCGAGGTCTTGATGGAGCGCCAAACGAGAACAAGCCTGCGTTCGTCAAGGTCCTCCCGTGCACGGGCATGCCGTGCGACGGCGCCGCCCGCCCAGAGAAGGTCTCACGGCGCGCGACACTGCACCCTCGAAAAGGTTCGGGGCCGGAGGCAGGGAACGTGGCGTTCGGGCGGCGTCTACGTCGCAAGCGACGTTCTCGAGTGCACCAGGGTCGCAAGACTCCTTTCCGAAACCGCGCGGGCGACGGAGAAGGGCGCCAATAGTCATGTTTGTACTGTACACACCACCGGTGGGGCAGGTGCCCGCGTACGGCGCGCGCAGGGGCGACATGGCCGGATGCAGCGGCGCAGTGGAATCACATCGTGATCAACGTCGCGACTGGGTGCTGTTAGGTGCAGAAGCACCTACGTGCCGCGTGCTTTCGCGGTTGCCGACTGCAACGGGACACGTCTAGTCCGCGCCGCCTAGCGCACGAGCGGCGCCGAGCGCACGGGCCGCTCGCGCTGAAACGTCTGGATATTTGAGCACGTGGAAGATGTCGGCGGTGAGTTGCCCGGGGGGGGCCTTGTCGCGCGTGGGCGCGCATGCTGTCCCCTCGCAACTCGTAACTTTTCAGCGCGGCTGCGATTTCTGAAGTTTGCGCCGTCGTGCGCGTTCCGCACTGCCACGCCGCGCTTGTTTTGTACGTACTCTCCCTGTGCACGTCATGAGGGACGGAGCAAACACCGGATGACGTCGTGCGCGTGGAAACTGATGAGAAGCAACACTGAACGAATGAACCCTGCGATTGTGGAGCGCAGGATGATATTCTCGACCTGCTCAGGGGCGTCGATCGCGGTGACACTTCCGAGGAGGACGATGATCAGCGCGAACGCGGCAGCACGGCGCCCTTGCTCACGCAAGCGCTGTCCATGCTCCTGGAGCAGCGTGGAGGCCGTAGCGGCCGCGACAGGGACACCATGGCGCGGAAGGCGCTTAAGGCCGTGCAAGAGAACACCAAGGTGATGAAGAAGCTGTATAAGCGGCTCGACAAGATGGAAACAGGTGCGCTAGCCCGTGAGCAGCAGCGAGGCGAATGCCTCTGCCCCAGCATCGTGCTCGTTGCCGGGCGGATCGAGGCACGTCGAGACGATTTCTCCCGGCACCACGCGCGTGTGCGATGAGGTCAGCGAACTAGCGCGTGCCCTTCCCGAGAAACGCGCTCAGAATCCGGCACGGGCTCCGTTGTGCGCAGGTGGCGCCACACTGCAAAGCGCGAGCCAGGCGCCTGCCGCGCAGACACGTGCCGCTCCGCGCGAGAAAGGTGACCCGGGCATCTCTCCGGGGGACTTGGCGCTCCTGCAGGCAGCAGTGAAACTCCCGGCGTCGAAGAAGTTCGAGGTGATGCTGATGCCGACCACCGAGGAGGACTTCTGCACGTGGGTGCTGCGCACGGGGCTGTTCCAGCAGCAGAACTACGCGACATGCGCGGCTGTCCCTGCCGACACTGAGCACGGCAAGGCGTTGGAGACCGCCTCGCGCGTCCTCAGCACCACCGACGCGGCGGTGCTGAGGCGATGGACGAATTGGCTCAGCCGGCGGCACCGCAACGAGTCCAGTGCGCTGAAGAGAATGATACTCCTGGGGTTCCTCACGTGGTCGGCGCACGGCGCGTACGAGATGGCGCAGGATGTCGAGTCAGATGATGTCTCGAGGGACTTCGGTGTGTGGGAGCCGCCGCGGGCGGAAGGGCGGGCGATCGCCGAGATCTACCTTTGGGACAACGAGCGCGCGCGGACGGTTGCCGCGAACGGCTTCGAGGCGCTCATTTTCGTCCGCGACAGGGAGGGCAAGGTCACAGGCTTACAGACGGGGCAATGGTCACTGCTCTGGTTCGTCCGCGCGTTCATCGGCGCCAGTGCGAGCCTCGCGTCGGTCCTCGTTCCGGGCCGCGACCCGGAGATGCCCGTGTTCTCCGACGACGTGGACAAACTGCTGCACGAGCCGATGGACAACAAGGGCAACAACGCCGCCACATGCGCCACGAGGGGACTGGCGCGCCTCACCCCTGCGCTGCTCGGGCACATCATGTGGGAGGTACGCCGGCGCCGCGCGCCTCGATGTCCGCGTGCAACGCGCCTGCAAGCACGCTCGCACGCGCCTGCAGCTGTGTCGGGCGGCGCCCGCCGTGGTGGCGGCAGCATGCATCGCCGCATCTGCAGCGCCAGACACGTGGCGCACATGTGCTGTGCGGGTGCAGTTGAAACGGGCGCTGACACAGGGCCACAGGCCCGACCGCTTCAACAACAACATGCAAGTTCTCGGCGAGCAGCAGGAGCTCTTCTGCAAGTTCGTGTACCCGCACCTCAAGATGTTCAAGACCGACGCGTACAAGAGCGTGTTCCTTCCGGACTCCGAAGCCGTCGGCTGGGTGCCTGCGAACATGTCCGCGCACGCCGCAGGGGTGATGCGCAAGCTCGGGGAAACAGAGGCGGTGGACGCGGCGGTCAACGATGCCGTGGCAGAGATGGTGCGCGCGCAGCGCCTCGTGCGATGGCGGCCGCGCATCTTCCACCGCGGGCGAGACACGAGCTCACTCACCTCAGATAGCATGTGCCCGGATCGTGTCGCGCAGGCACCCGCGGAGGTCTCGGGCGGTGATCCGCCAGGACAGGCAGCTGCGCCCGCAGCGACTGCCGGGGCGGAGGACGCGCGCGACGCCGCCGGTGACGGTCCGGCAGCGCGGCCAGCACATGCCGCGCCCGCGGGCGTTGCCACTGGGGGCCGCGGCCGGCGCGCGGCCGGGCCGCAAGACGGCGCTGCCGTCGTCCACAGGGCGTGCTGCGCGACAGGGTGTGGCGTGAAGCGCGGCGCGGACGTCCACGAGTGCCCGGCGTGCGGGTTCGCTTGGCACGAAGAGTGCCGCACCAAGATCGCGAACCGCTGGCGTGCAAATGGCGAGGGCGAGCTCTTCGAACAGCGTCTGGCGTGGCCCTGTCTCAGGCGCGTCGGCTGTCCCTCGCGTGCCGCCGCTCGGAGCTCTGCCTGCAGATCAGCGCCGCGCAACTGTGCCGTCTGCCGGGTCTGCTTCGCAGGTGTGCCGGTCAGAAGGGCGGGGCGGAGCTCCCGCAGTTGTGGAAGGACAACTTTGTCGCCTTGCCCGTGCGGCAGGCGGGCAGGCTGCGCGACGCGCAGCTGCCGGCAGCCATCAGGGACAAGGCGACGCAGGGCGCCGGCGCGGGCGGCAGCCAGGGCCCGCGGCAGAAGAGGGCGAGGACGTGATCGGCGTGGAGGCCGCGGTCAACTCACCTTGGCGAGGAGGACACCGCGGCGGGGAGTTCGCGCCCTGGACTTGGCGCTCGCTCCGGCGCAAGTCCGGGCCGGGCTTGGAGGCGACTGATGCCCTGGCCACGGGACTCTCAGGCCCCGGAGTCGACTACATCGATCACTGCGTGCATTTCCGCACGCGGGGTTCGCTTGTGCTGCCCATTGGCTCCCCAGCGGCCGCCACTACCTGGGAGCCAGGCACACAGCACTGTGAGACCTCTGCGTGCACGCAGCAGTCACGGGAGCCGTCCGATCCATCGCTGCTGAAACGGGGCGCGGCCGGCCCGGCCACATGACAGCGGGCACCTAGCCCTGACTGGTCACTTCTGACAGGGCCCCGGCGCAGCCTGTCATTCTGACAGCAGGGGGCGTTTGCTGATGGGTGCAGTCCTGGAGCCCGGCTGAGCCGCTCCGAGCGTCACGGCGAACATCGGTCCCGCGAGCCGTGCATACCACAGAAAAGCCCTGGGCGCTGGGTCACAAAGTGCTGTGCGCTCGCTTGAGGAGGCGCTGACGAGTGGACAAGCACTTGGCGCAAGGGGCCGAGAGCGCTCACGCGGGAGCCTCTGTAGCCAGCGCAGGACGCAAGAGATACGGTCCAGCTCAGGCAATTATCGTCCTGCGACATCTGTGTCATCTGTGTCGCGGTCAGGATGAGCGGTGAAACTGATGTACAGCAGCCAGCTGCGGCGGAGGCGGCCAACGTTGAAGCGGAGGTGCACATTGACGACGAGGTTGTTCGCGGCTCCCGCAGCCCGACGCGCATGCACGTCGATTGAACGGTCGTGAGCGCCACCTCTGAGAGCGATCTGTGGTGCGCGCAGGCATCGAGCCCGCCTCCCACGGAACCAGGCGCGAGCGAGGCCAGCGCCGCCAAGAAAAAGAAGAAGAAGAAGAAGAAGAAGAGCAGCGGAAACAAGCAGACAACACCTCCCACCATTCCCGTGCACGAGCTGTTCTCAGGGGTGCGCACAGGCCCACGATACGCTGTGAGGGCCTCGCACCTGAGGTTGGACTGGGCACACAGCACGCAACGTCGTTGAAGCAACTCGTCGTTGTGCCGATCATCGCACTGCAGGCGTACCCGCAAGGCGAGAGACAGTCATACAAGGATGATCAGAGGTGGCGCGAGACAGATGAAGAGATGCGCGAGAGGGAGCGCCTGGGCGAGAGCATTCTGAACGAGGTCAGCTGCTGCGTCGGCGACAGTTCACCGCGGCATCACGCGACGACCCGGCGAAGCGCACTCACCTTGCTGTTTGTTGACACTCGCAGGTGCGACGGGCAGCAGAGGTGCACAGGCAGGTGCGGAGCTATTTGATGGCGGAGGTGGTCAAGCCCGGGGTCAAGCTGATCGACATGTGCGAGACGCTGGAAGACACGGTGCGCAAGCTGATTGCTGCTGATGGGCTGGAGGCGGGAATCGCTTTCCCGACGGGCTGCTCGCTGAACTACGTTGCGGCGCACTGGACGCCCAACGGCGGCGACAAGACGGTGCTGGCGTACGACGACGTAATGAAGATCGACTTCGGCACTCAGGCGCGGACCACTCCCATGTCTGTTTCATGCCTCTTACCGCGCCTTGGTTCCATCCAGCCCCGAACCGCAACGCCGCTGCTGCAGATCAACGGGCGTATTATCGACTCGGCGTGGACGGTCGCGTTCAATCCGCGGTACGATCCGCTGTTGGCTGCGGTGAAGGATGCAACCAACACTGGCATCAAAGAAGCCGGCATCGACGTGAGGCTGTGCGACATCGGCGCCGCGATCGAGGAAGTCATGCAGGTGAGGGAAACGCAGACGGCAAGCATCTCGGCCACGCAGCGCCGATGGTGCGCACAATGTCGCTCATGCAAGTTGGATTTGACTTGCTTCGCGCTGAGACGCAGAGCTACGAGGTGGAACTCGACGGCAAGACGCATCAGGTGAAGTGTGTCCGCAACCTGAATGGTCACTCCATCGCCCCGTACCAGATCCACGCGGGCAAGAGCGTCCCCATTGTCAAGGGCGGGGAGGCGACCAAGATGGAGGAAGGCGAGTTTTTTGCGATTGAGACGTTCGGGTCTACAGGTACGTCTCAATCTGGCCCCCGGAGCCGCACTCTTGCTTCGCCATGCACGGCGCAGCAGGATGCAGGTCAACACATGTACCACCAATGCCCCTGCTCGCAGGGCGAGGCATCGTGCACGAAGACCTCGAAGTCTCGCACTACATGAAGAACTTCGATGTCGGACACGTGCCCCTGCGTTTGCCGCGCGCCCGGCAGCTGATGGCCACAATTGACAAGAACTTCGGCACCCTAGCCTTCTGCAGGCACGCCCCACGGCTCACCGTCCCTCCTCGCCCCCCAAGAGAGCCAGAAACATGCATGGCCGCTGCCTCCAGTGAGCCGGCGCCCGACGGCAACGCTGAGCCTGGATCGCGTGGCATTCGAACTGATGAATTTATTTCAGCGCGCGCGCCATCGACCCGTGACCCCCTCCACGCGGCCTCGCGCTCCACCGGGGAAACGCGCTCACACCCTTGGCGTGCATGTCTCTGCTGCAGGCGCTACCTCGACCGACTGGGGGAGCAGAAGTACCTCCTGGCGCTGAAGAACTTGTGCGACCAAGGGATCGTGGAGCCGTACCCGCCGCTGTGCGACGTTAAGGGATCGTACGTCGCGCAGTACGAGCACACGATCTACCTCCACCCCACGCGCAAAGAAGTGCTTTCTAGGGGCGATGATTACTAGGCAGTGACAGCTCGTCGAGCAGTCAGCGTCACTTTGGCGTGAAGAAGGCGTCTATTCGCTTCTGCGCAGCGCACCGCGGCTTCTTTTCCTGCTTCTTCGCAGCCCTCCTCAACTGCCACGTGACGGCCATGTACTCTTCCTGCCTGTCCCGCTTCTTCGCGCTGCTCTGCTTCTTCTCGCCCTCTGTCGCGGCGCCGTCTTGTTTGTCCGCAGCGCAAACCCCTGCCTGCGCCTCACTCGGCTCCCTTGCCTCCTCATCTTTGAGTACCAACAGTGGGTGCCGCGGCAGGTTTGGCCTTGGCGACTGCGTTTCCGCGTCTGGCTGCGACTCAAGCGGCTGCATCTCGTCCTTCTGCTCCGGGCGTGCTGCGGCGACGTGCTCGCTCGTGTCATGGCGTCTCGGGGTGGCATGTGCTGTCTCTCTTGCGGGAGACTCGCTCAAGAGCATATTCAACACATTCCCGCGCCTTGATGGCTTCACCCCGCCGGGCGCACAGTGCTGCACGCACTGTGGCCCATCGACTGCGCCAATCCTGTTGAGCTGCAGCGTCACGGGCCACCATTCGAATCGAAGGGGCTGTCGCCGCCCATCCTCTGCCGCGTTCATTAGAGCACTCGCGATGTCCGGGCCCGGGGACACTGCGTCCCCGAGCCACAGGTCTCTGCGAGTGTAATGTGCGAAACGAGTGTTTGCAACGTGCGAAGAGAGAGCATCGTTGCGATGTCCATTGACCGCGTCACGCGCAGTTGGGCGGCGCATCAACGCAGGGCGCAAGCGCGTTGGGCTACCGCGCGCGCACCTCGCCTGTGGCGTCTGACACAGCACAGGCATGCGGTCGTGCAGCCATCGCAGCTGTTCCGAGCTGTCAGTGGTCAGAACTGTGTAGGTGTACATTGGCTCGCTTCCCGCCCCCGCCACATGGGCATCTCCGGGCGCCCATACGTCGTACAGTGCCGCCAGGTACATGATGCCGTCGTTGCCGCCATGCCCAGCAACGTCCTCCCCGGGCAAGGGCCCTGTGGTTTCGCCGCCCTTTGAGCCCTTGCTGGATGGGCGAAGGAAGTACGGCTGCTTGATGTGTTTGCCGAGCAACTTCATCGCCTTCCACTGCATCGAGGTGTCCATGCAACCACGTCAGTGCGACGCGGGGCAAATGGAGATCACCCAAGGCGAAATCTCTCTCATTCCTGCTCCCACGAGCTCGCGCCGAACATGCAGATCGACGCGGGCGGGAATACGATGAAATGTTTCGACGCGGCCCCTGCGCGGGCGGGATTCAGCCTGAATCATTCAGGCCAAAATTGTTCGAAACATCAGACATTTGGAGCAACCTTGAAACACTTCAGCGGGAGCAGACGACGGCAGCACCGTGCGACTCTGCGCGAGTTGGTGGTCTTGTCGTATATGTTTGTGGCACTGGTCACGGCGCACCTCGTAGAACCCATTGCACAGGGCGACGCATCTCCGGCGTGCAAGCAGCCGCCGGAAGGATGGCCGCTCGGCGATCGTTTCACTCCTGCGCAGGCAATTGCACCGCGAGGGGCGTCACCAACAACAGTGTCATTTCACTCCATCACGGCGTGTGACATGCAACCCCAGGCCCGCGAGGCACCCGCAGCCGCTCCAGAGCACGACTGCACGTCCTGGCGAGCCAGAGGGATCGGTGTGCTCGCCTGGCGTTGAACATCGCGAAGTGATCGGGCGCCGAAGTGGAGTACGACGGAACGAGCCCCCACTTCATTGTCTTCAAGGTGACGTCAGGCCCGGCGCGAAGCATGACCGGCATGTCGCTTCCGGGCGCGACGTTGAACTTCGGTGAGTACCTCTCTCTGCCGTCCCAGCGGTCCAGCGGCACACCAGCGGCATCGCACACCTCCGCAGCGCTGAGGCTGCACCGCTTGCGCCCGCACATTCTCCTCCCCGCGCTTTTTCCTCCCGCGATGTCTGCGCGCCCTGAGCCCTTGTCTCGGCCCGTCGAAAGCAGGTCCTTCACTTGGTCAGCCTCGTGCATGATGACGGCAAATGCCCTCGGTCGGACCGGGTCCTCGAGTCGAGTACTACTCGGGTGACCCCGCACACAGCGTCCGACGCTCAGCGTCGGTCGTCGGTCACGTCCGACGTCGTCGGGAAGCCCTCCGAAGGCGGCCTTAGGCCCGGGGCTGCCGCGTCACGTCATCACTGACGCTCGCGGGCTGCGTCGCAGGGATGACCCGCCGCAATGTGTAGGGACGACATCGTAGCACCCACGCGTGACCCGTCACCGGCGAAGCCCACAATATGTGCCCAGCGAAGGGCCCTCCTGCGTGCACAAAGTCGGGAATATTGGCTGTCATTCTGGCCACGGCCGCAGCCTTCCTCTGCGTGGTGGGACCAGTGGACCGTGGACTCCCGGCCGCCGCAGCGGCGCGCCGCGCCGCGCGCAGTGCTCAACGCCGTATGACTGCTTTGCCTGACTTTCACGGGCAGGAACCGCGGCATGCTGCCCGTCGACTGATGTTGCACCGATTGAGTGTTTTTGTTCAAGGTGCGAGCATCGGTCCCTCGAAGTCACAGCCAGGCCGTGACGCTGCGGCCACGGGCCGCCCTCGGTGCCGCATATGGTTTCGCGACTGTGCGCCGACCGTCTGAGCGGCTGCGCGAGCAGGAGACGCACATGTGTCATGTTGAAGCAACACATCGGTCCCGCACGGCCTGCGGAATGAGTTTCGGCGCCGCTGCGCAACGAAATTCGGTAGCTCTATCGCACTCCTTTCCGCTGTGGAGAGCCCGCAGCGAGGCTTTTGTATGTAGCGCGCGAAATCGCCCCCGGGGGGCCCCCCCATTTATACCACCTATTCAGGCGCTGTGCCAGAGGCGGGCACAGTCAGCGCTGACCAAAGGGGAAGAAAAAAAAAACCCCCCTCCGGATACCCTCCTCCACGAGACCGCGTACGCAATGTGCGCCCCCCCCTCTCTTCCCTGCCCTGCCTCTTGCGGCCCGCCCCGCGGCGCCACCAAGCGGGAATTCCCCCCGCTGCCCGAGGACGCCCTCTGGGCGTCCTCGTGGCGAACTGGGTCCCCCAAAACACCAAAACCCTCACAACCGCGGGCCACGGCCCCACACACATGCCCGCTGCAACCCAGTCCCGGCGGCCCACTGCGCCCCCTGCCCAACGCACCTCCCACCCTCCCACCGGCTCACCCCGCTTACAGATGGGCAGATGGACCAGGCTCCATCGCGCTCCCCGCCCGGCAGGCATCGCAAACCCCAAAACAACGGGCTCCGGCCCTCCTCCCCCTGCCCTCAACAACGCCCCGCGTCCCCACGCCCGCCTTCACCAACAGACCTCCGACGCCCACACCGGCTCACCCCGCATACAGATACGCAAACGGACCAAGCTCGGGTCGCGCTCCCCCACGGGCGTGCGTCACGGCAGCCGTCTCCCCTTGGGGACCCAACCGATGGTGTGGGGCACGAGGCGACAGCCCCCCTGCCCCTCCCGCAACTCCATCCTCCGCTTCACGAAGCGCTTCAGCCTCGCAACGGGTACATCTTCTCGCTCGCCGACGACGACCACCTCACATGGACGCACCCGTCCCTGCTCTCTCAGAAATGTCCTCTACCAGCGCGCTCCGGGCCACCGTCCCGCGCTGGGCCATCGCTCCCCCCCTGCAAACCTCCCCTGCTCCACCCTAACCCCCGTTACCGCACCCCATTCTATGTCCGAATCATACGTTTCACTGTCACGGTGAGCAAGGCTTGGGGCGAAGGCCCCTGCCCGTACGGGCGGGCTGGCTTCTGGCTGGTCTTCCCCTCCGTCAGCATAGCGGTGTCGCGGGATGAGGAACGGAAATGTCTGGCCCTCATCCAACAAAACGCGGCGCCTGGGCTGTGTGCGACTGGTGGGGAGGGGGTCCCAGTCCCCCTGTCTTCCGTGTGATTCCCTGTCATCACAGTCAGCGCTGACCAAAGGGGAAGGGGGGGGCAGCACCGTGGGAAATGACCTGAAACAAGCGTGTTACTGTGCCCCGGCAAGGATACGATAGATTGGGCACTCTGAGTGAGGTTGGGCGCCTGGGTTGCGAGCACGCTTCGTGCCGATGATGTGCGAGCAGCGCGCCTTGCCGTCTGCAGGTACGGCACTGGGGCAACTGGGGCTTGGACACTCCATCAACAGATCCACAACCAAGAACGACGTATGGCGAGTCTGCCGGGACGAGCCAGGGGTCGTTAACGGCGGCTTCAGGTTCTGCGACTCTCTCACCAACGAGCGGCTGGTCGAGATGCCCGTAACGCTGGGGTCGATCCGCCAATGCTCGTCGACAGTGCCCGCGCTCCCTGAGGCCGGACTGGGAAAGCTTACAACTCACACAGTACAATTGCTCCTCCGGCACCACGCCGCTACATGACGACACGCGCTTTTTCTCCGCTGTCGTGTCGTACTTCGCGGGGATTGCTGGAGCGCTCCATCCATGAAAGTCCCACAGATGATGCACACTCAGCCGTAATGAACAAGGTGCGATGGTCCGTGACTCATGAAAACATCCGGCCGAAAGCAGCGGCAGCGCTGGAGCACATGCACGCATGATCGCAAAGTACGGTCCATACGCACAACAACACACCACGGAAGGGAGACACATGATCGGTACAAGCGCTCAAGGACGCGTGACGTACAGCAGGTGCATGCTCGGGTGCATCGCACCTCTGCCGTGGAGACAGGCTCACAGCATCGAGGTCAGGCGTTGCATTCCTGCAGCCCCTTACTGTCACGTGTGCGCGCGGTGTCACGCGGTGCCTTCCCGTGCGCGCGCCGCCCTCAGGCCATGAGCTCGGCAAGCTTCTCCTTGAGGTTGGCCTTGCGCTGGTCGTAGGTCAGCTTCGGGGTCTTCCACTTCTTCTTCTGCGCGGGCTTCTTGCGCGCCTTCTTCGGGATGATCGGGTTCTCGCGGATCTTCTCGTGCACGCTCTCGTACAGCTCCTCCAGGTCGTCCGCGCCCACGCCCTCGTCAATGTACGCCTTGAACTGCACGAGACAACCTCAACCTCGGTCAGCAACACGCGCGCCGACGCGACGAACACCCCGCCCGCATAAGCGCGAAGGTCCCAGTGTAGCGCAGGACGCCGGCGCCGCGGCCCTGGCCCTGATCAGCAGACAGAGAGAAGCACCCACCACAGCCTGGCGGTGCACGCTCGGACGTGCGCGCCAGGGCCTGCGACGTCGCGGGCGTGCGGGCGCACCTGGGCCTGAAGCTTCTCCGGGTCCTCCTCCTCGAGGTACTCCATGTACTCGGTCACGGGTCCGCCGAAGATGTAAGACTTCATCATCTCCGCGTCAAACGACTTGGCGTCCGGGTCGTACCCGATCATGCGCTTCTCGTTGTGCGGGATGTCCAGGCCGCCGTCCAGCGCGCCCTTCATCGCGGTGAAGATCTTGCTGCCCGTCGTCGTGGCCTTCAGGCCAGTGTCCAGCACCACGTAGAAGGGGCGCGGGCCGTCCTCGACCTCCTCGACGGTGAAGTCCTCGCCGTCGGGCTCCTCCTGACCCTTGTAGTGCTCGGCCAGGCCGAACTTGGTCAGGACGCGCCGGGCGACCAGGAGGCCCGTGCAGTAGGCTGCCGCATGGTTGTTCAGGCCCACCTTGAGGCCGAAGTGCGGGAGCTCGTGAGAGTACGCGGCGGCGACGACGACGTCACCAGCGATCGTCGCCTTGGTGATCTGGCAGACGATGTCGCGGTTCGTGAAGCGCACGACCAGCCTGCAGGGAGCGAGGAGCACGCAGTGAGGTCATCTCCGGTCAGCCCGTGGCACGTGCTGCGGTGAGACCCGTCGCCTCGCGGCCTGCGCACCTGTGCTTCGGCGTGTTGTACTTGTTCTTGTCCTGGAGACAGAGAGCGTGGCGGGCCTTGTAGTCCGTCTTGCCAATCCTGCAAGCGGGCGGGACGGTGGTTTTCGAGCGGCGACCAGCCGACATGGCGCTCCGAAACAATCCTCCCGATTCCCACGCGGGACGAGGCAAGCGCAGAGTCCCTGGCGGGGCTGCGCAGGGGCAAGGCAGCGTCGCGGGGCTGCGCCGGTCGCGGAGAGGCGTCCAGCACCAGCGCGCATCATCGGGTAGGTACGAGCAAAATACATGAGTGTCGTACGCCGCAGGACCACGCAGCGGGGCAGGGGTCCTGCCACGCGCTGGCCATGGCGCCGGACCGGCGAACCAGCCGCCGCTGCAACCGCTTCGAAGCGGACTTGCGCGCCGGGCCGAGAGCATGACACGCTGCATGGCAGCGATCTGCCGCGTCGGCGAGCGCGTGGGGGCTGCTGCGATGTCCCGGCCGTCCAGTGCGGCGGCGAGCACTCACCTCCTCCGCCGAGGCTTGACCTGCGCAAAAGAATGCGAGCCGCGCTGGCATGAGATGCAGGGACGTACGTACGTGCAGCCGAGCATGGCCAACGCAGGTCAAGCCTCGAGGCGACGCGCGTGCACAGGCAGGGGCCCTTGAGGAAGAGAGCCATCTCGTCGCTGCCGGGGCGGGCCTGGAGCGCACCTGGTAGCGGCTGTAGTAGGCCGAGGTCTTGACGACCTTGACGTGCGCCATCGCGACGGACGACTGTGCACGAAACTACGAAACGCGGGCAAGCGCAAGTGCGCCAAGACCTACTCCGGTGGGGCTAACTCGTCCTTCGACGGGCCAGCAGGGAGCGCCGGGGATGGTCCCGAAGAGCACACGGGAAAGGATCGATCGACGTCGCAGGGGGCGCAATTGTCTCCGGAGTGGCCTCGGGCCGCCCGGCGGCGCCGGGAGGCGCCTGACGCCACCTCTCTGGGACATCCCGCGCTGACTCGCCCGACATGTCCACTCGGCCCATTGCAGCGCCATCACCTCGCGGCGACCTCGGGACGGGAGTCTGTCTCACGGCGCCGTGCCCGCCGACCTCGAGCATGCGCTCGTCGCACGCTGCTCTGCGAACAGCACTTGCAGCACAACCTTCCGGCAGCCGCGCTTTCGACTTTCCGTCGATCCCCGCCAACCGCGATGCATGGGAGTCCTGACATGCACGCGCGCACCCGCGGGCACACCACGAGGCTGCACTGCGTAGGCGCTAATCAAAACACTGTTGACAGCCGCTACATGGCTATTGGCGTCAGCACAGCGTCGCGAGTGAACGCACGAGTCGCGGCGTGTGCGTCAGCCGACTGAATCTCCAACAGCATGGCAACCGCTGCATCCACAGCGACGGTCACAGTATGGTATTTCAGTATGGTATTTCCCGCCCCCTAGTCGCAACCGGCGCGCCGTGGCCTCCGGGGGGCGCTGCGTCACTGTTCCTGCCCGGGCGTGCCGTCTGCTGCTGCTTGCCGATCGGCCTCCGCCTGCCGCGTGACTGCGCCCCCTCGCGCGCGTCGCCCGATGCGTCGCCGCCCTTGTGCCTTGGCTTGTGCCTTGCCCTGGTCTCGCAGCTCCTGCGAGGCGCGAACAGGGAGTTGCTGAGCACTGCTGATGTGTGCAGTGGGCCGCGGATGTATGGCGCCGTCACGCGCCGCAGTCGGAGTGCGCGTTCCAGCAGTGTTTGTTTGCGCTGATTGAATGTCACCTGCAGCAACTCGTCTTGACTGAGTCCCCTGAGGTAGTGCAGATCCGCCTCGTACTCTGTGACGTCAAAGTTCGTCGCTACGCCCTTGGAGCCCGTCGCCTGGTGCAATTCGCACCAGATCATCATGCGGTCGTAGGCACGCGCTGCCTCCTCCTCGAGGTCGAAGCAGCCCAGGGATGTCGGCCTGCCGTCCCTCCTGGAGAACATCACACGATGGTCAGCGAGCGCGGGGTCGGCACTCACGCGCAGGCTCGCAGCGTTGCCGGTGCGGGGAAACCATTGGGGAGCAGGAGTAGCACCTGAACTGAGCCTCCCAGCGGCCCGTCGGGAATGTCTGATGCACCCCGCGGAACCTGGACGTGTATTCTCGGTCACTGCGCGCCTTGTGCTTCGCCACGCGCGGCACCTTGGTGGGGCGGAAGATGGAGAGCATATGGCGTCGCTTCCCCCCGAGGCCCGCCGCTTCTGCGCCAACAGGACGCGAAACACTGCGAGTTTTTCGTTTCGGTGCATCTGCCCTAGTTACCCGCACAGAATGCGGGCGTCGGGTCCGTCCCAGCGATCACCGTGAGGCCAGACTTGCCTGCAGCGAACGAACGCCACCCCGTGCCTGCGATGTCCTCCCATCCGCGCACGGAAGCCGCGACGTCCTCCGCGTTCGTGGAGTTCCGCGGCGTCCGTGCCATGATACTCGGCCCCGACGACGCTTGCGAGAACACTTTCCCCCTGCTTTTTAGCCAGCGCTGCCACTTGGTCATTTGCCAACGCTCGCGGAACGGCGGCCTGCGGAGCACCTCGCCTCGACAGCGTCTGTGCCGTGGATACGGTCGCGCCAGCAGCTCGTTGCTGGCATCGTGACGCGCAGAACCGTACCTGGCCACCTCGGGCGGCATCTCCCCCTTTGTGCAGTCCGTGGGAGCGATCACGACCGCCTGGGCACAGGTCAAACCATTCGAACTGTGCGCCCGTGCCGTCCTCCTCCCGTCCAGACCGCCTTTGCAGCAGTGCCAGGCGTGCGGGGCCGCCGCGCGTGTCCGTCGCCCTCTGAACAATGCGCGCCAACGGCGGCTGCGTCGCGTGATCCGCAAACCAAGTCGTCCTGGCCCGCTCGCGTGTTGCGCTCGCTTGTCGGTGGGTGCGGTGATGGCGCGCGAGCCCGCGGTGGCCCGTCGCGGCGACACCGGCCATCTTCCCCCCGGGTGTGGCGGCTCGGGCCCCCCATGGCCTCCTGGCCCCGTCCGAGCTCGTTGGCGCCGCAGCAACATCGACCGGGGTAGCCTTTGGCAGGTCGTCGGTTTCCGCAGCGCTCAGATCTCAGATGACCCGCATCGTGACGCCAACGAAGAAAGCCCCAATGCCCGGCAGGTGAGGGAGCTGGCGCTGCTGTCTCTGAGCGACACAAGTGCACGGCCAACCTCACACGCACCGCCCGAGCTCTGCTCCCTGCACCGCAGCTCGCTGGGGTATGCTGGCCAGCACGAGCTGAAGATGCAGTCTCGCGCGCCCGAGACGTCGGGGGGGCATCAAGGTGCGCCATGGCTCCGCACGCGAGCGACGGCGGACTTGCATTGACATCCCAGCCCACAAGTGCATCGATGCATGCCGCCCGCATGTGCTTGCTGCGCATAGCGGACTGTCGGTACGGTCTCCCGTGCTGGGGCCTCGACTCGCCCGCCCCCGCTGCAGGATCCGCAACCCGCGCGATTTCCCGCCGAGATCGACTCGTGCGGGCACGTTGGCCACCCACGTACTATGCGCCCCGCGCTCGCGTCGGTCGCAGGGGAAGCGCGATCGCCTCCTCCGTCGCAGGTTGCCGGCAACGATGGAGGCGCGGCTCCGAATCTTCCGGACACCAAGCAGCCGGGCAGCGAGACGAGAGATGCGTTCAGGCGAGACCCAGCCGCCGTGACCAGCTGCGCCACTCGCGGCGTGCGCATCCTCATTCTGTGCCAGCAGCAGGTTTCCACCGGGCCGTTCCGCGGCGTTTCGATGCAGGCCCGAGCCTCTGGAGGCGTATGACTACGCAGCGGCGCAGCGCCTCACACCGCCGCGCTACTTCTTCGAGCCGAAGTACCAGTTCCCGCACGACTCGCTGGCGCCCCGCAGGTCCGTCTCGCCCTCCTGCCCTGCGTCGCTCTGCGTCGACGCCGATGCCTCTCGCGCGACGGGGGCCAGCATCCTTGGAACGACGCTCTGACGCAGGCTCCGGTCGCCGAAGGTGCTGCCCCCAAGCGATGGCGCCGGGCTCCTCGGCGGCACCAAGTGGCACGGGAAGCCCACGCCGTACCTTGGCAAGGGGAGGCCACCCGTGACGCAGGAAGAGGAGCCGAGGCTGGGCAAGAGGATGCTGGACAACTCTCATATCTTCAAGTGCGCAAACTTGCCCCAGATGCCAGCGCAGTGCCTCCAGGCTGCCACCTTTGACGCCACGTCATGCCCTCCGCGCCCGCTCTGACCACGACGTGCGACGGTCTGCGCCGCAGGTCTGTCACGGACCGGGACGTCCTCGGCCAGAATGACTTCAAGGGACTGCCCGAGGACCCCCTGGTGTTTGGTCGCCGCCCCATGAACACTGCTTTCGAAGCCGCGGAGCGCAAGGGGTACCGCCTCGTCGGAGGCCGCGTCGAGTATGGCGCGAACTTCGACGATTCGGACAGGAAGGCCAGGTGAGTCCACTAGGCCCCTCTCTCCGGTTCGCTCGTGTTCTGCACCGCGGGTCCAGCCGTGCACGCAACGGCGACGGACCGACACGAGCCGTTCGCCGGTCCGCAGGGGGCGCGGTGTGCCCACGAGGGCGTCCCGCGTGGCGACGGCCGCCCGCACGATGGGCCAGATGGAGGCGATGTCACCCAAGGATGTGGACCCTGACCTGGAGATGCGGTTCGGCAAGGCGCACGTTCCTGAGAAGCCGCGCGACCTCGCGGGAGATGTCGTCCGCTACCGGTACAGCGCCCTGGCGGACAAGTACGGGCGCTGGGACCCCACACGCGACGCGGAGCGCGCAGATTATGAGCGCCGCGTGGGCGAGAAGCAGTTCGCGGCCACGAGCCTGCACTCGGAATACTACTACAAGCTGAATCGGGCGCGAGCGCAAGCTGCTAGCACCGCCTTCACCGACCCGCTGTACACGAGGCGCCCCGCGACTGCGGGCCCGTACTGAGGGGGCCCACACCTCCCTGGGCGTGAGCGGCGTGCGGCGTGATGCGTCGTCAGGGCGGCGAGGCGCGCGGGTGCAGGGGGGCTACGCCGCCGCACAGGCTCGACGGGCTTGCTTGGCGCTGACGCAGTGTTACGAAGAATCAGCGCCACGCACTGGCCGTGACTCAATGGTAGTGAACTGTGGAGCCCGAGTGCAGCATCGGCCCGCCGTAGAATGGGGCGTTCGACGCGCGTCCGTCGTGAGCCGGCATCAGGGTTTGGCGGCATGACGTGGATCTAAACGTGATGTCGAACAGCCTGTTCAAAGGATGTGCAATGCGGCTCGCAGCACATCCGTGGCTGCAGTGCCACCAGACGGGAAGCCAGACCGCAGAGCGTCCCCTGGCGTCGCGTGCCGGACCTCTACTCGCAACCCCTTGACATGTTGCAGCACAGGTCACGCTGTGCTCGCTCGATCTGCGTGAGCCGCTGCGCATTGGTCGCGAATCGCGAGTCCTGCTCCTCATGCATCCGCGCAACTTGTTCCCGGAACGAAATGAAGTCGCGGGAGACCTCTTTCACGCACTTGTGCATGTCACGGAACGTTGCGACCTCGTTGGCGAGTGCAGCCACGGAGGACGCGAGCGAACCGACCTGCTCCTGCAGCTCTCCGATGTCCTCCGTCTTTACCGCCTGCAGCGACTTGACAGCAGCGCAAGTGGGCCCGTCTGGCCCTGTGGGACTTCCAGCACGCTGCACTTGCACATCTTCACGGGTCCTCGCACCTGTTCCTTCGCGGCGACGTTTGTCAAGTCGGCCCTGATGTCAGCCACGGCGCTGTGCAGCGTCGCGATATCCTCCGTGAGGTCCGGCCCCGGGCGCGCGGTGTCAGGCTTCTCGGTGACTTGCACCTGCGACGCCGCCCTCTCCGAGAGGCCGAGAGCCACGCAACGCGAGATGCGGGCAACTGCACTCTTCAGCGCCGCTACATCAGCCCAGCGACTGTCGTCGGGTCGCTCCTGGGCGGCCTGTTGCGATCTCAGTCCCCCCAGTGCACCATCTGACGCGGCATTGGACCCAGCAGCCTGTGAATGATTGTCGGCGCGCTCCAACGCCCCGTTGCTGATAGGCTCTCGACTGCCGTCCGCCTGACGGTCGTTCTCCACGGTCTCCAGTTTGACCACCGCGCCACTGATTTCTTCCACCTGCGGTTCGCTCTTCGGCACCTCATTCGTCGGCTGCCGCTGCATGCGCTCGGTCGCGGCCAAGCATGGCATCAATGTATTTTACGGCACGTACCCGATCGCGCATCGCAGCGAGGGACTCAGATTGTTGATCCGACAAGCTGCTGAGCTCCAAAACCCTCTTGTGCAGCTCGCTCATGTCCGCAGCTGAGGCGCAATGGCGCTGCAGCGCTTCTCGCAAGCCTGGTGTCAGCCGGAGACGTGCTTGCCAGTGAGGAGCGGTGCACGGCGCGGCTGGCGTGGACGTGGTCAAAGTGTGGTGCCCTGTTGGGACGCGGACTGTGACTCAACTCAACGTGCAGGCGGCGCACAAGTGGGGCTGTTCGCACCTTCTTCGACAGACTTGCACAGCGCCCGAGACGACGCGAGATGGCTTTCGACCTGTCGTTCGTACTCGGTTACTTCCGCGTTGACGCAGCTCGCGTGGCTCACCATGTCGCGCTGCAACGTGGTCCTCAGCGCGCCAACCTGACTCTCGACGCGCTGCGTGACGTCCGTAACGAAACCTTCAAACGACGCGACGTCCGCCTTGTCGTTCAGACTGTCCCTGACCATCGCTCGCAGGCCAGACACCTCCTTGCGCACCCAGTCCTCCGACTCGTTGACCGCGTCACTCAGAGCCCGCATTTTCGCGCTCAACGTGGCGGTTGACTTGGACGCGAGCAGCTTCTTCCCCAGCTCGTCCAGCTTGCGCTCGTGGAACCCGATCTTCTCGGCCATGACAGCGTCGATGTGCTCCTTGTACGCCCCCAGGTGGATCTGCCCCCAGTTCTCCGCGACCTCCCTCACCCGCGCCCTGATCTCCGCCGCCACGAGAGCCTGCAACCATCCCGGGGTGCAGCACGATGTGCACACTGGGCGCCATGTCGGACACAGAGTGGCTGCAGAACACCTCCCGGGCCGTGCACGAGCATGGCGAGGGGTGGTGCCTGCGCATCCGCTTTGCAGCCCTGCAGGACGAGCGCGATCGCCTTGTGACTCTCGGCCCTGTGTTCCTCCGCCTGAGTCGCGACCTGCTCCACCCTGTCCGCCAGAGACCGCTGCTGTTTCTCCACCTGTGCGATCCTACCCATCTGGACCTCTGCATGCGACTCCATCTCCTGAACCTTTCCGCAGAACTTCTTGTCGAGATTCTGTACGTCGGTCTGCATCGTTCGCGGCGCACTGCGCTTGCCACCGTGACCCGGCGCGTTCCGGACTTCGAGAGGCGGGCAGCCATCAGTATATCACGGCATCATCGTCCTCTGGTGCGACCGTCAGCGGTCGCGGTTTAGAACGAAATGTCAAAAGACACCAGCAACGTTGATGTTCCTGCGATGTGATCGCCACAGCTCACCTCCACAACGTTCCGCACCGCCTTCGCGGTGTCCTTCAGCGTCGCTCTGACTTCCTCGATGGACACCTCGAGAGCCTCGACCGAGCGCGACGTTGCCGCCTGCGTCTCCTGCCTGGCCTTTCCTTCCTCCTGCACGCGCGCGGGAACGCCGAACTAGTGCTTGCAAACACAAGAAGAAGTGCTTGCTTCGCCTTCAAACACCACTTTCTAACGACGCAGCCGCCGTATGCAAGGTCCTCGAAGTTTCGCGGCCTCACCGATACGGTGCGTCCCAGCGTGTCCAGTTCCGCTGCAAGGTCGCGAAAGCGGTGCACTGAGTTCGCGAAGTCTTTTTCCAGCTCGGAGACCTGCTCCGCGACAGTCTCGATTCGCCTTGGCACGTCCAAGAGACGCTGAGAGAGCGCGCCCAGTTCCTGCTGAAGGCGCGAAACAGCTTCGTCTCTGCTCTCTTGTGCGGCTCGAGTGGCATCGAGGGCGCCCTCCAGACCCTGCGTGAGCACAAATGCGACAAATGACCTCAGCAAGGACGGCTGGGCCGCGTGGCAGCACGAGCAGAGCGGGCGCGCACCTGTAGCCGGCTCCCATGGCTCTCCACGGTGCGCGCAGCCTGGGCGACGACAGCCTCCTGGGAACTGTATTTGTCCGCCAAGACCTTGACTGCACGGGGGGCGCCGCGTGTGAGCGGCAGTGAGCGCTCGAACCTCGGGCGGAGGGATCGACCTGTTGCATGAGAACTCAAAATCAAGGCTCCGCGAAGAACGCTGGTTCCACGGGGGACGACCTGCTTTGCGAACGGGACTCGCAATGTTGTACCATGTCCCTCCTGTCTTGGGATGAACGACGCCCTCCAAGCCGAACACGGCCCCGGGCGAGCTCATGCTGGCCGGCACAGTGCGCTTGCTGTTTCGCGGGCCTGACTGCGGCGGCGTACGATGTTACCAGCCGAAAGCATGCATCGCGTTGGCCTCACTAGCTGTGTGCGCGAATGTCGACCGGCACCGGCTAGGAGCGGCCTATTGGCCTCCCCAGAGGCCCTCGGCACTCACTGAGCCACTGGCACTGCTCAGCAGTTCAAGATAGCCTATCTTAATAGTATTGCCAGCTGAACACACTCGGCGGGGTATGAATCATTCATATGACCAGCACATCCCGGCGGCATCAGCCACTGCTAAACCGGCCTCAATGGCAATTGGGCCGTGCTTGCCGATCCCCTCTGGCGCGCCCCTCCATGTGTTCGGCTGTCGCTCGACAGCAACGCCGTCAGCGGCTCGTGCGCGAGGTCGACCGTCCCCACATACAAACACGCGCGCTCCGACCTGGACGACCTCGCGCGACGTCCTTGCGAGCAACGCCGACAGGCCGCCGCTGCCGCATCGGTGCGCGCGACGCAAAACCGGCGAACGCATCTGTCAGTGGCAACGAGTGTGCCAGGCCGACCGGAATCCTCGCGGCGGAAAGTGGTCACGCAGCGGGAACCACTTCCGTCGACGGCCCCGTTCCGAGGCTCGCCGCGCTGCCCGCCCCCCCCAGGGGCGGTGTCTCCGGCCTGCACCGACTGACAGGTCCCAGTCCGACCCGCTCGACGAGCGCTGCGCGGCGCCGCAAATGAGCGCCTGCTGCTGCGCACGCCTAGTACTGCACCTCGTCACCGCCGCCCACACCAGATTCGGCGACCCTGTGCCTCGCGAGTCAGCGCAGCAGGATTCCTTCGCTTCAAGCGACAGTGGGTCCGCCGGCCTGCCGCGCGGCAGGCGTCTGGCTGCAGCCCTTGTGGCCGGGCGTCCATTGCCACGGCGGAAATTTCATCGCGACCCTGCGGCGGCAGCCGGCCAACCCGCGGCCATCGCGCCGTGGAGAGTGCCTTGGAGTTGCAACAGCAGCCGCGGGCGGGCCGAGGGCGACCGGCGGTTGCCCCGGCGCGAAGCGCTGCCCTGGCTCCGCTTGAATGGGTTGTGGGGCAAGCAGGGAGCTCGACATCGAAGTATCCAAGGCTCCGGGCGCTGCCAGTGACAAGACCATCCTTGCGCTCGCAAAGGCAGGCTCTGCGGAGGAGGAAACGGGCCAGTCAGGGACTTCAGCGACGGGAGATCGCAACGACGCGCGGCCGCATCTCCAAGAGGGCGCGAATGGCGCGTTGACGGCCGGAGACGAAGAGCCAGCAAAGCACACATCTACCGGTGCTGACGGCGACATGCGGTCGATTTCGGAAGAGAACAGCATGCCGCTGCATCGCGATGGGAAGCTTGGGGCACAGCCGAGCATGAACGAGGCAACAAAGACTTCACCGGGCCACAGCGGCCCTGGAACACTGCAGCGAACAACCCGAGAGCGCCTCACCACCCAGCTGAGCCGAAAGCTCTCCGTGGCCGAGCGCGACGGATCGCAGCTGCGGCCAATACTGTCCGGGGGCATCATGCGCGGCGAAACGAACCTACAGGACCTCGAGAGCGGCCCCTACTTTGGGAGCTATGCTCTACAGGTCCGTGCTCACCGGCGCATTTCGCCCGCGACCATCGCGTCGTCTCGTGCCCAGTCCACCCCACTCGCGACGACGACGCGCAGCTCTGTGTTTCGCCCTCCCGGCGGGTCCGCACACCGCGGCCAAGCCCCATGGAGTGCCTGGCAAGCCCCTCGCGCGCGGTTCTCGCTCAGTTGCCCGCGCCCTGGGAGACTAGGGACGGATCCCGGACAGCCTCGGCCCCGGCGGCCGCGCCTGCACCCGCTCGCGCGCGGCGGCCGGCCACCCCCGCACCGCACGCCATGGTGCCAACCCACCGCTGCCACCTTTGCCACGTCGCACGCGCTGCAGGGGCGCCGCAAAAAGATGGAGGACTCGGCAATTTTAGCACCGTGTCTCGTCAAGTGCAAGGCCGAACTCGGCTCGGCCGGGACGTCACTCTCGAGGCCGCTGCACGACGCCATCGAGGATCCGAGCCCCCTGTACACCGACGCCAACGAGCCGGCGGGCGCCAAAGAAGACATCCTGCACTTTTTCGCCGTCTACGACGGGCATGGCGGAGCCGTTGCGTCGCGTTTTTGCGCGAAGCGGCTGCACCATTTCTTCTCCGCGCGCCTGCACTTGCTGGCGTCCCTCCCGCCCGGCGCGGCCCCCCCGGCCATGCCGTGCCAGGACGGTCCGGCCGCCGAGACCGGCGGAGCTGAGGACGAGGTGAGCGTCGAGGCCGCGTCCGCCCCGTGTACACCACCCGCGCCGTGCCCCGGGCCACACGCGCTGCAAGTGACCAGCAACGATATCCTCCCGTCTCCCGCCCAGACGCGGGGCCCGATCCCGCCCGATCGGGCGCGAACACGCCACCCCCCTGATGGCCCTCCGTCTGCGCGCCTCGGCTCTGCACACGGGGCCCGTGCACTGCGCGAGGACTGATGCCTGCCTCGTGCACGCCTGCCGCTGCCCACCTCGTGCCTGTCCCCCGCGTTGCAGCACGTCGCGGCCGCGGGCGAGAAGTCGGCGAGCAGCCTCGCCAGCAGTATCCAGGAGGACTGTTTCGGTCCGCAGACGGTCGACCTGCGGCAGCTGCGGCCGCTCACCGCGGACATGATCACCGACGCGCTCGAGTACGCGTTCCTGGAGGCGCACGAGCGCTTCTGCCGGAAGACCGCGGTCGAGCTTATCGGCACCACGGCCACCGTCGGCGTCGTATCATCGACGCACATCTTCGTGGCGTTCTCCGGCGACTCGCGCGCGGTGCTGCGCAAGCACGGCGTGGCGTACCCCGTGACGCTGGACCAGAAGCCGGAGCGGCCGGACGAGGCGGAGCGGATCAAGGCGGCAGGCGGGAACATATACGTGACGGACGGGCAGCGCGTGGAGGGCATCCTCGGCATGACGCGGGCCATTGGAGACTCGGCGCTGACCACGGCGGGCGTGACGCCGCTGCCCGAGGTGACGGTGCTGCGGCGGGCGCCCGGGGACGAGATGCTCGTGCTCGCGTCGGACGGCCTGTGGGAGTGCGTGAGCAACGAGGTGTCGGTGGAGGCGGCGCACCGGTGTCTGGAGCTGGTGGCGGAACGCGGCAAGGGGCGCAACGTGGGAGCGAAGCACGCAGCGAAGGTGCTCGCGAACCACGCTTTCAAGAAGGGCAGCGGGGACAACATCACCGTGCTCGTGCTGGACCTCGCGGGGCCGGACGACCGAAAACCAAAGACGCAGTCAGCCTCGGAAGGGAAGGCCGGGGGCGGCGAGCCGATGGACGTCGACGGGGGATGATGACTCGCAGCCTTCGCGCACTATGATGCCGATGCCGCTTACATGATGATGGCGGCCACGTTTGTTCGTGATGCTTCACGCAGGCAGCCAGCAGCGCGTTGATGCCGTCTGTGAGGGACCAGCCAAGCTGCATGCAAACAGCCTCCTCACGCAACACCCTTGAGCGCGCCCACCACGCCCACGACATCCTCCGCCCCGAACAAGGCTGACCCGACCACCAACACGTTTGCCCCTGCCTCCACGCACCGCGGCGCGGTCGTGCCCGGCTTCACGCCACCGTCCACCTGAATGTCGGCGCCGCCCCCCAGTCGCTCCCGCGCAACGCGAACGCGCTCCAAGGCAACGTCCTGGAAGGCCTGCGCGCCGAAGCCTGGCTGGACGGCCATCACGTTGAGGGTGTCGAGCCCCAACGCCGCGACGGCCGCGACCGCCGCATCGAAGCCCTCGTCGTCTGGCCGGACAGCGATCCCACTGCGCACACCCCGCCGCTGGAGCGCCGCCAGCTCGCCAGCTGCCCGTTTGCTTCCAACGACCTGCTCGGCCATGACCATCACCTGCGATGCTCCCGCGTCCGCCATGAGCTGTGCAAGGCGCCAGGGGTCGCGCACAGCGAGGTGGACGTCGAAGAATGCGTCAGGGTGATGCCGGCGCAGGGCAGCCAGCACGCCGGGGCCGAACGTGAGCGCCTCGCAGTACGCTCCGTCGCAGACATCCAGGTGGATTGAGTCGACGCCAGAACGCAGCGCGCGGGCAGTCTCGTCTGCGAGACGGGACTGGTCTGCGCACAGAATACTGGCCGAGACTTTGACGCTGTTGTTGCTACTGCTCCCCTCGGCCGGCCGCAGAGACCGCGGAACGCGCCCGCGCACGTCCGCGGCGTAGGCGTGCGCCGCATGTGCGACGTCCTTCACGGCGGGGTAGCACCCGCAGTAAGTCCTGTAAATGCGATCGTACATCTCGTGCTTCCCCTTGTCCGGCAAGATTGATCTCTCGACGTGCACCATTGCGTTCGCGGCCTCCAGCACACTGTCGAACAGCCCGGCCCCGACGGCCGCCAGCACCGCGCTGCCGAGCGCGCAGGCGTCAGACACGCGCGGCAGCTTGAGAGGTAAGCCCGTGACGTCCGCGTGGATCTGCAGCCATAGGTCGGAACGCGCCGCACCGCCCGCAACCGTGATGCTGTTCGGGCGGTAGCCGATCGCCGACATCGAGTCGAGAACCAACCGCGTGCCCATGGCCACACCTTCCATTAGGGAGCGGAACATGTGCGCACGCCCGTGCTTGAGCGTGAGGCCTGCAGCCAACGTCGGAACATGGGCAACCTTGTATGGGAGTGTCTGCTGCAGGTGGTCGATGGACTCGCGTACCTCACCGGGTGCTAAGGAGCAGACAGGCCAGGGTGCGCTCACTCCCCGCGTGGCGCAGGCCGAAATCTTACCAACGATGGCTCCTTTCGACAGTGGGTCGGTGTGCGGAGTCCGGTTGCCTTGCCAGTGCTCGAGCGTGAGCAGTCCCTCACTGCCGGGGTCCACCGCAGCAGCCTCGGCGTCCAGCTCGCGGTACGACACGTGTGGCGCGAAGTTGCGCCGGAACCAGGACAGGATACTCCCGGTGGACGTCTGGCCTCCTTCAATCACGTTGATGCCCGGGATGACAGCCTGCCTGTATGTGCCCCACGCCCCCGGCCCGTGAAGATCTCGCGCAGTGGAGCCCAGGTGAAGGTGTGACGATCTGCAGCAGCCAGAGCGACAGTGCCGGCCTTGCGGGATGTAGCTCAAGTCAAGTCAAGTCAGGAGATAACAAGCTGTGCCGTACCCTGTGAGCAGACACATTTGTCCTTCGGCGAGCGTGTTGAGCCCGACGGTGCCGATGAACGCGTCCGCGCCGCCCTGTGCGACGGGCAACCCCTCGGGCAGGCCAAGCGCGGCCGCGGCCTCCGCAGTGAGGCCGCCGACGACTTCGCCGAGGCGCAGGACCTCTTTTGGCCACTTGTCCAGCAGGTCGCTCATGCCGAGAGCAGCGAGCAGCGTCACGGGCCATTTGTCTGCAGTAGCGGCGCGGACGCATCGGCCATCGGGGCGACCAGACCACTGCGGTCAGTGGGCGTCGCACTCGCATCCCCACGGACTAGGTGTGACCAGAAGCGTGGCCATGATAGGCATCATCGGGCTCACCCTCGCGCTCCTCAGAGTAGTGCCAGCGTATGCTGACGTTGTTCACGCTGGCGCAGTACCGACCCGTCAGCCGCATGTTGATGTAGTCCTGGTACTCGCAAATCATCGCGGCCGCCTCATACACCTCTGGACGGTTCTGCTTGATCCAGAGTGACTTCGGGATCATCCTGCGCAGGACCAGCGCTCCGCAGCGCGCGCGGGTCTGGTCGTGCCCGACGCGTGGCAGGAGATGGACGCACGTCCTGGCATGACGTGGACAAGGACGAGGGGGGGGCACGCACCATTCAGCGCTTACTGGGCCGGCTCCGCCGTTGTTCACTCGCAGGGCGTCGTCGTGCGTCGCGAGAACTTCCTGCGCCTGCTTCGCCGCGCGCATGTCCATCCACAGGATCGCCGGCTGCAGAGGGCGTTGCGTGGCATCTAGCACCACCACCGTGCAGGATGTGGTGTCAAGGCCGAGGCCAGCGATGTCGTCGGAACTCAAGCCAGCCTTTTGCACTGCCTGCATGATCGGGGGGCACCGCCGGCGAGGTCGGAGGAGACAGGTCACAAGGCAAAGCCTCGCGACGCGTCAGAACGAAGGGCCCGCACCTGCTTGACCGCCTCGGCCGTGCATGTCCACCAGTCTAGGGGATCCTGCTCGGCGTAGCCGGGCTGCGGGTACTCAGTGCGGTAGGCTGACGAAGCATGGGCGATGCAGGCTCCTCTGCAATCGAAAACGCCTGCGCGAACACTCTCAGTGCCCCCGTCCACGCCGATGACATACTTCCGCGCCATCCGCGGCGTTTGTCCTTCTTCAGCTTTGACGATCCTGTCGTCCGCGAGCGATGCAGTGACTGCAGATGCAGATGAAGTCCGTGGCGATGCAGCTGCGTCGTCGCTGTCTACGCGCTTCGAGCGGCAGGTTGTGACTGCTACAGTGCGTGCGGCCTCAGGCGGGCCCATGTTGCCCCGCAAGTTGCCGGCGGCAAGTCAGGATCATCCCCCCGGAGGAGGGGGCGCATCGTCAGGCTCCTGCCGCCAACTCGGCGTCCCCTGGCCCCAAGGGGCGACGTTGACGGTAATGATCCTCACACAGAGCGGATTCACACAGGTCGAGTTTCGCCTGATACGTATATATTAGTTCGAACACGAGGACGGATGGGCAAAAGACAACTAAACCCGGCCGCACACCCGCATTGTGCGGTGCGTTGCAACAACACCGCATTGTGCCGCAAGCTTGAGCTCGAGTGCATGTGACGGGCCGCCTGTTGTGGAGAAGCAACGCAAGTGCTGCGTGGTCGTGACGCTTACCCTTCCCAGTGCTCTGTCCACCTGAGGGGGCCTGCAGGATATCATCGTGGAACTCAACCGCTGCCACGCCCGAAGCTTTTTCGATCAGTGGTGGAACGGTTCTTGCAAGGCGCTCACGGACAAGTTCGCGGAGTGTCGCAGGTGGGTTCTCAGGCACCAAGTATGGCGGTCGTCGCGGCGTGGGCCGCGGGGGACGTCCTGTGCATGCGCGCGCGCGTCATGCCCGCCATCCTGAATGCGCTCCGAACCATCCCAGGTCACCGGAGGAGTCTTCTGGAGTGTTCACGACGTTTCCCTGCCCTGTGCGCAATTCGACTGCCGCAGACAGGAGCGGCAGCTAAACAGCAAGAAGAACAAGGAAGACCACAAGGACTTCCAGAAGCGCCTCGCGGAGGTGCGCGGAAAGGTGCGGCAGGCGAAAGCCGAGGAAGCAGCCGCACCAAACTAGGGTCGCGAGCACCCTCGACGCCTAGGGATGGGATTCAACCCGCACGCGGAGCCGTCCGCGCGACAGGCCCTACCCGTGCCATCCAGTGAGGACCTCGCAGCGGTCCGGGCATGGCTGGCTGCGCAAAACACCGAGGCGGAAAACGTCCAGGAGCGCACAACTGACACGCCCACCTCGCGGCGCCCCCGCGTGCTGCTGGGGCTCACGGGCAGCGTCGCATCTATCAAGGCGGCGCAGCTCTGCGCCGGCCTGGCCCAGTTCGCGGAGATCCGAGTGGTAGCGACAACGTCCGCACAGCACTTCATCGCTGCAAGCGGGGACCGCCTCCCAAAGCAGTGCCTCCCGATTCTCACGGTACGTCGCACTTCCACTGGTTGCGGTGCTGAATCCCACGGGAAGTTCACGGCGCCTCCGCTGATAGGCCGCTGCGATGAGCGTTCCGCCACGGTCTGTGGCTGACGTCTGTGCGGCGCGCCCGACTCGTGGTGCAGGATGGTCACGAGTGGGCGCTGTGGCAGCGCCGCGGGGACCCGGTGCTGCACGTGGAGCTGCGCAAGTGGGCCGATGCCCTGGTCATTGCGCCGCTGTCCGCCAACACCCTCGCGAAGCTCGCCAGCGGGCTGTGCGACGACCTCCTGAGCTGCGTCGTGCGTGCGTGGGACTGGCGGCGGCCGGTGCTGGTCGCGCCGGCCATGAATACGTTGATGTGGGCGTCGCCGTGCACGGACCGCCAGTTGAGTGTGCTCCGCGGACTAGGGGCTCGCGTCGTGGAGCCCGTGACCAAGGTCCTGATGTGCGGCGACGCCGGCGCGGGCGCGATGGCCGAGCCGAGCGACGTCGTCAAGCATGCGAAGGCGTTGTTCGAGGCAGGCGTGGTGAGCGAGCAGTCTTCAGGGGTGGGCGACATGGCCGCGTTCAGCAGTGGGCAGGCGGCGTCGCGGATGGCGGCCGTCATCACGCAGGACACGCACGGCGGTGAGATGGCCATGGACAAGTGAGAGCGTGTCACGCGACGGTTGCAATGCACGTAGAAATCGTGCTGGCCTCCGCAGCCGCGACTGCATGCAAGTAAAAATGAAGCCTCAGCCAGGGGAGTGTCTCCTCCTCCGCTCGATGACGGCCCAGTACAGCGGGCCGTAGCCGGAGCTGTCCAGCAGGTCTGGGAGGTTAAAAGCCCTGAGAGGTTAGGGCTGTCTGTCAGGGTCGCGGTCCATGACCACGGTGGTTCAACCAGGAAGTTCCGCTTCCTGTGAGACCACTTCGACCTCGCCGCGCGCAGCTTCCGCCGCCGACCTGCATTCAAACACCCTGCAGTGCGCACTCCTGGCCGGGACCGTCGCGGAAACAACACAGCCGTTCGTGCTCGCCCTCGTTATCGAGGGGGACTGGGAGAGGAGGGAGGGGAGGGGCCGGGGCGGGATTGGAGTTGGTTATTCATGGCGGCGACGGTTCCTTATCCAAGTCACTACCACGCCGCTGTTGCTGCTTCGACAACGCGATGATGGTGGATGCCATGCTGTCGTGCCCGGGCGCGCCGGGCTGGACAGAGTGCGGAGGCGCATGATTTCCGGGCAGGAAGGCCAACAGCCTGCGGTGCCGCTGCACGCCCTCACCAGGGGCCTGCACCCTCCGGCCCCAGGATGGAAGCCGCGGGGAGAGCGAGCCGTCCGCGGGGGCCGAGCGCGTCGGGGCTCGTCTGACGAGGCCCGCCAGCTCAGGGGGATGTGAACAGGTTGCCGGAGACTTGTGTCCAGGTTGTTGGTCCACCGCTGTCGGCACTGCCGGTTCGACCGGGGCTGGAACGGCGTGAGCTGCGCTTCCATCTCCTGGTTGAGCACCGCCGCGATCAGCCACCAATTCTGCGGGCCGCACCTGGATGACAGACAGCAGCACGTCGTCCTCCTCCTTCGACCACGGTACGCGCCCACGCATCTCGCCGCGCCGCTCGGGTTCGTCGAGGCCCGTGCCACGCGACTTGCCCAGCGATTGCGTGCCGGAAGACGCCGGTGACCCGTTGTCCTGCGCAGTGATGCGCGGGGGCAGCACTGCGGGCGGCAGGTCGTCCGAGCGCAGGAATGCGGGCACCGGCGGCCATGGAACCGACGCTGGAAGAGGCAGCGCGGGCGGGGCGGACAGCGCCAGGCCGGGGTAGGCCGCAGGATGAGAGCGTCACGGGGGGCTGCCCCCCGTGCAGCAGCGACGGGTGGACGACCTGGCTGGCTTGCAGGGGGAGCGTCGCGGCCCCGAAGCTCGCCGGTGGCGCTGCGAGGCCAAGAAGCGCGCTCGAGAGCTCACCGGGGGCCGTGAGCGCCGTGAGCCTGGGGAGGACCTGCGCCGGCGCCGCTGGCGCCGTGGCCGCCGCGGATGCCGTGGGGTCCTGCGGCAGCATGCGCGAGAGCGCGGAGAGGTGCGCCGTCGGCATGTATGACAGGAGCTGCGAGGGAAGGTTGGCGATCGTGCGCAGGATCCCGGCCGGCAGCGCCATCGTCTCATGCACCGGGCCCAGCACCGCGGCCATTATCGGGCGGCTGATGATCTCCCGCAGCACCTCCAGATCGTCGTGGGAGGGCACCGGAGGGGGCTGCGCCGCGGAGGGCTGGGGCACGCCCACCGCGCCCGGGCCCATCGGCAAGGAGCCAGAACCCTCCCTTGACCGCAGGGAAGAAGCGTTCGGTGCAGGGGTCAACGTCGGCGCCTGGGGCGACGGGCGAGTTCGGCGCGTTGCTGTCTCCGGTGCTGACGCCGGGGTCGGTCGGCACGCAGTCCTCGCGACGCTGCTTGCGCTGGGCCTCGGGCGCCTTGCCCGCGGAGACTTGCCCTTCTGAGTCGCCCGGGGCGGCGTGTGATACTGCAGGGGCGGCGCATCCTGCGCTGGAGCCGAAAATACGGGCCGAGCCGTCGCGGGGGGACGGATGTGCATCCCCCAAGGCGATCACTGTGGGTAGGACCCGCCCCGTGACCCTGGCTCAGCTTGCCTTCACACGGATCATCCGCTGTGGATGCAGGAGCTGTCCCGCGGATGGCCGCGTCCAGCTGCTCGAGGGCCGAGGGCACCGTTGATGTCGTGACGTGCGCAGCTCTTGCAGTGTGGGCGTCAGGCGCTGGCGCCCGTGAGCCACTGAGCAGCGCGACAAGCTGCGCGATTTCCGAGTCGCTGGAATGCTGGGGCAGCCGCGAGACGACAGAGGGAGTTTTGCGAGCGCATGACATCAGAATTTGCGCATTTTTTCACTAGGCCGAGGCGGGGGGCATGGACGCTGTAGACCACCAGGACCTGGCCGAAAGCATGAACACATGCACTTTCGCCGGCGTAGGTACGCCGCGCGCGGCCGAGCGCGTGCCGTAGGCGCTGCACGTGCCGCTTCGACTGTGGGCCTGGGAGGTGCCCGCAGAGGATGACTTGAGTCGCGGACCCGGACTCGACGTGAGCCACGGGAGCGAGGAGATGTCGGGCACCGCGCGGGGGCTCGCCGCCACTTGCAGATCCGCGGACTCCCGCGGCCGACGCGACCTCTGTGGCGCTCGCGAGCGCGCCGGGCTGCGTTGGGGAGTTGCATTCCGCGCGGCGTAGCGCCAGGCGGCGTGGTCGAGGTGCGGGAGGTGACGTTTTCGTCCGCGATGCCGTGTCACTGGGTCGGTCCGCACTTGCGCATCTTGATGTTCGCGAATGCCCTCGCCTCGGCGTCCGCCCCTGCATCGTCATCGTCGAATCCCCCTGACTCTTGTGCACCTGCGCCCGGGCCGCGTTCTGGCGCGCCTGCCGAAGGACCCAGACTGGGCGCTGCCTCGAACGAGCCACACGCCTCCGCGTACTCCTCGGCGCCCCCGAGAGATGCCCCTTGAGATGCCGACACTGCGCGATCCAGAGCGCCAAGTGCCTACGCAGCCTGCACAGGCCCTGGGCCCGTGTCGCCCCCACGTGCAGCACCGACCGCGGGCAGAAAGCCCGGCGAGCACACCGCCGTGCGTCGGGAACGAGAGAGGCAGAGCAGCGCCCGCGGCACATGCGGCGTTGCCCTTGGGACTGTCAGTCTGACACGCCAATGGCGTCTAGCCTAGACGCCACTGCTGAGCAGTGCAAAGTCTCATCGCGCAGACAATGGTCGGTGGCCAGGCCCGCCACGCGTCGCCACTCCCCTCTGCTCCTTGAGCCTCTCGAGCGCGCTCTTCGGCCGTCCGCGGTCCGCCGACCCATCCCCGCTGCCCCGCCGCTCCCGCTGCCGCTGCAGCTGCTGAACTCGCGTCAGAACCGACGCGTCGAACGGGACGCTCCGCGCTGACTTCACCGGCGACGGTGATCCACGTGCCTGCCCGAGGCCGTGACCCGACACCCCCAATGACGACCTCAGGTCGCCGGACTCGTCGTCGCGCGGGCCCCCGGGAGCCCGCAGTGGCGAAGCACTGCCAGGTGCAGGACGCGGCACGTGCGTCGCACTGATTGGCCGCATCCGCGAGGCCTTGCTCCCGCCGGTGCTCGGGGTCGCTTTCGCCGCGACGTGCGCCCTGACATCAGGATGCCGGAAGGAGATCGATCGCCGCAGAGCCCGAGCCTTCGCTCGGATCGCCGCGGCCTTGGACTGGGCGGCCTCGTGCTGAAAGCTTCCCGAGCCGTTCAACGAGGTCCGGAGCACATCGGCTGCCGGCGACGCACTTGTGCCCGCAGGCCGCGTGGTGGAAAGGCGGGGCGTGTCGAACCCCCCCGAGGGCGTCGCCGCATGCGCCAGGCCCGGCGACGAACTGCCGACGTCCCCGCCAGTGCCGGATTTACCGACCGGCGACCCCATGAGCACCGAATTACCGACCGCAGACAAGTACGAGTCTCCCGTGTTCGAGCCGGGTGGTTCTAGTGCTGGCGCTGGCGGTGCGAACGCGAACCCGCTGCTGGCTGCGCCCGTCGAGCGCGGCGTCCCGGACGCCGAGCGCGCTGCAGACGCCCCGCTGCCGCTCGCGCCGCCAGGACCCGGCGTGCCGCTGCCCGACCGTTCGCGCCCCAACGTGATGCTGGTCTCCACCGCCCGCGCAGCCGTCGCGTCCACGGCGCGCCGCGAGCTCCGCCGCAGGGCCTGCAGCTGCTCTTCCGCCTGACTGTACATCGCCTCGAGTTTCCGTCCCACGGAGTCGGCACCCGAGCTCGGCATTGCAGCGGCGTCGCGCCCCCCGCGCAGCCCTGCCGACGCCGCGTCCGACCCGGACCGCGCTCGCGCGCCCGAGCTGCCGTGGCCGGCCACGAACGACCGCGACGCCGCCGCCGAGCTGTCGATCGAATCCTGGAAGGCGGCAGGGTCGTATGCAGCATTCGGTGCGCCGTGCGCTGACTCGAGCGCCGCTGCGATAGGATGCGGGCGACTGGGCGACGCCGGCGCGGGTTGCTTAGCGGACGCGGTCGACGCCCGCATTGCCGCGCGCACGCTCGCCAGGCGCTCTGCCACGACCTGCTGCGACTGCCGCATGTCGTCCAGCTCCTTCTGCTGCGTCTCGCGCGCGGCCGCGGACGCCGCCGCGTCCGCGGCCTCCTGCCGCAGCCGGCGCTTCAGCTCCCGCGTCGTCGTCTTGTAGAACTGCACCTCCTTCGCCAGGGTCTCGGCCTGGTCCTTGTACAATTGCAGCAGCTTACGATCCCGCTCTGCCTCGTGCCCGGCCTCCGAAGCGCGCCGATCTGCGCTGTGCGCGATGTGTGAAGGACCCGGGCTCCACCCAGGACCGATTGCGTCCATCTGCCGCGTCAGCACCTGCACCTGCTGCGCGTGCGCGCGCTTCTGTGCAGTGAGCCGCCGGTCGTGCTCGATCTCGAGCTTCCGCACCGCCGCGCGCAGCTCCGCCGCCTCGTCGCGTAGCTCCGCCGCGCGCAGCTCCACCTCGGCCACCGCGCGCTCCCCGGCCACCTCGACGCGCCGCGCCTCGGCCGCAGCCGCCACCAGCCGCGCTAGAAGCGCCCGCGCCGCGCCCGCGCCGCCGAGCCGCTTCACCGCCGCCGACGCCTCCTCCTCCAGCCCCTGCACCGCGTCGTCCGCGCCCACCACGCCGCCCATCTGGGCGACGATGTCCGCGTCTTCGGCCGCCAAGTAATCCAGCTCCGCACGCAGCACGTCGCACCGGTCCTCCGCCTGCGCCAGCGCGGCCGCGTCGTCCGCGTCCAGGGCGCTCCCGCCGGCCTCCAGCCGCGCCTGCAGCTCCGTCCGGCGGCGCTCCACCGCCCGCGCCTGGCTGCGCAGTGCATGCGCCTCCTCCTCCGCCACTGCCACGTCTTCCGCCGAACCGCCCCCCGCCTCCGCCGCCTCCGCCATCTCCCGTGCGTCCGCAAGCAGCTCGGCCGCGACGCCCTCGAGGTCCGCGACCTGCCGCCGCAGCGACTCCTCCGCCCGCATTGCGCGCAGCTGCAGCTCCGACCGCGCCGTGCTCTGCGCCTCCAGCTCGGCCCTCGCCTCGTCGGCCCGCTCCCGCACGCGCGCAAGCTGCGCCGCCAGGTCCCCACGGGTCGCCGCAGCCGTCGCCCGCGACGCGAGCCACGACTCGAGCTCCCCCCCAAGGCTGGCGCATGCGGGCACCCACCCCGCCGACGCCCGCACGCTCCCCTCCGCGCTCGCCGCCAGGTCCGGGCGCTGCTCCGCCGCGGCACGCGCCCACGGCGAGTGCGCCTGCAGCCCGCGCAGCTGCTTGTCCTTCCGCGCCAGGCGCTGGCGCAGGTGCTCATGCTGTGTACGCAGGGCGCTCATCTCCTCCTCTAGCAGCCGCACGCGCCTGTCGCCGCGCTCGCGCTCCTTCCCGACCTCCGCGTCCCGCTGCTCCCGCAGCCGCTCCTTCAACGCGCGGATCGCGCCCTCGGCTTTCGCCAGCCGCGCCTGCTGCTCGTCGCGCGCTGCCACTGCATCCGCCGGCTCCGACCGAAGCCGCTCCGCCTCGCGCCGCGCCAGCTCCAGCTCGGCTTCGCGCGCCGCGACCTCGGACTCCATGTCGCGCAGCCGCGCCTCGAAGCGCTCGTTCAGCGCGCGCGCCGCCGCCTCGCTCTCGCGCAGGTCGGTGATGAGGGCCTCCTTCTCCGCGATGTTGCTCTCCAGCGCGCGCAGCTGCCGCAGGGCCGCCGCATCGGCGCGTTCCTCCTCGGACAGTCCCGCCGCGCTGCCGTCGCCGCCGCCCGCGATCACCTCCGCGTCGTCGTCCACCGAGCGAGACACCCCCGGGGCCTCCCGCCGCGCCTGCGCTAGCGCGTCCTGCAGCTCCGCCATCTCTCGCATCTTCTCCGCGAAGATCACCTCGTCGCGCTGCAGGTCTGCGGTAATCTCAGCAATCTTTTCCTCCGCCTCGCGCAGCCTGTCGTCCTTCTCCGCGACCAGCGTCTCCAGGTCGCGCACGCGCTGCGCCGCGTCGCTGTCCGCGCGACCAGCCGCCGCCAGCTGGTGCGCGCGCGCCGCACTCCGACTCCATCGCAACGTCTGCATCGCGCGCGCCGCCCGTGAGCCCCCGCGATCCGTTATCGCGCCCCGGGGAGGCTCCTCCCCCGCAACTGCCCCCTGCGGCGCCGCGGCGGTCTGTGGCCGCCCCCGCCCGCCGCGCTGGAGGGCTCCTAGGACCCCCTCCGCCTCGGCGAGCTCCCGCACCTGTTCGTCAGTCACGAGGCCCCGCCCGGCCAGCGCACGCAGCACGCCTGCCAAGCCCTCCACTGCGCGCTCTTCGCGCCCTAGACGCAGCCGGTACAGGTCGACGTCCGCCCGCAGCCGCGTGACGTCGCGTGCGAGCATCGCCGACTCCTCCCGCGCCGCCTGCAGCTCCGCGCCCTGTGCGTCGCGGCTGGTCCGAAGCCCCTGCTCGGCCTCCGGGCCCGACTCGCGCACTTCCACGGCGCTGCCGCCCGCGAGACGCTCACGCAGCATGCCGACCATGTCGTCGCCGAGCGCCGCGACCAGCGCGTCCGGGGGGGGGGACTCGAGCGGCCGTTCCAGGAATTGTACCATCACGTCGGACTGGAGGCGCAGGACGCGGTCCTGGATCCGCGCAGCCTCCTGCGCGCGCGTCTCGTGGTTGTGCGCCAGCCGGTTGGTAATGTTCCGGGCGCGCGCGGCGTACTTGAGCGTGTTGAGGGTCTCGTCTAGGGAGGAGTCCGCCACCGACACACACGCCACCATGCACGTGCGCGCGTTGCCCCCAAGGGAGTCCTGCAGCATGCGCGTGAGCTTGCTCTGGCGGTATGGCACGTGTCCCGCGCGCCGCCCGCGCTCTCCGCCAAGCGCCTGGATCACGTTGCCCAGCGCCAGCAAGCCCTGGTTGATGTTGACCGACTCCTTCAGCCGCGACCCCAGGGCGCCGGTCTTCTTCTGGCGCTCGCTCCCGGCGAGATCCACGAGGTGAAACTTGCTCACGACCACCGGCACAGAAACGTCCCCGCCCGAGGGACGCGACCCCTGCGCTGCACACACACACATACACAACCGCCGCCCGCCGTGAGCATCAAGCGCGCGGTGGCGGGCTAGAGCCCGACTAGCGCGAGATGCGTGCACGGAGCCTCCCTCTCAGGCTCAGGGGCGGGCAGAAGGTCATGACTGAGAGCTACGACACGGAGCACCGCATTGTGTTGCCTCGGGTGCGCACGGGTCCACGCAGCCCTCCGCGGCACGCACCTGATGCTTTCCGCGCGGGCCGGGCGGCTTCCGTGGCGGCCGGTGCGCACGCCGACGCCGGCTGCTCCATGATGATGGTGAAGATGGCGTGTGACCGGCTCGAGTGCAGGTTCATCTGCGTGGCGCCCGTCGTGCGCGCCATGCATCCCTCCTCGAGCAGCGCCATCATCACGTCGTACGACAGCGCCTCCCGCTCCTCCGCCCCCGCCACCGCGATTTTGCCGTCCGCGCGCTCCCGGATGGAGATCTCCCGCGCTGCCGTGGTCGGGCTGAGCAGGTCGCGGACCTCCTCGTTGTGGATCTCGAGGAACTGGCAGCGCAGCGACAGCGGGCGGCCCGCGGAGCCCGCGGCCTCGCGCGCCTCCAGTTCCGAGAAGAGGGCGCTGATCACGCGCGGGACCACGCCGAGGTCGCCGGAGAGCGCCGCGCCCATGCCCATCGTGAACGTCTTGCCGGAGCCCGTCTGGCCGTACGCGAACACCGTCGCTGCAGGAAGGCGCGCCCGCGGCGCTGATGTCTCGAAAGGGAGCCATCGCCAAACAGAGAGACATCGAAATCAGCCTGGGCATCGTTCAATGCTCCCGGCGGCGAGGCAGCGCGCGCGGTTCCGTCGCCGACGCGCGCGGGAGGGAAGGGGGCGGATAGCGGGGTCCTCACCGTTGAACCCGGCGAGGAAGGAGTTGACCTGCGTCGCGACACAGGAGTCGTACACCTCCTGTTGGGTGCTCTGAGGCCCCAGCACATGGTCGAAGCGGAAGCGCCGGTCGCGTCCCACGATGATCGTATGCTGCAGATCGATGGGCGCGTTGTGAGTCGTCGGGTCTCGTGCGACGACCATGGGAAAAGAGTTGTGTGCTGTGAGCCTGCAGCGGGGCACATCCCGCGGGTGGTTCGCGAGCGCGGCCATCGACGAGGCCGGGCTGGAACACGCGCAGACATGCAACCGAAGACCGAAAAGATCGCTTTGGCGGCGCCAGGGTGCCGAGTGCACAGCATAGCAGGGCAAGCGCACGACCAAACGGCCGCAGCTAAGCACGTGACTGCCTCGTTTTTAGCTGGCTGGCATAGATGTCGACTCTCGGGGGCCCGACACACGCTCCGGCGACGCGGAAAGCCGTGCGACGGGCGCTGTCTGTCTATTTCGGCGCACCTCTTCCTTATCCGCAGTGACGCACGGCTTCGACCCCTCGACGCGCTCCCGTGGCAGCAGCGGCCTGGTACGAACGGCAACTTTGACGGCAACCTCAGCATCGGTGTCACTCTCCGTTGCAGCTTGCGCGAGCGGCGTCGCTTCAGCATGCTTGTGGTGCGGCCGCGGCGCTGGTGGAGGCGTGAAACCCGGCGTATGGCCCGACGCCTCGGCTACTGGACTCAGCATCGTCACCGCACCCACCGGCCTGCGGGGCGCGGCCGCTCAGGCCCTTCCCCCGAGGCTTCAACCAGTGCCGGGGTTCAATCGCGACCGCATACGTGGCGCTCCGCTCCGCTCACGTCCCGCGGGCACCTTCGAGCGCAAAGTGCCGAGTCGCTGTCACGGGTGGCGCATATGGCCGCGCGTGCGGGCCTCGACAGGCCGCGGGGGGAGTCTGCCCGCCAAGCGTGGCTTTGAATCGCAACTGATGCTTGGTCCGCCCGATTGCCTGACGCCTGCTGCGCTGCGCATTCGGTGCGCCTTCGTGGTCGGCTGCCGCCCCGTGGACGTATTGCTTGTCCTTCATCCAGCGTCCAAAACGGCCAAAACTCACCGGAAGTGCGTGAACGCGCGGCCACGCATCTGCGGAGCATTGAGAGCTCGGGGGGCACCGGAGGGAGCGTTGCGGGCATGTCTACGGGCAACCTGGCGGGAAATCTCGACAGGCTCGAGCGAGCTCTGCGTCGGATGGGCTACACCCGCGACCTGGATCGCGTCGGGTGCGCTTTTGCCGTCCCCCTGCCTGTTGTGGGTGCACGCAGCCCTCCGTCGCTCGCGCGTGTCATTCAGCACGCATGAATCTCTTCAAACCCTCTGATCAGTCCTGTGTCTCGCTCGCCGGCGCTTGCTTCGCGCGACATCGCGCCCGCCCGTTCGTTTTGATCCGGTGCAGGGCGGAGGAAGGCGACCCCGTCGCGCTGTTGCCGCCGCTGCATTTCATATTTCTGGGCTACTCGAAGCTCTTTGCCGCGAAAATCGCGGAACGGGGGTTCGAACTGATGGGTAAGACCGACGTGCGGTTCGTGGAGGGCCTATGGAAGGTGATGCGCGATGTGTTTCGGTACCGCCCGAGCATCACAGCCTCGCAGGTAGGGCGGCCCAACGCAACGTAGACAGCGTGGGAACGCGGTGTGCAGTTTGCGCGGTGCTCATGCGCGGGCAAGTTTGCACCCATGGTTGGCGAGCCCCCGCTCTCATACGCAGTTCCTCCTGAAAGGGTACGCGGAGCGCAAGGCCATCCTGGTGTACGACCTCGCGGAGCTTTGCCGGAAGTGGCACGAGCGCCTCGCCAGGTAAACAAAACGACTGCAATCGACCACACTTGCATCTCCCATTCCTGGCAAGCCTTCCAACCACCAACGCGCCATGAAATCGCCAACGTGTCCCCCTTCCGTAGGGACGCCCGGCTCGAGGGTCTCCGCACTACACCAGGAGCGCCAGTGCTGTTCGAGCGCGAGCGGGCGAAGCAGCAACGACAACAACAGCAGGCTCAGCAGATGCAATCGCGCCCTGCGTCGGCGCGCGCGGAGAGCCGCAAGACGCCCGCGAAGGCGCCGGCAAAGTGCAGCCGTACGGCGACTCCCGATCGGTCCACTGCCGCCGCTGCCGCTGAGGCGGGCGTGCGCCAGTCGCCCGAGATGCATGTCGAGGCCCAGCCGCCCCGCGTGAAGCACATCGAGGAGATTCGCGGCGACGACCTCGCGGAGACCGGGCGCGTGGTGGTCCAACGGCACCACATGCCCTCTGCGGCGCCCGGCCGCACTGTCAGGCACGTGCACCTCGCTCAACCCTCCTCACTGCCACTCCCAGCACCGCCGATGCGCTCGCGTCGCGGGGCCGCAGCACATCCCGCCTCGCGCCTGACCGAACTCGCAGGGACGACGGCGAGCGCGAGCGCGAAGCCGCCCCGGCGCCGCCGCAAGGACTGGCATCCGCACCCGCATGCGACCCTGGCACCACCCCCAGGGCCGAGCGGCTGTTCGAGATGCCTGAGACAGCCCCGTACACGATCGGTGTGCGGAGACAGGCGCCACGCCGCGGCCCACGTGGCGCGGAGGACAGGATGGACCCCGCCGCCGATGACGACAGTTGCGACGGTAGCGAGGGCAGCGAGGGGCTGCGCGAGCACGTGGCGATGCTGACTCAGCGGCTGAGTGCCGTGGAAACAGTTTACTCGCGGGCTCTGCAAGCTGCAATGGCGCGAATCGCGGTCTTGGAGGGCCGCGTGCGTTTTCTGGAGGCTGGTTGTGCACATGACAGCCCAGGGGGTGTCGACGCGGCAGCGGAGGCGCCGACGCCCGTGATGCGTGCGGTGGAAGAGCGGAAAGGAGGGGAGCGGGACGGCATCGGGCGACTGCGGGCGGACCAGCCCGTGCTGCAGGATGTTGCCGACAGGAACGCCCTGACCGCAGCGGGGCGTGCTGACGTGGCGGACGCAATGCCGCCGCTGCCGCCCGGCGCATCCGACTTCGAGGTGGCTGTGCACAAGCGATGGACGGAGGTCGCACGGGTGCTGCAATCGACAGCGTGACGCGGTGCAACCTGCAGGAAGCTGGACCACTAGAAAGGAGACGCACCTCACCTCGGGCCGAGGTTGCCGCTGCTGTGACTGCCGCGTAAGGGCAGTGAAGGACACGAGTGGTGGGTCTGGGACCAAAGGAAAGGCACATCCTGGTTTGGCCCGACAACTGTCGCAGCTCACCACTTATTTCCTTGGTTCATGTTGCCCTCGGTAGACGTGTATGTGACGGACAATCAGCCTAACAAATGTGTCACGCCGGAGGTCACATTGACCAAGGAAAGGGGTGGCCGAGAGCAACGATGCGGTGGAGTACCCGCACGCAGGATCAGCAAGCTGCAGCAACAGATGTCGGGGTCCCAGCACCTGCGCACGCAGCTAGAATGAAGGCTTCGCTCAGTGACGACCCCCGCGGGCGTGCAGGTACTCGTCGGCAAGCCCCACCGCGCGTCCCGATGTCGTCGGCCGGCGACCCTGCCCGGTGAGACATGCGCAAGACACCACGCATGTCAGGTGAGGCGGTGACAGCCCCTCACGTCACCCGCTATTCGGGCCGCTCCTGGAAGCACACGTTGAGCAGCGGGTCCGCGTGGTGGTTGTCAGGAAACGGATGAGGTTGCACGCTGGACGCTCTATGGTGATGTTCACGAGAGATGGTAGCCCCTCGCGAGAAACAAAGCGTTGTCCGAGCTCTTGCGGGGCGTTCGTCTCCTTTACTGGGATGCGACCAGCTGCGCGCCCCCACGTGGTGCGTGAGGGCGCCACATTGCGTGCAGGGCGACGACATTCTTGCAACTGAGCTGTCACATCGCAGCCTGTTCGCAGTCAGGCTTGCACGGGCACCTCGCGCAAGATCCCGGCGTATATCCTCCCGCTGACAGCAAGGTTGACAGAAATCAGCCGCGTCAACACCGACGCCATCTCCTCGACCTCGGGCGCCAGCATCGCCGCCCCCGCTGCCCGCAGGGGGGCCATCCACGTCGCAGCGCTCTGCGGCTGCCCGCCCGAATTCACTGACAGCGCAGTGACTGACCCAGGTGCTGTCAGCACCCCCAGCACCCTCCGCTCCAGCGCCATCGCCACCGCCCCTTGCACTCTCCGGAACACCGACGAGGACGTGTCGAACAGGTTGCGCACCATGTTGCGCACAATCGCCTCGTCTGGCATCGACGATGCGCCAGGGGACGTCGGCGACGTCGGGCCGGGCGACGCCCGCTCCGGCGTGCGGCCCGTCGAGGCGCGCCACTCGACGCCCGCCGCGCTGCAGTGCGCCTCGAGCCGCGAGGATATCTCCAGCACCAGGGACTCGAGGTCCGTGGGGGCCTTGAGCAGCACCCCGAGGCGGTCCACGAGGCCCTGCATCAGGGCTTGCGTCGGGGCTACCTGCTTGCGCTTGAGCATCTGGTTCGCGATCTGCACGGCCAGCGCGAGCAGCGACGCGCGCTGCAGCCCGTTCTGCAACATGATGATGTGCGCCTCGTCGAGGAACAGCGTCTCCGGCGCCGCGACCCACGCCACCGCTCGGTCGGTCTTGAGCAACCTGATGTAGCCCGCGACTACCGCGCGCTGCACCGCCTCGTCCTCGCTCGGAGCAACGCCGCCATCGGCCTGTGCCGCGCTCGCCAGCTGTGCCTTCGAGGCCGCGAGCCAGGCCGCCGTCCGCGGGAACGCCTCCGCGGGCGCGCGCTTGCCGAGGATGGACCCGATCAGGGCGCGCTCGTGGTCGACCCCGGAGTCCGTCCCCGCGAGCAGGCCGCGCAGGATGCCCACGCGCGCACGCGCTATGTCCCTGTGGAGCTCCGCCATCTTCTCGCGAATGAACTTGCACGCGGCCACGACGTGGTCGGCCAGGGCGCGCCTCCGGGCGTCGCCGTCCGCCGGCGCGGCGGCCTCGCGGATGCTCGCGACGAGGGCGGAGAAGCGCGTGCGCGTTGCCGCGTTCCGCGCGGGCGCCTCGACGCTCATGATGGTTTCCACCAGGAAGCCGAGCACCTTGGTGAGGTACTCCACGTCCGGCGGGTGGAACGACAGCCGCTCGGAGAGGTACGCCTCCTCGAGTTTCTCCTGCAGCTGCGCGCGGATCTGCGCCCCCTCGCCCTGCGGCGGCGTCACCTCCAGCAGCTGCCCCTTGACATCCAGGATGAGGGCCACGAGGCGCGCCAGCTGCGGGGGGTCGCACGACATGCCCTCGTGCAGGACGTCGAAGAATGCGCGGTCTGCAGCCTGGCGGACCTGCTGGGCCAAACGCGCCAGGGGCGACTGCATCGCAGGAGATGCGGAAGCCGTGGCGGTGAGCAGCGTGTAAGCGAGGCGGTCGCGGCGGCCGCTTGACGGCGCAGCGCCGCACTCAGCGACGGCCCTCACTGTCGTGACACCCCCCCCCTCGTCCATGCAAGCGCGGGGGACGGCTCGCGTGCCGGCCGGGCAGCTGCATGGGCTGTGCCGCTGCTGTGGGCGGCGTCGCGGGGTTCGGCAGGGGCAACCGGCGCACCGCGGCCTCTGTGTTGGGGGGGCCGTCCATCGGCGCGAGCCCGGAGTCTTCCAGGAACTGGTCGCCAGAAACGAGGAGCTCGTGAAGGAGCCGGTGCTTGTTGTCGCACGCGAGGATCGCCCTGTCCGTCTCGGAGAGCTGGCGGGCCTCGGAGGGCGCGGGCACCGGCGAAGCAATGCGGGGAGCCGCCTGGGCACCTGCGGGCAACGGGCCGCGAAAGCCGCGTGTGTGGCACAGCGTCAGCTCCATGCGCGTGTCCGCCCGCGTGGGGCCGCAAGAGACGGGGCGCTGCGCGACAGGGGCGCAAGACAAGTGCCCATTTGTAACGGCCGCGAGCGAATGAGAGGCCGCACAGGCCAGGGCGCGGCGCACAGGAGCCCTGTCTGATGAATGCTGATGCGGCCGTGCCCACCCTGCCCCGGGGGGGGCGGCAACGCGCCTCACAGAGGAGGCAGCGCGATGGAGTGGGCGGGGAGGTCATGCGAGGAGCACGCGGACGGGCTCAGCTTCGTTTCGTCGCTAGGCGGACCCGCGAGCCCGGGAGATCAGGGTGCAGGGACATCTCGTTGCGGCGCCGAGGGATCGTGGTCGGAGGTGCACAAGGCTGAGAGCGCGGACAGCGTTCCTTGGCTGCCCGCCAGGCGATGCAGCCAAGCATAGGGCGAAGCACGCGGCTCACTTCGTTTCGGAGGCGTCGACGGCTGTGCGACGTCCGTTTTGGGCGCCGGTGCGTCGGAACCTGGTTTCGGTTTGCGATCGCTGCGTCCTGCGCTGACGAAAAAGTACACGCCAAAGGCCAACGCGGCCGCAGCCGCGCCAGCCAGACCCACTTTCATCTTCAGCGACAACTTCATCCCATTTCCGCGCGCTGGAATGCGCGGGCGAGCGACTAGGACTCGCGAACTTCGCTCAAGCTCCTGTCCGGGCCTTACAGACTCTCAGCAGCTGATGCGCGGCACTGGTACGTCCTAGCGCCGGCCTCCCAGGAGGGCTGCTGCAGAAGTTGCGAGCCCCGAGTCCAGAGCCACCCACAACACGCGCCCTCGCCGCGGACTTGCCGAGTCTCGGTGCCACCGTGGCACCGTGTCTCACCAGGGCCATCGACTCCTACCTGGTAGTACCAGGTGGCACCTGCGGGTCTACATGTGGCTCCGCAGCGTGCGCGCGTCGCACCACCGAGCATGCCAGTACCGCGAAACAGCTGGGATCAGCTCGGCGCCCCGGGTGATGACGCACCAGTCGTGGGGACGCACCAGTCACATAGCGGTGCGGCCGAGCGCTCCGCGGGCCCTCGCATCTCAAATGGCGCGCAACGGCACGCTGTCACGTGTGGCATAAGGTAGAGGGCGCCGCTTGACGTGCGTGCGGGACAGCATGGTGCGGGAGCACTTGGAGGTGGACAGTGCACCTCGTCTGTCCGGCCACGCCTCCTTGCTGGCCCCTGGTGCTACGTCCCGGAGCCCCAGCCCCGAAAGACCTCCTTCCGCGAGTCCGGCACAGCCGCCGGTGAGATGGCTCGTCGTGGTCGTCGCTACGCAGGCGTGGTGGGGCATGCAGCCCGTCATGAGCCGTTGGCTGCAAACGTGCACGCACCCGCCGGTGCCCACGTTGACGCTGATGGCGTGCGCCAACGCAATTTCGCTGCTGGCGCTGTTCGCGATCGACCTTGGCCGGCTCGCTTACGCGTGGTACCAGTACGAGACGGCCGTCCTCCTCGCCCTTCCAGTCAGCGAGCCAGGCTGGCGGCTCCCTGGCCTCAACGACCTGCTGCCGCGCCTGCGCACCGATGTGCTGCGCCCCGCCGCGTGGCTGGCAAGCGCCGTGCTGTGCCGCGCTCTCACGGTGATGTTCGCCACGGCATTCACGCGCGCGGGATGGGTCATGCTGACCGGGATGGCGGCGCCCATCTTTACGGCGCTCGCGTCGAGGATGCTGTACGAGCAAGCGCTGCCTCATGGATTCGTGCCGACGGTCGCGGCCTTGACCTTCGGAGGGACGCTGGCCATCGTGGGTGAGGGGGAGCAGGCAGTGGCGGGGCCGGGAGCGGGACTGACGGTGGCCGACGGCACCGGGATCATCTTGGGCCTGACGTCAGCCTGCTGCCTGACGCTGTACTTCTTCTGCATCCAGGGCACCAAAGGCGTGCTGTCAGGTTCGCCCATGCCCCAGCCGTGTTGCTGGACGACGAACGAGGAAAGCTGTGCCGCCTGCGGGCGCTGCGATGACACAGCTTCCTGCCGCCGCACCGCTGCAGGGACGCAGATTCTGTACCTCACGTTCAGCACCCTGTTGTTGGTCACCGCGCCGCTGTCGCTCTTGATCGACGGCGTGCGGACGTGGCGGAGCTTCGCGACGTGGACGGCGATGGACGTCTCCGTCCTCCTCGCGTTCTCCATCGCGCAGGTCCGCACCGTGAACTGCATGCCATGATATTCATCGATCTTTGGAGCTCGGCCACGATTGCGTGCTGAGCTGCCGACCACCCTGTCGCCCCGCAGTACATTGTCGGAAACTGGCTCCAGCAGGTGGTCATCCGTCGCGTCGGCGCCCCGCTCACGTCGGCGTTCCTTGCCGTGCGGCTTGCGTCTGCCACCGCAGCGGCATGGCCCGTGCTCGGGGAGCCCGTCCGCGGCGTGCTGAGCTGGCTGGGCCTGGGAATCGTCATCGGCGGCACAAGCACGTACCTGGCCGCGCAGGCGCGCAGGCAGTGAAACATGCACACACCGGCGGACGTTTTTATTGCCCTCCACGCTCTTCTTCTTCTTCTTCTTCTTCTTCTTCTTCTTCTTCTTCTTCTTCTTCTTCTTCTTCTTCTTCTTCTTCTTCTTCTTCTTCTTCTTCTTCTTTTTCGGCAGGCTCGCATCCCAGAGCGGCTGTTCCCCGCATGCTGAATCCAGCGGTTAGAAACAAATCCCACCGGCTCTAACATCAAAAGCCGTGTCGATCCTCATCATGTGTGAATCTCCCTCTCACTGCGGGCCCTCACCCACGGCGGCATGCTGCGAATCCACCACGCCACGTCCACGCGCGCGCTCGCTGTCGCCAGCGAGCTGCCGCCAGCATGTCGAGGCGGGAGCCCTCACATCGCAGCAACCGGCGACGACCGCGCCGCGTCGAACCGACATGTGCGGAAGCAGATACTGCCACGAGTTCAAAGCTGCGCTTCTGGAGGGCGTCGACACTGTCGGACAGCGACGTAACAGGAGGGTATAAAGTGTGGAGGGGGAGCGAACGATGGTGCGCGACATAGCGGTCGTGGCGGGCCTCGATGCCGCGACCGGCGCCACACGGCTGCACCCTGCGGTTTTTCTCATCGCCTCTTTCCTGGAACGTTGCATCGACGCGCGGAATCCAGCATGCAGGGCCTCGTACAGCAGACGGCCGCTCGGCCCGTGGCTCGCGGCGCCCTGGGGAGCCGGCGTGCCAGCGCGCGCGTCGCGCGAAGGGCCACCAGGGTACAGGCGCAGAAGCTGATGTGGGAGGCCTTGCGCGAGGCCATTGATGAGGAGATGGAGGCGGACCCGAACGTCTGTGTGATGGGCGAGGACGTGGGACACTACGGAGGCTCGTACAAGGTGCGCGTCGCCCTCGCGACACCGTGCGATGTGCGCAGGCGCGCTTCCGTCTCGCGAGCATCCTTTGCGCCGGTTGGTTTGGCGCGGGATCTCGGAACGGGTGCAGCGCCGGGGTGCGCACGTCTGCTGATTGCGCTGGGCTGTGCGGGCCGTCTAGTGCTGCCTGTCCACACGATGGCTGCTTCGTCTACTCCCTCGCATTGATTGTTCGTCCATGGCCGACAAGAGCTGACGAAGCCGCCATAGGCGCCACATGTGCGCTGACGCGGGCGCGAAATCCCCTCCTTGGTCGCCGGGAAGCCTTTTCCAGTCCATCCGTGCTTTCCATCGCAAGTACGGGATCGTATTTGACCGATAGAGTGATCCCTGGGCCTCGCTTTGTGCGAAATCCTGGTGGGAGGGACCCTGGCAGCGAAATTTCCTGCCTCTCTTCCCAGGGCCATCCTCGTGGACCGCCGCACGCCGGCGCGTACCAAAGCGAGCTCGTGCGCCATTGGAAAGTCAGCATCATGACAACGCCACAGCGGCCACATCGCTGGCCAGGGGGCTCGGAGGGCGGCCCTCAACGCGTCGCACTCGTCCTGCCCGTGCCGCAGGTCACGTACGACTTGTACAAGAAGTACGGCGACATGCGCGTCCTGGACACGCCCATCTGCGAGAACGCCTTCACGGGCATGGGCATCGGCGCCGCCATGACCGGGATCCGCCCCATCGTGGAGGGGATGAACATGTCCTTCATGCTCATGGCCTTCAACCAGATCTCGAACAACTGCGGGATGCTGCACTACACCTCCGGCGGGCAGTTCAAGGTGCCCATGGTCGTCCGGGGGCCCGGCGGCGTCGGCCGGCAGCTCGGCGCCGAGCACTCGCAGCGTCTCGAGTCGTACTTCCAGGCCATCCCTGGCGTGCAGATCGTGGCGTGCTCGACCGTGGCCAACGCCAAGGCGCTCCTCAAGAGCGCGATCCGCTCGGACAACCCCGTGATCTTCTTCGAGCACGTCCTGCTGTACAACATCAAGGGCGAAACCCAGGCACGCGCCCTCCACGCCGCCCACCAGCACGCTCGCCGAGCTCCGCGTGGGACGCCCCCTGATGTCGAGCCCGTTCGCGGGCGCGACCATGGCAACGCCCAGGTCGCGGCGAGGTCGCAGCGCCAGACGGGCCCAACCCCGACCGATTTTGCCAACACCTGTGTGCTGCGTTGCCGCGGACGCGTTCGCAGGATGGCCACTACCAGCCGCTGGAGAAGGCCGAGATCGCCCGCGAGGGCACGGACGTGGTGATCTTCACGTACTCGCGCATGCGCTACACAGCGCTGCAGGCGGCGGAGAAGCTCCAGGAGGCTGGCATCTCGTGTATGGTGGTGGACCTCATCTCGCTCAAGCCGTTCGACATGCAGACCATCGCGGCCGCGGTCAAGAAGTGCCGGCGCGTCTGTATCGTCGAGGAGTGCATGAAGACGGGCGGCATCGGTGCGTCGCTGTCGTCGCTCATCAACGAGAAGTACTTCGACGAGCTCGACGCCCCCGTCGTCCGCCTGTCCAGCCAGGACGTCCCCACGAGCTACGCGTTCGAGCTCGAGGCCAAGACGATCGTCCAGGTGGAGGACGTCGTTGCTGGCGTGCAGAAGATGTTTGGTGCGCCCGTGGCGGCGTGAGCAGACCTGGGCTGCGGGGCGCCGAGCGCGACGCCGTGTGAGTGTGCGAGGAGATGCAGGGAGCACTCACGTGTCGAAGAAGTCGTTCAACAGCACAACAGCATGATTCAGGATGCTGTGCTGGACACTGGTGAGCTGGGCTGGATGACCCTGCTTGGCGACGATGCAGCGTCCGACAGGCAGACCCGCCGGTCCGTCAACGCGTGCTCTGCCTGTCGCGAAAGAGCGATCCGAGGGAGTCCCTGCACCAGGGGAGGTGTGGCTGCAGCTGCATCATGCAGGTCATTGACCAAGGGTTGCAACCCCCCCGAGGCCGAGCGCTCCACTGCTGCACCGTGCGCGCGTAGGGCCCGCAGAATCGCAACTCTTGTACGCCACGCAGCACTGAGACTCAATCTTGACGCTGCGAGTTTGTCGGCCGTGGTGTGGTCCTAGCAAGGTGGCCGGTGGGCAGCGTCACCCTTGTGCTGCTGCAAGAATCCTTGTTGGATTGTACGGTCTCGACACTCTCTTTCCTTTGTCCGAAACGGATCCGCGTCGCCATGACCTGCGCTGCGCAGCGGGCCGGCCGAGTGCTGGGCAGCGGTGTGGCAGGGTGGGCGCGTTCCTTCGCGAGTGAGGGAGGAAAGGCAGCGGGCAGATCGTCGCGGGCAAAGGAGATGCGGGAGGCTTGGACAACGCCGCAGAACGAGGTGCTTGGCGAGGTCATCAGCGACATGGCGAAGCAGGCTGTAGGCATCCAGACCAACCTGCCGAAGACTAAGTATGCAGGTGCGAACCGAGCGCTCGTCCGCACGCGGGAAGCTATTGGTCCGCATCACCTGCGTGAGCGGACTTGAGGACTGCGCGCCCGTCATGACGGGCACAGCGAGAAAGCAGTGGCGTTCCCCTCGCGCGGCAACCACGCAGGGGGCTACCTGCGAGACAAGATAGGGGATCTCGCCGGCCGACTGCGAGAACGGGTGCCAAACGCCCCACCTGCCCAGAAGCCGGGTCCCGACGCCAGCCGGCCACCTCGGAGGTGAAGCAGGGACTCGCCATGCAAAGTAGTAATTTACGCCGTCTCCAGCTGTGAACTCACGCACGTCACGCTCATGACATGGGCCGGGCAAGAGCTCACATTTGGTCCTCGCGAGCAACCTCGCGCTCCCTCAGCGCGACCGGCAAATGACCTGCGGCCACCCACTACCTGCGATTGCCAGCCCTGGGCGGTCGCCCTTGCGACCGCCCGCGCTTCCTCGACCCTCCTCCAGCGCTGTCGTTGTCGCGCCTGCCCGCGCTTGCCAGCCTCTGGTAGTCCAGGCGCAGCGGCGCCGGGTCCGGGTCGGGCTGCTCCCATGGCGTGTCGAGTGGCAGGGCAGGAATGTCGATCGTCAGGAAGTCCCGCGCCGCCTTCACCTGCAAGCACGCAGCGACCCACCAAACATCGTCATCGAGGACACCAACACGCAAGCGCAGTCCAGCTGAGACAGCTGCCTGTGAGGGAACATGTCATTGCGATATGCCGGGCAGATACGCAGCGTCCGCGGCACAGCGCCGTCGCTGACGCAGCCGCTCGCGGCTCCGCCTCCGGCCGGCGTGTCGTGATCCCCCCCCCGCGGCGCCCCGCGCTCACCTCGCCGCGAAACTCCCGCCGCGCCTCCTTGATCAACTGCATCACCTCCCGCTCCTGCAACCGCTCCTGCTTCTCCAGCAGCGCATTCAGCCCGCTGCCGTCCACGTTGTCCGGCAGCGCGGCGTACCGCGGACTGAAGTGCGTCAGCACGAGAGCGCGCGCCCCCACACGCGCCGCAAAGCGACCCGCCATCGTGCTCGTCGAGTGCCCCGCGATCGCCGCCTTCAGCTCCATCCCTCGCGAAAATGTCGCCTCGTGGACCAGCAGGTCTGCGCCCGCCGCCGCGTCCTCGATGTGCGTGCTATTGTGCGTGTCCCCCAGCACAACCACCTTGCGGCCACGCAGGGGCGGCACACGGACGTCCTCTGGGGCCACTGCCCGCCCACTCGGCGCCACGACCGCCTGCACACTCGACACGGACGCTCGGCAGTCAGCCACCCCGCCTCAGTGTCTCGGGCACGGAACATGAGCACGTGCAAGGTTGCTGCGTGATGCAGCCCGGGAGTCGAGGCTCAGCTCACCTCCCCAAGCATCAGCTTCCCCATCACTGCGCTGTCCGTTGGGTCCAGGCCCGCCGCCTCCACTTTGCTGCGCACCAGCGCGCCCAGCTCCGTCCGGTCAGGCTCTGTGATGACGTAGCCCCAGCACGGGACCTTGTGCAGCAGCTGCCGGGCCTCCACGACATGCCCGCGTTCGCACTGCACGGTCCACCGCGGCACGCTCGCCGTGATGTAGCTCTCGGACCACTCTTCGAGGTTCCGCACCAGACGGTTGCTGTTGTTGCTGCGCCCCCCGGAACCACGCCCCTGCCGTGCTCCGGGCGACGGCGGGCCCGTCATGTTCGGGGCGGCACGGGCTCGGTGCAGCATGCCGTCGACGCCCGTCGGCCGCGCGGGGTGTGCCTTCTCGTGACTCAGCACCCACTCGGTCACCAGGACGGGCGCCGACAGCACGATCCCGCTCGTCTCCAACGACGCCAGCACGAAGTCGTGCGTCCCCACCGGGCCGTACACGTGCAGCGGCGTGCCCTCGAACGGCGTGTCCTGCGAGCAACAACGCATGGCTACGTTCTTTTTCCTAGCCAAAGGGCGCCTGGCAGACCGCTGACGAAGACAGGCGCGTCGGGGCTGGGGCGCACCTTGCGGGACCGGTCGACGTGAGCGACCATGTTGGGCAGCCCGTACACGTGGTCGCCGTGCAGGTGCGTGATGAAGATGCGGGTTACGCGCGCCGCCTCGACCTTTCCGGTGCGCTCGAGCTGCCGCGCCGAGCCTTCGCCGCAGTCCACGAGCCACACGGACCCTGCCGACGTCCTGATCGCCGCGCCCGACACGTTCCGGGAGAGGGTTGGCGACCCCGACGACGTTCCCAACCACGTGATGTCCATCCCCGTGGCGGGCGCCCTGCTGCGACTCTGTCCGCGCTCCCTGGGCGCCGAGGAGGAGCCAGGGCTAGGTCGAACAGCCCTGGCAGCTTGATGTGGCGCCTGATCGCTGGCGTGAGGGTGAGCTGCAGCGCTGTTGTTGGTGTGTAGGAGGTCGTTCACGGCGTCGACGAGGAGCGAGACGAGTTCCGCCTTCTTCGCTCCGGACGGAACATTCACGCCAAGATTGTGCAGCTCCTCTTTGATCTCCGGGACCTTGAGGGCGTTCGCTGCGGACTGGGTGGCTTGGCCGCGGCTGCCTACGAGCCCTTGACAACGCTCGCTGAGGCCCTCGATGGTGCTGACAGCGCGAGGCCTGGCAGAGGCGAGGCAGAGGGTTGGTGAACCGTGGAGTGCCTGCGAGAATCGGCGCTGGTGCCGGTGTGCTCGCCGTGGACGAGGCGACCAGGAATGTCCCAGTTGCGTCGTCAACGGGCGCGAGGCCAGGCAAATGCATCCGATCCGATGAACGTCGTAGTTCTGATACAAGTGAGTGACGGCTAGCGCAACTCAGTCGGACTTCCTCGACCCAGCGCAAAAAGGATGGCTGCTGGGCCCCAAGCCGTCCTGGAGCTGGCGCTCCAGGTCCGCGTCGACCGGAGACTTTGCTCGCGCAACGCACGATGCTCCAGCGGTGCTTGCTGAGAGGCAAAACACGAGCCTGGGCGAAGAGACCCGTCAGTAAAGGTCAAGGTCGCCTTGTGCCTCACCTCTTGCCGGCGCACGCCCAATCTCTCCTGCCGGTATGCTGCAACATGCGGGATGTGCCTCAACGTACAACGAATCTGCACCGCCTGCCTTGCGGCAAGCCCGCAGGGCAGCGTGGTGCGGTGCATGCTGCGTGCACACCAACTCAGCGCGGCAGGCGGACGCGGCACGGAAGGGTGAAGAGTCACTGGGAGTGGCCGTGCCAAGTGCTGACCGCGCCCAGGCCCCCGACGCGTAGTAGCGACTTCGGCCCAACCACCCCGGGGGTCCCCCTGCACAGCACACCTGTCAGTGACGGACAGACTTCAGGTCAGGTGGTTCCGCGGCCTGTGACAGGTAGGCCGCACGGAGCCAGGCGACGGAGGAGACGGGGGAGATACAGTGGGGGGGCCTCGGCCGCCCCTGCCTCCGCCGGCCGCACGGGGCAACCCGTGGTTCTGTGAGTCGATGAGGAGCAAGTGCGAGGCGGTGTTGCAGCACGCTGCGGGTGCAGCACCCAGCATGTGGCACCCAGCGGAGGTGGTCGACAGGGCCGGAGTTGCGAGTGCACGGGCAAGCTATGGACTGGGAGAAGCACGGTTCAGGTTGGCTGGTGTCGCGTGGGCGATGTCAAGGACCTGGCACGCGAGCCAGCCTTGTCATCGCTCGCATTGATGCCACGGTGCCGTGCTCATCTTCGCGCTGCAGGGTCACATCGACCGATCACTTGTGTGTCATTCGCTTTCTGTCTTGGTCCGAACAGGTTGCCCTTCCTGAGTTGCAGGACGGGGTGGGAGAGGACCAGGGGCGCAAGGGGGGGCTTGCAACAGCCGACCCCCCGCGCCCACTCTCCCAGGAACAGGACCTCAGCTCTGCATCAGGCCGAGTGCAAGCCGCGTCCCAGAAGCAGGACGAGCCGCCCAAAACCAGTCAGGACGGTTTCGATGGGGGGCTGCCAGGGCCTTCCCAGCCGCCCCGGGGCGGCTGAGAAATGATGTGCATGGCGCAGAGTGCGTTCCGATTGTTGTGCTGTGGACCCAGAACTTCTGTCTGCCCTGCAGCTCAGGGCAGACAGAAGGGACCAAGGAGAGGGGGAGGAAAGGGGGGAGTTAACGGGGAGTTGAAACAAATCCGCTCTTTCCCACCTGTTGATGCCCGCGACCTGACTGGCACAAGGTTCTCCCTCCTCCTGCACAACCAGGCCAGTTGGGGACCAACTGGCTCGATGGGCCAGCCCGGCATCATCCCCTCAAACAGGACGTCGACTCCATATCGCGTGGTCGAGAACAGGGGAGGTGCAACGCTACTGAATCAGGCCGAGAGAGAGCAAGCCGCATCCCGCGAGCAGGACACGTTGCCTCAAAAGTCGGGAAGATTTTGACGGGGGCATTGGGAGGGAGGGGAGGGATGGGGGGCGCGGGGGGGCAGCTGGCAGGCGATTCGCGGTTTCGGAGGAGAAGCTGAGAGAGTGGCTGATGCCGAACTTCGGCGGACCCGGCTCTGTCACTGGTACCGTGAACAGGGAGGGAACTGGTTGGCTTCGGCAAGTAGCCAGTCCCCCCTCCGTACACGGGAGGGGGGCATTGGATGGGGGCCAACAAGACTGCCGCTCCAACTTCAGACCTCTGCGCCAGGGTGCCGGACCGACTGGTGCCGCGACACCACCGTACTCAGGCGAACCATCCACCAGGCTTGTGAGCGTTGGGCGGACAGCACACGTAGAGACCACGGCCTGATGGCCGCTGAGATGGACATGCAGAGTGAGCCGGGGGCCCCGCGAGGCCGGCGCCGGCCCCGCGCGACCCGAACCGGGGCACAAATTGAGCAGCAGCCCGCCTTGAGGTAGGCCACAAGTGCGGTGCCGGGCGGCACGGGGCCGGGCTCGCCGTCTGGGACCCCCTCCAGCCGGACAGGGGGAAGTACAGGGACGACCCCGGGCAACCGCCGCGGCGGGGGGGGCGACGGCGCTCGACATGGGCGGATCGCGCCCCCGCGGCGGAGCAGATACCGCCTCGGACTCACATTCGTGGCCGGGCACCGCACCGCGGCCAGCGAGCTCTCGCAGTGAGGGAAGCAAGAGGGCCGTCATGTCCGCGGAAATCAGCTTCATGGGCGTGCCGCCAGCCGCGAACGTGCCTGGCTACACCGGGCATGTTCCTGCGATGCGCAACCACGTCCACGGCCAGACCTACGCCAACGCCACCATTCACGCGGTGTGCCCCCGTCGCCTGATCCGTCGCCCCGCTCGCGGCGGTCGCCTGAGCCACCTCGAGCGCGGCGGGCCGCCGCTCTCGTGTCTGATCGACGCGAACATGAGGCCGGAGGCGCATCAGCGTCGCGGATGCGGCGTGGACCGGCGTGCGTCGTGCAGGGTCCATGCAACCGCTCACTCCGCGCCGCACATGGCCCCGAACCGTGCCGCTAGAGCGCCCGTCCCGGCTGCCAGAGCCGGACCTCTGTTGCGATTTTCGCCGTGGCCAGCTGTCCGCGCCGGCGGGCGCGACACCGGCCGGCAGGTCCTGCCCAGCTACATGCCACTAGGCCTGCACGGTCGCCGCAGCGCGAGCGCGGCGGCCGTGCCGCCGTTCCCTTCCCTGCGTGTGTCGCCTCTGACAAGCCTCTGCCACTCACGCCCATGATTCGCTGCATTTTCCCCGGACGTGCGGAGGGCAAGGCCTGGAAGTCTTCCTCCTTCACTGTCCGCTTCCCCCGCTCGATCCCGCGCAGGCGCTAGCCGCGGACGTGCAGAAGGCCGGGAACAACCCTTCGGGCATGCACGAGCTCGTCGACAAGCGCCCCCAAGGCCGCGACTTCCTGTACGCGCAGACCGTCACCAAGGCATGTGGCGCTGCAGCCCCGACCCCTACCACGCCCCACCGCTTCCGCAAGATCCTTCCTTCCGCCACGCCGCTGAGATTCCATCGCTGGGGGCCGTCGCTGCGCGCAGGGGACGATGATGGATTCCCTCGGCAAGGTGTCCACGGGGGAGCCGCTGACCTACACGCTGCCCTGCAAGGACAGCGTTTCGCTGCCGGAGCTCTCGTTCCAGCACCGCGCGATAGGCCTCGGCAAGCGCGTGCCCGCCGAGAAGATCCCCCCGGAGGTCATCGCCGGCAAGGGCCGCGTCCCGGGCTTCACGGGCCACCTGCATGCCGGCGCACACATGTTCGGCACGCCGTACGGCCGCGCCAGCAAGGAGCTCGAGGGCGGGTTCGCGGACACGCTCGGGACGTCGAACAAGCTCATGCGGTGGCACGAGGATCGTCCGCAGGGCCAGCTCCTGCAGGGGGAGGGCCTGCGCATCCCCGGGTACACAGGGCACATCCCCAGCAAGGACCCGCACATCTACGGCAAGACGTATGGAACGTCGACGGTGCTGGCGCTGCGCGCTCGGGACGCGCAGCAGCTGGGCGAGCCCGCGACGGCGCTGCCCGAGCTGGTCGATTCGCGTCCGCAGGGCAACATTGACCTGTTCAGTCAGAACTTGCCGCCGGAGATCGCGCGGACGTCGCTGACGCTGCCGAGGAAGAAGGTCCTGGGCATCGGACACGACGACGGCCCGCGCGGGGAGCGCGGCATGGGCGTTGCGGTGGTGAACGAGCGCGACACCGACCACGGGTCGACATTCCGCCGCAAGACGCACTTGGACTTCCCGGAGATCGGCGAGGTGAACAAGGGGCGGCACTGCCTGCCCGGGTACACGGGGCACGTGCCGGGGGAGCAGCACGTGTACGGGACGACGTACGGGCTCATGACGGGCAACATTCTCAAGAGGGGGCACCTGCCCAAGCAGCCTCGGTCGCTGGTGAAGTTCGAGGACTTCCGCCCGCAGAGGACTGCGAACTGGCGCGAATCCGAGAAGCTCTGGTGATTGGGCGCTCGGCGGCGGGCACTTTTCTACCGCGGCCTGTGACAGTCGCTCCCGATTGCCTATCCGGCCGCAAGATTGGCCCAATGCGAAGCAAGCGAGGGAGACGCGTGAGGCGGCAGTCCCAGCATGTCACAGTGAGTCCATAGCGCCGAGAACCGCCGGGCTGTGCAAGCTACGGTCGGCGTCGTGATGCATGTAGGGAATGTTGCGGGCAAGCGCAGGTGTGTCGACTACTCTTCCAACGAAAGGGATTTGCCAAATCAAGGTGTTCGCCACACCTTGCCAAGGAGGAAGCGGGGGTGCGTGAGCCCGCGGAGGCGGAGTGGATCTGTAAAAACAATAAGCTGCTGTTGCCAGCCGAGTGGGGGCGCGGATGGGGGATTTGTGTCGCTCAGCGGGTCTCCAGCCCGGAGGCAGGGCGGGAAAGTGCATGCGGAACAATGCTTCGAGCTGTCGCGCCTTGAGACCCAGAATGCTGAACTGACGTGTGAAAGGGACAGGTGGCTGTTCTCGACGGGATGGTGGGCTGCTGCGCGGCTGCCCATGCGCAGCGTGGGTGGTGAGGTCAGCAACAGGCACGTCATCTCCGGCTCTTGCGGCTCAGCCACCCCATGGCCGACCTCAGGGGCGAGGTTGGAGACACCGGCTGTGTGGCACTGTGCGATGCGCTCGCCTTTGCAGACTTCCGGACCATGCCCAGCAGCTGGCTGGCCTGTTGCGGCGAGCAGCCCAAGACGCTTTGCGCCTCCAGCCCCGCCCTGCGCGCCTCTGGCAGCTTGATGAAGTAGCCACGCGACGGGCCGGCTTGCTCCGTCAGACACGACGTGCGGCAGCTGTGCACGCCCCGCGCTTGCGCAGAGGCGTTCGAGCATGGCTGCACCCCTGTGTCGGACGTGTAGCACGTCGACGGGCTGCAGGGCGCGCATTCCCGCGACCCCGTGTCCGACCGGTGTCGTGCTGACGCTTGCGCACTCTGTGCGGCCTCGGAGCTGGTGCCACGAGACGCATGGCCGCCAGCCAGCTCGAAGCCCGAGTCGGACACCAGCAACTGACTGAGCCCTCCTGCCCCGGGGCCGTCTGCGTTCCCTGGCATGCAAGGGGGTCGCCGTTGCACAAGGCCTGTGCCCGGCGTGGTGCGGGCTGCGTGCGCGATGACGGCGCGCCGCGCGACGTCGTTGAGTTGCGGGCGTTCGGCTTGAGAGGAGCGCAGCCCTGTGTGGGTGCACGCCCGCCGCAATTCCTTCTCCCGAAGGTCGGACGTCGTCCGGTCGTCCGCGATGTTGGACTGAATCTTCCGGTCGTCTCGCACCGTGAGGTTGTGGTCTTGCTCGAGGTCGTCGACTGGCATCGACACGAGGGACGTGTTGTGGCTCCCCAGCGGCCGCAAGTCCCACGCCGAGCGGCGCGAGTTCTCGGGCCCCATCGTCCGCATCAGTGTCATGCCTGGCTCGCGCACCACCGCGTGACTCTCGCTGCCGCTCGCCGGCGACGGCAACACTGGCCCTGGCCCCGTGATGAGGGGGTGCGTCAAGAGGCTGTGCGTCGTGGGTCGCTGCGCCGGGTCGGGCTCCAAGCAGGCCCGAATGAACGACGCCATGATCTCGGGGACGTCCGGGGGTAGCTCGGGCAGCTCCGCCGCGACGATGGCATGGCGCGTCTCCTCCTCAGTGTCGCGCGCAAACGCAGGCGTGCCCACGACGAGTTCGTACAACATCATGCCGAGCGACCAGACATCGACCTTCTCTGCAGTCACGCCGCGCACTCAATCCAGGTGCGCTCGGCCCCCCCGCGTCGCATGCACAGCAAAGCGGTCACTGGTCGCGCGTCCTGGGTCGTGGGAGTCGCGCGGTGGGGCGGCGTAGTAGGCGCGCACCTGTGTAGGCGGTGCGTTTGTCCCGGGGGGCGATCTTCGCGTCGCTGCTCCCGCTCTTTGTTCCACACAGGAGGACCTCCGGGGCCGTGAAATCCAGGGTTCCGACGCGCGTCACCGGCGGGGCGGAGAGGAGATCGACGCCAAGGTCGAATCCGGCCAGCATGGCCCTGCCCCCCGGGCCGAACACGACGTTCTCGGGCTGCAAGGACAGTTGTGTGTGTGGCTGGTGCGTGAGCGCGACAGCGGCGGCTTGAGAGAGCGTGGCGCGCGCAGGAGGCGCGCAAAGTCTCGCACGCACGTCAAACTATGTGTTCGATGCAGCGAAGGTACGTTCCGGCCGGCCGGGAGCACCGTGGGCGACGTGACCTCGAGGCGGCGAGAAACGTGATGGCTGCGGAGCGGCGCGTCCGGGCCACGGCACGCGGCCGCACGCGTCGCAGGCGGCCGTGAGTAGCACGGGGAGTGCGTCTGCTGCGCGCGGGTGCGCACCTTGACGTCCCGGTGCGCCACGCCGCACCCGTGGGCATACGACAGCGCAGCCAGCACGGGCTTGAGCACTGCGCCAACGACTTGCGAATGCGTCAGCGGCGTCGACTTCATGATTTGGTAGAGGTTGCGCTGCATTGCGCGATCCGTCAGCACGTAGTGGTTGTGCCGCCCGCTGCAGCCGTCGGAGGGTCTCAGGACACGAAGTGAGGTTGCGCGCCTGGTGCAGGGACGGCGGCGGACGCGCCAGACGGTGCGCTGCAGCGACAGTGCGCTCGCAGCGTGCCGGCGCAGGGGCGATTGAGCGCCGCGACTCGGGGAGAAGGCCACTCGCCTGAAAGCCAAGTACAGCGGAAGGACGTTGGGGTGCGCAAGTCGCGCGTGAATCCGCACGGACACCTCCAGCTGCCTGGCCTCCATGTCGGTCAGCGCCTTCTTGGGCACCACTTTGAGCGTTCCGGGCACCTTGGAGACGGAGTCGATCACCTGGTGCACCTCCACCATCCCCCTCTTGCTCTCGCAGCACACGCTGATGAACCTGCTTCCCTTGAGCGTCCCCTGCAGCGAACCGAGGAATTCCTCATGAGTCACCCGAAATGCCGCGTTCGGCCCAGCCGACGCGACGCGGGAGCGTCGTGGGGGCGGCTCGTGGCGGAGGGCCTTGCCGCGTAACCGAACGGTCCCGGGAGTTGAATCTGCCACCGTGCAAAACTATGCAAATGTGCGGCCCTTCCGCGTGCAGTTCGATGGTCGTGTGACGTGTTCCCGCGGCAGGCACCCTGTCCCGAACAGCCTGCAAACCTCTCACCTGTTCCAGCTCCAAGGGACACTGCGCGCCCTTCGCGCTCAGTACGAGGTTGTCCATATTAGAGACAGGCGGAAAATAGCGCCGATTTGGAAATGTGTGGCAGCACGGAGGAAGGCGAGCGCTCACGGGCTACAAGCACGTCGCGGGTTCGCGGCGCTCATCGCTCAAGCTGCACTGAAGTCCGTCATGAAAATGAAAAGACGATGCCAACTTACCGCACTGAGCGCCGCGGGGCGGCGAAGTCGGCCGCCGCCGGCGGGGCGTGTTGTGCCAGCTCACTCACGTGTCAAGGGCCTCGCGAGACCTGAGGTCACGTCGGCGCCCCGTCCGGGGGCATCATCCCAGCGATCCCGACAGTGAGATCCTGCCTCATTCGATGCGATCCGACATGCGATACAGCGTGCGGTCCCATCAACGCTGTGTGCTTCCGGGCACGTGATTGCGCGCAAAAGAAGTAATTGACTCAAAGCCCAGCGACGCCCGTGCGCCACCCGCCAGGCGGCCCCAATGTCACAACGCTCTCCGTCCGCGCGGGCCGGCCGGCCGAGCGGGCGCCTAGGCCGCCTGCGCTGTCTGCTCGAGCTTGGACAGGAGCTGCTGGCTGTACCCCGGGGAGTAATACTTGACGATCTCCTCCGGGTAGTTCGAGTTGATGATGTCCACGGCCTCCTTGAGGTTGCTCCCGGGCGCCTCGGCCATCTGCTGCACGGCCGCGAGCCCGCCCGAGTGAACAAAGGCCGACCGCGACGCAGGGTCCGCCGAGAGCACCTTCCCGACCTGCTCCAGCACCATCTTCATGATCGACTCCGGCAACGAGCGGTGCACCAGCGCGTCCAGCGCCGGCAGGTGCGTCAGCTTGGCCACCACCGCCTTGAGTGCGCGCTTGCACTTGGTCTTCAGGTCCTCGCTGCTGTGCTGGTCCGCCTCCAGCGCAACCAGCGTCGGCAGCACGCCCGTGTCCGCCACGGCCTTCGCGTGGTCCGGGGTGTGCCGGCCGACCTGCGCGCAGCCACGCGCCGTCGACACGGGTCAACATGCCGGTGCCAAGGAGCACCACGGCGCGGGGCGGGGCGCGGGGCGCGCCGAGGGGGCGCGCGCGCACCTGTCCGAGCGACCACGCGGTCGCGGACTTCATGTAGTCCTCCTGCTCGTCGTTGAGCGCCGCCACGAGCGGCGGGAGGCCCTTCTCCGCCACGACCGACAGCGCCAGCGTCTCGCTGAAGGCCGCGATGTACCCGAGGGCCATGATGCCGGGGAGGCGGCTGCTGCCCTGGCTGTCCCCGATGTAGTCGACGAGCGCGGCGACGCCGCCGTTGCCGACGATGAGCTGCGCCAGCTCGGGCGTGTGCTTGGCCACCTCGCGCACCGTGGTGGCCGCGTGCTTGCGGACCAGGTCGTCCGGGAAGCGCAGGCAGGTGAGGATCTTGGGGAAGACCTCGGCCTCGACGACCACCTCGGCCAGGTCCACCGAGTGCTTCGCGATCTGCGCGAGCGCGCAGCACACCTGCCGCTTGAGCTTGGCGTCCTGCGACACCACGAGCGGCGCGAGGTACGCCACGGCGCCGGCGTCCACGACCGCCTGCGCGAGCTCCGGCGTGTGCTTCGCGATGTCGCTCAGGGCGGACGCAGAAATCCGCTTCAGCGACAGCTCCGGCTCCTGCACGCACAGCACCAGCAGCGGCACCGCGCCGGCATCCACCACCTGCGGCGGCAGCGGCGCGGGCGTGGCGCGGGTCGGAAACGGCGCCCGAGGCGAGGCGACGGGGCGGCCTGCGTCGCGCGCGGCGGGGCAGGGGCGCTGAGGGCGCCGGGTGGACGCCGGAGCGGGCCGGGGGAGGGTGGCATGCCTGTTGCGCCAGGTCCGCAGTGTGGCCGGCGATGTAGCCGAGGGACCAGGCGGCGGCTTCCTTGACGCCGGGGTCGAACTCCTCTAGGCACGTGACCAGGGCGTCGAGCGCGCCGCTGTCGATGACGGCCTGCGCGAGCGCGGGCGAGTGCTTGGCCACGGCACGCAGGCAGAAGGCCGCCGCTTTCTTGTAGAACCGGTTCTGTTCCGACAGAGAGTACACCAGCTGCGGGAGGATCTCATTCTGCACGACCGCCTCCGCGAGGTCGTCCGAGTAGTTCGCGAGGCGCCCGAGAGCGAGCGCTGCACTCTGCTGGATGCTCGGGACGTTGTCCAGCAGCAGCGGGCGCAGCAGCGCCATCACGCCCGCCTGCTGTAAAGCCTCGATGTTCTGCGACGTGGACGCGGGGAGGGTCCCGGCGGGATCGGTGACGCGCGCGACGGCCGGGCGGGCACTCCCCGGGCAGATGCCAAGTTTGTGCGCGGGTCCCCCCCCGCGCGTGGCCGACTCGAGGGCCCGCGCAAAAACCGGCGGATGGCGTACGGCCGGGTCGAGGTGCCCGCGGGGCCTCGCTCGGATTGGTGGGCGCTGCGAGCTCCTTGTGCCGGGAACATGTAGCAGGGAGCAAAAGCGGCCTCCCCGGGCCCGCACGCGCGAAGCACCGGTTGCGCGTGGACAGAGGGGGTTTCTCGGTGTAAGAAACGGGGTCGCGGCTATCGGGGAGCCCTGATTGGGCAACGTGGAGCCGAATGCACCGAGGGGAGGGTCGAGCAGCGAAACTCGATGCGCCAGCGCTCTGGCCCGTGGCGTGTGCGATTCCCGAGCGGAGGTGTTCGGCCCTCAAGCTCCGAACACCAAGAATCCGGGCGCCCAGCGCGCCATCTGAGCCCTGTCGACGGCACCGGCGGGCGCGCCAGAACGAGGCAAGCAGCGCACCTGCGGGCGCGTCGCCATCTCCGCCACCGCCGTCACGAAGGCCACCCGCTCCTTCTGGTATTTCTCGAACACGCTCAGCACCGACCGCGTACTCATTGCTTCCCTGTCCCGCGCACTTCGCCCCTGCTTCAGGGATGCAGCAACAGCCACGCAACGCCCGTGTTCCGAGCCACACGCAACGCTTCCGCACGCACCGACGCAGTCCGATAGATGTCCCTCCTTCACCTCTGCGTCCGATCCCGCCACCGCTGCGCCATTGGCGCCCCGGCGCATCATACTTGAGCAACCCCCAGCCCACACCCCCCCTGACGGACGCTCAGCCATTATAGCCCAATTGGAGGTCTCTGGAGCTCGAGTCGGCCCGCTAGGTCGATGTCACGGAATGCCGCAAGACTCCGCCCACGGCAAGCCCGGGGGTGCTGGGGGCCGGGCGCGGCCGGACGGCGCGTGGGGCGGCCGGGAACGGCCTCGAACGTGACCGTGATGTTGTGTTGGCAAGCACCTCCTGCCCAGCAAATTTTGGTTGGGGTGCTCTTTGTTGCGTCCAATGGCATCTTTTCGGTCAGAGAAAGGTCGGCATGCGAGTTTCCGCCCACAAATGCCTTGTATGCATGCCTTTTGCCTCGAGGGAAATCCCTCGTTTCTTGGCACAAGTGGACTGCGCCCGAAGCCGAACGTTTTTGCACCGCAACAGTGCTTGACGATTGACAGGAGAGATGCGTGATCCTGAGTGATGCGAGGGCTGTCGAAGAGCGTGGGATATCGCGCAGATGGGGGGGCGGGCGGCATGGGACTGATGGCATGCAAGATGGCGGTTTTCTCGCCAACAACGGCTACCCGCGGCGCGCTGCGCGCGGCCCCGGCCTCCCCGGGGCAAAAAGATCCGGCCGGCGGAGTCTCGCGGCATTCCGTGACATCGACCCCCCGGCCCAGTCGAGCTCCAGCGACAATTTTTACTTAGGGAGTGGGCTATAATGCGAGGCTCGGCGAGCCCGCTCCGCCTCGGCGAAGGCACGCGTCGCCCCCCGGCCGCCGCGCCGAAGTGCCCCGCGACGGGCCGGCGCGGATCGGCCCCGCCGCCGCTGGCGTGCGGTCCGACCGCGCGGCCCGCACGTCGAGCACCCGCCATGCACGCTGGCGACACGCACGGCCGCCCGAGCGCACACGAGCGACTCGGCGTTGTCGACGCTGCCTGCTGCACTTCCCGAGCGTCACACAGCGGCCCTGCTCCCCAGCGCCCCGTCAACAGCGATGCCATGGCTGTCGGCAGTGCTGTCGGCCCCGCCCTCCGGCCCGGCTAGTTGTACGGGACGAAGGTCGACTTCCAGCCCTTCTCCTGCAGCTTGAGCCGCAGCGCCTTGATGCGCTTGCGGTTGATCTTCCCGTCGGACTCGCCGATGCGCGACGCGCTGCGGAACTCGACGATCCCTGGCTGGTCCTTGGGGAAGAAGAACTCGACGTCGTCGATGAACCCGAACGTCGGGGACTGGAACTCGGCGTACAGGTAGTCGTCCGTCTGCTTCACGATCTTCGGCGTGAACCCGTCGGGCTGCGACGTCCGCACAGCCTCCACCAGCTCCTGCATGGCCTGCGCCTGCGTGGCCGGGTTCTTCTTGCCCCTGCCGTCGGGCGGGTTGTACGTCAGCGGCGCCACGTAGTGCTCCGGGTCGTTGGCCTCCTCGGACGTCGAGATGCAGTTCGGGGTCCGCGGACACAGCGACAGCTGACGCAGGCCGCCACCGTAGTCCTGCGCGGGGCGCCGGTGCGGTGGGTGGGCGGTTCAGCAGGCCCGCGGGATCGGGGCGAAGTGGCGGCGCCCGCGGGGATCACGAGGCGGCGGCGCAGCGCACCTGGATGCCCAGGTTGCCGGGGCGGTCCACAGCCCCCCAGGTGAACAGTGCGGCCAGGACGCCGACGTTGATCGATCGCAGGATGAAGTCCCTGCAAGACACAGGTGCGGGCGCGTGGGATCATTCGCACCTAGGCCGGCCAGGAAGGGCGCACCGCGAAACTTGATCCTTGGCACCCTGACGGTGCGATGCGGCTATTTCGTCGCAGCAGGGCGCGACGGCACTCTTTTTCATTTACTTCACAGCGCCCGCGATGGATACCATGCAGGCAAAGGCAATCGAAAGGGCCTGAGTGGCATGGCTGGGCCGCGACAGGCGCAGCAGAGTGTTCCAGGTGTTGGGTTGATCGAGGCCGTGAGGGCGGACCTGCGGCCGGACGACTCCGCCTCGGGGCGCCCCGGGCGTTCGGCTGCGCAGGAGATCGGCGTGCGGGCGCGCCGAGCCGTTGGCCTGGCCGCGGCCGGCGTGTGGGGGACGCTCACGCGTGCAGTCGCGCTGCGCATCGTGTCCGCGGCGATGTGTGCGGCTCCTGGAAATTGGCGAAAGCCAGCGGCGGGTGCGGAATGCTGGCGCACAGAGCGCAGCATCCACATTGTCGCGCTGGACGGGCGCTGCGTGGCCCTGGGCCGCCCACCGTGGGCCACGGTGGGAGTGGTGTTGAGAAGAAACCTTGTTCCGGAGGGTGGATGGCACGCGTGAGCCGGCGATTTGGCCCTGCACGCTGTTGGTAGAGCCCGCAGTCGTGAAACCGGTGGGTCTTCCACTCGAGGATCGCAGGGAGGCTCGTTCGGTGCCTCGTCCTGGAGGCTTTGTTGAGCTCCTACAGGGCAGGCCCTTGACCTGCAGGACCCGAGGCGCCCCGGTACCAGTGCTGGCATCACGGAGAATGGCTGAGGGCGAGAAGGGGGCCAGCGGCGAGGCTGCCCGCGAGCCTGGGAGTGCCGAGGCGAGGCGCGAGGGAGCAGCGGACGCTGCAGCGCGTGACGGCGCAGCGAAGGCAGTTGATAATGGGAAAGAGGTGAGGCGCCGACGTTCTGACGATTAACCGTGCGTGATGGGCCATGGAGCGGCCCCGGCGGCGCGACGTTGCGTCCCAACGGCGGGAGGCTCCAGCTGAGCACGGCAACTGCACTCCCGAACGAGTATTCGCAGCGCTCCTTGGCAGACGTGCACGGAGCTCTTCCTCGGCTCCGGTCCGGGCATCCTTGCAGGCGGGGCATCCACAGCCCGCCGCCCATCCCCCCCCACCTTGCAGAGCTCGCCACGGGAGCGGAGGAGGTCCCGCGATCGCGACGGGGATCGCAGTCGGGCCAGGAGCCGGGACCGCGACCACCGCCGCTCCCGGCGCGACCGGGACCACCGCTCACGCGAGCGCTCCCGCGACAGAGACCGGGACCGGCGACGCTCGCGGTCCCGGGAACGCCGCCGCCACAGGTCCGCCCCCGCGCACCGCCGCAGGGCGCCCGCCTCCGTCGCACCTGCGCGCTCGCACCCCGCGTGAGGCTCCGCGTCCCAAGGCGCTCCCCGTGATTCCTGCAGGACGCGCTCCCGCTCGCCCCGTGACCGGTACGGCCGCGCGGGGTACGCGCCGCGGTCGCGCCTCGCCGACGAGGGGGGCAAGCGCGACAAGAGCCGCAGTCCGGACAAGGGCGGGCCGTCGAGCTCCCTGGCCGACCCCTTTGCACACCTGCGCAAGAAGGCCGTCAACGCGTACGGCGGGGCGTCGGACCCCGAGGCGCTGAAGCGGGCGCAGCGGCGCAAGCAGATCGAGGCGCAGGTCTTTTTGCTGAAGCAGCAGATCGCCGTGGCGTGCGCGCCCACGAACAAGTCGCAGCGCGAGCTCTACATCGGCAACCTGGTCCCCGGGATGGTCACGGAGGCCAACCTCGCGAGCATCTTCACGTCGATGCTGCAGCACGTCTTCCCGGACTGCCGCGGGGAGGGCAACGAGCCCGTCACGCGCGTCAACCTGCACACCGAGGGGAAGTACGCCTTCGTGGAGTTCCGCGATGCGGCCATGGCGTCCGCGGCGCTCACGCTGAACGGCCTCGTCGAGCTGCACGACCAGACGCTGCACGTGGGGCGGCCCTCGGGGTGGGTGGACCCAGCGCTTGCCAGGAAGCGGCTGGTGCGCGCGGAGGAGGACCTGAAGCTGCTGGACGAGGGCGTGGACGTGGACGAGTATCGAAGGAAGGAGGCGGAGGAGGAGGCGGCGCGGGAGGAGGAGGAGAGGCGCGCGAAGGAGGCGGCGGCGGCGAAGCTCACGGTGCTGCGTGTGGAGAACATGATTACGCAGGACGTGCTGGACGACGACGCGGAGCACGCGGACGTGCTGGCGGACATCCGGGACGAGTGCGAGAAGCACGGGAAGGTCGCGGACGTGGTGATCCCGCGCGGCAAGGTGGGCGAGGGTCTGGCTGGCGACGTGTACGTGACGTTCGAGGCCGCGTCGGACGCGGCCGCGGCGCGCGAAGCCATCCACGGGCGCACGTTCGCAGGTCAGACGGTCGTCGCGACCGCGGTGGAGGAGCTTCCGGCAGAGCTGCGGGGCGCGGGTGCTGCGTGAGGCCCGGGACCGCAGCGGGGCGACGACGACGTGCCGTCCGGAGCTCGCTGCGCGCAGGGCAAAGGGCTGTGCAGGGGCGATCGGTGGTGGGGTGACGGGAGCGAGACGACGGGGGCGTTCGGCGCTGTGGCAGCACCGCCCCGAGCTGTTGTTGCATCAGCGCCGCGACGCGTGCTGTCCTGGCGCTACAGTGCGCGACGCAGCCCTTCCACTGCCTCACCCGACCCGTTCGGCGTTGTTCCGGCCCGGTGTTGGTGCGCAGAGATCGAACCGAGTCACCAGGCGCGTGTCAGTTTGGTTCCCCGCGACTTGCGGCTGCCGCGGCTCGCAGGGCCACAGACCGGACATCAGGTGCTCGAGCTAGAGAGCCAGTGCACGCCTGACAGCCGTTTCAACACCCCTCCTGCGCATCCTGACGCCTCGCAACCACCGTTAGTGACCGGCGGCGGCCGCGCCCGCATTCCCTCCCTGCGCCGTAGGATTCTCCATCGACCAGCGTCAACGAGACGACTCAGGTCTGCCCGCATGCATCTCGCAACCTCCCTCCACTCTTGCACCGCACTGCACGCGCTGACTGGCGCCACGCATGTGCCGTGCTGCACGGCTAGGGGGTGATCGGGCAGCGCCGTCGAAGGGCGCGGCACTGACACCACAAGCAGACTGTGACCTGACCAGAAGTGAACGGCGGCAGTACAAGCCCCGGGTGCTGAGCGAAGTGTAAGCGAGCCGACGGCGGATCGAAATATCGGCCGCTCAGGCATCCTCGCGGTGAGGGTGCTTGTAGGTCGGCGAAGTACAAACTACGTCCCACCGGCCGCTGCTGCGCTCCCCGGCAGGGTCTGCGCTAGATTCCTAACTGCTGGTGCTGAGTCACTGACTGACGTGGCACTGCCACTGACTGGCAGTCAGCTTCCAGCAGGCCGGACTGACTGTCAGTCAGTGACACCCATTGGTCGTGCGGCTAGAGGGCGCATCCAGAGCGGGCAGGTCGCTGCATTCGCCGGCTGTGCTGGACCGAAGTTGGCTGCGTCGCCATCTCTTCGGAGCCGTCGCGGCTCGAGTCGCCGCCAACGCAGCAGCCTGGCTGGTATGGCTTCGGCCTGCGTGCGGACGGCAGGACCGGGCCCCGGTGGAAATATGGCGTCAAAGGGGGGCCAATGCGTTGGTCTCAGCCGCGCATTGATGGCGGGGTTCCACGCCTCCGCGATGGTCTTGCGGCAACCACTGCGCGCGAGAGCGCACAGCGGTGGACGTGGGACGCCGCCCTGCCTATCGCCCTGCAGCGACAGAGCTTTCTGTGTCGCGCGGGTGGGCTGGCGAGCCCCGTGTGCTTCACGGGGCGCAGCGCTCGCGGCAGCCCAGGGAGCTGCCAACGAGACGTTTCCCGCTGTGGTCATCGTCGAGTCTCCGGCGAAAGCGAAGAAGATCCAGAAGTTTCTCGGAGACCAATACCTCGTCATAGCGAGCGTCGGTCACGTCCGGAACCTACCTCGGAAGAGCGGCAGGTGCGGCGAGGAGTCCCGCAGACCTATCCTCCGCTTCACGCGCTGGGCACGCGTCATTGGGGGCTTTGTGTCACGAGGTCGCGCAGTTACGGAGGAATCCTGCTCCTTGGATTGAATGACAGAGGCCTTGATGTTCGAAATAATGTTCCGGGGCGCAAAAAGTCAACTTGGCTTACATCTTTTGCAGCGTGGACCCCGAACGCGACTTCGCGATGCGGTGGTCCGTACAACCTAAAGCACAGGATATTATCGAGGGCATCGAGCGCGTCGTCAGCAGCACGAGCGAGCTCATTCTGGCCACGGACCCGGACAGGGAGGGGGAGGCCATTGCGTGGCACATCGCCCAGGTGCTCGAGGAGCACGACGCGTTGGCCGGCGTCAACGTCAAGGTCTGCGCACCCCCTTGCACGTCGGACCGTCTGGCCGAGCCCTCCCGGCCGCAAGGCACGCACAGAACGCAGCGTTGCAAGTCAGCCGTGATCCCCCTCCGTGAGCCGCAGCGCGTCACCTTCTCCGAGGTCACCGAGGGCGCGGTGCTGCACGCCATGGCCAACCCCCGAGGCATCGACAAGGCCCTGGTGGACGCCTACCTGGCCCGCGTGGCGCTGGACTACCTTGTGGGGTTCACGCTGTCTCCCGTGCTGTGGCAGAAGCTGCCGATCGCGCGGTCGGCGGGTCGCGTGCAGTCCGCGGCGCTGCGGCTCGTGGTTGAGCGCGAGAGGGAGGTCCAGCGGTTCGTGCCCCAGGAGTTTTGGAGTGTGTCGGGGGTCGTGGAGTCCGAGAGGGGCGCGCGGGCCGCCGCGCAGGTCGTCACGGTCGATGGCCGCAAGGCCAACGGACCCGGCGGGCTGCACAGCGCGGCGGAGGCGGACGGTGTCGTGGAGCGTCTGTCTGACGCGCAGCTGCATGTGGCGAGGCTGTCGACGCGCCACGTGTCGAAGAACCCCTCGCCGCCATACGTCACGTCGACGTTGCAGCAGGACGCGTACCGCAGGCTCGGGTTCGCGTCGGCGCGCACCATGCAGGTGGCGCAGGCGCTGTACGAAGGCCGGGACCATCCGGGAGGCGGACTCATCACCTACATGCGGACTGACGGCACACACATCTCCCCCGAGGCGCTCGAGGCGATCCGCGCGGTCATCGGCGAGCGCTATGGCGCAGCGCACCTCCCCGACGAGCCACGCTCATATCGCTCGAAGCAAAAGAATGCCCAGGAGGCGCACGAAGCCATCCGCCCGACCGACATGCGGCGGGCCCCCGACGACCTCGCCAGGATGGGCCTGCCGCAGGATCAGGTCGCGCTGTACGGCATCATCTGGCGCCGCACCGTCGCGTGCCAGATGGTGCCCTCCAAGTCGAAGCAGCTGGGCGCCGACGTGGCCACCGAGTCGGGCGACGTCGTCCTGCGCGCGAGCGCCTCGGTCGAGGTCTTCGACGGCTATCTCCGCGCTTGGCGCGACGGCGGCCCTGCAGCGCCCCCCCCGGGACTCTCACTCTCTTCGTCCTCTATCGACGACACGCAGAGCGGCCCACCGTCGGCAGCGGGGGCGGAGGCGCTGCTTGCACTCCGGGAGGGCGAGCCGATGCGGCTCTCGGAGTGTGGCAAGACGCAGCACTTCACCAAGCCGCCGGCACGGCTAAACGAGGCGTCCCTGGTGAGCCTACTCGAGGAGCTTGGCATTGGACGCCCGTCGACTTTCGCGGCCATGTGCGAGCTTATACAGCAGCGCGGATACGCGGACAAGGTGCCCGGTGGCGCGCTCGTGCCCAGTGACGCGGGACGGCTGCTGACACAATTCCTGGTCGAGGTGCGTGGTCCCACTCGCGTGCCCCGCCCGACGCGGCCACGTCACGACCCGTGGATGCCACGACATGCGTGCCCCCGCGTGCCCCGGTCGCCGCAGTACTTCCCGGACGTCGTGAACTACGAGTTCACTGCCTCGATGGAGGAGAAGCTGGACGAAGTCTCCGCGGGACACGTGGCCTGGCGCGACCTGCTGGGCTCGTTCTGGGGGCCGTTCAGCGCCCGTGTGGACGAGGTCATGCAGATCGACCGCATCGCGGCGGTCCAGGCGATCGACAAGGCCCTTGAGGACCTCCTGGGGTACCCTGTCAAGGGGGGAAGTGGAAGTGCTGCGGCAGGGAACGGCGCGGAAGCGTCTCGCGGAGGAAAGATGCCGATCCCGGGTCCGGAGGGCGTGGAGCGCACGTGTCCGAGCTGCGGGACCGCAGAGCTCAAGCTGTGTGTGTCTGCCAAGGTGTGGGCCCCAGGCGCTGCTCCCGTTCGCGCCGAGCGACGTGGCCGACTCAGCGGATCATCTTGAACCGCCAGGCTTCTGACGTTTTGTCGCAGGGTGCGTGGATCGGCTGTTCGGGATACCCTGATTGCACATACGCGCTGTCGACCTTCACCCCTGGGTACGCCGGGTCGACAGTGCGGCCCCTGAGCTACCCGCGCGAAGTCGGCGCGCACTCCGAGGACGGGAAGCCCATCATGATGAAGAAGGGCCCCTACGGGCCGTACTTGGAGTGGGGCGAGCTACGGGCGTCCATCAACGTCAGGCGGAGCAACCCCGCGACCCTGTCCAAGGAGCAGTGCGAGGAGATCCTGCGCATCAAGCTCGAGAAGAAGGCACAGAGTGAGGCAGAGAGCGACTCGTCGTCGGGTGAGGTGGGAGCACCAAAGAAGCGGAAAGCGGCGAAGCGGCCACGCGCCAAGCGCACGCCGTCGGCGTACATCTTGTTTTGCAACGACGCGCGCCCGGCTCTGCTTGAGGAGCACCCGGACTGGCCGCCGACTGAGGTCATCAAGGAGCTTGCGGTACGCTGGCGCGGGATCGACGACGAGGTGCGGGCCAAGTACGAAGCGCGGGCGCAAGAGCTGAAGGAGGCGGCAGCAGCAGAGCGCGGGGACGACGGGCGGGGCAAGGCGAAGGCGAAGCGCGCGCCAACGGCGTGGGTGCTCTTTTGCAACGACGAGCGGCCAGTCGTGCGCAGTGAGCAGCCCGGGCTGGCGATGGGGGCGGTCACTCAGGAGCTGGCGCGGCGGTGGAGAGAGCTGGACGACGCAGAGCGGGCGCGGTACGTTGCGGCGGCGGAGGACAAGAAGCAGGAGATGCGGGAAACAGCGCCAGTGGCATAGCACTACAACTACGCGGTGTGATCTGCGTGATCGAGCAAGGCGGGGCAAGTTCTATCTTGTGCGTGTCGCTGATGGCCAAAGCCGGCTCGAATCCTCAACGGGGGCGAACGGACCTGCGCAGGGCCGCGCACGTCGTGCGACGTACACTCTGCGAGGATGGAGCTACCCCGGCTGCTGTCAAGTGCATTGTCTGGCGTGTCTGCGTGCGCATCAACTCACACCCCTCTCCCACAGCTTTTCGGCCAGCGGCACGATCGTCGAGCCGTGCAGCCAGCCTGGACGGGGCTGCCCGACGCCCTGTCTCGACACGGGATGAAGAACAGCATTCACCAATTGCTGCGGAATGCCACTCAAGCCCACGCGTGCGCCAACAAGCCCCCCAACGATGGCCGCATTCGTGTCCGTATCCCCGCCTTTGAGCAGAACCTGCCGAATCGCCTCCTCGTAGTCCAACTTCTGTGCCAGGGCACGTAGTGCATGGACCAAGCCCCAGCGGGCCCAGCCGATCTTTGTGTCGCACTGCGGCCCCTTCCCTGGTTCCATCGCCTCTCTCACCCATGCGCTCACGTCTGCATCACCTTCCCGCGCGGCCTGACTCCGTGCGGCGTCGACGGCACCCTCCGCATCGCCGGGAAAGTTTATGAGGTGATGCGCGGCGGCCACGTACACGGCATTCGCCGCAACACAGACCGGCGAGGCGTGCGACAGCTTGGCGTCCTCCTTTGCCCAGAAAACGGCGTCGCACAGGGGCCGTGCGTGACACCACAAGCCGATCGGTGTCGCCCGCATTAGAGCGCCATTGGCTTGGAAGAGTGGGTCGGAGGCGCTCCCGGAACGACATGCCGCTGCGCAGCCCTCTGGGGACGGGAGTGACGCGGGCTGGAACGCGGCCCTGCAGGTGTTGCCGATGTCGAACGGCGCTGATCTTATCCAACCACCGTACCGAAAGGCCACGGAGTCGAGGACAGCCTCGGGGGCATCGTGCGGGCTATGGTCAGCCAGGCCCATCGCGAGACAGATAGCCAGCTCCGTGTCATCCGTGAACTGGCCCGGTCCGACACTGAAGCATCCTCCACCAGGCAGCTGTGGGCAACAGGAAGGCACAAGAACGCGCAAGTGGGGGGCGTGAGGCGATATTGAGAACGTTTCTGTGCCAGCACGCTCGATTCTATTCCGGCGCGGCATGCCCCGGAGAGTTGCTCACCTGCAGGGCCCCCTCGACATCCTGTTCACGCACCGGCCTCCCCAGAAACTCTAGGGTCGCGCCAACGGCGTCGCCGCAAGCTGCACCTATGAAGGACCCAAACGCAGCGTTCTTGCGGTCCTCCATCCCTCTTGCAGACGCTGCAAGACCCCTCTTGCAGAGAGCAAAACAGGCTGAAATAGGACGTGGATCTCCAGCGCCGTTTGTGGCTCACTCACACTGCCCACTGCCGGCATTTCCGCTCGCGCACCTAGAAAAGCGCGCTGACAGCACAGTGGCTGTGCCACAGTGTGGCCCACAGTGGTTCTGAACGACTCTATCTTCTACCAGGATGTACTTTGCACACCCCCCCCCCATCATGCCGCCCTGCTCCCGGTGCCGCATCCCCTCTCGACCACCTCCACGACCCGCGCGACGTCGAAGCACATCTGTGGGTCCGCGTAATACACCCTTCTGTCGACCTCAGACTCCCCCTGAGCCATGCGCTCACTCGCCCCCTCCGGCACGACCCCTAGCAGCATCGCTGGCGCGCGCACGCCCATCCCCACGCGGCACGCGCGCGTTTCCGGCAGCACGTCGACCCGCAGCATCTTGGCCGCGCACATCGCGTTCAGAAGTTCGCGGAGGGCGCATGGCAGCAGCACTTGCACCTCCTCTCCCACAACACGCTCGCTGACGCCCGGGTGCCGCACGGCCAGCGCCGCGACACGCTTCGCGAGTCTGTCGAGCATCGCGACGTTCGTGCACCCGCGGTGGTCCACCCACGGGCGCATGATGCGTGGTCGATCGGTGCCCGGGCACATGATGACGAACCTCTGGCTGTGTTCCGAGGCCGCAAGCAGGGAAGTGTCGTACGCAGGCAGCTCGCGCACGAGGCCCGCCCTGAGCAACTCTTCCACTGCGGCTTCAGCGTCCGCCGATGACTCTTGGATCTGCGCAGCTGCTGCGAGGCAGTCACGGCTGCGCTGCGCCGCCGCTTCCGCCTCGGCCGCGACCTCTTCGGTCGGGATCTCATCGTCAATCGGCGGCACCTCGGGCGGCACGAACTGCCCCGTGACCGCGGCAGCGATGCTGCTGCGCGACACCCCCAGCGTCCCGTGGGCACGCACAAGCGACAGCACCGCCGTCGCGTCCGGACCTAGACGAGCCTCTGCCGCCGCTCGCAACGCCGCCGCCTGCTCGTCGTCGCCACCCAGTGCGTACGCCAGTGCAGCGACGTGTGCATCATCCGTCTCAGCGTCCCGCCGAGAAGGACTCACGGGGCGCCCCGGGCCCTCGCTGGCGGTACGGGGCGCTGACGTTCTGCGCGTGCGCCGCGCCGGCCGCTCGGGTGTCGCACCGCCCCCGCGTGATCGCCGCCGCTTCCTGCCCGCAAGGGCTGCGTCGTCAGTCTCCACCTCGCCGTCCGCGCCCTCTGCGTCGCGCTGCGCCGCAGGGGGGGCCTCGGGCACCTGTGGCCTCGTTGCCAGCGGGACCGCGCCCCGTGTGTGCGGGGAAGTGTTCGGACGAGTGACGGTGACCGTTGCTGCAACCAGCAGCCCCGGCAGCCGCGTACGCGCCGCGGAGATCTCGTCCGGCGTTGGTTTGCGCGGCTCATCGTCGCTGTTGTCGTCGTCGTCGTCGTCGTCGTCGTCCACCCCGCTCGCAACGCCGCCCTTGCGCTTCCTGGGCATCGGCAGAACCGCCACCTCCATGACGTCAAACAACTCCCTCGGGGGGTCACCCGCCGCGACGTAGTTCTGTCCAACCTTGCAGCCGTCTGCCGCCGCCCTTGCCACGTCAAGCACATCCTGCGCAGAGCTCCTTACCCCAGCTGCCGCATCCTCTGCCGCTGCTTTCCGTGCCACTTGCGCTGGCCTCAGCGCGGCCCCCGCTGGCACGCGGACTGACGGGGGCGGCGCCGGCACGGGCCCTGTGAAGAAATATTGCGGGACGTGCAGTGCTCGCATCTGCAGCGACCGCGGCGGTCCTGGGCGGTCCTGCACAATGCCAAGGGCGCGCAGCAGCCCGAACGCCTCGCAGCGCTCTCGCAGAGTGAACCGCTCTTCGACGATCTCGCTGCGGACGTTTGCGGCGTTGCAGTCATGCGCGTGCACGACAAGCGACATGAGGTGCTCCGCGGCGAGGACGGCGGGCAGCGTGGGCTTGCGCACAAGCCCAGCGGCTGGAGCGCCGCGCCGGCGGGCCTCCGGCGACGCCCCAACGAGGCGGCGGATCTGTGCGACGAGCTGTCGGACGGGCAAGGCCCGCCTGCCGACCGCTTCTTCCTCGTCCTCGTAGTTGTCGGAGCCCGAGGAGGTGCCACTGGGGGCGTCGTCCGCGCGGGCGCCGGCGCCGCGGCGTGCACCCCCGCCCGCCACCTTGACAGTCTTCGGGCGATTCGGCGCCACTGCGGGGGGTTATCGGGCGCGCGCGGATGTCTAGCCAGGTTGCGATGCCCGCCTGGTGAAGAGAGGATCAGCGGCGCTGGCGTCGCGCACCTGTCAGCAGCCGCGCGAGGAGCTGTGCGATACGTTCGACGCGCCGGGGTCGCGTTGCGGTGAGCATTTGCAGACCCTTCTCCACCTCAGCCAGCAAGCGCTCCTGCTTCGCGAGGAGCTTGTGGTCCTGGTCCTGCACGTCCTCCCGTGCCAGCACGGGCCCTGCATACGTGAAACAGCCGTGGGCCTCAGCGCCGCGTCGCTCGCTTGCTACGCCCCCGAGGCACGCCACCCAGCACGTCAACGACAACGAAACAGTACTTGCGAGGACGCACCGCTCAGCACCGCCTCGACCGCCTCGCGGCACACCTTCAGGCGTGCCTGGAACGCGCTGTCCTGCGCCACCGTGGCCGCCTCTTCGACGGGCGCCTCCGTCAGGCGGGCGCGCAGAACCTCGACAGATTCCTTGCCTGCACATTCTTCCGGGGCGCGTCCCTCCGCCACGGCGCGCACTGCGGCCGCGTGCACAGACTGCGGCACTGCCTCGACGAAGCCCCAAATGCACGCGGTACGGAGGGCCTGGAACGCGCGGCACGAGGCCTCGACGGTGCGGATGCGACGCAAGCGCACGGAAATCTGGCTGTGCTTCAAATGCTCCTCAGACGGCGTCATCAGACGCGTTGGAACCTTGTCCTTGACGTCGCCTGCGGACATTGACGCAGGGAACGACAGCGAGCCGTCGGTTTGCCGCAAAGACGTGACGCTGGCAGCGTCGCTGTTCGCGGTCAGGTCGGCCGGCGGAGACCGACGCCGCGACCAGCGGTGTAGAGACTCCTCACCTGTCGCCAGGTAGTACCGCACCAGGGACGTCATCCAGGACAAATCTTCCGACTCCCCCCAGCTGCGCTTGCGCCGCCCCGTCCGCCCCCCCTCGGCGCGTGCCACCTCCACGCCGTCCTCCTCCTGCTCCACTTCGGCGTCGTCCTCTTCCCGCACCCCCTGCCCGGCCCCGTCCTGCCGTGCTTTCCCCAAAAGGCTTTGGTAGGCAGCAACCTCTGGCTGCCGCCTTGTGATGCGGCCGCTGGCACGCACCTCGCTCTCTTTGCGCCTGCAAGCGAGCGTGCACCGACAGGGTGCGCGTCTCGGGCACGAAGGAGCATTCGTCCGCAGGGCTGAACCGTGGGCAGCCCGACAGAGGCAGCAGCGATGGCACACCCCCCTTCGGATCGGGCGGTGTGCCCATGAGCACGCCGTGTGCGCGTGCGAGTGCAGTCCGCGTGCCACAGAATCTTGCGATGACGGGTGGTGGCGAGGGTCAAGAACAGGGGATGGAGCTCTCGACAGCATTGTGCCCGTGCATCTGTGCGCACCTGAGCGAGTCGACGCGGCCGTTCTTCTTCCGCCGCTTCTCCCTGTCCACCTGGAACTTGATCCGTATCGCCTTCTCGTGTGCCACGCCGACCTCCGCCGCGGCCTCCCGCACCTCGGCAAACGTCGGCGCGTGGTCCATCTCGTGGAAACGCTCCATGAGCTCCCTGTAGGCCCCGACCTCCTCGTCGCGATCCGCGGCCACCCACTTCCGCGTCGACGTGACCGCAGGCTCCGTTGCGCCCGGGCGGTGCGACGCCGCGAACACGGGGTCCGACAGAGTAAGGAAGTACAACAGGTTCCACCAGTCGTGCACGTGGGCCTCCACGCGGAGGTCGAAGGTCGCACGGCGCACGCCGGGGGCGGACGACGCTCCGACGGCCGCGTGCGCCAGGTACCCGCCGCCGTGCTCGTCGTCGAACGACTCGGGGACGTCGATGCAGCCCTCCGTGGACGGCGCGTAGAACTGCACGGGCGCGGCGGCGGGCGCGGCGCCCGGCGCAGGAGTGCGCGATACCGCCGCGCTGCGCACGAGGCCCAGCCTCTCCAGAATGTCCATGGCGCGAGTCAGGCGCCGCAGGTTGTTGCCCGAGAGGATGGTGCGCTGGACGTCGACGGGCAGGTCCGACACGACAACCTGCACGCAGCGGGCGCGTATGCAGTCTAAACACCGCCATCCAGCACTCTCTCGTGGGCAGGTGGGCAGCTGGCTGAGCTGTCAGCACCAGGCCGAGTGTTGCAACAGCCCGGAGCTGTATCAACGCACGTTGAACGCGTGGCGCACCTCAGAGTCACGCTGTAAGTCCAGGTTCGGGTGCGGATGCACGCCTACGACCCTCGCAAATTCCCCCAGTTTCATCTGCATGATCAGTCCTGCGATGCTCACTCTGTACGGCCCCAGCTCCTCCTCCTGCGCGACGCCCCGCGCCGGCTGCGCGGCTCGGTTCCCCGGGCTGGTCGCGGTGGGGTTCGCTGCGCCGATGTTCATCGGTCCGGGCATGGAGAACCCCCCCGTTACCTTCCTGGGCTGCGCTGGCCGCGCAGGGCTGCGGCCCCCGACGACGCCCGCACCGTGTGGCGCGGCGTCGTCACCTGGCACTCCAGACGGGTCCGCATGCCCACCTGCCCATAGCCTCGCTGCCTGACACAGCTGGAGGTGCGTCATCTTTGCCCGCAGCATTAGCTGCATACAATACCCCGTTTCCGCGAGCTTCATCATGATCGTGTCCTTAGCGGAACCGGCTTCGTCCTCGCCTCCCGTCCCTGGCTCCTGCGCGGCAAGCCTGACGACGTCCGTGTGGGGGTTGCGCTCCCGCCGTGCCTTGATGCCCTGTCTCCGCACCAGCGAGTTCAGGTCCGCCAGGCGCTTGTCGAGCCGCATGCGGATCTCCTCCGTCATTGTCGCGCCTGGTGCGCCGACCACGTGCACCTGCAGGCTCGACATCGCAGCGCGGAACAATGAAATCTGTGAGCGGTGTTGCAGGTCGTTCGCCGGCCAGTCCAGCGGCTTTGCAGCAGGGGCAGCGACGTGTGCAGCGACCGTCACTCGCGCACCTCGCCCGCGGCGCTCGACTTGCCGCTCGCCAGCCTCACGTGCGCCTGCACCGCGTGGCCATCGCGCTCGAGGTCGTCAATCAAGCGCAACATCAGCTTGCGGTCCAGCCGCGCCTTCTTGCCCCCCGTCGTCGCGTCGGCGACTGCGCGGCTGAGCTCCGCGCGGAACGTCCATCCGTCGGGACACGTCTGCAGGAACGCTGCTGCTGCGTTGTACCGCTGCACGTACTCTTCCGGACGTGCGGCGCCGCTCCCCTTCCAGAACCGCCCCGATCCCTCCGCAGCGCCGCCATGGGGCTCAGTGCCGGCCTGGCGCGGAGGGCGACCGCGCTTGCGGCGAGGGGGACCATCGCTGTCGAGGTCGTCAGACTCGACGTCCGACTCCTCGGACTCGTCCGACGTCTTCCCCGGGGTGAAGTCGTCCTCGCTCGTGTCCCCGCCTCGAGAGCTCCGTTCGTCGTCCGACAGCTCCATGAAGCTCCTCCTGCCGCCCGCACGCCTGCTCCGTCGCCGCCCCGCTGCAGCCGTTGGCCCCGGCCCCGGCCCCGGCCCCGGCCCCGGCGCGGCGCCCGCCCGCCGAGCAGCAGTCAGCAGCCTATGCTCCACGCCGGCATCGCTGCTGCTGCGATCGTGCGCCGGAGACGCCGACCGAGGTGGCGTGCGTTCCTCAGGTGGAGTTGGTGGCGGGGCAGCCTCGTCGTCGCAACTGGCGTCCGAAACCTGCATGATGTCGCTGCCGTGACGCTGCTGGTGCGCCGGGGCGCCTACGAGTGCCCGGCTTGCGGCGCGGACGGAGGCGCGGTTCAGTGTTGCCGCTGCTTTGCGGTGGCGCTCAGGCATCGTAAACACCTGCATGCGGCCCCTCCCGACGGTCTCGACGGTGGTCTGGATCCCGAGCCTCGCCAGCGGAGCCACGAGACGCTTCGCCGCGGCCTTCCCGGACACACCGAGCGTCTGCCACACCTCGGGACCTGACGCACCGCGCGCGCCGCCCGCGGCGATGACGTCGAGCATCTGTCGCTCTAGTCCCGGCGTGGCGAAGTATCGCGGCCCGCGACCGCCCGTCTCGTCCTCGTCGCTCTCGTCCGCCGCGGGGCCGAAGGGGCGCAGCAGCCTGATGGTGGCCTGCCGACTGTCGTCCTTGCGCTTGTTCCCCGTCGTCGGCTTCGGGGCCGAACCGAGCTCAATGTATCCGTCGCGGACGAGCTTCTCTCGGACCCTGCGCCACGCCCTGTTGCCCTCCACCTTGACGTACCCAAGTTCCGCCTTGAACGTCTTTTCGAGCACCGGGCCCCCGTTGTGGCGCTCCAGGAGCTCGCAAATGTCGCGCAAAGGCGCCTCTTGATCGTTCAAAATGTACTGAACCTGCGTCGAGTACGGCGTGCAACAGCATGACACAGCATGTCGCAACGTGGACGGGGGTCGCAAGACGAGATCCGCGCCCGCAGGGTCGTCTGGAGCGCCTTGCACACGCGAGGTAGTCCGAGCGAAGTAGCAGCTTGTCGAGACTGCACGCGCACCTTCTCGCCGCCGTCGGAGGCTGGCATGAAGCGATGCGCCTTCCCTGCCCGAATGCGCGGGGCAAACGTCGGAAGGAAGAGAATGTTCGTCGTAACCGTGTTCGACTCCTGGGTTGTGTTCACGGCTGCAATGGGGAACTTGACCAGCAGCCCACGCGTCTCCAGCTGGCGCAGCTGCGCCCAGAGATTTTCTGGCTTCAACTGCAGCAGGCAAGGAAGCAGCGCGCGCTCGGTCGGTTGCCGAACGGCGCAAGTCCGCAGACGACGCGCGTAAACAGTAATCGAATCGCAAAGGAGCGTCGTGCAGAGCGATATCGAATGACCTCTCACGTTAACAAGTCTTGCGACGTCCCGTTGGAGCGCCCCTTGATGCCGCGCCCTTGCCAAAATCTCGACGATCTTCAGGTGGCTGTCCGGGATGGGAAACTTCGAGGTCTTCTCCACGCCAATGCCAGCGGCCAGCTCCCATACGTGAAATTGTGCTGTAACCTGCTCTCAGACAGGTCAGGAGGGCCGCCCAGTCGTCACGCCGTCGAACCACGGCACTCTCGAGCACCGGGGATGATCGCAGGTGGTGAGCCCGTGGCATGGCAGAAATCGCTCTGGTGCGGTTGAACGGGACGTTTCAACGCAGGATGCGTCGCCCGCCGCGCACTGCCCGTCTCACCTTCACGCCGGCGTCCACTGCAGCCTCGAAGCTCTCGAGCGCGGGATCGTCGCCCGAGAGCGGCTCTTCGGGCATGACCCAGAAGGGCGTGCTGGTGTGCTTGCTCTTCTCATGGGACCTGGGAGACGCTGGGGCCGACTCGTGGTACGAGAAGACGACCTCCGGTGTACGATGTACCAGGTGATCCCACAGCTGCCCCTGAATCTCCGCGTCGAGGGCAGGCACGCCGCAAGCTGGCAAGCCTTGCGCTGCGACGTCCCACAAGCGCTTCACCATGACGCCTGCATGGCATGGTCGAGGGGTTGCGCACAGGTGTTCGATTCCTCCCTTCGAGACGCCCACAGGAGGTCGCGAAATGCGCTCGTATCCGGGGCGGGGGGGCGTTCTGGTCGAGCAGTGGCGCAGGATGTGCAACCGTCCTCTCAGCGACGCTGCGGGCTCCGCGACAGCACACGTGTGCCACCAGGAGCTGCAAGCACTGCTCGGTGCTCACCCGCGCGCCCCTCCAGGGCCACTTGCACGACGACCACGTCCACAAGCGACGAGCCCATTTCCTCTTGAACTGGGCTCTGCCAGGTGCCCGGCGCCGTCAGGTTTCAACGGAGAAGGCCGCGCATCGCAGATGACCACCGGGCTCCTCTCGAGAGCTCACAGCATCTCGGAGCTAGAAGTTACGAAGCGCTGTCCCAACGCTGTGGAAGGACAGCGCGCAGTCCGGTTCCCGTCGGCTCGCTCTACTCCGTCCGCATCTGCGGGCCTGAATCACAGACCGAGCCGCACAAGTGTCGTGGGAGCTGCCCGACGCGGCCAATGACGCGTGTGCGTCTTGGAACGGCAGTGCCGGGCACGGTGGCACGCTGTCACCCCTCTCCCCTGCAGCCACGCGCCGCGGCGTCGCTGCGTACAGCCACGCGCATTGCTTGGCATCGAAGCCGCTGTCAAACGCGGGCCCGCGACGAGTTATACGCCGAATCCGCGGGCGCCCTGGCGCGTGCACCACGACCTGGCACGCAATGGCCTTCCGTCGCGTGTGAGGCGAGGCTGGCGGCGACGCGTTCCACACTGCCGACATCACGCTAGCTTCAACATATCGACGCACGTCACACTCCACAGTCTCGTGCCCGCGAGGGCAGCATGCAGCTCGCCACCAGGGCAGGCACGGTCACCCTCGCCGCGCCCCGCAAAGCATGGCGGACCCCTCGAGCACGCGGGACCTGCGCACTCACACACCAAGGACTACGTCGGCGCGCATTGTCTCCTCAGCGAAGCGTCCCAGCCGACGTCTCGGCACAAGATCCTGGATTTTGTCGCGCTCGCCCAGGTGGCTCGCTCGGCCGTAATTCGGCCGACACACGCGATGCAGGCGCCGCGAACGCGTTGTAGCACGCCGCGAGATCACGGGGGGCGATATTCCACGCCCCGTGGCCCGCGAGCGCGGCGCCCAGCGCGAACGGCTTCGGGGGTGTGAAGCTGGCGGGGCCTCGCTGAATCCTCGAGGATCGCGTTCGCGCGCGACGCTCGCCGGCGCTACTATGGCTCCCGCCGCGCGCCGCGATCGGAGTGTGTGTCGGCGCCGGACTAGCGAGCGCGCTGCGAGGCTCTGGCGACGCGCTCGGAGCGACCCGCCGACTCGCCTGCTGGAGTGCGGAGACAGGGCGCCATCCCACCACGGATCCCGCCGCTCCAGCGGCGGTCGGCGCCCCGCCAGGCCGCAGGTGCATGTGCCAGTCCGATGATGGAGATTCCCTTCCCGAACAGCCCCGCCGCGGCTGCGACGGGCCCGCACGTCGCCCACACGGCCACGCTCGCGGCGCCCCAGCAGGACGCGCCCGCCGCTCCCGGCGCGGCCACGCAGCTGGGTGCGCATCCCACACGACTTTGACAGTGCTCTCGCCGTTCGACCCGCGGTGGAAACGCGACGCGTTACGGCCGTCCTGGAGCCTCAAGCCGGCCCAAATCCTTGCCTGCCAATGATGCTCCTTCTCGCGAGCGTTTCTTCGCTCCGCCGCGCCCACAGCCGGTCGCGCGGTGCTCTGCGCTCGAGCCGAGAGGAACAGCTTGCGCTGCCATCCACAGCAAGCCTCGCGCACCGAGCAGTCGCCCCGTGGTGCACTCTGGTGCGCGCGCGGGTGGATGGCGCTCACCGCGGGCCGCCACGGCGACGGTGGGCGCTGCGAGCGTCGCGGATGTCATACGCGCGTTCAGATGTGCGATGCTCGCGTCGACTCACTCGTACGCGCGTGTGCGCTGCCTGCCGCTCGCAGGAGGGCTCGGATCATATGGATTTGATGGGACGGGTCTAGAGTCGCGGGGCTATTTGAGCTCTTTCTTGGACGACGACGACGTGGCACCGGCGCTCTCGGAGCCGCTCAGCGTCGGTGGAGAGAACTACATGTCTGGTGTAGGCCTCGGCGGCTGGGGACACGTCGCCGGCGACCACGTGGCGCTGCACGGGCCGGAGTTGCTCGATGCTCCGCGCGGGGCGGGCGCCGGGATCGGCGGGCGCGGGGGCTCGTTGGACGGCGACATGAAGGTGCACCCCGACCTGGCGGCCGCGTACCGCGATTTCACGGCCCAGGAGACGCGCCAGGCGCCCGGCGGGGGCCGTGGCGGGCGCAGGGACGGAGAGGGGGCTGATGCAGGGTTGGGCGTGGGGCGCGCGAGCATGGACGCGATGCGCGGCATGGCGCCGCAGGGCGCGGTGCAGCAGCAGGGCGTCGGGATGGCAGCGCAGGGCGCGGGCTGGCAGGGCGGGCACATGATGCACCAAGGTGAGCGGTCTGGCACCTGCCGGCCACAGACACGCCTTCAGGGGCCGGTGGCGGCCACTGGCGCGTCGGTCGCGTTCGCAGCGCCCCCGTTCACGCATGAGATGTGCAGCGTGGCACCCGAGCGCCGTTCACGGCGCAAGGTGCATTGCAAGTTGGGATCTGCTGCATGGCGCGAGGGATGGCATCTTCCCGGATGTACGCAGGCGATGCCTCGCGGCAGCAACAACAGCCTGTGCCGCAGCAGCCTGTGCAGCAGGCGTGGGGCGCGGCGGACGTGCAGGCGCACGGGGGCATGGCGCGACATGATCAGGGCGGTGCTGGCCCAGGGCCTGGGCGGCTCCCGCTGCCCGCGCTCGAAGGTCAGGGAGGGAGCGGCGGCGCGCCTGTGTACGTCAACGCGCGGCAGTACCAGGCGATCGTGCGGCGGCGCGCGCAGAGGATGCGTCAGGAGGCTCGCAACCGCGCGGCCGGGCTGCGTACTGGCGGCGGGAAGTCAAGCGGCGGGCGTCGCCCGTACCTGCACAGAGTAGTAATTGACCACCCGCGCACGAAACGAAATGCGGGTGTGCTATCGTCCTGATCAAGGCGGCAGCGTGCTAGGAGTACTCGCGCGAAATGCCATGTGAGCGTGCCATCATGTGCCAAGGGAAGGCTCTGACCTGCAATCAGTTAGAGTGAGTGGCGGGCGTCGTCAGCAACAACGCGGCGAGCCGCGCGAGTACTGGACGACGCCCGCCAGCCGACGCGCCGAAGTGCTGGGCCACGTCCTAGGCTGCTTGTACCAGGGGGTGTCGGCAGCCGGCTGGGTGACAGCGGTGACCGAGTCTGCGGCATTGTCCGCGTTGTGTGGCGACGCGCCGACGGCTACTCAGCTCTCCTCGTCATCGCCGTCCCCCGCGCGTGGCCCGTCATGCGAAAAGGGATCATACCTCGGTTTAGCGGCCACGGAATACGCGCATGGCCAACATGTCAACATCGGGGGGGTAACAGAGTGCGTCATGTGTGCGGGCATGGCTGGATAGTTCCGAGCCAGCTTCGCAGCGCCGGGATCATGTATGAGGGTGACGAGTTGCAGGGCGCCGGGCACGCCCTGTCAGCAGGTTGGCCATTATGGTCTGCAAACTGCACGTGGCGACGCACGAGGTCAGCCAGGCCCGCCGGCGTGGCAGGGCCAAAATGCGGGCTCGGGTGCGTCCGGCAGGCGGCGCGGTGGATCGCCAGGACCTGTCGCATGCAGTAACCTCGATGCGCACGCATGCAGCGCATCATGGCCGACATCTTGGCTACGTAGCTGTCGCGGTCAGTCACCTCGCTGGACACGCGGATGTGTTCGGTGCGGACGATGTTGTAAAGGTGCACGAATCGCGGCACAAGCACGCGGCACGGCGGCCGCGCGGCAAAGGCGGACGCTTCCTGAGCGCCGAGGAGGCGGCGAAGCTCGCGAAAGAGTCTGGGGGAAGTGATTCGACAGGTCCCAGCGGAGGGGGCCGTAGCCGGAGCCGGAAGGAGGGCTGAGGACCTCGTGCGTGCTGGCCTTTCGGGGCGTGTCGCGGACGCTAGCGCTTCGCCTGAGCGCGCCGCACATCGCAGTGCTGCACTGCCCGGGACAGCGCAGCTTGTGCATCGCCGCGTGCATGCGATCCCGCCACAACAAACGTGTAAGTATAGTACTTCTGCCTGCGCACACCGCCCCGCCTGGCTCACGAATCACAGCAGAGCGTGCGTGGGGAGCTGGTTGGGCCTTGGCCTGGCAAGTTCTTGGGAATGTCCTCGTCGGTCCGCGTGGCCTCGCCCGTGCGACATCTGCGCACCTTCCCCGAATCAGGATGACTTCCATGCAAGCGTGAGGGGAGTGATACGACGGCCTCACCCGTCGTCCGAGTCCGCGTCCGCCTCGCTGAGTTGCCGCAGGGCCTCCGCTCGCCTCGCTGCCCGCCCGTCTGCCGCCCCGGCCGCAGCGGCCCCAGCTCCGGCCGCCAAGGTTGCTGCTCCTGGAAACGACGACACGCGCACGTTTGGCAGGCCCCCGCCAGGCGTCGCAGCGCTTGCAGACGACCCGCCTGCTGCAAACAGCGGCTTCTGCGCGACGTGCGCCGCGGCGCCCGCTGCGAACGCCGGTCGCGCTGCAGCTGCAAATACCCCCCCAGCGCCGGCGCTCGCGCTGGGGGCCGTGTTCGCGCCGTGCGCGAGGGAGGCGCCGCGCTGAACAGCAGACGGCCCCGCGTCACGCTGCGCCGGTGGATCCTCCGGGAGCTCCCGCCTTGAGGGTGTCACGAGAAGGGGGTTCTCCAGGGACCCAAGGGGCTGTTTGCTCCGGCACGCCGCCTGCATCTGCGCCCGCGATGCCATCACCACCAGCGCTTGCTCGGTGGTCCGCCGCTTCGTAGAGCCGCGCAGAACGATGTCTTGGACCTCTCCGAACGCGGTAAAAATATCCCTCAGCTGTGCCACCGAGTACGATCCGTCCAGTGCGCTCCACGTCACCTTGAGCGTCCGCGACAGCTCCTCCTTCAACTTCCCTGACTCGACACCCCCCCCTGCGCCGTTCGCGACTTCTGCGGCGCCCCCCTCGCCGCCATCCACCGCTCCAACATCGCTGCGCACCTCCCGTACAAGTCGCTCCTGCTCCGCGCGCTTCTTCGCCGCTCTTTCCCGCAAACGTTCCAGTTCATGTGCAAGCGCAGCTTTCGCCGCCTCCTCCTTCGACGACGGCGCCGCAGCGCCCCCCCGCTCCGCACGCTCGAGGTCCTCCCGCATCTTGCGGCGCTTCGCGTCCTGCTGCTCATGCCGGCGCTCGCGTTCGAGCCGCACAGCCAACACAGCGTCGTAGGCCTTGCGAGCTTCCAGGTCGCTGAGGAGCTCGTGCGCCTGCGACAAGAGTGCGAACCTATCCGCAGCAGACGGATCGTCCGGATTCTTGTCCGGGTGCATCTTGAGCGCGAGCTTCCTGCGTGCGTGGACCGCGAGGAGGCAGTGTGGGCAGCTTTTTGTTGGCGCGGGGTCGTGCGGGGGGGCGTGATACTTGGATTCCGTCGCCGACACGCACCTGTACGCCTTCTTGATCTCATCTTGCGTGGATTCGATACCCTGGGCGAGCTCGAGGACATCGTACGGCGTCCTTGATGCCTCGCTCCAGTCGATCGCCTCACCGCCCATCCTGCCGCGTAGAACGCAGCGCTGGAGCGCCGCTCAGCCCTGCTCAGATAGACTCACTGAGATTTGGACGTGTTGCCCAGCGAGGCCTCTTGACTGGCTAGGCCGGGGGAGCTGGAAACCCCCCTTGCGACTTGCGTTTCGACGGACACAATTCAATGCTCCTCGAACAGTTACGATCGCATCATTGGCATGCATGGCATGTGGCCGGGCGCTGCATCTCGAGGTCTTCAAGGTCCCTCTGGGGCGCCCTTACCGTCTTACAAAACACTGTGGTCAGGTGGGGAGTCGACCTGTGAGGGGCCGGGCCCTCAGGGCCGCCCAGGCGCCACGAAGCCACTGAGCTCCACGAACGGCGTCCAGACCAGTCCGCTCACCCCTGGCAGTTGTAGGCATCGCGAATCGGAGCAGAGGGGCTTTCGGCCGGCCATACCTCGCGTGAGTGCGCAGCACGCCCAGGGGAAAGGTGGACAGAACCGTCCTGTTGGGACGCGGCGATGGCTGCACGGCGGCCGCCGTCGGCCGGCGGACTGGCTGTGCCGGGGGGCGCGGGCCAGATGCATGTGACGGGCCCAGAGTTCGTCCGGCACTGGGAGCGGACGTGGAGGCGGGCGCAGCAGGCCACGCTGCAAGGATGGGGTTGGATACCTACGGACGAACTCTGCCAGCCTAACTCGCAGTACCGTGGAACCAAGCACGGGCGGTTCCCGCAGTACTGTCCGGTGGGAGAGAGCGCTATCAAAGTGGCCAAGGTGCGTGCTCACGCCGCGAAACACGGTCGAAATACAGCGGTTTGTGGAGCTTGATTGTCTCAATTCAAGAGAATCACGCGGCTAGACGGCGAAGGGCCGCGCGCGGAGCGGCCGCGCCTTGTCTTGAGCAGAGCAGCAAGCACACGAAGCGCTCTCGCGTGTGCGCTCCCCCCGCAGACCCTGCTTCAAGAGGAGAGGAACATCGAGAGCGAGATCGCCGTCAGGCTAGAGGATCGCGCAGAGAAGCAGAAGAGGGGTCCTGGGCGACCACGTGGCGGAGGAGCACCGCCAACGCCGTCTGCAGGTGCGCACGCACAATGCCCGCGCACGGACGCGCCCCCGTAACGCGCCTGTGCCTTCGGGCGCTTGGAAGGGATCGCAGACGACGCGAGCACGATGTCCTTATGTACGACTGACTGATGAAAGAAGTGTCATCGAGTTTTCGCCCTTACATGCAGCTCCGAAGCCCGCGAGCCTGCCAGCACAGCCTGCAGCCCCCGAGGTCGACACCCCACGGGCCCAAGCGGCGCCTGACACCCCCGCCGAGACCCCCAGGTCCCCACAAGCCACGGATGATGCCAAGCCGCTCGAGAAGCCCGCGGAAGCACCCGCGCCTGAGCAGGCAGAGCACCCGAAGCGTCAGAAGGTGGAAGACGCTATGGATGTGGACGCGGAGAAGGGTTGAAGCACGGGCGTGCGAGCCGCGCGATGTCTTGGCCCGAAGTTGTTGGACAGTGCGCAAAGCTGGTGTGACGGCGGGTAGAAGACAGCGGTCTCTGGTGTGACGGCGGGTAGAAGACAGCGGTCTCTGCTGGTTACAGTTCCGCGGTGTGGCACCGCCGGGCATCGCCGCGGGCACAACGTGGCGCGGGAGGGGGCGGGGGTGGGCAAGGTAGGGCTGGCGGGGGATGCAAAAGAGCGAAGCGGCTGCTGTGGCTCGTCCTGCTTCTCGACGCCGGCATTGCCCGGATCCGATGTTGAGGGTTTGTTCTCAGCACCGCCGCGCGCAGAAGCGCGCGACGGGCACCCCTAGCATGAGGTCTGGCCACGAGGTCATGCAAGTCGGGAAACCAAGTCTCCCGAGCAAGCACGTCCTCCCTATCTCGAGTTCTGATTCCGTTCCTTCTCGACGTGCACGCGGCCAGCGCGTCCGCTCAGTTGTCGAGCTCGGGGGGCGTCAGGTAGACCTCCCCCCCCTTGGCCTGGAACTTCTCCGACATGGCCTGCATGCCGGCGATCTTGGCGTCGTTCGCGGACACGTCGTCGCCGAACCCGTTCTCCTCCGCCCACTGCCTGATGTCCTGCGTGATGGACATCGAGCAGAACTTGGGCCCGCACATCGAGCAGAAGTGCGCCGTCTTGGCGGGCTCCTGCGGGAGGGTGGCGTCGTGGTACGACCGCGCCGTGACGGGATCGAGCGACAGGTTGAACTGGTCCTGCCAGCGGAACTCGAAGCGCGCCTTCGAGAGCGCGTCGTCCCAAACCTGCGCGCGCGGGTGCCCCTTGGACAGGTCCGCGGCGTGCGCGGCGATCTTGTACGCGATCACGCCCGCCTTGACGTCGTCGCGGTTGGGCAGCCCCAGGTGCTCCTTCGGCGTGACGTAGCACAGCAGGGCGGTGCCAAGCTCGCCGATGCGCGCCGCGCCGATGGCCGACGTGATGTGGTCGTAGCCGGGGGCAATGTCCGTGGCCAGGGGGCCCAGGGTGTAGAACGGGGCCTCCGAGCACCACTCGAGCTGCTTGGCCATGTTCTCGGGGATCTTGTTCATCGGGACGTGGCCAGGGCCCTCGTTCATGACCTGCGGGGGAGTGACAGTCGAGTGGGGGGGGGACTGAGCACATGCACGCAGCTCCCTCTCCGTATTTTCGTGTTATCGCACTCAGAGTGTTCGAGAAGGCGGGGAACAAGTGCGAGCTCGGCCAGCTCGGTTGCGGCGACCGTCAGCCGCAAACCTGCGCTCGTGCCAACAGGTCAAGCCGGCACACCTGGACGTTGCGCTCCCACGCGCGGCGCGTGAGCTCGCCCTGCGTCTTGAGCTCAGCGAACTGCGCCTCGTCGTTGGCGTCGTAGATCGACCCTGGCCGCAGCCCGTCCCCGATCGACAGGGAGATGTCGTACCGCGCGCAAATGTCCAGGATGTCGTCCCAGTGCTCGTACGCGAAGTTCTCCGTGTGGTTCAGGAGGCAGAGCTTGGCGTGGATCGACCCGCCGCGCGACACGATGCCCGTCATGCGCTTCGCCGTCAGGGGGATGTAGCGCAGCAGGACGCCGGCATGGATGGTCCAGTAGTCCACGCCCTGCTCGGCCTGCTCGATCAGCGTCTCGCGGAACACCTCCCAGGTGATCTTCTCGACGTCGCCGTCGACCTTCTCCAGCGCCTGGTAGATCGGCACCGTGCCCACGGGCACTGGCGAGTTCCGCATCACCCACTCGCGCGTCTCGTGGATGTCCGCGCCCGTCGAGAGGTCCATCACGGTGTCCGCGCCCCAGATCGTCGACCACTGCAGCTTCTCCACCTCCTCCTCGATCGACGACGCCACCGCGCTGTTGCCGAAGTTGGCGTTCACCTTGGTCATGAACTTGCGCCCCACGATCGTCGGCTCCAGCTCCAGGTGCCGCCGGTTCGCCGGAATGATCGCACGCCCGCGGGCGACCTCGGACACCACGAAGTCCACCGGCATGCCCTCGCGCTCGGCCACGAACCGCATCTCCGGCGTCACGATGCCCTGCCTGGCGTAGTACATCTGCGTGCAGCACTCCTGCTCGTCGCGGCCGCGCACCCACTCCTCGCGCAGCTTCGGGAGGCCATCCCTGCGGCGCGGGGCGAGCGACGGTGGTGGTGGGGGGGTGCTTCAGGTGTATGGCAGGGGGCGGGGGGAGGTGTAGTTGCGCGCGGCGCCTTGTGGGAGAGGGCTGCCGTGCCCGGAGGCGTGGATCGGGGCGGGTGGCAAGCTGGGCGGCCGCGTGGGCCCGCGCGGCGCGGGTGCGGCCGGGCGGCGACGGGGGATGCCCAACGGTTCGAGCCCGCCGGGTGCGTTCCACGGGCGGGACTCGCCGCGCCGGGGCCGCGGCGCACATGTTCAGTTCGCAACCGATCCTTCGCGACCGCGCACGCGGCGGAACGCGCGATCCCGGGGCGGGGCCGGCGGGAGCAGGAGCAGGCTGGTGGTTGGTGCGGTCGCCGCACCTGGCCTCGTGGCCGTGGGGCCCCGAGGTGTCGTGGACGTCGAGGTACCCGTTGTCCTCCGACAGGTGGATCCTGCGGAAGGGCACGCGCAGCGTGAGGCCCTCGTGCTCGACCTCGTGGTAGACCTTCTCGCTGTTAGGATAGCAGTCCTCGAACGTGGGGGCCTGGCGCCACTGGTACTCGCCCGTGTGGGGGCGGTTGACGGACTGCTGGAGGTAGCGGCCCTCCTGGCGCGACATGCGCTTCAGCTCCTCGAACGCGTCGCCCTGGGGACGGGCACGGGCCCAAGCAGGAGCAACGGATGAGGCCGCGCGCGGGCCGCGGGGGCGGAGATTGGGCGCGGAAAATGCACGAACGGAAGATCCCGTGCACGTGTGAATCCCTGCTCTGCGGGATCTTGCGCGTGCGCCCGTTCGGGACGCCGTGCGACGGGCATGGCGGCTTAGCTGTGAAATGCGGGCGCGCGCGCGGCCGGCGCGCAGCCATCCGGGCGCGCGCACGCGTCGAAAGGGTCGGCGAGGCGGGTGCACGAGAACGCGACGCTCGGGACCGCATGCAGGGCGTCAGGGGGCGGCAGGTCGCACCTGTGCAGCGTCCTCGGGCGCCTCCCGGGTGGGGGACGCAGCGCGGGCGCGCGTGCTGCTGCGCGAGACAGCGCGGCCGGTGCGGCTGGCGGGCGACGGAGCCACCGCGTGCCGCGGGGCGGTGATGGCCACGCGAGCAATCATCTTCGATCGGTGCCTTCCTGCAGGAGCGTGGAGCGCGCGCGCGGTGGCGTGGAGGGCGGCCCAGATCAGCGAAACGAGGCGGTGACGATTCACTGGGGCGAGATCCACGGTCACTGGGGGACAAACGGCGTCGTGGGGCGAGAGCTGGCGACGCTGGCGCCGTGGTCGTTGCCTCTCCCTGCGAGCGCCCAGACGGAGAGTTGGCGACGCGGCAGCCGCAGCGCCTTGCACGTTTCGAGCGACGGTGCGCGCGATCGACCCCGTGCCGTGGCCGCGGCGGGCGCGCCGGTGGCTCGCTGCAGCACACGAACTCGCCTGGCTTCGCACCTGCTGCAAGAGTGACTACGAGCCACGTCAGCCACTTCGCGGGGTCCAGCAGTAACTGCCAGCGGCAATGCGCGGGCCCACGCAGCGAAACCGGCGCCATACTGAGCACTCCACTCAGTCTGGCTGCGGCCCACCAGCCAACTCCGGTGACTCTGGGTGGCGCACGGGCCGCCGCCGCGACGTTGCCCGGCTCTGCGAGAGCTCACGAACGCTCCGTGCATCTATTCGACGTTTTCGTTGTGCGCGAGGTCGCTGGATTGCCCTCTGCGGTGTCGCAGACCAGTTCATTGCACCTGGTGGGTCTGCCCGACTTGCTGAGCGCGCTTGTCAGGGGCCAAACCCACCTCGGATACCACTTCTTCGTGAAAGATCATATTCGGCCGCTGACGGCAGGAGAAACCAGCGCGAGAGGTCCACAAGGCGCCCACACACGGTCTACAGCAGGAACTTCCGTTGAACGCCCAGGGGCGACCTTCGCTCGGCCGTCGGCGGGCCCTGCAGCCGCCAATCACTGGAATGGGACCTCATCTTGGTCTGCGCCATCCGTCGCAGTGGCGCTGATTCGCCCGACCGTCGGAACCCGTGCGGTCGCCAGCGTCTAGCACCGGGAATGTCGTCGTTCCTGACGGAAAATCCTGCGCTGTGCCGACTGTGGGGCGTCAACGCTGCGCTCGGCATCCTGACCTCCCGCGCGTATCTCGAGCGGGCGCAACAGGACGCTCAGCAACATGGAGGGGAGCGTGGTGACGGGCATCGTGGCGCTCTCGCCCTCATCGTCGCGCTATCTCGGATGCCGACCCAGCTCATGGTAGGTAGAATGAATCGCACTTTCACGCCTTGTGTCGACTACTACAAGCTCGTGGACGAGCGAGCGTCCAGAAGTCACCAGCGTAACCGCACACACGAGTTGCAGGAACTCGTGGCGCAGAAGGCCTCCAGCCATCGCCATCTGACGATCAGCGACGTCTCAATGCTGTGCAAGATCCGCTGCCTCGGCCCGCACCACGCCCTGCCCAGGCGGGTCGTCGTCGACTTGCGCGGAGCCAGCGTCAGGGCCGGCGGGTACAGCGTCGCGCTCGTTCTGTCCGACACGGGGTGCGTGACCCTGCGGAACGGCAGCATCGACCTGGGCGGGCCGCGGATGAGCTCGAGCAGCGCCGAGCGGGCACGCTTCGCCTCGTTGGTGGTCAAAGCGGCTGACGGCACAGTCCTGGAGAACCTGAAGCTGCGCGACGGGTCCGTTGCTCTGCTCGGCCCACCCCAGTCTGCGACGTTCTTGCAGCGGCGAACCAGTATCGTCCACTCGCAGGGCACCACGGTGTCCTACTTTGCTGAGGGTGCGACACGCATCCGTTTGACGAGCGTCGTGCAGGCCCGGACACGGCATCTTGGTCGACGGCGCCAAGGCAGAGCTGCGGAACGTGTCGGTGGAGTACCTGAACGCGAGCGGACACGGGCACCCCCCACCGATGCCAACCTACGGCCTGCTGTGCATCAACGGTGCGGAGGTGACGCTCAAGAGCTGCACGTTCGCCTGCTGCGGCGCTGGCATCGGGGCTGCCGGGTCGAAGATCGTGGCGAGGTGCGCCCGACATGCGTTGCGGAGAAGTCGGCCCTGCAGCACAGCGGGGGCCCCTCAGGGCGAGAGATGCATCGCCCGGCTGGCAAGAGGCGAATGGTCTGGCACATCACCGCCAATGCCGTCCTGAGCGGGCGTGCGCTGATGCAGCGCGGAGCGGCTGAACGAGGGGCTGCGCGGTTCGCACATGTTGCTCTGCAGGAGTGTCCAGATTCACCAGAACGCGCAGTGGGGCGTCAACGCGACGCACGGCGGCTCGCTCGAGCTCACGCGTGCGAGCATCTCCGGGAGTGCGATCGGCGTTGCCTGCGAGGGTTCGGAGTCGCGCCTGGCCATCACCGGCGGCCGTATCGCGGGGTGCCACAAGTACGGCGTGGCCGTGCGTGGACAGGCGAGCCTCTTTATCCCGCGACACCGGAGAGAGCGAGTTGCCGGCGTTGATCGGCGGCCGTGACATTTCCTCGTTTCCCCCCGTGCAGGCGCATGCCCAGATCGCGGGCCTGCACGTGGCGCGATGCGGTGTCGTGGGGATCGTCGCGGCGGAGGCGGGCACCTTTCTGGAGTGTCGCGGCGTCAAGGTGTCGCGTTGCGTGGGCGACGGCGTGCAGGTCACGCACGGCGCTGCAGCACGCATGATGGCGGGGGATGTCGGCAGCGGGAGGGTCAAGGCGACGGTGTCTCGCGAACACTCTGGCCGGGGCTACCTTGCCACGGGGCTCGGATCGTCGCTCGAGTGCTACAACTGCGTGGCGCACAGCTGCGGCACGAGGGGGGTGCTGGTAGCCTCAGGTGCGCGGTGCTCGTTCCTCGGCGGTTCGATCCGCAACTGCGGGCGGAACTCCTGCATGGTGCACGGCGATCGATCCTCGTGTCGCCTGTGGGGGCCGCGGATCTCTGGGAACGGCGCGGAATTCGGCGACACCCCTGCGACGTCGACGCAGCATGCTACACTGGTGCGGACCGCGCCGCCCGGGGTGCCACTGGACGCGGTCCTGGACCCCGAGGCCTTGTTCGACGCCGTACAGGCGCTCGCGGAGGAGGCGGCGGCCGCGGGAGGTCCTCGGGAGGGGCTGCACCCCGAGGTGGAGGGGGGGACGTTGGCGGCTGATGCGGCGGGGCAGGCGGTAGCAGGGGCGCTGACGATGACGACTGAGGCTGCAGGGGCGTTCGCTGCCTTCGACGATGCGGTCGTTGGCGCAGGAGATGGCGAGGATGCGGCGAGGCAGCGATGGCGCAGTCGCGTGGAGCTGGCGCGGGTAGCCATTTACGCGGGGATGTTGCTGATGGCGCTGCTGGCGACGGCGATGTCCGGGCGGATCGTGCTGGAGACCATGGCGCGAGAGGCGATCCTTGAGCAGCAGGGCTGGCGGGGTGGCGAGGGCGCGGGCAGGCAGGACTTCGACGATGAGCGGTTCCGGGAACCGCGAGCAGAGCTGTAGCGGCGGCGGTCGCGGCGGATGACTGCTCGTCCGACCGGCGCCAGAGCTGATTGGCGGCCCTTACGGGTGTTCACCTGTAATGAACACCCGTCTTCTTGATGGAAACTTGCGGTGACACGACCTGCACTGCCACGTGTCCTTCAAGCACTTCCGAGGGCCTGCAAGCAACCTGGTGCCGCGGGGGCTGTGTCGAGGAGCGGGTCGTACGTCGGCCAACACCATTATGGCATCATAATGTCATTATGTGTCAATGACACACCAGGAGCAGCCATCCGCGTCACGGGTGCCCCCCTCGATCGGCGCAGACTCCATGGTGCCTTTGCGCTCGCCACCCCACGCTTCCTGCCCCGATCCTCGTCCTCCGAAGCTCGCCTCCATGATATCAACATCACACATCTTGTGATCGACGGACTCGCACTCCCTACCACACACCGTACAGCGGGCCGTCGCCTCCGACCCTCGGCTGCCGCTCTTCCTCGTCCGACTCTATTCCGAACTCCCGCGGGTCCCCCAGCCCGGCCTTCCTGTTCTCTCCTCTACTTCCCCCCTTGTCCCCTCGAGTCCCCTTCCTCCTCCGGTCAGACCGATCGTTCCGTCGTTTCCGCTGGCCCGCTGCCCTGCCGCCTTCGCCTCCGCCCCTGCCCCCCCGTCCCCGCCCATCCCGTCTCTCACCGCGACCACCCGGCCGCCTCCGCGGGGCACTCTCACCCTCGAGCTGGTTCTGCCCACAATTTCGCCGCTCGCTCCGGCCACGCCGGCCGCCGTCCTTGCCGTACCGGCTTCGGCGCTGTTCCTTGCTCAACCCCTTGATCTCCGCCTTGGTCAGCTCCTGCTCGCGCGCCTTCGCCTCCTCCAGCGCCTCCTCACTGGCAAAAGGCAACAACGCATCTGCGAGGGAGCCGAAGCCGCCCTCGGAGCGAGCGTCCTTAGCCGAAACGCCACCCGCACGGGACGAGACAGCTACGTTAGAAGCTCTGCGCTCGTCGGTCGTGGGCAGCGACGAACGCATCTCGTTGAGTCGCCCCAGCACCTCCATGTCTTGGACTGCAACACACATACATGCGAACGAACGGTGCAGAGAGACGATGAGTGGAGGGAGTGATGACAGACGCTACAGACGGGGTAAGTTGCCGCGCCTTCTCCACCGCCGCGACGCATCAAAGCCAGAACGCTGCGCAACTCGAAAGGGTAGTCGATGCCAGGTGCTTCCACGCGCGGGTCTTCTTGGCGCCAGAACGCACGCACCTGACTTGCCAAGGCCGCGGCTGTGAGCCGCAGCCTTGATCGCGGCGTCCTGCATGCCCTGCCGCGCCAGCGACGCGTTGCGCCGCATCTCCTGCAGGAGCTCCCGTGCCGACACCCTGAGCGCCCCGCCGCCGAATGCCAGATCCTGGATCTCCTTGTCGCTGCTTGCGACCGTCACGTTCGGCGTCCCGGACGCCAGCAACTCGCCCGTGCGGTTCACGATGTAGCTGTCGGCGGACTCGCGGCAAAACACAACATCGAGCCCCTGCGCGGTCGTCTCGACGGTCGTCGAGGCGTTCTCGCTGCGGTACGCGTCCCACACGAGCACGATCTTCACGCGCTCGCTCTGGGAGTACTCGACCAGCATCGCCTCGATCATCTGCCGGCCCCCCTGCAAGTCGCCTGCGTCGCGCAGCGCGACGGCGGGGTCGTGCGCGCCGAGGACGTTGTACCCGTCGACGAGCAGCACCGGCGGGACCTCATCGCCGGAAGTGCCGTACAGATTCCGAAGGCTCTGCGTGGCCTCGCTGATGAAGCGGCTCTGCTCCTTGCGCTGGCGCAGGTCCTCCTGCCTCTCCTCCTCCGTCTTCTTCTTCTTTCTGCGGTTCGTCGGGGGCTCAGAGGCTTCCCCAATGGTGAATCCTGCTGCCAGCGCAGCGGGAGCGATGCCACGCGGAGAGGGCGCGTCGCGCAACCGACGACAAGGAGCGCAGACGAGGCACAGAAAGCTCGTGGTTCCCCGTGATGTGCGCGTGTGAAGCGACAGAACGCGAGGTATACATGGTGTGCAAGCGGTGAAGTCGGCGACAAGGCGGTTTCGTCGCCTCGGTGAAGGCAGCAGTGCGATGTACCTACCTGAAGGACGTCCGTGGCGCTGGGCGGGAATTCCCTGATCCCGTGAAGCCCTTGGCGCGCTGCACCAGCCGGAGCTGCGCCTTGAGAGACATCTGCGACGTGTCGGTGATTCGGGCCGGCACATCGTCGTCCCCGCCCCCCGCGCGGGCCGGAACCTTTCTCAGGCCCACACTCGTTTGCCGGGGGAGCCGCGCAGGCAGCCGTCCGAACGAGGCAGAGGCGCATCCTCGATCACGAGCGTGTGCATGGGATGCCACGTGCGGCAGCATGTGCAAGCAGGGCATCTCAATCGGCGCCGGGGCCCTGTGCACGTTGCACACCAGTTCTCGACTCCGCGTGAGACGCCGTCGCAGCGCTCAGCGATTCCACGTGCGGGCCGCCGACCCAGTCGCCGAGCACTGCTGCTGCCTCCACGACCTGGCCTGCATTCTCGCGCGGTCTCGTCCTGATCATCATAACGTCAGTGATGTCAGACAGCCAGGAAGCACCGCCTCGAGCAAGTGGGGGTGTCGCGACACCCGCGTGGACGGAGCAGCTGGAACCCGCTCGGTGCCAGGCACATCTGTCCGAGGATCGCTGCGAGCCTGAGCGCCACCGGCACGATGGCTGAGGACGGCCAGCACGCCGTGACTCTCGCCGGGCCCCTCGAACGCGAGCCGCCCTCGAACGGCTCCAAGCGGCGCAGGCCGGCGGCGGTGTCGCTTCGAGCGGGCGGCCGCGCCGTTGCGTGCTGTGCATTGAACCATGTTGCTCTTTTTGGTCCTTTGCGCGCGCGGCCGCGTGGGCAGCAAGTGCGAGCCGGCAAGCGCACGTCGGAGAGTGTACGGGGACGCGTGGCGTCCGTGCGCCCCGAGTCACTTGGGGGCCCGTTTTAGACTGTCTGACAAATCGCTGACGGCCCACGTGGGTCAGCTCAGGCTGTCTGTCTGAGACAGCCGGGCTGATCCCTCAGGCGACGCCCCCAGGCTGAAGCCGGGGCGCGACGGCTGGCTCGAAACACTCCGTGGATTGCGAGCGAGCGTACGTGGCGGTGTGCAGAGGAACTCTTCAGAGGCACTAAGGCGGTCCAGGCCAGCGAGGCAGACTCTGCTATTCGTCAGACGATTCTCCCACGAGCAGGAGTTCAGTCGACCTGACGCGCCCGCGAAGCCGGGTAACCTGTCTAGTTGCTAGACAGGTGACGCGCGGCATTCCAAGCACGGTGCACTCCCGGCAGCTCCCGACCTCGTTCCGGCCGCCTCCGCAAAGCAGCATGATGACTTGCACGCGGGCTATCGGAATTTTCTTGGCAGTGGTCGCTGCCGCTGGCGGAGCTGCAGCGGCCGTGCCAGACAAGGCGACCTTGGTCGTGCAGTCACCGGGGTGGCACATCCGGGGGGACTGGAGCAGCAAGAAGGGTGAAGAGAATCCTTGGACCGGCTCCACGCTCGTCCTGCGCGAGGATCCGATCGTGCAGCGGAACTACGCCGTTGCGCAGGTGCACAGGCTCTCCCCCCTGTGGCGCCGGTCACGAGCCCCCGCATGCCGAACGGCAGATCCCCCACCACGATGTTGCGGAGTACCTGGTGCATCTCTGCCCCGCGGCCGCGGCACGGCCCTCCCGCGCTCAGCTGCCCCGTCTCAACCACCGCGTCGATGTAGGCCGCGCTGGGCGTCGACGATGGGGTCTTCGTGGAAATCGGGGGCGAGCGGGGCATCAACGGCTCCACCAGCCTCATGCTGGAGGGCGTCCACGGCTGGAAGGGCGTCCTCATCGAGGCCGACCCTGACTGCTACCAGGAGCTGCGGCAGCAGCGCCCCTGGGCCGTAGTCGTCAACGTGCGGCCCTGCCCTTCGCTCACTCGTGCGTTCTACGTGTCCCTCCCGGGCACCAAACATCCCCCCTCGCCCGCCCCATCGAGCGCACTCGGCCCCCAAGGGAAGTCTCGCGGCGCGCCCTGAGCATGCAGGCGGCGGCGTGTGCGGAGGCGCGCACCGTGCGCTGGGCGCCCGAGTCGCTGAGCACGCTGGACGGCCCGGAGTCGCTCGGGACGCGCGCCCTGTCGTCCGCGGGCATCTGGGAGTTTATGCCAGTGCTGCACAAGCGCGCCTTCTTCCCGAAATATCTCGTGGCGACGGAAGGCGGCGGAATCGTGGACAACGCCGCGCTCGTCGACGCCGCGTTCACCAAGATCACGTGCCTGTCGCTCTCGGACATCCTGACGTACGTGCACGCACCGCGCGTGGACTACCTGATCGTGGACGTGGAGGGCGCGGAGCTGGAGGTGCTGCGCTCGGTCGACTTCCAGCGCACGCCCGTCAAGCTGGTCTCCGTCGAGGTCATGAGCCTCAACACTGTGTCGAAGGAGCGCCTCGATGCCATCGTCGATGTGCGCCCACCACCGACACTGACACCGATACCTGCAACCGCTGTCTCCCGCGGCGGCCCGAAGCGCACCCACGGCACCGTGCGGTCACACCGGTGGGTCCAGCGCGCTCCAAACTTCCGTTTGCGCCGCGAGTCGTGTGCAGGTGATGGCCGCCAACGGCTTCGTTGCGTTCGTCCCGGAGGAGGTTCTGCTGGCGTTGCAGGCAACGGAGGACCGCGCGGTCAACATCAAGCACAGCGACGCGTACTTCTTGCACCAGTCGCTGCGTCCGTGCGAGTCGGACGTGCTGGACAGGGTGGTGGCCGCCGCAGGGGGGCGGGTGGTGACTACGTGCCCGCAGTACAAACAACAGTAAGGTCATCAGCCCCGCAATATCTCAACAATCGCCGGGGGGGCTGCGGCGTCCAGAGCGCGCCCGTCCTGGTGGCGTCATGTTGCTGCAGAGCAGATGTAGGCTGGCTTCACACCACCTTCAACTCAGCGCACCCATAGCCCCCCCCCCTGGTCGCCTAGACGCGAGCGCGCGTTCTCTCCTTCCGTCTGTCCAGCTCCCGACTTTCGTGCCCCTTTCGGATGCACGCAAGCTTCAGTACTTCGAATGATCATTTTCTTGTGCCTCGATGAGTGCGAGATGTGAGGGCAGCTTGCTCATCCTGCGTGCGGGTACTCCGCCGCGTCGTTGCTCTCGGCCACCTGCGGCAGGGTCTCGGGGCGGGTAGGCCCGGCAAGATTCTGCCAGATGCAGGCGGTATCGATGGTGTTGCCCGTCTCGAAAACTGCCCCGGGCGGCGGTAGCACTACCACCGCTGACGACTGTCACACGCGGTAGGCGCCGCATTGCCGCGCTGGGACGCCATCACTTCTGCCTGGCCGCCGCCCACGCAGCTGCGCTGTGCGGTGACGATCAATATCGCCGCTAGCTCATGACAGTGCGTCGCATCGCTACCCTCGTTCGTTCGTGGGTCGGCATGTCTCCATGGGGATGGCGCCACCTTGCGTAGCCTCTGCCAGCCTCGCGAAGGATTGTCACCATACGTCGACACTGCACACATTTTTTCTCGACCTCCTCAGCGACTGGGTTGATTGTGAAGGCGGCGGCAGCTCAACTTCGAGCTCATGGTGATGGAAAGAATCACGCGACAGCTGAGCTCTTTCCATCTCGCAACGGCTGCTCAGGTGCTAGCCCCTGCATGCTTGGCTTTGCGTAGCACGCATAGGTCGTGAGAAGAGTTCTGTTAATCGAGCTTCAGACCTTGCGGCAGGTGTCACACAACGTCATTGGCATGCTGCAGTACGGTCAACACGCCGGAGCTCCCATAGCGATGCACCCCCACCCCTGCCAACCACCACGCGGGTCCGCTGCTCAACGTGTGCTTCCAGGAGCGGCCCGAACAGCGGGTGACGTGAGGGGCTGTCACCGCCTCACCTGACATGCGTGATGTCTTGCGTATGTCTCACCGGGCAGGGTCGCCGGCCGACGACATCGGGACGCGTGGTGGGGCTTGCCGACGAGTACCCGCACGCCCGCGGGGCTCGTCACTCATCGAAGACTTCACTCGAGCTGCATGCGCAGGTGCTGGGACCCCCACACCTGTTGCTGCAGCTTGCTCATCCTGTGTGCGGGTACTCCACCGCGTCGTTGCTCTCGGCCACCCCTTTCCTTGGTTATTGAGGTGAGGTGTCACATTGTGACCTCCGGTGAGGTGAGGTGTCACATTCTTCGCGTCGTCAGCCATAAGGCTTTGGGACCTGAAAAGATCATTCGACTTGGTGGCGAGTCATGTAACACCTCACCTCACCTGTGACTAGCTAGCCCATGACGACGCGCGAACACCGCATGGACGATGCGCTGTGCCGCCACGCCAGAGTGAAGCATGCAGTGCAGTTGATTTATTTTGACGGGCCCCGCCATGACGGGCCCACGATGGGCCCCGCCGGTGACCGCGCAAGCCAACGACGCGGTGGGCGACGGTCGCCGGCGAATCGGGCACCTGACATTCGTTTCGCCGCGCTCCTCGAAGCGCGCCATGATATTGTCACTGATAGGGAAAACAGAGGGCTCCAAAATCCATGGGCCTAAGTACAACGAAAGCGTGCCTAGGCTATGCAGGCAGAGTACGCCTGCAGCAGCCGCAAGCGAGTTTCGGGAAGCAAACGCAACGCGAAGTGGCACGTCCCTCGGGGAAGTTCAGCGGGGGGGTGCACCAGGCATGTAGTCCCGCAGTGCGTCGTGCACGCTGCGAATGTCGAACTTGCTCCGAAGCCGCGCCGGAGTGAGCTCGTAGCCTCCCCGTGCCTCTTCCGACGACACGACGGTGATGGGCGATACTTTGTTTCCCGGATGGCACGCGTTGTACGCCTCGAGGATGTCAGCGAGAGCGACGGTGCCCTCGTTGACGAAGTTCATCACGCCCGTCTCCCCAGACCGCGCCATGGCGGGTATCAGGGGAAAAAGATCTCTCACGACCGTCAAGGACACGGCAATGTCGTGCAACGAAGATGCGCGCCCGCGCAGCTTCGAGAAGAAGCACTTCGGGTGCCCGTCGAAGGTGCACGGATATATGATGCGCAGGTACAGCACGTTGTCGTACAACGGCAGCGCCTCCTCCAGCTTCGCACGATACCGCGGGTACACTTTTGTCAGCGAGTCGGGCACGTCGTCGTCGGTGTATTGCTGCTTCGAGCCCGTGAAGACCCCCCCAGATCCGAAAATCGTAAGGTGCCTGCCCATCTTCTTGCACAGCTCCATCAGGCCGAGCATCTCCAGGTAGTTGACGCGGTACGTCTCATGCTCGTTGCTGTCGCACCAGTCAATCGTGGGGCGGCCTGAGATCCCGGCCGCACACACGACGTACTTGCACCCGGTCTTGGCGACGTGCCGACGGATGAGCGCCAGGTCCTCCAGTCGCGTGTTCACTCCAAGAACAGAGTGCCCTGCCTGCTCCAAGCTCCTGATGACCTCTGCCCCGAGATAGCCCCCGCAGCCAAGCACCAGGTATTCCGACTCGTGCAGGTACGAGGAGGTCGTGTCCTTCTCGGAGACGATCATGTGCTTGGACGGGAACGTCACCGTCAGGTGCTTTGCGATGTACGGGCATCCCCAGAAGATGTTGCGGTCGACGGCGGCGTCGTAACAGCCGTCGAGCAAGTACACTACCTCGGTCGCTTTGGTGGAGATGAACCCGTGCGCCGCGCCCGCGGGCACGAGGACGTGCTCCCCCGCTCGCAGTGCGACCTGTGCGCTCTCGCCCGTTTCCGGCTGGTAGAACATGTCGATGATCTCGCCGGACACGACGTAGACGACTTTACGGTACGGACTCAGATGGAAGCCCCGGAAGACGTTCTTCTCGCTGCGCGAGAACAGAATCTCGGCTGGCCTGAATGCGAGTTGCTTCAGGGCGTGGATCTCTCCGCGCTCGTCCGCCGCGATGAGACTGCTCGCCATCGTGGACGTTAGACATCGGGGATGCGCGTCAGCGCTTGTGCGGTGCAAGCCGCTCAGCCGAGCTCTCGAGTGCACTGCTGCCAACTCAGGCAACATGATGTCGGACACGGGTGAGCAGCGTGAATCAAGGCGGCCTGTAGTGGCGCAACATGCACACTCAAGCCCGCGTACACGCGCCCCTTCTGTGTCACTTCGCCCGGCAGGTGGGCTGCCGCAGCCTGCGGCACGCGGTCACACACTGCAGAGTCCCCAGCCTCGAGGCGCTGACAGGGTCGCCCTGGACGTCCTGAATTGCGATGTCATGAACCATCAGATAAGTATCAAGCGAAATTGTAGCGTGTTGCCTTCAGGCTTGCTTTTCAGACGCCAGGGACCGCGTTCAGCCCTTAGCAATAAGGGGGCACAGCGCAGCCGCCCCCTGTTCAGTTCAGTTCACACAGTCCGCAACCACTCCGCGGAGGTAGCGCTCACAGCAGCTTGAGGGGGTTTCTGCGATCCCATCAACCGGCTCGAGGAGACTTCAACTTGAAGTCATTAACGATGGGTGTCAAGGAGGTGGCCGACGCGCTGCATCCGCTGCGTGGAGGCGGCTTGTGGGCGGCCTCATTTGCGCTTCGGTTGATCAACGGTGCTCTCGTCGCAACATCGTTCAGTCCAGGCAGGCGGCCCACCGGCGACACACCTGATGCCCGCGCACTGTCCGACGCGCGAGCGCGGGCCAGCAGGCCACTGGAAGCCGCCGCGGGCTCCTAACCTGCTTCAACCAACTTCGGGACGCCCGCGCTGCTCCGCACGTTCCCGCAGATGAATATTGGCAATCGCTCGAGGTGGCGCACACTATAGTCTTTGATGTCGGTCATCTGACATGGGAGTGGGGCGACGCCGCGCTGCGGACGCACGTGCATCCATTGCTCTATGCCGTCCCGTGGACTGTCGCCGCCGTCATGTGGCTCAACTCCCCGCTGGTCCTGCTGGCGCTCGCGGGCACGACCAGTGCTGCGATCGCCGCCACGTGCGACTGGGCCACCGTCGAGGTGCGGCGAACAAGTCGCGTTCCCGTTGTAGTCGCAGGGTGAAATGTCCAGTCTTCGTTCGATGGCGTGCAGCCCTCACACAGCAGCGCGACCGTTCCTCTCCTCAGGCCCGTGACTGTCGGCACACTCCCGCGCGTGCAGGTCGCTGCATCTCTCTTCGGCGACGAGGTCGCCCCTTACGCCACCCTCGTCCAGTGGTGCTCCTGGTTCCTATGGTTCACCCTCAATCGAGCTTTCTCCAACTGCCTTGAGGCCGCCCTCACCATGGCCGCCGTGCTCCTCCTCGTGCCCGCTCGCGGCCGCAAAGCCCATGACCGCCTACCCCCTGCCCTCGGGTTCGTCCTCGCCGGGCTGAGCTTCGCGGTGCGCCCCTCCGGCCTCCCAATGTGGCTTGCGCTGGGCCTGCTCCTCCTCGTCGAGCACGGCCCGCTCGTAGCCCTGCCCGCGGCCGCAGCTGGCGGCGGCGCCCTTGCGGCCACGTGGGGCGTCGACTACGTGTTCTACGGCCGGTTCGTCATCCCACAATGGTCCTTCGTCAAGTTCAACCTGCTGGATGGAATGTCGGGGTTCGCGAACGCAGTCAGCCCGAGCTTCCACTGGTACTTCACTCAGGGCCTGCCCGCGATGATGGCGACGTACCTGCCGCTTTTGGCCGTCGGCGCAGTCGCAACGCTTGGCCTGGCGTGGACGCCGCGCCACGCATTGCCAGCCTTCGCGGTTGCCGCCGCGCAGGCGGGCATGCGTGACCGCAGCGGTCCCGGCGCGGGCAGCACGCGATCTGCCGCTGTGTGGCTGGTGGCGCCCGCGGCGGCGGCGCTCGCGGGGCTCTCGCTGGCGGCCCAGAAGGAGTTCCGGTCTGCGCTGCCAGCGATGCAGCTCCTGATGCCGTTGGTCGCAGTCGGGCTCATGGGCCTGAGCCGCACCCAGAAGGAGGTACACGGTGCACGCGTTGCCGCGGCGCTGCTGGCCCTGCAGATGCCGCTGGCATTGTTCTTCTCGCAGTTCCACCTCCGGGGGGGTCCGGCAGTGGCAAGCTACATCGCGGCCCGCGCCCGCGACGGCACGATCGATAGCGTGCACTTCCTCATGCCGTGTCACGCCACGCCCTTCTACAGTCACGTGCACCACCGTGAGAACCCGCATCCACCTCTCTGCTTTCAAACGCGCCGGCTCGAAGCGTCCGTCAGCGGGCACGCTGTGTCCGCAGGGGGATGAGATCGCGCTGCCTCGCACGCACACGCCCGCGTCTCCACAGCCCTGGCTCCGCGGGTTGCGTTCATGTTCTGCAGAGCTGCCCATGATGTTCCTGGACTGCTCGCCGCCGGGCTTCAGGCCGCCGGTCACGCACAAGTGCATCCAGATGGCGCCGGCGAAGATGACGCCCGTGACGGTACTGCGCGTGGGCTCCCGTTTGCAGTGGAAGCCGGCGGCCGACCCGCCAAGGCTTCATGACGAAGTCCTGGCGCACCCGCAGTGGTGGCTCCGCGGCCTCAAGGTGGCTCCGCGCCCTGGCGCCGCCCGGTTCCGCGGATCGTTTGCGTGCGTGCCAGCTGCGTGCACGTGGCGGAGTGGCGCCGTGTCTGGTCGCAGATCGTGGATTGGTGCTTGCAAGCAATGTCATTCCACCGTGTCCGTGCGCGCTCCTCTGTCTGCAGGTCTTCAAGGGTCTGCCGTCGCACATCGTGATGTACGACACGACGGAGGCGCAGGTCGGCGAGGGCGTCCTGCACGAGCTTGGAATGCAGCGATGTGCGTCGTTCTTCCACGCCGTGCTGCCCACGGACCACGGCCCTACGAAGCGGATCAACGTGTGGGGCACGCGCTGCGAGCCGGAAGCTGCAGCGCCGTCGCGGATGGAGACCGTCGACGCGTACAACATGGTGCAGGACGCATTGCAGGCGCAGGGGGACTCGACGCGTGCGCAGGAGTCGAACGACGCGCCGTCAGCGGCGGCGGAGGGCGAAGGGGGCGCGGGGCAACAGGCTGGCGAGTTGTAGCTGCGCGCAGGGAGCGCTCCCGGTGCGGTCCTCGCATACAACAGTTCCACTCGTGGCAGCACACGCAGAGTAGTAATTGACCACCCGCGCACGAAACGAAATGCGGGTGTGCTATCGTTCTGATCAAGGCGGCAGCGTGCTAGGAGTACACGCACATAGAAGGGAGCCTGAGGTGAGGTGTCACATTCTTCGCGTCGTCAGCCATTCGCTTGCGTCGCGGCGTGCACACGATCAGCGTTACATTGCAGCACGGCCCTCCGCCGGGTGCGCGCGCCCGTTGGTCCGCTCGAGCGACTTGCGGTCGCTCCAGCGCTCGGCTGACCTCCGCCGCTTGTCCTGCGTCGGCGACAGCCCCATGTTGAACAGCTGTCCCGTCGCCTGCTGCATCGGACTGCTATCCGACGGCGCCGTACCGATCGCCTCGCCCGCGTCTTCGCTCCCCCGCATCGCCGTGTTGATGTTGATCGCCGCTGACGTCTCCCGGCCCTCGCCTGCCGCCCCCGTCTGCGTCGCTTCCTCCGCCGCGCACTCCTGACGCTTCAGGGGCGGGCTTCTCCCCGGATCAACCGACGTCACGCGCACCTGCGCCCCGCCTGGACCCACAATGACGTCCCCGACCATCTCTGCCACCTCCGCGGCCGCCATCGCCTCCTCGTCCGCCGCCCCAGACGGCCCCGCGCCGCCCCCGTTCGGTGCCCTCGACGGGCCAACGCCGCCCTCGTTCGGCCCCCCCGGCGGACCGTCGCCGCCCCCGTCGGGGTTCCAGTCGGGGTCGTCGTCCCTGCCGCCCTCCTCCTCCTCCCCCTCCTCCTCGTCGCCTTCCGGGGGACCGTCCGGCCCGCCGTCGCCGTGCATCGATCCGCCCGCTTCGCTGGGCTCGAACTGCTCGACGTCCACGTCTTCGTCGCTGTCTGGCTCGTCCAGCTTGTAGTAAGGTTCCGCTTGGGGCCGCGGGACCGCGCTGAACTGCATGAAGCTCGGCTCGTGCCAGTGTGGGCCCTTGAGCAGCGCCACCGCCGCGCGGTTGTGCGTGCGCTCCTCGTCCACCTGGAACTGCGGGTAGTCTGGCGCACTAAACACTGTCACCAGGCGGCCCGTCTTGCCCTCGTGGTCGACCGTGTACCCGTCCTGCATCATCTCCATGCCGTCATCGCGGTTCATCCGCGCGTCGGGCCCCTCGTGCGACCGCAGGATCAGCCCCAGCCCGTTCTCCGCCAGAAACCGCTCTGTGTAGTCCGGGCCGTACAGCATGCCGATGCCGCGCGCGTTGTTCCCCATGAAGCCCTCGGACGGCGTGGGGTCCGACCACAGCACGTCCGACGCGACCACCGACGTGCCCACGCCGTCCGGGTCCTGCCCGCCCTTGCGCGACTGCCGCAGGTCTTCCAGCGTCCCCAGCTCGTTGTAAAGCGGGTCCGGCATCCACGGCTCCTGGCGGCCCTTCTTGCGTTTGCCCTTCTTGTTCGTGCGGAGCGACTCGGGCGGCTTGCGGAAGAGCCCGCCGTGCAGCACGAGGGTGCGCCCGGCCACGAGCGCAGCCAGCGGTAGCGCCGCGAACAGGCGCCGGCACTCGCCGTAGATGCGCTGCGTGTGGTGCGGGTACTTGGCGGTCAGTTCGCCGAGGAACCCGTAGATGCCCGAGCAGTAGCTGCTCTCGTGGTTGCCCCGGAGCAGGACGACGTGGTGCGGCAGGGCCAGCTTCCATGCCGCGAGGCAGGCCAGGAGCTCGACGCCCCAGGCGCCGCGGTCGATGAAGTCGCCGTTGAAGACGTACACGAGCTCCTCGCTGGGCTCCCCCGCGAGCTCGATCATGTGGCAGAAGTCCTGGTACTGGCCGTGGGTGTCGCCGACGACCACCACGCGCGTCGAGCCGTCGTTGCGGAGGGGCTTGCCCGGCCCGACCTCGACGTCGATCACCGTGGGCTCCTTCTTCAGGAGTTTCCCCGCCTCCATGAGCAGGCGCTGCGGGCGGAGGAGGAGACCAGGGCGGTCAACGCACTCCAGGGCGCGCAAGTGTGGCGGCCCCGCGTGGCCGTGGCCGGGGCCGCCGACGCGGAGACGCAGGAACAGGTGAGCAAGCGGGCGGGCGAGGGAAGTTCCGCTCCTCGCGGCTCCGGGAGGGACGGTGGTCGTGCGGTGCTTGGCCGCAGACGCACCTGCATGATGTCCGGGTGCACGAAGTGCTGGAGCTGGTCAGGCGGCAGCCAGCTGGCCTTCAGCATGATGCTCATGAGCGAACGAGCGGCGTTGACGTCCATGCCGCCCTCCGGATACTCGAAGACGGGGACATGGTCTTGCAAACCCATCGCGTCTGGCCGCGTGCGGTCGCACCGCCGCTCCGAAGGACCTGCATCGCGTGGTAGATGCGGCTGTGATCCACGAGGCAAACGTGGACGCACGCTGTCTGCTGTGTGCGGACCGCCTGCGGCGCTGCGAGCAACAGCGTGTGGGCGAAGGAAGCGTCGACCGACGCGGGGCGTGGTGCAGGTTCGGCCGCGGAATCGCGAAGGCTGATCGTTCAAAGCGATTCCTTTTTCTAGGCGGATTTTCGCGGTAAGACGCCGACGCAAAGCCCTGGAAGCGCCAAGACTTCGCTGCACCACCACATACACGAGGCGCGCGGACCTTTCGCAGGCGGGTCTTCAGACCTCGACCGCACGGAGAACGAAGCGAGTGCGCTATGGACGCTGCAACGACTTCTCCCGTGCACACAGAGAGCCGGCCTCACGGTGATGCCCTCAGTCCTGGACACGAGCGTCCGCGATTGTCCTCGCACCTAGGCGTCCGCAGCCCGCGCACGGCGTGTGGCGACAGGCCCGCCCTCCCGCCCCAATGGCGTCGCAGCTCGGTGCGGTCCAGGCTGCCCCGCACAGGCCAGTCCGCCTGACTGAGGTATCCGACATAGACGCCCGACATGTGTCTTCGCCGATTCGACGTCGAGGGCGACCAGGCGACGCCCGCCGTCGGGCGCTTCCGCCGTGCATCCAGCTCGCCGCTGCCCCACACCCTGGACGGCGGGCAGCTGCCTGCAGGCGCACGCTACCCTGCGGGGCCCGCGCATCAAGCCACGCGCTCGCTAGCCGACAGCGCACCCCGCGACACGCCTGATCTCGCCACGCACACGTCGCGGCGGCGGCCGCCACGTGTGCGCCTCCGAGGCTCACATCCCCCCCAGCACTTGCCACCGTCAGATTCATGTCCCCCCGCCGCTGACTCACCACTCGTCGTCCGACTCCGCCAGCACCGCGCGCCGCATCTTGGCGGGCGACACCGCCGGCGCAGGGCTCTTCCGCGGCGTCACCTCCGCGGCATTGCTGTCGACGGTCCGCAGCGCGCCCTTCGCACCCGCCCGCTCTCCCGTCTCCCGCTCCTGCCCCCGCGCCCCCGCCTCCTCCTTCTCGCCTCCCTCCACCGCCCCGGACGCTCCGCTGTCCTCGCCCGCACCATCCTGAACATCGCCCCTGCAGTCCCCCTCGTGGTCGTGGCCCGCGTCGTCCTCGACCTCCGCGTACGTGAAGCGCGGCTGCTCGGCCGCGCGCCGCCTGCCCCCCTCGATGATGTTGCCGCTGTCGATGCCCTCGAGGTCGCGCGCCTGCTCCAGCTTGGCACGCACCGCAGAGATTTCCGCAGCGGTGCTCGCCACGCCGAGGCCGTGCTCCGCGAGCTTCTCCTCGAGGAGCCGCGCGAGAGCCGCGGGGTCGCCGCCGGCCTGCCGGGACAGGTGCGGGCGCGAGTGTTTGATGGTGGCCATGCGCAGGAGCTGGAAGAGACGCGTGCAGCGCCGCGCCATGCGGTCCTCCGGCTCCTTCTTCGCACCGGCGGCCTTCCCTGCGGCAAACGGCGCGGCGGCGGACGTGTGAGGGCCGTGCAGACGGCTGGCCGTGTGCTTTCTGTGTGTGTGGTCATGTTTGCAGGCGCGCCTGTCTTCTTGTGCGCTGCCCCGGGGGACTTGCGCTTCCGGGCAACCTTGGCCTTGCGCGTGCCGTCGTCGCTGTCCGACGCCGGGTCGGCCTCGCTCGCGGACGCATCGCCGTCCCCGCTCTCACTCCCACTGTCGGACCTGCGCGCCGGCTTCTTCTCCTTCTTCTTCGCCGCCGGCTTCCTTTCCTTCTTCCCGGAACCGCCTTTCTCCGTCTTCGCCTTCTTCGGCGGCGACGGCTCCTCGTCCCCGTCCTTGGCGCTGTTGGAATTCTGCTCCTCGATTGACGCGACGAGCACCTGCGTGGCGAGCGACCTCAGAGGAAGTCGCGCCCCTCTTCATGCTTCCGTGTGCGTCGTGCGTGCCGACGTAACGGCCACGTCGACCGCCACGTGGCCGCACCTGGTCGATCAAGGCAGCAATGAGCGCCTTGTGCTCGTCCAGCGCCTTCGCCGGGACCCCCATCTGCTCCTCGAGGTAGCGGCGCGCCTTCTTGAGGGTGATAGTGCTGCGCGGACGCGATTGAGGTGCTCCAATGAGGCTCCTCCAGCGGCAACGGGCAGCATGGAGTTTGTATCCAGCTAGGCGCGCGCAGCCGCAGTATGCCTGGCCACAGGGTGCGGGGGCACGTTTCATTCCGCACGACGTCCTCTGAATCCGCGAGACAGCGCGTACACGCCCGCCGCGAAGCAACGGGGCGACACGCAGGCCCGTGCGTCGCGAGGAGGGAGCGCGTCGTGAAAAAGCCGGGACCCGCTGACATTGCGCCCCGCGCCGCTACAGGACCCGGCTGGCCAGCGCGCCCCGCACTTCTTGCTGCTCGCGTCCTCGCGCGCCCGGCGGGCTGTGCGCGCAGCCATCGCTCAGGACTCGCAAGCGGACTTTCGCAACAGGACAGGGTGGTTGGCAGCGGACGTACTCCTGGTTCTTGACGATGTAGTCGCTGTGGGCGGCCACAGCCGTCTTGACATCTGCCGCTGCCACCATCTTGGCCAGTGGCTGGAGCGCGGGACAAGGGAAGCGGCGCAGGGGCGCGTGGAGGTGCTCTGCTCCTCGTGGGCGCGAAGGAGCCTGCGCAGCGCAGCTCGTGGGCGCGGAAAAGACGGACGTGCCGGCCAAGCGGAATCTGCGCGATGTGCAGGTGATTCCGGGGCCACATCGTCGTGTGACGGAGGAGGAGTCTCTGAGTATGTCTGTGCTTGCGGAGGGATTTTGTAGTCCCGAAGGGCCGCGGCCGTGGCCTAACGAGGGCTCGCACGCGCGCCGGACAGTGGCAGAGCTCGTTGCTCAGCTGTTGGAGAAGTATGTCGATCGCCAGACGCACTCTGCTCCCCCACGACTGCACGTACTAGGCTCTGAAGCGAGCTGTCTGTGGCTTCGTTCCGGACGTCTGGGCGCGGCGCTGCGAGATTGCATGCAAGCGGCGGACGCAGGTGGTCGCCGGCGGTCGTAGCCCTCCTAGGTGGAGCGGGGAGGGCCTGGCAAGATGAGCAACAGGCCTATGGGCGGGCCTGGCTCCGCCTCCCCGCACCAATTCAACATCCTCGACCGCGCGCTGCCGAAGGGAAAGAGTACGGTCAGCTTGAGCGCCATGACGTTCCTGTTCAGGGAGATGATACGGTACTCGCAGGCACGACCACAGCGCGTGTCTCTCACGCGTGCCCAGCGCCGCACATGACCGCGTTACCACTTTCGCGCACTGCACCGGTGTGATGATGGAGCGCGTCGCGACCTCATCGCAGGATCGGTCGGGATCGGTCGCCGAGCTGGAGGGGAGGCTGCACGCCTTGGGCGAGGGAGTGGGTCGGCGGTTGCTGGAGGTGGTCGTGTGGCGGGACCGCGGCGGGCGGCGGGAAACGACGCTCCTGGGCATCCTCGCTCTCATCCAAGTGCGTGCCACCAACGAGTCCCTCCCGGCCACCCGCGCAGCAGGCGCCGGCGCTCCAGCTGCCTGTCGTCATTGTCGACCTGTGCCGCTGCTCCGCCTCGCTGCAAACGGCCTGCTGAGCTCGCCACGGCCGCCCGCACCTCGCAGAACACGCTGTGGAAGGCGCTCCTGGGGCGGCCGGCGGCGTCCTTGGAGAAGGGCCTGCAAGCAACTGACGAGTACATGATCAGCGACCCCTCCCCCCCCCTGACTCAGTTCATCTCCCCGTCCAAGGACGTCGGGCACTTCACGCCAGCGTCGTTCCTGGCGGGCGTCGTGGCAGGTGCGCCGCGCTGTCCGCTGCACCAGCCCCAAGTCAGAGGCGCCGCACTTTGCCTGTGTGCTCGCACGAAGCCCGCGCCGGTTGCTGCCCCGCTGGCGACCCACGGCTGCATGCGAGCGATGCCGATCGATGCGCCACTTTCAGCGACGCGCGTCGAAACGTCGACACAGCCCGATGCAGCTTGTGTGCGTCAAGCCACCCTGAACACACTCACTCACTCTCGGGGCCCACCTGCGTTTCGCCGCGCGCCGCACACATTCTATCGACGCCCTCTGCCCGTGCAATGTGCCGAGGGCGCGTCGCTGGGCCGCTCTTTGCCTCGCAGGTGCTTTGCAGGCGGCAGGCTTCCCCGGACGTGTGACCGCGCACTTGGTGGCTGTTGAGGGCCAGGCGGCGCCGCGGACGACCATTCTGATCAAGTTCGACGCCGTGGTGATGGACAGGGACGCCCAAGCGAGCGCGTGAGCTTGTACATAGGATTTCCCATGTCCTAATGGATTGATTGCACCACCGGGGTCGCACGGCGAGCTGCTCGCCCGTTCTGAGCCTGTGATCGTCTCCGCACACGCAGAATCCAGCACGCCCGCCGTCGAAGCACGGCTCATCATCCAGCACTCGCCATCCATGACCCAGAGCCACGCCATTTTCAGAGCATCCAAGCCCGCGTCGAGGGGCTGCGCACGCGGAACGCGCGTCCCGCGGGTCGCCGGGCGGTGGCGGCCCGTCGCTCAACGTGGCGCAAGCCCGCCACCAGTGGGCAACCGCGTGTCGTGCGACAATACCCCACGCCCCCGGCGGGGGTGCGGGCCGGGCCGTGGCGCACACACTCATGGCCTGGGCGCTGCGCGGCGCCCAGGAGATTGCCATCAAGATCTTGGTTCCACGTCCAGGTGGATCAAGCGGGGACACATTGCAGTTCGGGTAGGTCGCGGACCACAGCGAAGCACGCGCGTGTGTGTGTGGCGGGCCCTTGAGGGCTCGATCGCCGCCATGCAACGCGCGGGGAGGCTGTTCCGCGGACTCGCCGCCATGGACGTGTCGGGGATAGCGAGAGGTGCGGATTCCGGATCGCGAGGAGCGCGCTTGATGCCTCACAGCCCTGTTGTGGGTCCCTCACTTCCTGTCTGCGCGCGCGCGCTGCGAGTGACCGCCTTCGGTCCGATGCGACCGTCACCTCGCGATGGCGCGGGCGGCTGCTGCCCTGCACGACGCGCACGCGTGATCGAGCGGTGTGCTTTTGCGAATGCAGGGTGTGGGCCCGCGGGACAGGCAGGCGGGGTCGGGACGCTGCGTTCAATGGCCACGGAGCAGGGAGGTCCCACGCTGGCACGGGCGTCGCAGGAGTCGTGGCCGTCGCGCGACGCGGCGGGCAGCGCGAGGCCAGGCGATGCACCGGGGCAGGTGTCTGGCGACCCCTTCGCGCCCGTGCGTGAAGAGATCACGTCGATATCGGAGCGCACGAGGCACAACGTCACAACTGATATTCCCGCGCTGCAAGACGCCGCCTCGTATTTCTTCCTCCCGGAGGCCCGCGGCAAGGGGCTCCGCCCAGGCCTGGTCTTGCTCATGAGCTCGGCGCTGCGCGACATGCCGGAGCCTAAAGCGTACTACGAAGTCGACACTTCCCCACACAACTCCTACACAGGCGCGATCCGCATCGCCACCCGCCACACGAGCTTGCACGGAGGCACGCCTGGGGCACCCCACAAGCCACTCTCTCGCGGCCTGGGCACGCACACAGCCTCCCCCCGCATCTCTCCGTGCGCATAGCGTCTTGGCGCATATCGCATGGCCTGAGATGTCCCGAAAGCCGACCAAATCGACCCTGGCGCTCAGAAAGAGAGGAAACCCTGTTTCTTCAATTCCCAGTCGACCTCACGCCCCTGTCTCAGCCTGAACTCGACTCGTGCCCGCGCAGAGGACATCCGCCGGCGCCAGCAGCGCATCGGCGAGATCGCGGAGATGATCCACGTCGCCTCGCTCCTCCACGACGACGTCATCGACGAGGCGGACACACGGCGGGGGCGGAAGACGGTGAACGCGGCGTTCGGCAACAAGGCGGCGATTCTGGGCGGAGACTTCCTCCTCGCCCGCGCGTCGGTGCGTGCCCCGGCGCCGGCGGTGCGCGGGGCGCGTCGCCAGCGAGCCCGGGCGTGGCCGCATCCTCATCCTGTGTTGACCAACCATTGATGATCATTACCCATCAGTCATAGCTGATCGAAGGCTAGCTTACCTCTTTCGCACTCGGCATGGTTTCGTACAGGTTGCGCTGGCGGCGCTCCGGGAGACGCGCGTCGTGGGCATGCTCAGTCGGGTAATTGAGGACCTAGTGACCGGAGAGGTCATGCAGCTCACCGCGCAGCCGGACGACTTGCTCTCCATAGACTACTACCTGCAGAAAACGCACCGCAAGACCGCCTCGCTCCTCGCGAACGCCTGCCAGGCCGCGGCGCTCCTGGGCCTGCACTCGGTTGGTGCGTCCTGCGCCACGCACGCGCCGGGGGGCGCATAGACGCGGTGCGCAGGGACCCGAGCACCCGATACGTCCTCTCTGTTGCTGAAACGCGCTGTCTTGCCCATGCGACCGCGGCGCAGACGAGATCAAGCTGGCGTACGAGTATGGGCGGCACCTTGGCCTGGCGTTCCAGATCGTCGACGACATTCTGGACTTCGAGCAGCAGGAGGCGGACCTGGGCAAACCCAATCTGGCGGACCTGAAGTCAGGGGTGGCCACGGTGCCGGTGCTGTACGCCCTCGAGGAACACCCGCAGCTGGCGAGCATGATTCAGGGCCGCTTCAAGGGCGACGGCGAGGTCGAGCAGGCCGTGCGGCTCATACAGGACAGCGCAGGGGTGGAGCGCGCGCGCGACCTGGCCCGCCGACACGCCCACGCGGCGTCCGCGCTCATCACGGAGCTGCCGCCTGCGTCACACGGATACACCATGCAGTGCCGCAAGGCGCTGTTCGAGCTGCCCCGCCGCGTGATCGAGCGCACGAGATGACGCAGCATCGCGAGAACCTCTTCACCGAGCGCTCACACGGGTCCGCCGCTTGCGTCCCCTGACGATGGAACGCGAACAGGGCGAGGCTCGCGGAGTCAGTCACCCTCGTGCGTCTCCGCCCGCATCTCTCGCGGCATGCCCGTCCCGCGACCTCCGCCGCCCCCGCGGGCGCCGCCACGTCGTCACGTCATCCCACCCCCGCTGCGGACTCTCGTCGCGCCGCGGAGGGCTTGCGCGGCGATGCGGCTCCGCGAACGATCGCACGCGAGCTGTGAGCCGCTCGTTGGTTCCGCCGGGCGGCGTCGCCGAGGCTTCCCGCACGAGGCGCGCCTCTCCTGGATTCACGCCCCTGCCGCCGCGCAACAGGCGGTGCTCTCGTGGCCTGCGCGGCTCCGCGTCGACGTCGATGGCGCCCCACCGCCGCGTGCGCCCGGGCGTCGGCACCGGAGACCCCCCCCCGCCCGTGTTCCACCGGACGACCCCGACCTGTCGTCGCACCCCGCCAGGCAGGAGAGGCTGACGCTCGTTCCTGCTCGGCGAGGCGTACAGCTCCTGGGCGGGGCGCGACAGCAGCGCGAACTCCGAGAGGCCGTCCGCGTCGCGGTCGGCCCCTCTTGCCCTGCGATGCGCCTCCCCCCCTCCGCCGGGGAGGCGCTGCGCCGTGCTGCGAGGGCCCGTGCGGGGCGCGCCGTCCACAACGACGGTCATCTCGAAGCTGTCGCTCACGCCGAGGTCCGCAGGCGTGCGGTCTCCGCTCAGGTGGCTATCTTGGCCCTGCGAGCGAGGGGTGGTGCGGGGAGCACGAGGCGTGTGGAGGCACTGCGCCGGGGTGCGTGGGCGCAGACGTCTCAGACGTGCACGGGCGCGGTTTTTGACGTACGCTTATAAAGAAGCGGCAGTGCTGCGGATGCGGAAGGCTTTTGATGCGGCAGAACGCCTGCTGAAGCAACCGCAGGGGGAGGTGCCGCCGCATCTCGAACCACGCCGACTGCCCCGCCGGTCCGACTACGTGAACCTGCATTTCGACCGCAAATATCTGTCGTTCGCGCCATGTGTCGCCTGGGCGCCGCGGCTCGCAGGGCGCAGAAGGCACCTGGTAGCACCAGTCAGCGAGGCGCACAGGGCAGCGGTCGCGGCGACGGGCGAGGCAGGCGCGGGCCCAGGATCGACATCCGAGGAGGAGGTCGACGGATCACGTGTGGCCGCGTGTTGCGCGCGCCGGTGGGCTGAGAAGAAGCCATGGCGAGAAGGTGGCAGCCCTGGCGCCGCGCACGACGAGCGCCGGCCACGAGGCGCATTCCGGTGCCGCGGCAGGGATGGAGCCGGCCTTAAAGACGTGTTTCGCGGCCTTTGGGCGCGCAGGGCCGGCTGCGCACCTGCACTCTTGTGTCCTCATGGTCGGGCACCGGCAGGCCCATGGCCGACCGCGGCGACTTCGCGGCACGCCAGTGTGCCCTCTGCGGAACACTGAGGAAGTCCCTACAACCACAGGAAAGGCGGCTGGGACTGGGGGAAGCTGGGCCGCAGTGCGTTTCTGGCTGCGTCAGAAGGACCGGGTGGGATCGAGCTCCGTGCGAGATCAACTGGGCGGAGAACACGCGACGGTGCGCTAGTACCACAGGGCAGCGCCGTGCGGGCCAATGCGGCGACCGCCATGCGGACGCCGCGCGTGGAACTGTGGACTTCTACCGCCTCGCTCAGGAGGGTGATCCTGGCCGCCCCCGTGCGCGCCTGACGCCTCAGACCCGCGCATCGATTCCCCACTTTCCATCGCTTGCGCTGCCGCCGACAATCTCTTCGCGCACCGCCGACACACCACGTCGCGGCTCCCTCGTGGAAGGAGCTTCACGCACTGGGTTCCCGGCGGTAGGCGGGCCATTCTAGCCGCTCGACCGTTTTCCGGGCATTCCACGTCGCGAAGCGTCACGAGAAGCGGAGTTCGAGTCTCCTCGCGCATTCGCGAGCCTGCAGAGCAACAGCCACTGCCATGCCGTGCTCCGCCGGGTGCGTGGGGCGGGTGGGTCGAGCGGGGCTCGTGCCGCGCCGGACTCTGAGGTTGAGTGGTGCGCGGGCGCCCGTGGCGCGCGCAGCGGCCGCTGAGCAGGGATCGCAGCGGGGGCCGGCAGGGCCCTCTAATCCGCAGGAGCAGCTCTCCCAGCGACAGTACGACGCGTTCATGGCGGATTACAATCTGTGGGTTAAGGAGTCGGCTGCCCGGACCATGGAGGACTACAAGGCGGAGAAGGACGTGCTGTTCCGACGAACGGCGAAGTTTGGCGGCGGACTAGCACTGTACATTGCACTCGTCGTCTCCCCGGGTGCGTAACTGCGGGATGTCCGCAAAATCCTCCCTGGCACCTCGCTTCTGCCGCTCGAACCACGCAATGTTGCCAAGATTGGGGACATGGCACGCCGCACATGGGCCGGATCGGACCGGGTGCTGACGCGCACTGTCCCGTTCGCCGCGCCGGGGCCCGGCTCGACCTTTCGCCGCACAAGCAGCGTCATCAGTCGCCAGTCGACTCGTCCGCGGCCGGCCGTTCCCAGAGACGCGGGCCGGGCCGCACCCCGGTGTCCTGCACTGCGTCATGCCCAGCTCTGCATCACCTGCCGTCCCCACTTCCACGCGCAGAGTCGGCCTTGTGCACGCTGTGCGGCCTCGCGGGATCTCTCGCGTACCTTCAGCTGCTCTACCTCGACATCGACGGCGTCAAGGGGGACGACCCTACGCCCATCTTCGACGTCGAAGAGAACGTCCCCGCCGGGCCCCTTCGGATCGTGAGCAAGGTGCGCCGCGGCTCACAAGATCGCGAACGCGTAGCCCACGACCCGGGCGCTGCCACGCTGCGCCCCCCGAGGCTTTGGCGCTCCTCCTCAGATCTCGCAAACAGTGCTAGTTGCCCCCCTGCCGTGCAGGTAGCGGTCGGCCTGACGTACTCGCTGAACCGTCGGCTGCTCGTCCCAGCCGCACTTGCGGCGGGCTGCTGGGCCTTCAACGAAGCCGCGGCGCCGGACGCGTACCACCTGAGCCTGGTCGACGAGGGCTGTGTGCTCGGGGGCTTCCTGGCATACAAGGCGTCGCTCGTGGTCGAGCTGTACAACGCGTACAAGCCCCGCGTGAAGACGATGGAGGAGATCCGCGGGCCCGGGCCGCGGCCGGTGATTCAGAACGACCTGGAGGACATTGATGATTTGGGAATCGAGTACAAGGACGAGCGAGTCAAGAAAATCAAGTTCTGACCACTGCGACCACGTGCGGCCAGAGGCGCACGTGCCCCGCCGTCGCTGCGGTGTCTCTGCCGGCGAGGATCCTTGCCGTGCAAGGAACGTTCAGTGTCACTTGTTGTGTCTGAGACACCCCACAGCAGGCCGAAGGACGCGTCGCGAAGAAAAGGAGCGGCCGGGAGCGGCGACAGCGGTTTTGCCCTCTGCGCGCAGTGGGGCGAGAGCAAAAGGCAGGTCAGACCCGTAGTAGCCGTCGTGCTGATCAGGTCTCTCCTGTAATAAACCATCAGCGACGAAACGTGTCGCAACTGTCATGATCTACTATGACGAATGTGTCAACTGAGGTGTGCACTGACCATGTGAAGGGGCGGCCGGGAGCAACGCGGTGGAGTTCCAACACACACCCTAGCGAAGAACGTGTTCATTCCGTATTAGGTCATTGCATGAACGATCAGTAAGACGAAACATGTCAACTGGCGGTCGACATGTGCGTCACATCGGCGCCAGCTGGCGTGGAGAGCTGTATTGGTCTCCCCGCGCGCTTGCCCCAATGCGGGCCGAGACACCCGACGAACGGTTGGTTGGCCCGACGGGGCCACGGCGCTCGCTTGCTAGAACACGAGTTTTGGCGCACGCAGGCAGCTCAGGGCGCTGCTCGCGGGTTCCATCTCTGCGGGTCTTGCGAATCATTTGGGATCAGGATGATCCCCAGAAGGGCATCATCATGCATTCTGACTGGCCCCTCGCGGCCAGACCAGATCCGCCACGGCCCGTCGACCGGCCCCGCAGCGGCCGTTTGGGAGCGGGCCAGGCGGGCGATGCAGTCAACGGCTGTGATGCAAGTCTCAAAGTGAGGGCGCAGAATCGTCCGGTCGTTCCCCTACATCGACAACATCCCCATTTGCAAAAAGTGTAAGAGCTCCTGTGGTTGCAAGCAGAGGCCTTCGATCGAGTCCCCCACGGTCGGCCGCTCTGGGGGGCGTGCCGCCAGCTCCTGGTCCTGCTCCTGCAACATGGCCACGACGCCGCTGCCGTCCGCGAGGGCCGCCTCCCACGACTCCGAAGCACGCAGCATCGCTGCGAGGTCCTCGCGGAACGGACACGTGGACCCCTCCTGCGAAGACTCGACCAAACCCCTGGTTGGGCAGGTGCACATGAAACGCGCACGCCTCTGCGACGAGCACGCCGCGTCACGCGCGCACCAACATGGCGCCGGTGCGCGCACCGACAACAGGGGGCGCGTCGCGCTGCATGGCAGTGCGGGTGTGCATGTGCAGTAGGCCACGCACCCCATCCTTGGGAGCCGCGGCCGCGTCCCGCAGCCGTCGGATCACTGCGAGGCAGAAGCCTGCCTCCGGGGGGCGCAGCCCGGGCTTCTTCCCCTCGAGGCCCTCCAGCCTCTTCGCGGCCAGCCCGTGCAGGGTGTCGTGCAGCTGCGCCGACGCCCTCCGCCGCTGCATGTCGCTGTCCTCCGCGACCAGGTCCTCGAGAGCCTCCTTCGGCCCCACCTCGAGGAACACCTCCAGGCAGTGCACCACCTGGCTCTGCACCAGCGAGCTGCGCGAGTGCTCGAGACCCAGTGCCGCCATGCGCGTCACGATGCCCGTCGCGCGCACCTGGTCCGTCACGCACCGCGCCTTCGCGCGCATCAGCTGCGAGACGACCTTGCACACCGCGACGCGGTGCGCGCCCGCGCCAACCAGCGGCGGGGCGTCCGCGGGCCTCCCCGTGGCGTCGAAGGCCATACCGTCGATGCCAAGGACCTCGCACAGCACGCGCAGCTTGGCGAGCGCGTGCGCCGTGTGCGGCCGCAGGTCCTCCTCCTTGGTGTCCTCCTGCAGCGGCAGCCCGCACGTGTCCATCTCCGACTCCACCGCCGCGGCGGCCAGCCCCAGCGACTGACACAGCGCGGGCCGGTCCTGGGCCTTGAGCGCGCTGGCCACGTCCGCCCAGATCTGGTCCGGGTCCAGGTCGCGCGCGGACTCGTCCATCACGTCGCTGGCGTCGCCGCTGTCGTCCGTGTCGTCGTTCCCGCGCGAAAACATGCGGTTGAACAGCGCCGAGTTGGGCGAGTCGCTCGACGGCCCGGGGGCGGTCCCGGACGCGGTCTTCTCCGCGGCGGGCACGACGGCCTTCTCGGCGGACCCGTCGCCGGACTTGCGCTTCGGGCTCCCCGGCCCGCCCGTGCCACTCGAGCTGTGCCGCTTGCCCTTGCCCTTCGGACTCGTCGGCGCGGCCTCCCCTGGCTCGGCTATGTAGATCGTGACGCCCGGGCGGAGCTTCCGCAGCCCTTCCACGACGTTCGCTGCGTTCTCGCCCAGCGGGTTTCCCCACAGCTTGATGTCCAGCACCTCTGGCGCAGCGCCCGATCCCTGCGGGGGTCGGGCGCGGCGGGCGTGGGGCCTCTGAGCGCCCCGGTGCGGCAGAAAGGGCGCTGGACGTGCGCAGCGGCGTGCGGTCGCGGGTCGGGCACGAGGCTCCGGCTGTGCGGTGAGCAGCAGCACGGCATGTTGTTGCGGGAGCGGCCCTGGAGGGTCGCGCTCGCTGTGCGGCGCGCCGGGGATGGGCAGGCGCACCAGTGCACCGGCGAGGTGGGAGAGGCCGGAGTCGGAGATGACGTTGTCGACCAAGTCGATGGTGATGAGGTTGGTCGCGCTCTCAAGCACCGAACACAGCTTCTGCACGCGCTCGTCCGTGATGTTGCACCTGCGGCGACGAGGTCTGGTGGCTGGCTGGCGTTCAGGACCGTCGCGGGGCGGACGCGACGCCCGCCGCAGCGGGAGACGCTCTGCGGGCGCAGGTGCCAGAGGCGAGCAGCGCGCGCTGCGCGCGGAGGTCGGGCCGAACGTGCCGTCTCAGGTCGCAGATACACTCCAGATCGTCCCCGAGCGCCTTGATAGTGGACTTGAACTTCGTGTCCGCCACCTTTTTGTCGTCTCCATGCAGGAGGTTGCTCTCGCCATGGCTGCCCTTTGTTGCGAGCCCGCCGTCCCCCTTGACGTCCTTGACTGCGCCTCCCGCATCCCCGGACGCAACCTTCTTCTTCCTCTTCTGCACGCGGCGTGGGGAAGGCTGAGACGTGAGCGCATCGGCGAGAGAAGACCGAAAGTGCTGAGGAGAGCACCTACAGGTCGTGAACGCCTCCAGGATCGCACGACCCGCGAGCCGTGCATGTCAGCGGCTCTGAGGCAGCTCTGTATCACGCGCAGTCGGCCGCGGCGCCCGCGCGGCCGCGCAGGTCGCAGCGGGCACGCGAGCCTAACTGAGAGCGCGGACTTGCCCTCCTCTGGCGCGCACCGCCGGCGGAACGAGCGATTCCCGAGGCCCGCAGGCGGCGCCAGGCTTCGCGGCGATGATGGTGCGGGTCTGGATAACGGCATGGCTCGGGTTCGAGTTAGAGCGCAGCACGGGCGGGGCGCCCCTGGCCTGGAAAGCTCGGACCGGCGGCTCTTGCTCGTGGTGGCCGGCAACCGCGACACGAGCCAAAACGGCGGTACGAATGATGCGTGTTCGTTCCGACATCGCCGCACCTTGTTCTTTTTCTTTTTGCTCGGCGATCCAGTCGACGAAAGCGAGTTGTTTCCCGCCTGCTCGTGCTGCGCCTGCTGCTCCTCCGCGGTGTTCAGCGGCGTGAGAGACGATGGTGTGAGCGAGAACATGGTCCAATTTCTTTCTTTGGGGGCCCGCTGCCCGCCAAAGAAGGGGAAGAGACGTCCACCCTCACCTTGCTGCAATCAACGGCAGCAGCAGCAGCAGGACCACGTGGTTGCGGGACGTCACCGCTACGCACCACGCCGCCTATGTGCGGTACGGGCCGCGCGACCTGGGCGGCCCGCGCGCCGCTGACCCCTGCCGGGCCTCTCTGCACCTGGACCCGTTGGCTCGCAGCGGACGGCCCACAAAACCACGCACGAAACAGCGACAGGTTTTTGCAGCTCGCAGCGACACCGCCGCACAAGGACGTGCCGGTTGCCCGACCCCAGCGCTGAGCGCCGCTCAGGCCGAGCCTGAAGATCCTGACCACGGTGGTCTCCCTCTCGTGGCGGGCTGTGTCGCGCGTGCACATTGAGCTCGCCCGCGGCCCGTGACCCGTACTACCGTGGAAAGCTGCTTCGGCGCGTCACAGCCCGGGATCACAACACCCGGACACCGCGGGGCCTGCTTGACAGTGACAAGCACAACCACGCGCGGGCGGAAGGCCTCGCTGCTCCGGAATCGCATGCGACGGCGAAATGACCGGCCTGAACAGCAGTCAGTCAGCGGCATGAACGTGAGACGCTCAGCGTGCCCAGCGGACTAATGGTTGGAGTGAAAGGACTCGTTCTGTTTCCCTGGAAAGCACGGGACCGACGGGCCACGAGCAGAGGTGGCCCTGGTGAGGGCGCCGCCGTGCAGCACGTGCATCACGGACAGGCGTGAGAAGGCGTCCGCGATGGCGGAGTTCGGAGAGCGCCCTGCTTGCAGCTGGTAGTGCGGAGACAGCGGGCCATCTAGTTGCGGCATGCTCGGCCTCCTCGAGGATCACGTTGTACAGGAAGTGCAGGCGCTGTCGCCGAGCTCTTCCGCGTCCGCAGTGTGCGCCGCCGTCGAGTCCGCTGTCGAGGTCGCCTCGCGGCAACGCCGTGTTGCAGGTGAGGTGCTGGGTGACCTCACGCGCGCCGGCGTCCCCGGTGCCGTGAAGGACCGCGACGCCGCGAGCGCCCTGAACGCGGAGGCCAACGCCGCGTTCCGCCAGGGCCGGTGAGTGCCCCCTCTTTGGCGCCATGCCGGGGAGTTCCGCCGTCTGCATCGCTCTGGTCGAGTCCCACGTGTCGGAGCCCTCTCGGTTCTACTCGTCGCGCGCAGACTGGAGGAAGCCGTAGGTTTGTACGGGAGAGCTCTCTTGTTGGCGCCGTTTGATGTCGCAGCCGTGATTCGGGCACAGCGCGGAAGACTGGATGGTGACGCCACGGTCTGCAGCACAGACGATCAGCTCGCCGCGAAGATCCTCAGCAACCGCGGCCAGGCCTCGCTGAGCTCCCACCAGGCGCATGCAGCTACAGGGGGGGGAAATGGGGCCGTCCGGTCGGCGGCCCAGGATTGCGCTCTGGCGGCCACGCTGGATCCTTCCGCTCACAAGGCGATGTACAGGCACGCGGACGTGCCCCCCCCCTCCCCCTCCTTCCTGCACTGCTTCCCTGCGTCGGATGCATGCCGCGCTCGCGAGCGGGGCCACGACGTGCATGCGCCCTCGGGGCTCCGTGCTGCAGGCTCGGTGCAGCGATGGAGACGCTGGGCTTTGCGGCAGGCGCGCACGAGTGGTACGGCCGAGCGGCCGCGGTGCTGCGACGGGCTGGTTGTGGACATGACCAAGCGCTTTCGCAGGCGGAAGCCGCGGAGCGACGTGCGCGCGGTCGTGTCGACGAGACTTCGGCCGCACAGCTCGATCAGCAGCGCGAGCTCGCCTGGAGGGCGGTGTGGGGCACCAGCAGAGTGCCGCCCACAATGACAATACACCCCCGGGTGGTGTCTCGCGTCACGCCGGAGCGAGGTCGAGAGCTTTCGCGCGCGGTCAAAATGGCGGATGCGACTTCGCAGGTCTGGCTGCGCGAAGACCCGGCGTGTGCAGTCGTCGCCAAGTCATTGCGCAGTGCCCTGTGCCACTTCTGTCTGCGCGAGCTGCCAGGACACATGCGCCGTGACGGCGACCCCGCCACGGCCGCGCGATCCTGCGCCGTTCCGTGCCCTCGTTGCGCGGTGCACTGGTACTGCTCTCCCGCGTGCCTGACAGCAGCGCTGACATCAGCGTGGGCGGAGCGGGAGTGCGGCCGGCCGTTCAGCGCGCTGCTGCCCGAGGAAGCGCTGCTCGCTGGACGGCTTGCGGTCGCGGTGCACAGCGCGCCGAGGTCGGGCGTGCAGGGTGAGTGGCCAGGCGAACGGCTTTTTCGCGACAGGGGTGTTGCCGGAAGCGCGGACTGGGCGCGTTGCGTCGAGTCCCTGCAATCAGACTCTGGAGTCAAAGATCTTGAGCAGAGGGTGCGGGACGCAACGGTCGCCGCGGTCGTCGCGCGATGCTACGAGCTCCGCACAGAAGGGGAGGGACTCGCAGCGACGACGCAGGTGCTCTCCATGCTCGGACGCATCGAAGTCAACGGCGTCTCGGTTCAAAGCGCAGCACGATGGCCGCCCGTCGGGAGCCGCGGCATCGCGCTGTACCCCGCAGTGGCGCTTTGCAATCACTCGTGTCTTGCAAATGCAGAACTCGCCTTTTCCGACGACTTCTGCGTCGAACTGCGCAGCCTCTCGTGCATCGAGGCCGGGCAGTGCGCGATCAACATCTCCTACGGCCCGCAGGCCGGCGAGTACCCGACGTATCTGCGACGGAAGCTGCTGCACCTGCAGTACGGTTTCTGGTGCCGATGCGACGCGTGCTGCGCTGCCGAGGCCCCGGCGAGAGACACAACCGAGGACGCCGACGTGTCGGACCCGGCGGACGTGATTGCGATGACACGAGCCCTCGTGAGCTCTCTGCAGTCGCTAGGGCATGTGTCGTCCTCCTCCGAAGCTCCCGAATCCGAATCCTACCTGCGCCGCCTGCCGAACATCGAGGCACAGATGCTGGCGCTGCGGTGCGTCGGCCGGTGCGGTGGAGCAGGCACGATGACGTGCGACGTTCGCGCCGCATGCGACGCTGCGGTGCCTGCCATGCTTGCGATGCGCGCCACTGTCAGGCGCAGGCTTTCGCCGACAGAGGAAACCCTCGCACTGGCGCGTGCGTCGAGCGACGCGGCCCTCTGGCGGGACGCCCGGGTCTGCGCAGGGTGTGGGGGGGGTCTTGCAGACCATTCTCTGCTCCGCAGCAGACTCGCAGCCCTCTGCCAAGCCGTCGACATGTTGTCGCGGATCGGCGAGGCTCCGGACCCCGACCGCGTCACTGCGGAGCGCCTCTTGCAGGAGGTGATGGCTTTTCTTCAGGGGGGTGTGTCGAACTTGTCCCCGGGGCACATTGCACACCTCGACCTGTGGAACGAGGCCGCGACTCTCGCGCAGGCCACAGGGCGCTTCGACGACAGCGCTGCGGCGTGCGTGCATGCTGCGATCTGCATCGCACGTTGGCACCCCCCGCGCTCGTCCGCCGTGGTTCACGCCGTACAACGCTGCGTGGACGCGATGGGGCATCCTGACGCGCGCGCATACTCGGCCGCCGCGGCGCGGACGTCGGGCACATGGCCGACATCAGCTTCTTCTGCGATCGCGGGCGCGGCGCCGGGCTCGCGGAGCATGCAAATGCTGCATGTGGCGAGGCAGATGCTGCTCGCCGCTGTTGACTGGGCAAGAAGCGAGGACAGAGGCGCAGGACAGGACAGGGGAAGAAAGAAAGGGGCGGCTTAGTCTACTTTTCTTGCCTTAGTCTGAAACGATGTTTGATAGAGTGATCGTGCGGCGTATGACGGACGCAGGCTTCGCTGGAGGCGCCCGACGCCCATGTGCTTCGCAATGAGCCTAGAGCTTCGTCAGAATAGTCACGCGGCGCTGCCTGGGGGGGAATCACGAGAATCTGATGACATCAGGGGGTGCATTGCAGCGTGGAGCCCGCGTGGTAGATTGTGGATGCGTCGCACCGGGCCACGCCAGACGAAGGCAGTCGCACGGGGATAGTCGAGGTGCTTGTAACCTCGCTGAGACGTTCTTTTCAGTTACGATTCCACCCTGCGCCTTCTTCTCCAGTGTCCAGCCTAAGCGCCGCGAACCGCCTTGCTGACTGGCCGCGACGGTGCGGGCGGGCGGGGGCTGGACACGATGGCTGCGGACGTTGAGTCGAGGTGAGTGTTCACGGAGGCGGCGCGCCGGGAAGCGACGTGGACCTGAGCGAGCGGGCCTTGTCGACCGGATCCTCCTTGGTCACGACGTGCGCGTAGTCCGACGCGACGTGTTTCATGATGGTGTCGGCAATGTCCCGCGCTAGGTGCTGCACGAGCCCCACAAGGGCGACCAGCTCCGACCCCTCGAGTTATTGGCAGCGTGGCAGTTTCTCCCACAATGGCCCTGTTCACGTGCGTGCGATTCGTCGCACGGTACGGCGGAGATGTCTCCTACAAGGGGACAAGCGTGGCGGCTCCAGAAGGCCGTGCGTCGCACTCTCGCCGTGCAGGGACGTGCAGGACGTTGAGATGCATGGTGAAGGGGAAAGCGAGCCGTACCTCAGCCCAACCTCGAGCAAGCGCATGGGCATGACCGTGACGTTCCGGGACGTCTCGTACACCGTGATGGTCAAGAGGTGCGGCGAGGTTCACTTTGGAGCGCCGTGAGCTCATGCAATGGCTTCCTTCGCGACGGCTTTCCCGCACAGATGAGGGCCTAACAGCTCGTTTTCACAACCTCGCCATGGTCTGACCAACATGAACGATCGGGCGCTGCGACTGTCCTGCAATCACAACCCGCACGGCCCGCGCCGGCAACCCACTCCCAACGCGAGCACTGGGCCCCAAGCCGGGCCGCTCGAAGCCACGTGGAATCCCTCGCCCGGAGAAGGCATGCACATGCGCATGTATCATGCATGCAAGCTCATCGTCTCGCCTTCATCCAAGACCGATTCCTCCCCGTGCTTCCCACAGGAGCCCGAAGACCATTCTGAATCATGTGTCCGGCACTCTCATCCCAGGCGGCATGGTCGCGCTCATGGGCCCTTCCGGCTGCGGAAAGACGACCCTGCTGGACGTCCTCGCGGGGCGGAAGACGACGGGGGACATTCGCGGACAGATCCGGTTCGATGGACGGAAGCCAACGCTCGCCACGCTGCAGATGCACACGGGGTACGTCGAGCAGCACGACCACCTCCTGAGCGTCCTCACGGTCGAAGAGGTGAGCGTCCCTCGCGTGCCGCTGTGGCACCCGAGGGCTGAACCTGCGCCACGTCGTCCGCAGCGCGACACCCCGCCCTCGCCGCAGCGTCAGGGGTGTCATCGTCGAACGACACGAAGCGCCATCGATCTGTGCACGTGCAGATGCTGATGTACCAGGCGGAGCTGAAGACGAAGCTCTCGGTGCCTCGCGAGAAGAAGGTCGCCGCGGTGCAGGACATGCTCTCGATCCTGAACCTCAAGGGTGCTGCAGGGACCAAGATCGGCAGCGCACTCAGCCGCGGCATCTCGGGCGGGCAGGCCAAGCGCGTCAATATCGGCATCGCGCTCATCACGGAGCCGCGCGTGCTCTTCCTGGACGAGCCCACCAGCGGGCTGGACAGCTTCATGGCCGACGAGGTCGTGCAGTGCGTGCGCCGCCTCGCGTCGTCGGGCGTCACGGTGTGCAGCACGATCCACTGCCCGAGCGCGTTCGCCTTCGGGCTGTTCGATCGGCTGCTGCTGCTGAATCAGGGCAGGGTGATCTACGACGGCCCGGGCGGTCAGACGGCCATTTCGTACGTGCGCGGGGTCCCGGCGAAGCTGCCGAAGCAGATGGCGACGGAGACCGACGTCGAGTGGATGGTGCGGTCCCCCGCGCGCTCCGCCGTTGCTGTTCGCTGCAAACGATCGGCGCAGGGTCTGACAGCGTTGATTTTGCCGTGCGGTGCGTCGCAGATCCGCGTGACGACTGGGAACGCCCCGGAGACGCGCGAGACGGACTTTGCGGGGCTCTGGGAAGGCAGCAAGGAGTCGAGGGCGGTTGCCGAGGCCCTCAACGCGCGCATGGCAGCGCCCGAGAACGAGAAAAGCGCGCGCGTGACGCGCTTTTCGAGCGCGCAATCGATCGTTCAGCGCGCACGGGAGAATCTGCGGCTAAAGAAGGAGCAGAACAAGCCCGGTACCGTCGTTCCGACCCGGAAAGCGATGCTGGCCATGTGGCGATACCGCGGGCTGAACAACTACAGAACGAAGAACTACGTCGCGCCCCGGTTTGCGCCGAAAGTGGTGATGGCGATCATTGTGTTGACTCTGTTCCTCAACGTCGGACGCGATGACCTGACGCAGGAAAAGGTCATCAACATCGTCGGTGAGTCTGTGACCGCCCCGCCTGCGCAGGGGCACGATGTCACGCCGCGATGTCGCCACTGCGTGACAAGGAGGACGATCAGCCGCGCGCGTTTGATTGCTGCCCCCCTTCCTTCACGCCCGACTGATCGCTGATCCTCATCTTTGCCTTTTGTCTGTGCAGCGGTGATGTTCATGTGCAATGTCCTACAGGCGTTCAGCAGCATGGCGATCGCGCCCGTCCTGGTCCAGGAGCGCCCCCTCTTCTATCGAGAGCGCTCCGACGGCTGCTACACCACGCTGACGTACTGCATGTACAAGGTGACAGAGGAGATGCTCATCGGCGTTGTGGCGGCGCTCCCGTTCTCGCTCCTCGTCTTCTACCCACTCGGGTGAGCGTTGGATGCAGCGCACATGCCAGCCCGTCGCATGCGCCTCACGTGACATGCAGACACAGATGTGGTTTGCCCTGCGTGCGCGCGCAGGCTGAGCGGCTCCGTCGTGCTGTTCTGGCTGACCCTCTCGGGCGTGCACCACTGCGCGACGGGCTTCTCGCTCATGGTGGCGTCGGTGTCGCGGTCGCTCGAGGTGGCCACGTCCGTCGTGCCGGGGGTTTACGTCATCTTCATGCTGATGTGCGGCTTCATGATCGCCGTCGACGACATTCCGCCGTACTACTCGTGGATCCCGCGAATCAATTTCGTGGCCTACTCCTGGGGCGGCATGATGAAGAACCAGTTCCAGGACAACGACGTCCTTCTGTTTGGGCCCAACCGTGACAAGACTGCACTGCAGTTCTACCAAGTCGACGGCGACTGGTACCCAAGCGCGTGGGCGTGCTGTGCCGTCGTGTGGAGCATCGGAACCATACTGGCGATGATTGGCACGCTCTCGATGACCAGGAACATATCCGACCGATGACGACAATGGCAAGGTCGCGCCATCCCGCAGAGCGTCGCCGCGTGCCCCCAGGCCACGTCGGGCTGTGAGGTGAGCACATTGTTCGCGTCGTCAGCCACAAGGCTCTGGGACCTGTGGGCACGTGCGCTGCCGAACAGTCCCTCCCGCGAAACACTCGTATCCGATTCTTCTACGCGAGCGCGGGGGCACATGTAGAACGAGACGAGGCGATGCGGGGTGTTTCAGGTCGCCTTACACGCCCCCGGTCCGGTCGATCGTTGCGACCTGTGGAACCGGCGCCGCGCTGCTGCCCCGGCCGTATGGCCCCGCGGACCGCGCCGCTGCCAACGCGGCAGCTGCGTGCACGAGCGTCTGTGTCCGGTCGCCGGTCTCGGCTGGCGGGAGCGCGTGGCTCAGCGCACTGACCGCAGCGAACCTCCATTCGCAGCCTCGCTTCTCGACCTCTGCGGCAGAGACGGGTTCGAGGTCTGTTGCAGCGAACAAATCTGCCACACGTGCAGACATGCGAAGAACCATCTCGAGAGGAAGGCGAGGCGCACAGCGCAACGGTGCAAGATGGGAGCTCGCGTCCGCACCTGTAACAGCGTCGGTGATGGCGGACAGGAGCTCGCTGCTGGCCACGGCAGCAGCTGCGCCCCACTGCCGCAGAGCAGCCCCGACGATGAACCTGTACGCTGCCACGCGCACGTCGAGATCTGGCTTCTTCAGCACCTTGGCAAGCGCCTCCCCTAGCATCCCCTCCGTCACTGCGCCACCGCACGGGGCGCCGGAGGTTGCATCATGCTCTCCTAGACCCACCAATACGGCTGTCATGCGCAGCCGCTGCCGCCACAGAGAGAGTGTCGTGGCGAGGAGGCGCGGCGGAGAACGTTGAGCCAAGCATGAGAGGTCGTCAAGGATGAAGGGGGATCATGAAGGCAGATACAAGGGGTTCGTGTGTGATCACTTGGGCAACTGGGCGGATCGCGAATGTTCATCGCACCTTCCATGATGGATATCCGCATCTCCTCCTCCGCCGCGTCGCCCAGCACAGCGGTACCCGGCCCGCCGCCGCCATGGTGCCGGTCCGCCCCCAGCGCCGACGCCAGCGCGTGCAACGCCGCAATCCGCACCTCCGGCACCACTACAGTCAAATGTCCCAGCGCCAGCTCAGCAACCGGCCGACACAGCCCCGTCGCGGGCGCCATCGCCATGTCAGCACCCCCGTCCCGTGCACACAGCGTCCCCACGGCGTCCAGCGCCGCGCTCAGCGCCTCCGGCGGCGTATCTGGGGTCAGAATCGACGCCAGTCGTTGCAGCATGCCAGCCGAATCAGATGCAACGGCTGCGGCGTCGGTGCTCGCGGCGGCGGCGAGCGCCGCCGCAGTGCAGGCAATGGCCGGCACGCGGACGGCGGGGTCGGTGGCGTCCGCCGCCGCGACCGTCGCGATACGGGGCAGCAGCGCGGCGCAGAAGGGGGCGACGAGGTGGGGGTCGGGGGCGTCGGAGATGCTTTGGCGCACGACCTCCAGGGCGCAGCAGGCGCCGAGGGGGTCCGCGTCGTCGTCGATGGCATGAAACGCGCGAGAGCTGAGCAGCGCAGGGCCAGCGGCCCACTCCGGAGGCCTGCGGGCGCACGAGAGAGAGAGTAGCGCAGAGGATCCGGAGTCGAGATATCTCGAACGCCGATCCGGCGGAGGTCGTAGCTAGCTCGCGTGCGGCGAGGTGGCGCACCCACGGCCGGACGACACGAGCGCCATGGCGAGCTCGAGGCCGCGGTCGCGCACGACCGCGGAGTCAGCGTTGCAGAGATCCTCGATGTGTCGGCGCAGCGCGGTTAGCGCCTGTGCAGCACTGCTGCGTTGATGTTGCTGTCCGCTGGCCAGGGCGGCTCGCAGGCCTTGCATCACGTCTGCCGGGACGCTCGGAGAGCGGACCGAGCTCAGCGCGAGCTCGAAGTGCGCCTGTGTGGCTGCGCCGCCGCGCAGCATGCGCCCCAGCACGGCACAGCCAGCGGCGCGCGCGGTGGTGGCCTCCGAGCTGCAGGCGCCACCGATCCACGCTGCGGCTTCGTCCCTCGTTGCGAGAAGCGCCTGCGTATCGACGCGGGCAGCACGCAAGGACCGTTCTGTTGGTGCGTCTGACACGACGTCTGGTGGATCCTGGCCGCCACCGACCGGCGTGTTGCATACCTGGCACTCAGGGAACGATGAACAGCGCGAGAACGCGTCGACCACCGCCTGTGTGTCGCTGTTGGCGGCAGGTGGTGCAGCGTGTTCAAGGACTGCCAGCCCCGCGCCCGTGGCCCAGCGCTCCATGAATGGAACCGCCAGAGAAGCAGCACTGGGGCCGTCGATCACGTCGCATGCATCGTCCGTCAAGTCCCGCCAGCCAGGACGCCGCCCTGGAGTGCCTTCGAGCATCCCGGAGCCACCCGGCGGGCTAGGAGCGGTCATGGGGGGCTAAGCGCTGGATCCAGCCAGGCACTTGGCTTCCCACGGAATCGTTGTATGCATCCGCCTACGGGTGCGCTGAGTCAATGGGCGCACCCGCCTTCCGGAATACATCCCTGCGCCTCCAGCAGCTTTTCAGCCCGACACGCAGGCACGACCCCCAGTGCAGCCGGCGGGTCGTCAGGCCGCCCCCGCGTCCGCTGGTGGGCAATTCCGTCGCCTGAAGTGCGTAACGCGTTCGTGAGGCAGCGTTCTCGCGTCGCCGGGGCGTGTGATTCTCTGGATCGTTGCACGGCAGTGGAGCGTGCCGCGCGGGCGCAGGCGGTGTAGCGCTAGCTGGCGATGACAGTGGGACAGGGCGCGACCGTGGGTGGCGCTGACATTCTGCGGCCGGCGCTGGACACCAAGCAGTACCAGTTCGTCACCTTGGACAATGGACTCCGCGCGCTCCTGGTCCACGATCCCCACGTAGCGAAGTCCCTCGAGGTAAGCTGCCGCTACCACATCACGCCAGGCCGGCGGCTCGGTCGTTTGTCGCGACCGAAAGGGCCCGCGCCAGCTAGCAGCCAGACAGCAGCGTTGGCTTCGTCTTGCGGAGGTCGGGTCACGGCAGTCTCACGACGTTCGAGGCACGTGCAAACCATGTAAATTGCACTTTTCGCTGTGCAGCATCGAGGAAGCGATGGCGCTGGGGATGGCGAGATGGAGAGCGAGTCGGGCTCTGTGGGCAGTGAATTGGACGGCTCGGACGACGGGAGTGGTTCGGAGGACCCCGAGATGGACGAGGGCGAGGACGAGGACGGCAGCGCGGGGCCAGCCGGCAAGAAACCGGCCGCTGGCGGCGAGCGTGCGAAGACGAAGGCTGCCGCGGCGCTGTCAGTTGGGGTTGGGAGTTTCTCAGATCCACAGGACCTCCAGGGCCTCGCACACTACCTCGAGCACATGCTGTTCATGGGCAGCGCGCCGTTCCCCGAGGAGAACGGCTACGACGACTTCCTGTCCAAGCACGGGGGCTCGAGCAACGCCTTCACAGATGCCGAGCAGACGACGTTCTATTTCGACGTGAATCCAGCGCACCTGCGCGACGCCCTGGACCGCTTCGCCCAGTTCTTCATCTCCCCGCTCTGCCTCGCCGGGTCGCTCGAGCGGGAGGTCCAGGCCGTGGAGAACGAGTTCGCGGGGGTGAAGCAAACCGACGGCTGCAGGGCTGTCCAGCTCCGCTGCCACACCGCGAACGCGGGGCACGTGCTCAAGCTCTTCGGGTGGGGCAACCGGCAAAGCCTCTGGGACGGGCCCAGGGCGCAGGGGATCGACGTCCGGGAGCGCCTCCTTGAGTTCTACAAGTGAGTCTCTGCACGGCGACATGAGACGACACCGCGGCAGCGCCCGCGCGGGCGATGCTGCCGGGCCAGCGCAGCCTGGCCCGTTCGCATCGGCTGCCCGCGATACACGAAATCATGTCGAAACGAACCGCACTGTCTCCGTCTTGCACAGCGACGTCTGACAACATTCCCTCCCCCTCCCACCTTTGCAGAACGATGTACTCCGCGGAGCGAATGGCGCTGGTCGTGCAGGGCGGGCAGCCGCTGGAGCAGCTCCGCGAGTGGGTCACGGGGCTCTTCGCGCCCGTCCCCGCGGGCCGAGGGCCGCCCCCAAGGTTTGACGCGCTGGGCTCGCCGTTCGCGCAGCAGCCGCCGAAAATGATCGTGTTCCCGGCGGTGCGCGACACGCACACGCTGCAGCTGGTGTTTGCGCTGCCGTGCCTTGCGGACCGCTACGAGGCCAAGGGGGAGGAATATTTCGGACACCTCCTGGGGCACGAGGGGAGGGGGTCGCTGCTGGCCGCGCTGAAGCAACGCGGGCTCGCGACGGGGATCTACGCCGGCACGGACGACAGCGGGTACGACAAGAACTCCGCCGCGCACATCTTCGCGGTCCAGGTGAACCTGACGACCGCGGGCCTGACTCGGTACAAGGAGGTGGTGGCGCTGACGTTCCAGTACGTCGAGATGCTGCGCCGCAAGGGCCCGCAGCGGTGGGTGTGGGAGGAGATCCGGGACACGGCGCGCATGCGCTTCCGCTTCGAGGACGACGACGCGCCAGCGGACTTTTGTGCCGAAGCCGCGTGCAACCTCCACATGTACCGCCCCGAGCACGTGCTGTCCGGGCCGTACCAGTACGGAGAGTACGACGAGACGTTGCTCGTGCAGCTTCTCGAGCTGCTGCGCCCCACGGCCGAGGGCTGGCGCATCGAGATCCAGACCTCGGACATCAATGCTGTCCTGTTGCCCAGCGATGGGAGCAGGGGGCACGAGCCCTGGTTCGACCTGGACTACGTCGTGCGCGACGTGGCGGCGGCCGACATCGAGGAATGGGCCACGGCCACGCCCGCGGAGGACCTCGCACTCCCCCCCCACAACTCGTACGTCCCCACGGACTTCAGTGTGCTGTCCCCGGAGCAGGACTGCGGCCCCGCGCCGCTGCACGCCAGCCCGGGCCCCGACGCCCCGCTGTGCAGCGCACCCGCGCTCCTCTCGGACACGCCGGGCCTGCGGGTGTGGCACAAGCTGGACGGGCGCTTCAAGCAGCCCAAGGCGTATGCGTACTTTTGCGTTCACTCCCCCCTGACGGCAGCGGGCCCCCGGGAGCTCGCGGCGACGGCGCTGGTGCAGGAGCTCCTGCGCGACGCGCTCACCGAGGAGGCGTACATGGCGGAGACGGCCAACCTGCTGTACCATGTGTCGACGGACCCAGTGTTGGGACTCCAGGTCAAGGTCGAGGGGTTCACGCACCGCATGCCGCGGCTGGTTGAGCAGATCTTCGCGGCGCTGCGAGGCCTCGCGGGCCTCGTGGGGGCGGGGGACTTCGAGCGCGTGCGGGAGGACGTTGCGCGCAAGTACAAGAACGCCCACTTGAAGCCCGGGAAGCACGCGCTGTGGACGCGGCTGTACGCGATCAAGCCGCTGGATATCGTCACGGCGGACACGCTCGAGCAGATCGAGGCGCTCACGCTCGCGGAGGTCATGCAGCACCTCGCGCGGCTGTTGTCTTCATGTCACGTGGAGGCGCTAGTGATTGGCAACGTCACCAGGGAGGGCGCGGCGCAGATGGCGCGCACGGCGCGGGAGATGCTGAGCGAGCAAGGTGGCGTCCTCACTGCCGACGCGCGCAGGGCCGACAAGGTCGTGCGACTCCCGGAGGGGTGTGCCAAGGTGGTGTCAGTTCCGGCAAAGAACCCCGCGGAAACGAACAGCGCGGTGGAGCTGTACCTGCAAGGCCCCCTCGACAGATTCGTGGCGCCGAGGGACCGCGTGATCGTGCACATGCTCGAGAGCCTGCTCGACGAGCCGCTCTTCAACACCCTGCGCACCAAGGAGCAGCTGGGCTACGCCGTGCACGGCGGGTACAGGCTCACGCTGGGCGTGCTGGGATACGGCGTGCAAGTTGTGTCCAGCCAGTGAGTGGGCCCGCAACCCGCAGCGGCCGCTCGCTCGAGTGCGCGAACCTTTCTGCTCATGTCTCTTTGTTCCGCTTGTGTCTGCCAACTGCATGTGTTACCGGCCCGTGTCGTGAAGCCAGATGGCGTGAGTGCGTGTACGTTGCTGCTGTATCGCAGACACGGCCCCGAGCTCCTGGAGGCGAGTGTGGAGGCGTTCCTGGCCAGTGCGCGCGACACCCTGGCGGGGAAGTCCGCGGAGGACTTCGAGAAGCAACGCTCCGCGGTTGCGCAGAGGCTGTCGATGCGGGACCCGAACCTGTACGAGGAGGCCGAGCGGCACTGGTACCACATCCTGCACAGGCGGTACCAGTTCTACAGCCGCGACGCCGAGCTGAGTCAGCTGCAGGAGGTGACCCTGTCTGAATGCCTCGAGTGGTATGACGCGTACATCAAGCCGGGGTCGCCGCACCGGCGCAAGATCAGCGTGCACGTGTGCGCCGCGGCGCACGCCACCGGCCGCGAGCCCTGGCACGCAGCTGCACAGAGGGACGGCCCCTCCGCATCACTGACGCAAGTCTATGCCGACGTCGCGGCCTGGCGCGCGGGGCTCGAGGCGATGCCCATGCTCGAGGGCGACGCCGTGGCGCCCTGGGCCAGCTAGGCGAGTGGCTGTGAGCGTGGGTCTGGACGTGAGTCTCGTGAACCGCGCTTTTTCTCCATTGATCAGGAATGATACGTTTGTCACCTACGTCTAGAGTCGACGATCCACAAGTTATTGCGGGAGCATGTTGTTGCCTGTGCAGCCTGAGCGTGACGCGACTGACGGACCGGTCCGCGACGTACGGACGCGTGCGTCACACGATGTGGCCGTCCGCGCGCAGCAGGAGCGACCCGCTCTGCGTCACCTCTGAGGCGCTGTCGCAGCTCAGAAGATGATCACGATGCCGTCCTGCACGCGGTGCTTCTGCCCCTGCGAAATGCACTCGGAGATCCACATGATGTTGCGGATCTCCTGCTCGCGCAGGCGCAGGAACGCGTAGAACACCCCGAAGTGGAACTGCTGTTCAAAGCACGCCGTCATCAACCGCACATCCTCGGTGTACAGGATCTTGTCGAGCATCTGGCTCTCCCCGAACGACATCTGAGAGAAGAACTGTTTGTACTGCGGCACTTTCTCCACTGCGGTGCGCACGGCGTCGTAGTCCTCGGCCAGGGAGAGCTCATAGTGGCCCGTGGGGTGCAGCTGCCCGAGGGAGGCGTACAGGCGCCGGCGGTCCTCGCGGGTGAGCTCGGTCCCGATGGAGTTGAGCGTGATGTTGAGGGCGCGGCGGTCCGCCTCGAACGCGAGCAGCTCGCCCATAATGGCTGCCGTCCCGCCACCGATAGACTGACACAGGCGGTGGAAGTCCTCGAGGTAGGCGCGGTGGAGGGTGTTGCGCATGACCTCGATGTTCATCTCGTCCAGGTCGTCCGAGGTGAGGCACTCGGAGAAGTACGGCGCCAACGGCGTGTCGACCAGCACCAGGCGGTAGAGCTCCTGCAGGCAGCAGCCGCGTGCGGGGAGTTCGTCGAGCGGCGTGCGCGCATCGCAGCGATGACGCACGCGCGCGACGCGCTCAGGGACAGGCGGGGGCTCGATAACGCCGCCGCGGCACGTCGGCGGGTGCCAGGGTGCCGCGCTTTGGTCAGTTCGAGCAGGGGGGTGGGGTTGGCCGTGCACGCCGAAGGGGCATCGCGGCGGCGAGAGGACGTGCGCACCTTCATGGACTGCGCGGCGGCGACGGTCGCGATCGAGTCGAACATGCCCAGCGGGTGGCACTTTTCCATCAGCTCGCCAACCTCCCGCTCGTGGAGCGTTCCCGTCACCATGAGGACGACGTTGTCGATCATGTGCCCGTAGGTGCAGTAGTCCATGAACGTGGCCAGAGGCTCGTCCGCGTTTGCCCTGCACCGCCGGAGAGCAGGCACCTCGCAGCGTTCAGGCTCCAGGACCCGCGCCACGAGCAGGCCGGGGACCGTGCGATGGTCCACGATGGTGCAAGAAGAAGCAGCGGACGCGGTTGTGTGCACGAAGGCGACTCTGCGCGGCTGGATGCTCGAGCACCAGTGTCTTGGGCTGCTGGGGCGTGGGGGCGCACCGCATGTGCTTCCAGTCCGCAACCAGCTTGTCCATGCACTTCTGGATGATTCCCGTCGTCGACAGCGGCGAGGGCGCGTTCTGCACGTAGTTCGCGTAGTCAGAGCCACCCTGCACGCAAGCACAACCGCCCTGGTGATGCGGTCAGACCCGCTGCGCCCTGCTCGTCGCGCGGATCTTCGCACATGTACCCGCAGGAGCATCTGCGGCGAGGCGCGGGGTCGCGTGCGCACCAGGTTGAGCTTGATATCCTCCAGGTTCTCGCACTGGCACAGATTATTGTAGTCCGGGGCCGTCAGCAGGCCCGCCCTGTGCCCGCGCACGATGCCCTCTACATAGCAGGGGAGAGGCACGCAGGAAAATCGCGTCGGCGGGGACCTGAGTGACCGGCGCAGGCGCATGCAGTCCCTAGCCACAGGAGAGCAGTAACTGACGCGCGTAGAAACGGTCCCGGACGAAAAAGCGGCAAACTCGCAAGAAAGCATTCAGTCGCGCGTCTGGGGAGGGCGCGTGATGCCGGAGATCCGCGACTCATGGCGAAACACGCCCGTCTCGCACCCTCCAGGTTTGCCACAGGCTTCACGAACCGCTGCGCGCGTAGCTCGGCGCGACACATGCGGCGGCGCTTCACAACTCACCTAAGAAGCCGTGGTGGCAGTTGAACCAGGACATCTCCCACGTGTACATCTTGCCGCGACGCCCTTGTCTCCTGTGCACCCCCGACAGGGGCTCGGTGCCTGTACGGCCCTTTCCAAGCAAATCTGGCGCGGCAGTAGAGAACCCAATCCACGATGCGTCGACCGAGGCACCCGAAGCGAGCTGTCACGTCGCACACAGGCCGGAAGACGCCGTTGTCCTCCTATGGAGGGAGCTGCTCCGCAGTGCGCGCAACGCGGGCAGGGGCTGTGCGCGAGGGTCGGATCGCACCGAATGTATCGCGTCCAGGCCGTTGCCGCGCAGTAACGTCGCGGAAGACCGCGCAGTCCGCGCCGGGGGGGATGTGGAGCACACTCCCCAACGACTGAGCCGTTGGTGCCAGCTGTCGCTGCGGCGCCCGTGTGCGCGTATTAAGGGCCTCGCGCAGCGGCGCTGGCCTTAAACTGCCGTTTCGCCGTGCGACGGATCCCTACGCGTGGGAACGCGTCTCCGTTCGCGCCTCGGGTGTTGATCCTCGCCTTAGCGCGCCCCCGCCGCCTTGGAGCCCTATCGAACCCTGTCGGTGCGTGTCCCGCGCCTCGATCTTTATTCGCTGATCGACCGCGCCAAGAGGAGCGATCGTGCCGAGCGACAATCGCAGCGATGCCGTGTTTCGACCTCTTTCTGTCGAGAGTCGATCGCGTCACTGCCGCAGCAGTGCGCGCCATCTCCGATGCGGCATTCGCGAGATCCCCTAGCGACCCTTGCGAGTACGCTGTTCTGAGCCCGTGAGCTGACCTCCAACGCGTCGGCGGCTCGGGAGAAGCATGGCTGCCCTTGTTCGCTCGATCGCCGCGCATATCGCGCACCGTCCGTAACCACAGCGAGCTTTCCACCTCGAAATCATGCGTCTTGAAAATCCTGCTGTCAGCGGCGCGCCGGAGCAGCGTCGCTGTCGTTCCTCGCCGGCAAACACTATCGATCGTTCTCGTCCTCTGCAGGAGGAGCGCTCGACGTCGCCAAGCTCCCCAGCGATGGAAACAAACGCGTGGATCTCCGTTCCAATCGTTCTCGAGAGTAACCTCCCGGCTGCGGCTGCCCACGGCTACGGGAGCCGCAACACTTTCCCAGTGTCTACAGTGACGCAAAGCGACGCACCCCATGAGCCGTGGACCGCGTCCCGCCACGGATCGAGACAGTCTCTCGTCACCCACGCCGCCGCTAGCGCCGCCGTTCCGACACGACCCGGGACGCCCGGGGTTCTCGAGCCGTCAGCTCACAAGGAGCACTCGCACGTCGACGACCTGGCCTTCCCGGCCTTCCTCGGCCAAGGCGCTATCAACGAGGACAATAACGGTACGTGCGATGGCCGCCAGGTCAGACGCGGTGCGCTGACGACCCAGATCGGTCGATTTGTACTAGGCGAACCCACACGCTCATTCGCGTCGCCGCCCGGCCGCGCTCCCCGCAGGTCTGCCATTCGACAGCGCAGTACCGCTCGATCCGCTGTTTCCGGGCCACCTGATGGACGCCGAATACCCCCCCCTGACGTGTCACGTGATGGAGACCCCGCACGATGCTGCGGTCCGCGCACACGTCGCCTGTGCCCATCTGACGGCCGAGCGCGGTGTCGCCGAGAAGATCGGCGAGCGTGAGTCAGCGCTGGACGGCGCCGCGACCGGTACACACGGCCGCGTGCTCCCGGAGAGGCCATCCCCTTCGCACGTCGTGGCCGCCGACCCCAGCGCACGTGATGACGAGAAGCCGCGTGCAGCCGCGGCTGTTTCGCCGCGCTCTGGGGCTTTCTCACGTGCCCGCACCAGGAACACCGTCCGCCCGGCAGACGCAACGAACAAGACTCCCGCGAAGGCCGCGAGCACCCGGCCGACGCGAGCGCCGAGGATCCCGGCGGGGTCGCCTGCTCCCCGCACGCCGCAGCAGCGCCGTATTCTTGCAGTGCTGGGCGCGGGGGTCGCGAAGGCCTCGCGGCCAGGGGCTGCGCTCAGGCGGGCCCCTGAGTCAGCGTGCATGGACACGGTGCCCGTCACGACCATCTCTGACGTATGTGGGGCTCGCCGATCCGCCCGACTGGCGGGGGGCGGTGGTGGACGGACGTGGGGCTCCGACTGGACGGTGTATAGCGACGAAAACGACTGCGACGACGACAGCGACAGCGACAGCGGGCTTGGGGGCCGTGGAGGCGCCGCGCGGGGGGCGCGGCGCGGCGCGGGGAGCGTCCTGGGGAGCTTTGCGAGCCTGCGGGGGGCCGTGACGTCCCGCTTCAAGGTGCGCGGACGGAAACCCTACAAAGCAAGAGGGAGTCGAAATCAATCATTGATTATGTATCAATGATTGTAGTTGATCAGACTCATACGCTCGCGTTGCGTCTTCTTCGAGAGTTGAGCAGTTGCTGCGAAGTCCTCGACTTACCCGCTCACCCGGCGTTGATTCCCGTCGCAGGGCGTGTCGCGGCACAGCCTCACGGGCCGGTGGGAGTCTTCGCTGTGGCTCAAGGGGCGCCAGGTGTACCTCGGCGGGTTCAGCACCGAAGAGGGCGCGGCGCGCGCGTACGACGTGGCCGCCCTCGTCCTGCGCAGCGGCCGCGTGGCCACCAACTTCCCTTCGGAGCAGCACGCCGAGGCCGTGCAGCAGTTGTCAGGCCTCCCGCACGAGCTCGTCGTCGCGGAGATCCGCCGCCGATCCTCGGCGTTCGCGCGCGGAAAGAGCAAGTTCCGGGGCGTGTCGGGAGGGGATAGGAGGTGGGAGGCGAGGGTGGGATGCTTTTTGGGGTGGAAGAACACATCGTTCGGTGCCTTTTCAAGTGCGTGCGGTTTGCCCTGTTCCGCTTCGCCTTCCGCAAGCTGGTCATGTGGCTGATCGCTGCATCGGTGCATTCTAACCACGTGGGGGTGGTTTGATTGTTGTATCGTTTATCCTTGCATTTGTATTAATGTTTATTAAATTGATTTCTAAAAATATTCGACGACAATGATTGCAGGCGAGGAGGAGGCCGCGCGTCTGTACGACCGCGCCCTGCTGGTGACCCGCGGCCCGACGGCGATGACCAACTTTGCGCTGTCGGAGTACCAGGCCGAGGTTGCGGCATACAAGCGCGCCCTGATGGCAACCTACGGCGTCGACACAGGCCCGCGCATCGCTCCGCTTGCGACGACTCTGGCGCTGCCGTACGACATCAACGTCATCGACAGCAGCCGGAGCGCACCGACGCCGCGCACGGGGGGCGTGAGCGCAGACGAGATGCGCGGGGAGCCCGCCAGCGCGTCGGGCCTTGGCCCGTGCATGGACGCGGCGCACCCGCGCGCGGCGGCACTGCGGCGCGGTGACGAGCTCGACGAGCTGTGCGCCGGGCTCGCGAAGAAGGGCCGCGCGACGGTGCTGCTGGCGGAACAGCTGCGGCGCGCCCTGGAACGTGGCGCGCCCAAGTGAGGGGAGCAGGGTTGGTGGAAAGGTAGTCATTGATACATCCGCGCAAGGTACGAAGGTGGGTGTGCTATCGCCCTGTCAGGACACCAATGATCGACGCGGCATCGTGCTAGGCGTTCTCGCTTGGCCAGTGGGCGAGGCGACGAGCGGCGTGGCGCGACGTCGGAGGTAGCGCGGGCTCTGTGAGCGAAATCGACCGGCACACGAGCGCGGGCTCACACACAGACAGGTGCGGCGCATGTGGAGCCCCGTGGGATGTGGCGCTGCCGACGCGCCGCTCGGCAGGGCGGCCGCGGCGCCCGCCGTTGCTTTGCTCGCTGCATCTACACGATGTCCCTGCAGCGCACCTTTCTGTCGTTCCTCTGCATGACGAGACCTTCGATGAAGTAGTCGTCGTTGCTCTCATACAGCGCCATCTCCGGCCAAAGGGTGGTAGCGTAGAGCCCCTTGGGCAGACCTCGCGGCACGTCCGAAAGGAGGCACTCATTGGCCGTGAGGTAGCAGAGGTTCTTGCTGCTGGACGACGGCAGCCAGCGGTCGCCGCGGAGTCTCACGCATCCGTCGAGCTCGAGGACCTCCAGCGACGACATCCCCGACGGAATCTTCTCGATGCCGCAGTTGTTCATCTGCAGGCACCGCACGCTGGCACCGCTGGACGCCGGGAGCCACCCGTCGGACACCTCCAGCTCCTCGCACATCAAGTCGGTGCCGACGTGGATGTGCAGGAGCGACTCCATACCCGCTGGCAGCTTGACGGGCGTGTCAAAAATCGACAGTTTGCGGATGTTCTTGCAGCACGAGCTCGGCAGCCACGGGTCGCTGAGGTCGCATCCGTTGACGGCGAGCTCTTCCAGCGCCGTGAGCCCTTCCGGCAGTGGACCCTGATGCCCTTCGACACTCAGCCTGCGCACGTGCCTCGCGGTGCTGAGCGGCAGCTGGTGGTGGCTGGCACACTCGCAGCACAGGCCCCCGCGCGACGAGACAGCCAGCACTCGCAGGCCGTTCATATTCCCGGGCAGCCCGAACGAGCTGGCGTCCAGGACCTCCACGAGGATGTGCTGCTGCCCGCGACGCGCGAGCTCCGCCAGCACGTCGTCCGCGTCCGCGGCCCAGTGGGACTCCTTGACCCGCGTTGCCATAATACGACGCAGGATCTCGTCGTGGTCGAACAGCGTGGCGCCGAAGCCGTTCGCGATCACCACGCATGGCAGGTCCGACGCCACGAGGCCCATGTCACGCGCCCTGGCGGCGACCTTCCGAACCACGCTCAGCGTGTTGCGCGCGCGGTCGCCGCAGCCCCGCACGTTGTACAGGTACCGCTCGCTGCACCGCAGCACAAGAACGGCCGTCGTCGTGCAGCAGCTCGCGAACCTGCGTCTGTCGGACTCGTCGCTCAAGCGGTCGACGATGTTCCGCAGCAGCTCGGCGGGTAGATCGCGCAGCAGCGGCGATGTCTCCAGTGTGGTGGTCGGGTGAGCGACAGCGCTCGCCATCGTGGATCCGGGACCCCACGCGCCTACGAACAAATCAAGAAGCGTTCGCATGGTCGTGGGAGGCGTGTCTAGCGTCCAGACGCGGCGTGGCTGCTGCTTTTGAGAGCTCTCACGCAGACGGCACGATTCTCGCACGCATGTCCTGCGCTCGATGCTGTCACCCGTCGTCAATAATACCTAGATATCGAACTACCACCAAAAGCACATCACTGGCGCAATAGCACCGCGAAGACCGCGGAAATCGCATCGAACGACAACAGGCGCTGTTTGGTCGCGGCGCGCAGCACCCGGGCCCGCCGAAGCCTCGACGTCCGTCCGGCCGATGAAAGCCGAATTCGTGCAGGCCGGGGAGAACCATCGAGAGCAAACAAGCTAGCGATCTGCGCGTTCGCACCTGCCACTGATTTCTGGTAAACTCGATGGGGGCTCCGCCCTGACGTCGTCGCACTCGAAGCCAGCTCCGCTTCTCAGCCGGTGTCGAACTACCCACGACCTCGGCCCCGGCGATCCCGAAGCACCCGCGATCGGCCCGGGGGGGACCTGGCACTGGTGGACTGACATGCAAGCAGCTTCGTCGTCCTGCGCGACACCTCGCATGCATGTGCGGTCCTTCAGCACCGTCTCATCCGGCGGATTCCACCCCATCCCCTTCACGACGCCCCCAGTCGCCATGCACGGCACCGCCGCGCCAACATCCTCGCGAGTCTACCGGATGGCTGGGAAGCGTGCTGAGGTGCGCTCCGGTGAGGAACACGTGCATCTCGAGCACGAGGTGCAGCTCCTGCCGCGCGCACTTGCGCGGCGTGTCGACGTCGGCCGTGCACCCGGCGCATTCGGTGTTGATCAGCGGGAGGTCGTGGATCGTGCACCGCAGAGAAGCGGCGCCGTGCGGTGCGTCGGACGACACGCTCCGCAGTGCAGCTAGCGTAGCCTGCCCTGTCGCGGGCGCTCGGGCGGTCGAACACCACGTGTCCTGCACGTCCGCCGGCAAGCTGCGCAGCGGGTGTTGCACACTGCGTCTTGGGGGCGTCTCTCCGGAGGTGCGCTCCCACGACAAAGGGCGGCGTGCAACGTCCCCTGCGATGCGGTAGAGCCCAAGGAGGGCGAGGTTGAGCTGTGTGTGCGTCGAGGCTGGCCTCCATGTGCCCGGAGCTAGCTCAGCCTGTCCCGCCGCGCAGCGCAGGTGCAAGTGCAGGACCTCATGCGTATGCTTGATCACCACACGGCGGCCACGGAGAGCGGAGGGCGGTGGGCGCATCCCGCACCTCTCGCACGCCACTGTGCCACAGTTGGGGCACGTTCCACCGCCATGACGAGCCCCGCGCGGGGGGGGCGCCCGCTGTCACGAGCCGGGCACTTCAGACGGGTGAGCATGAGTCGGCCGAGCGGATCCTGGTCTCAACTCCATCGCTCCCGGGCCAGGGGCGTCGGCAAACACGACGGGCGCGAAGCGGAGCAACGCTGTTCGCTGCTGACGGTCCAGCGGCTGCTTGAAAGTGCCCGCGCGATCGTAGCGGGCCAGGGCGTGACATGCCGCGGGCCAGGGGACGTTTCGGGGCCGTCAGACGGGGATTCCGGAGTCAGGAGGACCGCTGAAACGGCCCCGGAGGAGCATCAGACCACCGCGCTTTCTAGGCAGGCCGCGTCCCGTGGCAACGTATATTTATCGTTGGAATCTAGCGTCAGATCAGCGAGAAGCGCTTTCCGGCGCCCATCGTTTCGGAGGGCGGCTGTCGCGCCGCGTCGGCACCAGTGACCCGGTGTTCCGTTTGAGGCAGCACAATGCTCCGCTCTCTTCGCCTCGAATGCGCCTGCGCGCCCCGTTCCGCGACGAGCGGCAGGAGCCTCACTTACACAAGGTCACCGGCAACACGCGCGCCCAAGTTCGTCGGCCGGGCGCACGCAGGGGCAGCGCCCCTGCCTGGTAGCTGTTCCACAGCGCGCTTGCGTCGAGCTGCGGCCCGGCGAAGACGCTGTGTCACGGCCAGCGCGTCCGGAGAAACTGTCTCATCATCCACAGGTGCGGCTTCAATTGAACTGATCGCTGAATCCTCCTCAGCGCCGCGAATTCCTCTAATGTGCTCTGCAACAGTGGACCAGGCCGCGGGAGACAACACGGCTCGCTAGGCACGTCGTGGTTCGGCCGAGCTGAGGCGACCCGAGCGTGCCAGGCCGCCGTAGCGTCCGGCCGCGGTCGCGGGCGAGGCGCCACCGCCCGCCCGCGCCAGGGGAGCAAGCTCGTGGCTCCAACCTCATGGCGTGCTGACGCCCGATGTGCGCCCGTTTCCGCGCAGACCTGGTCGAACAGCTCGCTCTAGAGCACTACCTGTGGAGCTCGTGTCGCGTGAACTACAGCGAGGGTCTCAAGAGGTGCTGCCAAACGGCGGTCGAGCTCTACGAGGTGGGCTTCTCCGAGGAACTCTTGCGACACCAGCTCGAAGCCGTCCAGGTGCGCCGCCGCCTCCCGCCTGTCCAGCAAGGCCCCCGCATGCGTCGCGAAGCCCATCGCTCGTCCGCGCAAGCACGAGGCTGCGCCCCACCCAGCGTCGCAGCGTCGCGCCCGCGTCGCGACGCAGAGCAAGTGGGAGGAGGATCCGAGCGTCGTGGGTCTGCGTGCGAGCGTGCCGGAGGGCGTCCCCGAGGCCCAGCGCCCCGTGATCCTAGGGTTCGCGGCGAGCGGCCTTGACGTTGAGGCTTGCGTGTCGATGGCCATCCTGGTCTGGTTGACGCTCCTCGCGCTGCCCGGAAAGGCCGCCGCGCCGCGCCTGTCGCTGAAGCCCACAGCGCCCGTCGACGACCGCAGCAAACACACGTTCGGGGGCTTCGTCGAGATCCTAGTCAGGTGGGGACGCACTGCGCATACTCTGTGGGCCCACAGCGCCTCGCAGGCCCGTCTGTGCGGTGATCCCGCTCGCGCTGGGTCGCAGTGGCGCCCGGTCGCGCCTTCGTCAGCCTCGCATTCGTGTTTAAATATGATGTTGCATGTTTTATATTCAATATGACATCTGCACCCAACCGTTTTAGGACCCTCGCGTTGGGCGTGCGTCGAAGTTCGGCGCCGTCGGCTGCACGCATGCGGCGACGCTCACACGCAGCGCTCAACGCCGTCGCTCGCGAGATGGCAAGGCGCCTGAGTCGGCACCGGATCAGGCCCTGCAGTTCACCGACCTGTCGGCTACGGTGCGCCTGCAGGGGGTGGAACGACCGCCGAATGGTGTGGTGCGACCTCGACATGGTGCAGATGGAGCTGCAGATGGGCGGCAGCGGCGACGTCACCAGGCTGGACGCCGCAGACTACGCGCGCACCGTGTACCAGACCTTGGCGCTCAAAGCACCAGGATTCCCATCCTTGAACTGACGGAGCAACCACCGCAACAACGCGCGCGGCGCCGAGCTCCGGAGCAGGCCAGGTCGCCCTTCTCTCTATCTCCGCATCTGGGCAGTTACATGAGTCGAAGCATGCTATGTCGTGGTGACACTCGCGCTGTAACACCGCTGTCCTGAGGCGGCGCCGTGTCGCGGTTCCACACGACCGCGCACGCCGCGCCAGCTTCGTGCGACAGCTGGCACAAAGCGACCTGCCCCGCGCGCATGTAGCTGCTGGCATGAGTGCAGGCCAGTTGCGCTGGCAGGGTCGGGTTGCGGGCCGCAGCAAGGCGTGCGTCCGCTCGCAACGTCACAGCGGCGCTGCGAGAGAGGCGAGCCACGCGTCACCAAACTCTCGCTCTCCTGTTCGGAACTCTCCTGCCTCCTCTCTCTCAATCGAAGCGCAGGCGGCGCTCACGCCTTCCCCGCGCTCCCGAGCAGCTCGATCTTCTCCCTGACGACCTTGACCATCGCGTCGTGGCCCGCAGTGATCCCGGGCACCAGGTCCGAGTACCCTCCGCTCTTCAGGGCCGCCACGTATGCAGCGCGCACCTCCGTGTTCACGTTGAACTTCGCGCAACCGAGCCGAATGCACTCCTTCACCGTCGCCTCGTCGAGCCCGCTCGCGCCGTGCAGGACCAGCGGCAGCCCCGGGCGCTCCTTGTGGACCGCGTCACGGATCTCCCGCAGCCGCGCGGTGTCGATTTTGGGGCCCGAGGGCGGATACTTTCCGTGCACGTTGCCGATGCAAACGGCGAGGGCGTCGCAGCCCGTCGCCGTCACGAACCGCGCCGCCTCGCCGGGGTCGGTCAGACTCGCCTCGTACGCCTCGACGGTGATGTCGTCCTCCGTGCCGGCAAGGCGGCCCAGCTCGGCCTCCACGCCCATGCCGCGCATGTGCGCCGCCTGCACGTACGCACGGTGATCACGCAGCTGTTCTGGGCACACAGCGGACATCGCAGAGCGCGAAAGCGGCGCAACCACAGCAATAGACAAATGAGGCATGCACGAGTGTGCGACGCTTACCGCGACCGCAGTGCGGGTGAGAGCGGCGTTGGCCTTGAACTCCAGGTGCGAGCCGTCCACCATGAGCGACCCGAACCCGTGCTTCAGCCCCTCGCGCCAGTCCGACTCCGCCGCGTGGTCCAGGTGGACCAGCACGGGCACGGACGCGTGCTCAGCGAGCGCCTTCAGGCCCGCCGCGAGCCCCGCGCCGCCCGCGGGGTGCTTCAGCGCGGCGGGGTGCGCCTGCAGGATCACGGGCGACCGCGCGGCCTCCGCGGCGGCCACCACCGCTGCGCCGCCGGCCAGGTCGTACACGTTGAACGCGCCGACGGCGTACAGGCCCTCGATGGCGCGGCTGAGCATGGAGGAGAGCGTGGGCGGATCGCGGGCGCGCGGGGGCATCCAGCGCTCGACGACGTGCGCGAGGGCGTCCCTAGAGCCAACGTTGCCGGGGAACACCACGTACGGCAGCCCCGGGTGGACGCACTCGGCGCCGTCGAGGACCCAGAGAGGCACGCCCGGGGAGGCCTGGCCGGCGACGAGGGCGGAGTGGGCGCGCATGGCCTTGGCGGCCATGTCCGCTGCGAGAGCATGGCGCCCAGGTGGTTTTTGAGCGACAGAGGGGGGAGGGCGGGGACGGGGGCGCGCGAGGTGGATCGAATGGAGACCAGAGACGCGATGCAGGCCAGGGGAGCGGATTGAGATGCAGGAGAGGCGCATGACCACCGTGGAATTGAAAGCAGCAAAGAATGCGCTGCACGCGGCCGCGTTCGCGTTCGGGAGCGGGTCTGCACCCAGGCAGTGAAGGCTATGACAGGAGACGAGGTGTGCGATTCGAGGGCGGTTGTACCTGACGTGATACCCCCCTTGGCGATGAGGAAGCCCGGCCGCGTGGCCACGCCGTGCACGATGGCGACGAGGCCCGACGCGATGAGGGAGTGAATCGCCAGCGAGTCCTCCGCGTCCTGCCCTCGAATGAGCACGCGCGACGTGTACACCAGCGCCACGCGCCCGCTGGACACCGCGGCCTCCGCAGCCGCTGTTGCCCGTGCAATCTCACGCGCCCGCCCCGCAACGTCAGCGCGCGACGACAGCAGCGTCGAGCTCACCATGATCCGGTCCAGCGGCAGCCCCTTGACCGCGCAGTGGTCGAGCAGCACCTCGAGCTGCTCGGTGGTCTTGGGCACGTAGGACCCGCACACGACGATGCCGCCGCGCGGGGAGTCGTGGCGCGCGGACCCCGTGTGCGTGCGCAGAGGCACGAGGTCCGCGGGGCCCATCGGCGGCCGCGGGGCCTCCCCGGGCAGCAGGCACGCCGAAACGAACGACGCCGCTGTGCGACACAGGTAGCGCTTTTTGCCCTCCTTCTCCGCGAGCATCAGGCCGAGGCCGAAGACGTGGAGGTCCTCATCCGCGGCCGCGTTCACGACGCACACCGACCCGCGCGGGAGCCCCAGCAGGATGTCGCGCACCGAGTCCGGCCCCCCCTGGCGAAGGTCGGGGATGGTGATCGAGTGGACCTTCTCCGCGGGGACGCGCCCGCCCGTCTTCTCCTCGACGTACCGCCGCAGATTGCTGTTCGCGTACCCGAACGCCTGGTCCTTGGCGAACTGCGTCTGCGCCGCTGGCACGAGCTCCTCCCCCTCCTGCACGTAGTGCACGTCGCCCACGGTGTAGCGCCCTCCGGCGAGGAAGAAGGGGCAGAGGATCCAGGCGTCGAAGGGGCCCATGGCCGCCTCGGCGACGTCGTTCTCGAGCGGGAAGTGGCCGCGCAGGGTCGAGTCCGATCGCAGCACAACGGAGTACTGGGCGCCGACGCGCGCCGCGGCCGTCTGGACGTTCTTGCAGACGGCAGAGATGAGCGCGCGCGCCTCGGAGGGCGGGAGCGCGCGTGAATTGGTCATGATGAAGAAGCCCGGGAGGCTCGAGCCCTCCTGCGATGCAGCATGATAGAGCATGGCACGAGGTTGGCGCGCCCGTGGTGCGCCGGGACGACGTGGCAGCGTGCGCGGTTCTCAACATGTGCAGCGCGGCGCGTTCGTGGTGGTGGCAATGAGTCTGGAAACCGTTGCGAGAGTGGCCATGATTTGTGAGCGCGCAGCCACGACGCATTCGTTTCGAGGTGCCGGAAACACGCACGGCCGACCAGTTGTCCCAGCTGACGCCGTGCCGCGCGCCCCTCGTCGGTCGATGCGACTCGCGAGGGCGCAGCGTTCTCCACAGAACATGGTGCGACTCCCGGGGCTGCGAACACGTGTGGCGCACCTGTCCGGCCGCACGGAACGCCTGTTCCAGCAGCGCCACTTCCCACTCCAGCAGCACACGCACCCCGTGCATGGTCTGCGTGCCCGTCGGGTCGTCGTCGAGGACCACCAGGCACCGCGACCTGCCGCCCTCCCACGCGGCGTCCACCTCGCGCTTCGACAGCGGCCGCACCAGTGGCAGCGCGTCGAGCACTTCGGACTTGGGCGCCCGCGGCGGCTCGCTCGCCGCGGCCCCCGCGGCCGCGGGCGCGCCGCTCGGGGCTCGCGCCGTCAGCACTGGTGCGGGGGCCGGGCACGCCACGTCCACGCCCGGGTAGCACTTGACGACCGAGGCGTCGTCCTGGCGGCCGTTGCCCATCGCGGAGCCGTGTAGGAAGAGCTGGTGGGCCGCGGCGGCCATTGGAACCGGGAATTTATATCCGAGGGCCTCCCCGACAACGATGCCGAGGTCCTTGACGAAGATGTCGAGGGCGGAGTGGGGGGTGTAGTCGCCGTCGAGCATGTGCGGCACGCGGTTGCAGAACATCCAGGAGGACCCGGCGGCGTTGCTGATCACCTCGAAGAGCGCGCGCGTGTTGAGGCCCGCGCGCGCACCGATCGCCATGGCCTGCGAGCGAGCGGGTGGCTCCTCGGTTCGGGCGACGATGCACGCGATCCCCAGCTGCAGTGCGCGTGGGCTCCGAGCAGGGCGAGGAGAGGGAGGATGCGTGCATGACGGCAAGCATGGAAACGACGGGCTGCCTTCATGATGGTGCTGCGCGGGGCGCGCGTTACACAGAGAGGTGGGTCTGCGCTGCCCCGTACAGCCGGTCTATCACGCGTGCGGGCGCACCTCTGCCGCAGCGGCGATGTGCACACCGGCCAACAACTGGTTGACCATCTTCACGCTCGACCCCGCTCCCGCGCCGCCCGGAATGCAGTACAGCTTGCCGCCGCTGCCGGTCATCGCGTCGAGCACGCCCCCCGCGCGCGCCATCGCCTCGTCGGAGCCCGAGGCCATGATTGTGAGGGCGCCCGAGGCCGCCTTGGCGACGCCGCCGCTGACGGGCGCGTCGACGTACAGCAGCGGGGGGGAGTGCTTCTCGAGCTTGACCTGCAGCGCTCGCGCGTACGCCGGCGGGACCGTGCTGCACAGGATCACCACCGCGCCCGCAGGGAGTGTCGCCGCTGCGCCCTGCTCCCCGAAAAGCGCCGCGTCGGCCTGCGAGCGAAGTGACGACGCAGTGGTGACGGTCGGTTGTTTCGCGCCGCGACCTCGCGAGAGCGGAGGCGTGCAATGTCGGGGGGGTTGACTTTGAACGGCACACACGTGTCTTTGAACCGCCGGCAATGACCGCAGCAAGGGCTGCTAGGGTCGCTGCTTCTGTGTGGTGCAGCTGGGCGCTTCGATAAGCAAGGACAGGCGCTTAGATAACGGGCGGCGCCCGTGCCGCTGTGGCCGGGTGTCTGCTGCCTGAGGAGTGACGGCCCGCAGGGGCGGCATGAAGACGAGCCGCGGGGGTTCGCTGCATCGCTTCGGCAGCGTCGCGGAGCTCGGCCCCGGCCGCTGCAGGCGGGCACGGTCGTTGCAGTGGCTGCCCGCACCTGGTCGGAGTTGACGACCATGAGGACGATCGCGTCTGCCTTCTCAGCTGCGTGCGCGGGGGACTTGGCCGCGGTGCCGCCTGCGGCGACGAATTTGTCCACGCTCGGCGGGTACACGTCGAACGCGCTGACGTGATGGCCCTGGGCAAGGATGCTGCGCGCCATGCCGGAGCCCATGGCCCCGAGTCCGACGAACGCGACCTTCATCGCGACAACAATCGAGCCTGAGCCGATTTCTGCGCGGAAACGGCGTGGGCGGGCGATCGCGGTGGGGCTCAGGAGGAGGTGTGGATCCCTGTGGCCGCGGGGCGAGCGCGCGCAACGCGGAACGCTGCGTGAGGGGCCGCTGCAGTCACTGTTCATGCAACCGTCGCGCGGGTTCGCGCCAGGCGGTACGTGGTACGGAGTGTGTGAGTGCAGGCAGTTAGGCCCCAGCTATCGCCCGTGACCTTGCGCCTCGGGGGAACCGGCAGATCTACACGGGGCAGGAGTAGGCGCGTTTGGGCGCGAGGGGCATGACAAGGATGCAAGAGCAAGGGCGTTCGGCGGCGGATTGAAGGGCGGGGCAACCTCTGGTGGAGGTGGGATGCCCTAGTTGGCTGTTGCTGCGCCGTACGTGCGCGGCGTGACGCTGAGATGGGCATTCGTTGACATAATATGTCACGGATGTGCGGGAGACGGGCGGAACGTCGCGGGTGCGGCCCGCTGACGTCCGCTTCGCGGCGACAGAGCCCAGGGCCGCGCGGACTGGTTGGGTGCCGTGTGCGTCCCAGATGATCACCTTTCTGGAACGCCGCGCCGCCGTGCACAGACGTCGATCGACGCTCCTGCCCCAGGCTGCGCAGGGAGCTGCGCCGCCTCTTCCCTGGTCGGAATAAGCTCGGGGTGGTAGTCTGCGCTTGATCGTCGATGTCAACGTCCCGTCGAAACAAGGTAGGGCGCTCCCCCTTGCACCAGTTCACTGCCGGCATCACTCAGCGTGCGGCGGCCATGGCGCAACGAGCCACGCGCGCGCTGATTGTCACCTCCCCTTCACACCAACTGACTCAGGCGCGCGCGCTGACGCAGGCGTAGCTGTGCAAGACGTCAACATGCGACAGACTGGATTCAGGTGCTACGGCGGTGTCGAACGGCCGCTGTCCTGTGCGTTGGTGGCGGCTGTCGGTCGTCCACACTGTCCACGCCGCGGTCCTGCTCGTGGATGGTCGGGCCGTGTGGCAGAGGGAGGCCTCGTCGGCGCATGTGCGACAAGTGCAGTGCCGGTGCTCGCTCGCTCATCGCACGCCCCAACGGCTCTCCCGGCTGTTACTCCCCCCCACACCACCCCCCCCGGGGCCCCCGGGGGGGAGCTGTGGCGTGCATGAGTCATTATGGGCCATGATGGCGAACCGCCCGCCGTGGAGCCAAAGACCCGAGGCGGTGGCGCGGCACGCACTTTGCGCGCACGACCGAACGCGAGCGCCGAAGACCCCGCGGGCTTCCCCCACGGCAGGTTTTCCCCTCTTCAGTCCGCTGCGGCACTGGCCTCCTACTCCTCGCGCGGGAGACTTCGGCGGGGCCTGCGGCGGCGACAACACGCACGATACGCGTCCGGAGAGCGAGTACGGTCGCCGCGCAGCAGCCAGGCGTGCAGCAACGCGCGGCGTGAGGTTGAGAGAGCGCCGCGGCAGGCTGGGACCCGCGCAAGGCTCCCGGGGCAGCAAGGCGCGAGGAAAAGTAACGTCCGGGAGGATACTCTGATTGCGGAGCGTTTCTGGGATCGCGCAGCGTCTCTGCGGCCGTTCGCGGGCTGCTCGAAAGCGGGGGAGGGCGCTCCAGGCAGCAGGCCCGCGCCCGACACGTGGGCAGCTAGCAGGTCCAGGCTATGTCGGCGCTGTTCGACTTCTCGAGCTTCGTGCAGGTCATTATCTTAGCGATATGCACCTGCACGTTCATCAAGCTGCGCTTCCCGAGCGCTTTGAGGCAGGAGCAAGGGTGCGCCCGACGCCGTCACGGGCACCCCGCTGCACGCCCAGCACCGTGAACCACATGTCCTCCGCTCGTTCTCGCTCGCTGGGACGGAACCTTCGCGGGGACCCGCTGAGAGCTCTCCGCCGGGGCGCGTCTCTGCGTTGTGGCAACGTCCGTCGTGCCGGGAGGAGCCCCGCACACCTCCGTCGCAGACATCCGGCCGCTGCGCATGTTTGCAGGTTCCGGGGCCTGTTGTGGAAGTTCGCTCGCGTCGGGGAGCGCCTTAGTCCGTGGGTGGGTGCAGCATGCATCGTCATGGGGCTGCGGACGCTCTTCGTCTGACGGCGGAGCGCAGCGGCGCAGCTTCCGCGCGAGAACTACCGAGGTGCACGCGTCGGAGCGTTTCCGACGCGATCCCTCTGTGACGCGACCTTCTCAGCGACCTGGTGCCGTCACAACGCAACTGCACCTCGGACGCGGATCCTCGTGAGGCGAGGCGCAGCTAGGCCGTTCCGGCGGTGTACACTCCAGCCAGAATGCCGTGCGCGGAGAAGTGCTTGTCGGAGCGCGCAGGTGACAGCGCGGGCGACGGCTCATGCTTACATCAGGTGCAGCGCACAGCACGACCGTGCCGATGCGCGAGGCGACTTGACGGTGCCTGCGAGCGAGCGAAGCTCAGGCTGCACGTCCGGTGGGCGAGTTGCCAGCGTTGATCATCGGCAGGGCAACGTGGCAGTTGTGCTAGCGCAAGCGAAGTAGAAGAGCTGTCGTCACACGCCGCGGCGCCTCCGCGGATGCTCGAGCTAGTGGTTTAACTGCACAGGCTGATCGGAGTCCCCCTGCAGCGCCGCGCGCCGTTCCGGGGTATGTACAGAGCGCCCGCCCGCATCAACGTCGACGCGGCTGCGGCGAGCCCACGGCACCGAACGCGCGCCGGCGGAGGCTGCTCGGCCGGGCGCGTACCCCGACGCATCCGCGCATCGTGGCGGACCCGCCGCGGAGGCGTCGGGGCGTGCAAGCAGTCGCGCGGGGCGAAGTCGTGTAGCAGCACGAGGTGGGCGCTGGCAGGCCGGGGCGCGCCCGGGGCGCTCAGTTGTCGTTGTCGGACGAGTCCCAGATGCCCTCCTTCTCCCAGTAGCTCTCGTCGACGCTGTTGTCGAGGATCACCGAGCGCGGGGTGGCTGCCGCGCCGGGCTTCCCCTTCTGCTTCTCGTCGACCAGGAGGTGGTCCATGCGGATCTTCTTCGACGTCAGGTACCCCGCGTTCACCTCGTTCGCCTCAATCTGCACCGGGATGCGCCCGCTGACGTCCACGCCGAGCTCCTTGAGTAGCCGGATCTTCCGAGGGTTGTTCGTCATCAGCTGAATCGACTTGATGCCCATGTCCGCCTGCGGAGACAGCTCGAGGCGGGCACGGCCGTGAGGCGCGGGCCGCGGGCCGGGCGCGGCCGCGCGTCGCGTCGGCGGTCCGTGCTGTGCTGGCACACTTCCACAAGCGTGGACGCCGCGAGCCAGCGGCGTGACGTGGCTTCGCACGCGGGCCCGGGCGGCGCCCTCGATGCAAGGGGGACGCCGCGGGGCGCGAGCGGCGTCGGGGGGCGCTGTGCGGCGCGGGAGCGCACCAGGATGTTGCGCACTGAGGTATACTCTCGGCAGTCGTCCGGGAGGCCGAGGGCGCGGTTCGCGTCCACGGTGTCGAGGCCCTGTGCGAGGAGGGGGCCGGGTGCGTGCTCTGGTGGGCGCGCGAGGCGGGGGCGGGCGCTCGCGGCGTCGCGATCTGCGCGGCCAGGACGCAGCCGCAGGCGGACCTCATGCCGCTGCGCGGGCGCGCGGCGTCGCGCGAGGTCGCGGGGGGCGGCCGGGGACGCGATCAGATCACGGCGGGGCGGCTCACCGTCTCCTGGAGCCTGTACGCCGCGATCTTGTTGGCAAGCCCGATCCCTCGCCCCTCTTGCTGAAGGTAAATCACAATGCCGCACCCCTTGCTCTGTACGAAGTCCAGCGCGTACTGCGAGGCGAACGAGGAGCGCGGGGCGACCGGTGAGCGCGGGCTGGCGGGGTCAGGCGTCGTTGGCGCGCCGCGGCTAGCCCGGGGGGCGCGGCCGTTGGGCTGTGCTTGGCTGGCGTTGTCCAGCGCCGCTGGCGCGCCGCAGCCGCGCACCAACGATGCGCGGCGTCGCGAGGAGCGATCTATCGAGCAGATGTGTGCGGCGAGCGCGCGACCGCGCCGCGCGCGGGCCGCGCGCGTCGCCCCGGCCGCCCGGTGGCCCGCACGGGCCAGCAGGAAGCTCTGGGGCGGCGCGGCGAGGCCCGACAGAGCGCGGGGCGCGACTTGGGAGCCGTGGGCGTATGTGTGTGCCCGTCGGTTGGCGCGCGCAGCCCCGGCCGGCGTTCGTGGGGCAGGCCGGGCCGTGCGGGGGGCGGCGGACCTGGAGCTGCTCTGCGCAGTCGCATTTGAGGGACCCGAGGACCTCCGAGGTGAAGCACGCATCGTGTACGCGCACAGGAATGTCCTCGCCGTCCTCCGGCATGCCGTAGCAGATCGCCATGGGCTCGGAGAAGGTGGTGCCGTCCACCGTGTGCCTGTAGGCCCTGCAATCGCCGCGGATCGCACGCGTGCGCGTGTGGGTCGAAATCCGTACGGAACGCATGGAATGTTTGCTCGATTATAGGTCGTTCGCGTCCTCGGATCGCGCTCGGACGCCGCGGCGGGCCCGCGTCGGGGTGGGAGAAAAGGCATAGCCCAGAGCCGCGGGAGAATCGCGCGGACGCCCGCGGTGGAGCGGTCACAAGGCGGGCCGGGTGGCACGGGCGATGCGGGTCAGCGCAGGGGCGGCCGCACACGCGGCTCGCGGGGGGCGGAGGGTGGCGCGCGCGCTAAGTTGTTGGGTGCAGAGATGCGTCGTGGCGCGAACCTGACGCGGAACTTCCCCGTGCGCGTGGGCAGCAGCGTCTCGGCGACAAACTTGGTGTCGACCTTGACGTTTTTCACCTCGTCCGTGCGCGCGGCCGCGCTGGCGACCTTGGGCGCCGGGCCCCGACCCTGGGCATTCGTCTTCGCCTTGCGCGCCCTCCGCGCCGCGGGGCGGCCCCTGCGCTGCGCCCGCATCGCGCAGGGTCGCACGGTCGTGCCGACCGCGTGCATTCCGATCATGATCGCCCGCCCTCTTCCTCGCGCGGGCTGCCTCGGTGCAGTTTCCGACTTCTGGTCTGATCACTCCGCAGCGGCTCTGTCGCGGTCGCAAAGGTACGTCAGACGAAACCCCGGCGAGACAAGATCCTATACACGCGCACGGCGGCGCGCACGGCCCGTGAAGGCCCCGGGACGGCCCCGACTGGGACGGTCCGACTCGTCCCCCCGGGCTGTCAAACGGTATCACGCTCGTTCGCGGCCGGCCGGGCTCCCCAGGCCGCCAGCCGCCTCCCGACTCCCTGTTCACGCAGTGCGGTCCGTTCGGCCCGCTTCGTCGCCGCGCGATCCCCAGGCCCGGGCCGCGCTTCGCGGGGAGGTGATTCTGCAGGCCATGCGACGCGTTGAGACGCGCCGCGAGGGACGTTCATGCGATCCGGCACTACGATCCGGATGAACGTGATGGGCATCGTGCTACCACGAGCGAAGCGGATTTTTGGCGACAGATGCCGGGGGAGTGGACGTCCGTCCACCTGGTGTCATGACCTGGTGCCTCGCGGGCTCTAGGGCGGCGTTCCGGCGCAGCAACGGGCATCCTGCGCGCCTCGCGAGCTCGCTGGACCAGGGCGTCTAGCCGAAAGTTCGCGACAGCTCCGCAACACGTGCGGTTCGAGCACGCGACATCCGCACCAGCACTGCGCGCGCACGAGCGGTTCCAGAGCTGCCTGTCCTCGCGACGATCGAGTTTTTCGCGTTTCGAATTGTCTACTCGTCCCGACCGATCGGCCCGTCTCGTTGCGAGCGCCGGTCACGCAAGCCTAGCACATCGGGCCGTTGCGACTCCCAATGGCCGGACAATAGACGGCCCAGGCGGGCACAACACGCGGCGAGATGATAGGCAGAATGAAGCACATAGCAACCAGTACACCGCGGCGGCCGCTCGGCGCCGCTACGGCGCACCAACCGCGGGCGCCTGCCGCCCAGCCAGCTCGTAGACGGGTGGACGCTGCGCTCCACCTGAGCTCCTCCGGCGTGATCCCCTCGGCCCCGCTGCGGTCCGACGCGCCGCACGAGCACGACGCCGCGGCCCATCCCGCCGCATCCCTCCCGCAGTCGTCCACGGCGGTGGCCGAGTCGCTCCTGGCGCCGCCCGCAGCCCCCTCCGGGCCGCCCAAGGCGCCGCTGCCTCCGGACCAGGACCCCCACGGCGGCGACGATTTCAGCACGACCAAGGTGAGCCTGCGCCGGAAGCCGGCCATCGGGGCGCGCCGCACACCGCACGCGCTCCCTCGGCCCACGCCACATGCAGCGTCCCTAGGGAACCTTCGCCGCGACGCGCGCATCGGACCGCCCCGAACGCGCCGCCCGCGGCCAGGACGCGATCGCTGATCTGCGGGACGCGAAAACCGCGTCGGATCGCGCAGGCGTGCGCGCCGCGCGCCGCCCGAGCGGGTCGCACCACCCTGCCCACTCAAACCTCGGGCCCCTGTGCGGCGCCGCTGCGCGCCTAGGCGCCCGCTCGCATTGCACACACATGCGCACGGATCGATAGATTGCTCGAGCGTCTGATGCGGCCGGCGTCTCGCGCTGAGCGTCGCGGAAAAGCCGCATCCTTGAAACGTGCTGGGCTGCTGCTGCGGGCTCACGCAGTGCGTTGTCCGGCCGCTGGGCGCTGCAGGCGTTGGTGGTGCTGAGTGCCGGATACGTGGCCATCATGGTGCAGATACTGAGTCTGCCAGTCACCCTTCCCAGCCTGACAGCGTCCGGGATGGGGGCAGCAGGCGCAGCGGCAGTGCTCGCCGCCGCCGGCGCCGCAACGGCGCTGGGAAAGCTCGGGCATTCGATGTTTTCGGAGCGCATTCCCGCGAAGGCGGCGCTCTGCGGCATCCTGCTGCTCTCGGCCGCGGCGAACGCCGGCCTGGGGGTCGCGCTTTCAGCATCATCGAGCCCAGCAACGGTCGTCGCTACCATTGCAGGTGCGGGCTTCCCTCCCTGACGCACCGTTCCGCGCCGTTTCGACGCCCCCGCGCCCACACGCCACGCGACATGCGAGAAATCGCGTTGACGCGGCCCGGGCGGGCCGTTCCGCGCCGCAGCGGGCCGTTTACCTGGCGGCGGGACAACAGCCGCCGCGTCCCCGGGACCCGCCCGCGCACCGCGTCGCTCAGTCGCTGTCCGCCCGCGGTCTGTGCGATGCTCGCAGCGTGCGTGGCGGCAGGGCGGCTCGTGACCGCGGGAGCGTGGCTGGCGGGCACGCGGCTCATCAAGGCCTGGGTGCCGCCCGAACGCCACGGGACCGCGATCGGCAGCCTCGGATTCGCGTCCCGCATCGGCGTCGTGGTGTCCTCGCTCGTCCTGGGCGCCCTGCTCGTCGCGGGCGTCACGCCCGACCAGCTGTTCGTCATCGTTGGCATCGCTGGCGTAGCAGGTGCGCGCCGACCGCACACCCCGCGGACGCACGGCACGCAAGCCGCGCCGCGCGCAAGCCGCGCCGCCGGACGTACGCGCAGCGCCAGCCTCCACACGTGTGCCACGCGACTCTCACGCACGTGGTCCTGACGCTGTGTTGCGAGCTCCCGGTTGTTGCAGCCTCGGGGCTCCTGTGGACCACGCTGCCGGATCAGAGGCCCCAGGGTGCGGCCGCGGCGAGCCCCGCGGGCGCGCGGCACCCCGCCAAGGCGCCCCCCCGCAAGCGCGAGAGCACACCCGAGGCCTTGTCGCGGTTCGCGAGCAACCCGCGCGTGTGGCTCATGGCCACGGCGCGGTGCTGCTACCAGCTGATCTTCGAGCTGCAGACCCTCGGGCCGCTGCTCCTGACGTCGGCGCTCGCGCTCGCGCCCGGGGAGGCCGCGCAGGCATCGGCGTTCTTTTCGCTCGGCGCGGGCGGCGCGGTGCTCGCCGGCGGGCGCGTCTTCTCCGCGCTGTGCTGCAAGGGCCGCACCGCGCTGCTCGTCGCCCTCGCCGGGGCCTGTGCGCTCGCGCTGCTGGCGCTCGAGGTGTCGCTCGGCCTCGCGCCGAGCTACGGGGGCACCGCGGGCGGATTCGGCGGGCACGGGCATCTCGTGCCGCTCTGCCTGGTCGTCGCCGGGGCGGCCGGCGCCACGCCTTACTACGTCGGGGTGTCGTCGTTCACGATGCGTGTTGGCGCGACACGTGCGCCGCTCCTCGAGGGGCTGAGCGAGACGCTGGCGTACGTGGCAGCGGTGGCTTTCGACTGGCGCGCGGGCGAGCTCGCGGGGTCGGGCGCGTGCGAGCCCGTCCTGCGCGCGCTGTTCTTCTCGGCCGTCGTTGCCGCGCTGTGCGTGCCAGCGCTGACGTGGCGGCTGCGGCCCGAGCGCGCCACGGCGTGACCCGTCGGGTCGAGATGCGGCGCCCGCGCAGTGCTGCCGCTGCGGTGGCGTGCGGGCGACCAGCGCACAAGCGCGGCTCGTGCGACGCAACGCGGCTGCTGTCGCAGGTGGCTAGACGGGATTCGGCCTGGCCTGGGCGGGCGGAGACCGCTCTTGTCCGCCCATCACAGTGTAGCGATTCACATTCAACCAGCTCGTCGCATTAGCGTGTACATTGAGCGACGCAGAAGCTGGAACCAACCATGTAGTTGATACCATGTGTGGCGTTATTTCGAAATTCAGAGGTAGAAACCCCAGTTCCCAGCGCCTGTCGGCCATACATTACCAGGCTCGTGCATGAACGATGATGTGAAAGGGAACGTGCGGGGACTTGAGTCAGCCATCATCGCTCGCAGATCCGCGGCGACGCGTGGCGCTCTTCCTGGGCAGAGCGGGCCTTAGGCGGGCGACGCTCGCGAACGCTTACATTTCGAGCGCTCTGACCGCCATCTCCAGCGCCCCCTCGTACGTCGCGTGGCCCCCGATGAATCCCGCCGCGTGCACAAACACGCAGCCCTTGATGCCGCTCACCTCGTCCAGCTTGTCGTCACGGAGTCCCCTCCACGGCTCAGGAAGCATCTGCGAGCGTGCACGCACAGGTGCGGTCGGAGTCGCACGCAGCGCGAGCAGAGGCGGCTGCGGTGTTGCTGGCTGCGCCAGCCGTCGCTCAGTGGCACAAACGGCAGCGCCGCAACCTGCGGGGGCGCGCAGACGGGCACACCTTGCGTCCGTCGAACGAAGACGGGCTCAGCGGCACGGCCTGGACGCGCCACTTGCCCTCGCGCTGATCTTTGTACAACACGTAGATGGCCTCCCCCACACAACCCTCCTCGCGCTCGAGATCGAACAGGTGCTCCTTCCACGGACACACCTGGTCGAACCGCAGGATCTGCACAGCAAGGGGCACACGGCGCCTGCGACGTGAGACGCTGTGCACCGTGCGCGTCGCCAGAGGCGCGGCCGCATCGACGCGCACGGCCGCCGACTTGCCTTGCCAGACGGGTGCACGTCCTTCCTCGCCTTGAGCGCCGCGCTCACGAGCCCGCGCGCCGGCAGCCAGCCCTTGCTCCAGTACTCCAGATCAGCCAGAAACTCCCCCCCCGCCATCTGGCTCGCCTTGGAGAACCGTTCGTCCTCCTCCTCGGCCGAGCACGGCTCGTTCCAGCGCGCCGCCATCTTCGAGACGCGGCTCGGCAGGTCCGTGTTCGACACGTAGCGCGGCTTGGCGTCGACCTCGTACAGGGCGACGCCGTTGTCGTTGGCGTCGACCGCCTCGATGAAGTTCTTGTACATGACAAGGTACAACTCGTCGACGCTCGGATCGGACTCAGATTTGCCGAGCTGCTGCGCGATGATCTTTCGACCGAAGTGCTTGTACACGAGGCCCGCGGAGGACAGCCGCGTGTTGAAGCCGTGGCCAAACACGTCCTGGAACTCCTTCTGGTGGTGGTCGAACCTGCACGCAAAGCGCAGGGTGCCAGCGGTCTGCAGTGCAGTGCAGCGACCGGCCAGCACGGAGCCATCTGATGGCATTGAGTCATTTCGGCATCCGGGACGCCGTGTTCGATGACCGCGAGCGTCAGCAGGGCTCCCACTGTGCGCCTGGCCTCGGCGTTTCGCGCGCGGGTGCGCCTGGATCCCCGGCGCGGGGCCCTGCCTGCCGCGCGCTGCGTCGTACTCGCCGCCCACGTCGATGACGACGTCGAGGTCCTTGAGCACCGCGGGGTCACGCGTGCGCACGACGTCGGCCGCGGCGTACTCCGGCAGCAGCTTCAGCAAAAACACCCCCAGCGCCTGCGTGCCGCCAAGAGGAGCACAGCGACTCGGTATCGCGGCGCCAGACGCCCTCCACAGATCGGTTGGTCAACGCGAGTGTCATCTCCAGTATGTAAGTGACATCGCACCGTTACGCGTGTTCCGCATCCAGCGCGCAGGGCGCCAGAGCAGGCGCTGTTGCGTGCTCAGCGCCGCACCAGCGCGGCCGGTGGGCGCACCCGCCCGGTGCTGAAAGTTCCCGGCACGCCGATACCGCTCACCTCATCGCAGTGGAACTTGCCGTTGTGGGTCCCGATGCGCGTCATCTTCCGCTTCATTCCGCCACCAGCGGCGCACACAACACCACGGACGCGGGCGCTCGCGGAACCGAAATTCTGTCGGCCCTGAAGGAGCCTCCGCAGCATACGTGCGTCCCCGTGCGCCAACTGTGCACGCGGCGGCGCGGGGTGGCCCGTAGGGGAGGCGGGGGGCGGCACTTGCTGGACTACAGGGGGGGGAGACGTGAAGGGACACGGCTGCGGGACCGAGACACGACGTTGCGGGCAGAGCCGACTGCGCGAGGTGCAATCTCTCGTTTGTCACACACAGGTGAGGACCCAGCCTGTACACGCCCCAGCCTCGCTGCACCCCTAGTGCATCTGTCCCAGTTGAGGCATTGTGCGTCTTGCATCTATTGGTGACTTTGGAGTCACAGCCCCCAAATGCATTAGCTCGGCCACGCCTTCGAACCGGCATGCCGACGCCGTTGAAGCGAGGAGCGGCGCTGCGGTGTATGCGTTGCCGTTTCACTGCCGCACCATCGCTGCGCGCCAGCCCTATCGCGACTCTCGGCGTGACGGCTCTGCTCGTCTGATATCGAACGTCCTGCTGGGTCGCGCGGGTTCCGCACGGGCCCCTGGCATTGTACGCGAACGACGAGCAGATTCCATGCTGTTCCAACCCGCCGTGCTACCCCGCGCAAGCCTATCGGTCCGTCTCGTGCACCCTCCGAGGATTTGCACCTACTCACCATGCGAATCCTCCGAGGAACGCGTATCGGGGGCGCGGCACCGCTCGCGTGCGCCCCTGGCCGCTCCCCAACGTCTCGCCGCGCTCGGGTGCCGCGCAGGAGCGAAGCGGGGTAGCCATGGACGCGTGGAAGTCGGTGAAGCCGTACGTCAACGGCGGGCTCGCCGGCATGGGCGCTACATGCTGCATCCAGCCCATTGACATGGTCAAGGTGCGCCACGGGGAAGGCAACACGTTCCGCCTCGCCCCGCCCGCCAGCGGCTCCGGCACGCGCCCGCCGCGACGCCGAACGCAGCAGTACACTGGCAACATGCTTCCCGGGCGCCCGCACGCCGGGATCGTCTCGCCGCGCCGCGCCCGTCGCGCTCGGGAGTGACGCTCGTGCCAAGGGATCTCGGCGCCGGTCCGGTCCCGTGCCCGCAGGTGCGGCTCCAGCTGGGCGCGACGGGGGGTCCGTTCAAGGTCGCCAGCGACATCATCAAGCAGGACGGCTTCGGATCGCTGTACAAGGGCCTGAACGCGGGCCTGGTGCGCCAAATGACCTACACCACCGCCCGGCTGGGCCTGTTCAACAAGTTCAACGACGGGCTGAAGGAGATGAACAAGGACACCGGGAAGGTCCCTCTCTGGCAGAACGCCGTCGCGGGGCTCGCCGCTGGCGGCCTGGGCGCGGTGGTGGGCACCCCCGCGGACCTCACGCTCATCCGCATGCAGTCGGACGCGACCCTGCCGGCCGCGGAGCGCCGGAATTACACTGGTGTCATGAACGCCTTCGTGCGGATCACCAAGGAGGAGGGGTTCATGGGCCTGTTCGCTGGATGCGGCCCCACAGTGGTGCGCGCCATGGCCCTCAACATGGGCATGCTCGCGTCGAACGAGGCGGCGAAGGACCTGCTCGCGTCGACCGCAGGGATGGACAAGGGCACGCCGAGCAACACGTTCACCGGTGCGGCGCCCCCGCCTGCGACCCGTCCCCTGCAGTTCTGTGCTGCATTGCACGCTGCCCCGCACCACTGCCCCGTCGTCGCTGGCACGTGCGCCGTGCCCGCGGCCGCCGCGGCCGCCGCGCGCCCTCCAGCGCACCGCGGCCGCGCCGCCGGCGCCCGCTCGCGGCGTCCGCGGCCACCCCACATTCGCACAGCCAGCTGACCCGCAGCCCGCCGTCGCCCCCTTTCTCGCGTCGCAGCGGCCTTCATCTCGGGCTTCTTCGCGTCGTTCTTCTCGCTTCCGTTCGACTTCGTCAAGACGCGCGTCCAGAAGATGAAGAAGGGCCCTGATGGCAAGTACCCTTACAAGGGGCCGATGGACTGCGCGATGCAGACGCTCAAGAACGAGGGCCCGCTCACGTTCTACACGGGCTTCCCCACGTTCTACGTCCGCATCGCCCCGCACGTCACGCTTACGCTCGTCTTCATGGAAGCCATCAAAAAGTTCCAGGCCGAGTACGGCCTCTGACGCGCCCGACCGGAACCGGCCGCCGCCTCGCACCGGCTGTGACACTCGACTCGACACGCGTGGACGTCCGGCGTGCGAAGCGAACCGCCGCCCGTGCCGCCGATGACGACCCAGCGCTGCAGGTGCGCACCAGGCGTGGCGCCTGGGGTCGCATCGCAGCACGGTGCGAGCGAGCGCCGGTCTGCTGCGAGCGACGCCAGCCAGGGCTCGAACGCGTTCCGGAGGACCTTGCCCGCGGGATGGGCCCGTTCAGGCTCGCAGCGCGCGCAGTCAGGTTGCCAGACGCGGGAAGTGCGCTGCGTGTGCTTGCGGGCGGGACGCGGACGGCACGCGGACAAGCGAACTCGTCCTCGTGCTCCGACATGCGGTCGTCATGCTGTTTTTCAGGCGCGCCGCTTCTCCGCTATCCGCGACTCACATGCGTCGCGCGAGGTCTCCGCCTACGCGGACGGCAGTCCCTCGGGGGTCTTCTCCTTTGTGGCGGCCTTCCGGTTCTTCCAAAGCCCGCCGTAGCGGTAGTGCGGGTGCTCCTCGTCCCCATCCACGACCCCCCCGGACACGTCCTTCCAACACCCACCGCACGCCATGTGCCACGTGCCGCTTGCGTCCACCTGGCAGCGGATCAGCAGGTCCTTGCTAGCACCGCACAGCGTACACTCCTTCTGCCCCTCCTCGTCCGGCTGCCGTCCCTCGCGTGCTGCACGTCGCGCTGCTTTCACCGCCTTCTTGTGTGCGCGCTTCGCCGCGCGCGAGTCCGTCTCGACATCCGCTGTATCGGGACCCTCGCTGCCTGCAGAACCCGCGTACGACGCCGTCGTGCCGTTGGCCTCCGCGGCGCCATCGTCATTGCTGCGCTCTTCGCCGTCCGCCTGCTTGTCCGCCCGCTTGGCCGCGCGGCGCTTGGCGTTGCAGGACTTCGAGCACGTCGTGACCTCGTCCCAGCAGCGCTCCCACTTCTTGCGCCACTGCGTTGCAAGCAGGTGAGACAAGATGCAAGGCTGCTGTGCACAAGGAGCGTGCGCATCGCGCAAAGGCGGTGACATGCAACCTTGGTGCCGCGCGTTCCAACACCAGTGCGTTAACTAGTCGCTCCAGTGCGTTGTGAAGCTCTGAGCGCCGCGGTCAGCGCCTGGCAGCTCGAAGGACCTGCATGAGGCACAGCTCGCTGGCCACAGATGCACGGACAGCGGGGCCGTGTTTCACCGTGAAGGGTCGACCGCATACTACGCAGTCCTTTGAAGGCAAGTGCTCCTTCTTGACGCCGCGCATCGCTTCCCCCTTGCCCCTCTTGGCCTCGCAAACTGCACTCCGCTCCCAAGGCGCCGGTGGGTGCGTACCGCGGCCGCCGCTTCCTGTCGCGCGCAGTGTACTGTTCAACCCGTCTAGGGGTGCGCCAGAAAAGGCCCGCCCGAGCGGGGCGGCACGCGCTACGACAGCCAGCGGCCGCGCAGCGAATCGCAGGACGGGGCTCACGGGCATGTGCTGCTGCGCGCCCAGGGGCCGGCACCTTCGCTTGTCTGCGCGGGCCGCGTCGTTCGGCCCGCTCTGAGACCGCGTGGCGTCACGCCACGGTGGCGTGGGTGGGGGTGTGTTGGTTCAAGGTACAACTTTGGGGCGCTGGCCGGCGCAGCGCACGCCGCAGCTCGAGTCCAGCGTCTGGCCACGCGATGGCTGCGGCGCGCGCACGTGTGCGCTCGATCCTGCGCCGGGGCAGACGCCCAAAAAACACGTGTCTAGGATCATCGTCAACATATTTTGTGCAATTGCGTGCAGCGTCAGGATTCTGCATCTTGGTGCGCTCGCGGCGCGAAGGCGGTCCGCCGCTGCCTGCTCGTGCCCCGCCTCCGTCGCGTCGACCTCCGCGGGCGCCGGGCACGTGCCGCAACAGACCTAATGCTCGCGGCGCTTACCGCAGGCCCGGCACCACGTCATCGAAAGGTGACGGCCTAGAAGCGTTCGCTCATTACACTGCCCTGCACCGGCAGCGTGACATCGTTACTTTGTCCGCCCCCCGCGACGGGACGCACGGCACACTGCCATGAGGGTGTGCAGGCCTCTCCGCCGCCTGCCCGAGCCTCCGCGCACAGTAGGGAGAGTCCTGCGGGTGCTCCGGCTGTGTCGCTCGCTGCCACCCCTGTTTCGTGAGCGCGTGGCGACGGCGCCTGGGTCCGGAGTTATACTAGGCCGAGGGGCCTGGAGGCCGGCGCGGCGCGGCGCCAATGCCGGCGCGGAGCGCGCTGCTCGTCCTCTCTCGGCGGTCAAGGTTGCTGCCACCAGGACACCTGAGACTACTTGGTGCGTGCCCGCGTCGTGGCGTCGCGGAATTCTGTGCCCATCGACGTAGAGCAGCAGCCCCTGCGGCGGGGCGCCTGCGGTCCCGCTGCTATGCAAATTTCGAACGAATGCACGCCGTTCTTGGCCCCCGCGCCGCGCCGGGCGGCCGTGCCGCCCCGGCAGCCGCAGGGCGCGGCAGCGATTGAGTGGGCGGGCGGCAAGCCCGCCGTCGCTCCCTGCGCGATGGAATCGTTTCTGGCGCTTCGTCCTGCAGGAATCTCCTCCGTAGCACCCGGATTTCGCCCAACTAGGACGCGCTGACGCACTGCCGCGCTCGGATTCCCCTGCAGGCTCTCAGGCGACAGCAGCCCATCTCTGCGAGACCAAGCGGGGCCGAACGTGATCAAGATGGCTACGGACGCGAACGGTTCCTCGGTAAGCCGTCCGGGGAGCGCAAATGCACCCGCCCACGCGGACGCCACGCGCGCACCGCGGCCAGCGCGCAGACTGCCGCCCGGCCTTTCGCGGCGGAGCGTCCCGGCCTGCACACGCGCAGCAGGCTCCTCCCTGCGCCGCCCCTCCTATTTCCATCGCGCCCCCCGCGCGTCCAACCGAGCCAATTCCGCCCGTCGCCGCCGCACTGCCGGCGCCATCCACCTGGGGGCTCCACTTGCGTGCGGCGCGGCCCAGCGCGGCGCTGCCCCGGCCCCCCGGGTCCCCACCAGCCTAGTCAAGCCCTCCCTGCGCAGCGGCGATGCTTTGTTACACACAACTCGCCGCCCCAGCCCCCCGCCTCCGGCCCCCCATCCCACCCGCCTCCCCATCCGCCGCGCCCCGCGCAGGTCTTCGGGGCGGTCGCGCGCCTCGCAGACCTCTCCATCGCGGACAGCGCGTCGGCGAAGGAGTTCGGCGAGCTTGTCGCCGCCGTCGTCGCCGCCGACGACCAGAAGGCCGCTGCTGGCGCCGTCGCGGACAAGGCCAAGGCCGCCGGCGCCCCCAAGGCGTTCAAGGACGGCTGCCTGCTACAGCACGTCCTCAAGGTCGCCGGCGAGGACAAGACCAAGGAGGGCAAGGGCCGCGCCGCCGCGATGCGCACGCTCGAGGCCCTGGTGGCGCTCGGCAAGCCCGCCGAGCCCTACCTCGTCAAGGCCCTCGGCCGCGCGCTCGAGGTCATGGGCGACAAGAGCAAGGACGCCAAGGAGGCCGCCACCGACTTCGGCACCGCGCTGTTCGCCGTCCTCTCGCCGAACGCCACGGCGATCGTCGTGCCCGTGCTGATCAAGTCGGGCATGGACGAGCAGGCCGTCCCGGGCTCCAAGGTCGCGGCGCTCGTGCTCCTCAAGACCCTCGTGGGCCGCGCCGGCGCGCAGGTCGCCGCGTGCATGGCCGACTGCGTGTCGGCGTGCACGAGCATGATTGGCGACATCAAGAAGGACGTCAAGGAGCAGGCGCTGGACACGATGGCCGCCGTCTGCACCGTCGTGGGCAACCGCGACATCGAGAAGTTCATCCCGGACGTGATCGACTGCATCGCCAACCCCGCCAACACCCCCGAGTGCATCCACAAGCTGTCGGCCACCACCTTTGCGCAGACGGTCGAGGCGCCCTGCCTGTCGCTGCTGTGCCCGCTGCTCCTCCGCGGCCTCCGCGAGCCCGTCACGGCCATCAAGCGCAAGACGTGCGTCGTCATCGAGAACATGTCGAAGCTCGTCGAGAACCCCGCCGACGTGGCGCCCTTCCTGGGCCTGCTCGTGCCGGAGGTCGAGTCGGTGTCCGTCAACGTCGCGGACCCGGAGTGCCGCTCCGTCGCCAAGCGCGGGAAGGAGTACCTCCTCATGGCCGGCCAGGTCATGTCGGCGGACGAGGCCGAGGTGCCTGTGTCGGCCGACCCGGCGGTGGTGGGCGCGGCGCTCAAGGAGGAGATCGGCAAGGCGGGCCACAAGGGCGCGGTCGACGAGGACATGTTGACGTACGTGGCCGCGCAGTGCGCGTCGCTGATCGCGCGCCGGTCGTTCGCGGCCGCGCAGTGGCAGGGCGTCATCACCGAGTACCTCGGGACGCCCGCGGCGGTGGCGACGGCCTTCATGGAGCGGTGCTACAAGGAGGCGGCCGACAAGGAGAAGAACGAGGAGGAGGAGGAGGACGGCGAGGACCTGTGCGACTGCGAGTTCTCGCTGGCGTACGGCGGGAAGATCCTGCTCAACAACGCGCGCCTGCACCTCAAGACGGGCAAGCGGTACGGCCTGTGCGGCCCGAACGGCGCGGGCAAGTCGACACTGATGCGCGCGATCGCCAACGGCCAGATCGAGGGCTTCCCCACCGCGGACCAGCTGCGGTGCATCTACGTGGAGCACGACATCGACGGGTCGAACGCCGACACGCCGGCCGTGGACTTCGTGGCCGAGAACGAGCTCCTGCAGAAGATGGGCGTCACGCGCGACGACGTGGAGAAGATGCTCACCTCGGTCGGGTTCACGGAGGAGCTGCGCAACAAGCCCGTGGGCTCGCTGTCGGGCGGGTGGAAGATGAAGCTGGCGCTGTCGCGCGCCATGCTGCAGAAGGCGGACATCCTGCTGCTCGACGAGCCGACGAACCACCTGGACGTCGCGAACGTCAAGTGGCTGATGGACTACCTGATTGGCCTGGAGCGCGTGACGTCGGTGCTCGTGTCGCACGACTCGGGCTTCCTCGACACGGTCTGCACGGACATCCTGCACTACGAGAAGAACCTCAAGCTGAAGAAGTACCGCGGCAACCTCTCGGCGTTCGTCAAGCTGCGCCCCGAGGCCAAGTCGTACTACGAGCTGCAGGCCACGCAGATCAAGTTCACCTTCCCGGAGCCGACGTACCTCGAGGGCGTCAACTCCAAGGGCAAGGCCATCATCAAGGTCACCAACATGTCGTTCCAGTACCCCAACACCCCGAAGCCGCAGCTCACGGGCGTGTCGGTGCAGTGCTCGCTGTCGTCGCGCGTGGGCGTCATCGGCCCCAACGGCGCGGGCAAGTCGACGATGATCAAGGTGCTCTGCGGCGAGACGTCGGCCACGGAGGGCCACGTCTGGCGCCACCCCAACATGCGCATCGCGTACGTCGCGCAGCACGCCTTCCACCACCTGGAGAAGCACCTGGACATGACGCCCAACGAGTACATCCGCTGGCGTTACGCGTCGGGCGAGGACCGCGAGGCCGCCGGCCGCGTGGACCGCAAGCTGACGGACGAGGAGAAGAAGAAGATGGCCGAGGCCATGAACTTTGGCGGCGTCAAGCGCGTGATTGACAAGCTCGTGACGCGCCGCAAGGGCAAGAAGGGCTACGAGTACGAGGTGCAGTGGAAGAACTCGTCCCCCGAGGACAACATGTGGATCCAGCGCGACCAGCTCGTGGAGACCGGCTTCGAGAAGATGGTGAACGAGTTTGACGCCAAGGAGGCGGCGGCGCAGGGCATGCTGGCGCGCCCGCTGACGCTCGGGAACGTGGAGAAGCACCTCGGCGCACTCGGCCTCGAGGCCGAGTTCGCGACGCACAACCGCGTGCGCGGCCTCTCGGGCGGCCAGAAGGTCAAGGTGGTGCTGGCGGCGGCGACGTGGAACAACCCCCACATCCTCATCCTGGACGAGCCGACGAACTACCTGGACCGCGAGTCCCTCGGCGCGCTGTCGCAGGCGATCAACGAGTTCGGCGGCGGCGTGGTGATCATCTCGCACAACCAGGAGTTCATCGACTCTATCTGCTCGGAGAAGTGGTTCGTGAACGACGGCACGTGCCGCGTGGAGGGGCAGCAGTGGACGGCGGAGAAGGTCGCGGACAAGAAGCCGACGGAGGTGACGGACGCGTGGGGCAACACCGTCAAGGTCAAGGCGGACAAGAAGAAGCTCTCGCGCAAGGAGCTCAAGGCGCTCAAGAAGAAGCGCGAGGCCGCGCGGGCCCGTGGCGAGGAGGTCTCGGACTCGGACGACGACTGGGAGTGAGCCGCGCGGCGCCCGCGCGACGCGAGCGCGCGTCATGCCACGACCCGCTGTCTCCTGCTCCCGCTACACCCCCCCCCCGCTACTCCCCGCCTTCCTTTCCCTTCCCCCCCCGCCCCCCCTTTGCACGATGCACCCCGAATTGGATGGGGCCGTTGGGCTGTTCTGCCGCGCACCCGCATCGATGCCTGCCTCTGCACTGGCGGCGGCCGTTGGCGGACGGCCCGTCGCCACGCTGGGGCGTGCGCCCGTGTGATCGGCCGAGTAACGGTCGCGTGCCCCTCCGCATCGTTCGTCTCGCCGAGCCGCGAACCGAAGCGAGCGCGCTGGTGGCCAGCGCACGGGCGCGGCGTCCCATGGATGCCCTCTGGTTGCTGGGACACGTCGTTGCGAGCGAGCCTGATGATCGTGCCAGCGAGCTGCCGACGAGTGCCATGCTCAGCGTTCCGCGGGCAAAGCACACATTTTGCCGGCGCCGCTGCTCGCTGTCAGACACCATTTGATTCGAACTTCAGTCGGACTGCCTCGGGCTGTCCGCGATATGGTTTCATGCGGTAGCTGGCCCGCGGCACATCGCGGATCCGGCAAAACAAGATGGCCTATCTGCCGTTCGGCGCAGCCTTGCAGGCGTCCGTGCACTGGCTGGACGAAACGTTCACAAGCGCATTGAGGAGGCGCCTCGTGCTGCCCTTCGTCACTGCTGCGCTCGTGTTCCTGGGTCTCGCTTGCGCAGGCTTCCCGATCTCGTTCGCGGCAGCTATGGGAGCGTTCATCTACGTCCTGGCGCGAGCGATCCGCCAGGAGGAGGGCAGGAAATCAAAACGTGAGCGAAAAAATAGCTCGTATTACGGCGAGCACGCGGCCCCGCACGCAGGCCGCAGCACCCGGAGATCTGCAGCCTCTCACGCGCTTGTCGCCGTTGTGGCGCGTCGTGCTGTCCGCGCAGGGCTCTGGAGGCGCATGGGCGGTTTCTTGCGAAGGAGGCGCAACGTGGCCACCCGCGGCGAAGAAGCGGTTCTGCAGCTTGCTCTCAATGCACAGCAGGCAGCACACGCAAGAGCGAGCGGCGGCAGCGTCGGCACCGCGCGCTCTCCTTCTCCTCTTGATGCGGAAGAATGGCTCGAGTCCGGGGCCGGAGAAGGCGTGGGACCAGCGCAAGCAGCGCTGTCGGCTCAACAATAGCGAGGAGCACATGAATAACGGCCGCAGTCCCTGGCCAGGGGTAGCCCAAAGACAGGGTGCGCGGACGACCCTTGGTTCGAAAATGCGACGCGTGCCCGCCCCGCGCTGCGAAGAGGGACCCTCGCACGTCAGCCATGCCACGCACGCCTCACGGCGCCCGACGCACGGCCGCTAGCGCCCTCGGTCGGGTCACCGCGCCGTTCGGGTCACATCAACAGCGCGGGAGCTCCCTCTCAGCGGCGAGCATGCGCGAGTGTGACTTCGTGCACGAGCCCACAGCGCACCAAGTACTGACGATGCACTCGAGAGAGCCCTCCAGGGGGCTCCGTGATGGCTTGCAGCGAGAATGGTGTGGAGGAAAAGATGTTGTGCCGCGATCGTGTCGTCTTCGCGCCTTCGGAGGTCGCTTGGTCCGCGGCGCGCCCATCAGTGGGGCTGCAAGCGCTCGCGGTGGTCACTGCAGGCGCTGTGGCGGTCGTGGTGGCGCGTGAGGTCTCGAAAAAGAGCCAAGGCGGCCCGTGGGACGGTAGTCACAGGGTCGTTTGCAGCGCAAAGGCCCGCGAACGACGCCCGGTCGAGATCGCACTGATGTGCATAGCGGATGTGCAAAACCACACGTCCCCACGGGGGCGGTGTGACCGAGAGCCTGGTGGGGAACTCCTGGACGACAGTGCTCGTTGCATGCAGCTCGAGTTTGCGCTGCGCTGCCGCGTCTCAGCCCCGGCGCCAGCCTTGCTGCTGCGACCGTGTGTGCCGGCCCGCGGGTGCAGAACATCGCCAAACGACCCGAGTTGTGAAAAAACAAGCAAGTCGTCGAGCGATCGACAGAACCCTGTCGTCGCCACACGCGATATGTTGGTGTCACAGAAGGGCGGCTAGTCCTACGCGCCGGGAAGCACGCCGAACGGGCGCGTGCGTATTGACATCGTTCCCCGGCTGGGGCGCAGGCATGCGAGCGCTCTTCCTCCTGGTGAGTATCCGACGGCCCATGGTGGCACGGCATGCAGCCCTCGCGCCTGCCTTGGGCGCACGTCCGCGGGCACCCGCCATCGCCACCAGTGGGGCCTTCGGGAGCTCGGAGATGGTACGCGCGAAATGAACATGATGCCTCGGAAGGACTTGTGATGTGGGAGCGGGGCGCAGGGGGGTCCTGAGTGGTGGGAACACAGCCGCGCGCATGCTTTGCGTTGGCCGCCGGCCGCCGTGCCCGTACTGCTGAGCGAGTGCCATGCAGAGCCGCTGGCGGTGCGGCAGTCTGGGCGCTCACGAGGCGCGGGCGCGCGCCGCGGCCGGCAGCGCGGCAGTCTCCCCGCGCACGACGAAGTCCTTGAGCGACTGCGGAAGCATCACGCGCGCCAGCATCGCCTCCAGGTCGGCGCCCTCCAGCCGCTCCGAGGCTTGCAGCTTGTCCGAGATCTCCGCGTGCAGGTCGCGGTTGAACTCCACCACGTCCTGCGCAACCCGCAGCGCCGTGTCGATCAGCAGCTTGACCTCCTCCTCCACGAGCGCGGCCATGCGCGCCGCGCCGCCGCCGCCGCCGAGCAGGGCCGCAGCCTCGCCGTCGAGGCCCGACGACAGCACGCCGACGTTGAGCGGGCCGATGCGCGTGGAGAGCCCAGCCTCGGCGACCGCGCGGTACGCGAGCCCCGTCGCGCGCTGGATGTCGTCCCCGGCGCCCGTAGAGAGCCCCGGGCAGGTCACGGCCTCAGCCGCGCGCCCCGCCAGCAGCGTCGCCAGCTGGCCGCGGATCTCGTTGTCGAACGAGAGGGCGCGGTCCTCGGCCGCGGGCGGCATGTACGTGAACCCCAGCGCGCCGGAGCTCCGCGGCACGATCGACAGCCGCTCCACCCGCGGCATCTGCGGCAGAAGCATGGCCACCGCGGCGCCCACCAGCGCGTGCCCGACCTCGTGCCGCGCCACGACCGACTTCTCGAGGCCGCGCAGGATGCTGCGCTTCTTCTCCACGCCGGCCACGGACCGCATGATCGCCGCGTCGAAGTCCGCGGCCGTCACTATGTCGCCGCCGCCGCGCCCCGCCATGATGGCCGCCTCGTTCACCACGTTCGCCAGATCCGCGCCCGTGAACCCCGTTGTCGACGCCGCCAGCCGGTCCACGTCGACGTCCGCGTGCAGCGGCAACTTACGCTGCCCGATGTGCACGCGCAGGATCTCCGCGCGCCCCTGCCGGTCCGGGTGCCCGACCGACACCTTGCGGTCGAACCGCCCGGGCCGCATCAGCGCCGAGTCGAGCACGTCCGGCCGGTTCGTCGCCGCGATGCAGATCACGGGCTTGTCCAGCGCGTTCGACGAGTCGAACCCGTCCATCTCCGTCAGCAGCTGGTTGAGCGTCTGCTCGCGCTCGTCGTTGCCCACCGACCGCAGGCGCGAGTCGCGGCCCTTCGCGACCGCGTCGATCTCGTCGATGAACACGATGCAAGGTGCCGCGGCGCGCGCCGCCGCGAACAGCTCCCGCACGCGCATCGCGCCCATGCCCACGTAGAGCTCCACGAACTCCGACGCCGACATCGAGAAGAACGGCACGCCGGCCTCCCCCGCGACGGCGCGCGCCAGGAGCGTCTTGCCCGTGCCGGGGGACCCCACGAGCAGCACGCCCTTGGGCGGGCGCGCCCCGAGCCGCGTGAAGGTCTCGGGCTCGCGCAGGAAGTGCACGACCTCCTGCAGCTCCTCCTTGGCCTCGTCGATGCCCGCGACGTCCGCGAAGCGCACCGACTGCTGCGGCGCGGCAGACTTGTGCTTGGTGCGCGCGCCGATCTTGCCGGAGATCGCGCCCGACGGGATCACTGCGCGCAGCGCCAGGGCGACGATCACCAGGCACATGACCCAGGAGAGCGTGCCGCCGAGGCGGTTCGAGCGGCGCTCCGAGGCGCCAAATGTGACGCCGTTGCGCGTCATTGCGTCGTACGGCACCGCGCACGTGTCCGGGCGGACCGTCGAGAACACGATATTGGCGCCGCCCGAGTGCTGCTCCGCGTAGCGCTGCCGGACCTCGAGCGCGGTCGGGGAGCTCGCGCGCGGCGTGAAGTCGATGTTGTACTGCCCGTCGAGGAGGACGTCCGCCACCTGGTTCGACTTCACCTCCTTCAGGAACTGCGAGTAGGGTACCTGCGCGGACAGACGGGCGGAACGCGCCCCGGTTGGGCCTGGGGGTCCGCGGGGCCGGCGACGATGACGAGCGGGCGCGAGACGACCTCGTGCAGGTCGGGCCTGTGCTGCGGAGCGATCCGCGCCCGAACGGGCCGGCGTGCGCGAGGTGCGTGGCGAACGGAGCGGCGGCGCCCCGCGGCTCGCACCTTGTACGTCACGGTGGGCGTCTCCTTGGCCTGTGGGGTGCCCATGGGCACGCCGGCGAGCCGGCAGAAGAAATAAAGCGCGAGGCCGTGGAGGAGGTACTGCATGGGGTCCCATCGTCCGCCCCCGGGGCGCGACAGCGGGCCCTGCGTGCGTGACCCGCCCTCGCCGTCCCTGCAGGGAGGGTGCGGGGGGGGGGGCACGGGGCATCGACGTGGGTCTGCCGGTCGCGAGGCGGCGCACGCGACGCGAGGACGTTCGACAAGCACCCGTATCGATCGAAACAGTGCGCGAAAGAGGGCTCGAGCGGGCCGAGGGGCGTGTGTGCGGTTCGCGTGGCTCCCTCAGCCCCGCGGCCTGGCCGTGGGACGGGACCGCTGCCCCTCCCGAGCGGGGCTGAGGGCGTGCTGACCTTCCAGCGTCGTCTTGCCGGTTCTCCTTCGCGTTCATCTCCTCGGCGTCGGCGGGCAGGTTGCGCCGTGGCTTCCTGGAGCCGTTCCCGGGCGCATTGGGCCCCTTGCCCGAGTCGCCATCCGACTTTCGCCTCGAGCTCCGATTGTTCGCCGCGGCTATGACGGCGGAGCGCCCGCCAAGATCGTCGGCGCGGCGCCCCGAGCGCTGAAAGAGCGGCCCAGCAGTGCGCGTCGCCCGCAGGGCGCTGGGGCAGTGCCGAGGCGGGAGCGCGAAATGCCGCAGAGCAGGGCGCACGGAGACCGCCGGGGCGTCGGTCCTGACGCGCATGCCCGGCCCGCGGGCTGCGGGAAGCATCCTCCCTTGCTTCCGAGCTCTAGGGTCCGACCTCCGCCTTCCGGCCCAACGGGGCCACGACTGATCCAGCGCCTGCGCCACACACAAGCAGAGCCTCTCGCCTTGCACGACAGCGAAGTCAGCGCCGGAAGAGAGCGCCGTGCCCGGGAACGCAACGCGAAGCACTGCTGGCAGTGCACACTCGCGGGCCCCGCCGCTGCGCAGCTCGCCCGGATGGTTCGTCCGGCGAATGCACGCGCAGCCTCACGGTCAACCCAGCTGACGGTTCAGCCGGGCCGTGCAGCGTTCCCGGCGCTGCGAAAGCGGCGAGCCGTGCGTGGAAGGTGGCGAAGCCCGGCTGTTTGCCGCTGGCACCGACTCGTCGACGGGCCGAGGGGCCGCGTGGTCGACAGGCGGGGGTGTCAGGAGTACGGTGCCGGCGACAGGGCCGCGCGGGCCGCGGATGAACCGTCCTACGTCGTGTGAGAGCTGTGCGAGGTCGCTCGGCTGGAGGTCGCTCGGCTGCTTTTTGGGCAGCGGCGACGGCACCGTCCGGGGACCGACGGGCGGGAAAGCGCGACGGGTCGGTCAACATTAACCAAAACTCACCGGGAGAGCCGTGTGTGTGCGGAAGGGGCGCTTCTCGAATGTGGCGCGCGGGACCTCCACGTCGAGTGGGTGGGACCTCGGTCTGAGCGGCGCCGGCCGCGACGATTCAACAGCGCGAGCGTACGCCTGATCGCGACCGTGTGCACGGTAGCGGCGCGGCGCGCCCCGTAGAAGGGCGCAGCGGACGCGCGGGGGCCCGCTGGACACACACCTCAGGACTGGTATGAGGGTCCGTCCCGGGGGGTCTGACTGGTGCGACGGGGCGCGGGCGTGCCCCTCTGACTGCTGGCAGAGCGATGAGCCGAGACAGAAGCTGCCTACGCCCGACACGCGAACGGACCGGCGTGGTTGCATCCAGGTGCTCACTTTATCGTTTCGGCGCTCGTGGCCGCAAAACCACGCCATGTTACGCACGTCGGTGTAAACTGCATACTTAGTGGACCTCTGGACGCGTGTGCGCGCCCTCCGCGCGGAGCACACGCGGAGCTGTGCCTCGAGAGGTCAACAGGTGCTTCTGAGCGCGCGTACGGGGCGGGTCAGCGCCCCTCCGCCCGTAAACCTAGCCGGCACGATAATTGACGGTTGTTGTCATAGACAGAGATCGTCGTTCGGGCCTGTCAGCCCAGAAGCGGGAGCATGCACGCTGTTCCAGCTACGTCGGGGCTGCTGCGGCTGCGCCGTCCTTCGCCTCCCCGAAACGCGCAGCAGCAGCGCGGGTGGCTTGCACCGCGCCCGGACAGCGCTCCGCAGACCGGGACTCGCCCTCCGCGGCGGCCCCTCCCACTCCCCCCCCGCGCTGACTCAGTGGCCCAGTCCATCGCTGGCGCGTTCCTCGAAATCGGCTCCGTGTGCGCCCTCGGCATCGCGCTCATTCCCAAGCAGCAGCGGGACAAGGTCGCAGTCGGTCTTTCGGCCGCGTCGTTCAACGCGCTGTTCCCGCTGCTGCTGTTTGTGTCTACGGCGACCACCATCGCGCGCGCGGGGGGGGTCTCCGCGGAGCTGTTCGCGCTTCCCGCGACCGCGATTGTGCAGGCGGGGCTCGGGGCGCTCGCGGGGCGCGCCACCGCGGCGGCGCTCGGGCTGCGTGGCGCTGCAGCTCGACGTGCGACCGTCGCGGGCGCGTTCTGCAATGCGACCACGCTGCCGCTCGTGGTCCTGCACTCCCTCGCCGCGACGTCCCCGGACCTGCTCGGAGGCGGCGATGTGGAGAATCGAGCGGTGGGGTACTTGTCCCTGTATCAGCTCGGCTGGTCCGTCGCGCTGTGGACGTGGGGCCTGTCGTACCTGAACCAGGACGACGACGACGACGGAGAGCCTGGCGGCGGCAGACGGGGCGGCCCGGGCGACGGCGGATGGCTGCAGCGCCTTGCGTCGCCGCCGTCACTGGGAGCACTGGCCGGGGCGGCGCTGGGGGCGTTCCCGCAGGCGACGCAAGCCCTGCTGCTGGACGACAGCAGCCCCGCTGCGCCGCTCGCGAGGGCCGCGGGGTACCTCGGTGGCGGCGCGCAGCCCGCGCTGGCGATGGTGCTGGCGTTGAGTTTGGTCGGGGGTGTCTCCGGGGCAGAGGAGGGGGAGTCTCAGCCTGACAGCGGGGACGAAGATGGGCGACGGGAACTGCTCGCATCGGCGCTGGCGCGCGGCGTGCTGGCGCCGGGGGCGACGTTCGCGGCGGCTGCGGCTGCGACGGCTGCGGGGTGGACCTGGGAGGGCGACAAGGCCCTGCTGTTCGTTTTGCTCGCGGAGGGCGCGATGCCGACGGCGCAGGTTCTGGTGCTGCTGGAGCAGGTGCGGCGGGAGACGATGCGGGAGGACGACGGCGGAGCGGGGGCGGCGCGAATTGCGCGGCTGCTCGTCTTCCAGTACGCGGCTCTGTGCGTGCCGTGCGCGCTCTGGCTGCAGCTCTTCCTCGAAATAACGCAGCGGCTGACGGAGCCGATGCCCTGATCGGAACCGCCGGATGCTGCTGTAATGGACTAACACCAGCGGCTAAGGCACAGGCGCGTAGGAGCCGATGGGGGAGCGAACGTGCGTGCGTTGATGTCGTTCACATCACTCTGTCACGGGGCACAGGATCCAGGCAGTGTGGCCGTAGCAGTGCGCGACGGCGCCGCCCTCGAACATCCCCAGCGCGTGGCACTCGGCGTCGGCCCCGTCAGCGCCGACACTCCCCCCCCCTGTCAACACTGACATGTCTGTCGACTGCAGGACATTGCCACGTAGCGTGCTCAGCACGTGGAGCTCCCCTGCACACACGTCAGACACCAGTCGCGGTCGGCTAAGACGAACACCCGCACGTGTCGCATGCACGCAAGCAGGTTGTGGGAGGCAAAGCGCCGCATGGCTGTTGGGCACGGACCTGACGCGGACCCAATCGCGGCGCGCTTCTGCTGCGGGTCGATCGCGACGCTGATCGGCCGCTCGATGCCCGGCAGCGTGAGGTTGCCGCTCGCCACGCTCAGAATCCCCAGCTGGCTCCCCAGCAGCGCCGCCAGCCCGGGCGAAAGCAGCGCGATCGTGTGGACCTCGTCGAGCCCCGCGGCGGCCAGGCGCGTGGTCGAGCCGCGCCGCACGCGCGGCAGCGCGCCGTCCTCGTCACGCGGGGTGTCCCACGACAGCCGGAAGGTCTGAACCCAGTCTGTCCCCAGAACACAAATGCAGGACTCTGAGCATGCCATGCCGATGATCTCCGGGGGCTCGCCCTTGCGCACGCCCTCGACGGGGAGCTTGAGGCGCTGGATGTGCTGTCCGTCCGCCAGCGTGCGCAGCTCCCCGAAGCCCTCGGCGTCCATGGTGACCACGCGTTCCTCGTCCGGGCTGAACGCCAGGCCCAAAACGGGCGAGTTGTGGATGTGCTTGGACCAGAGCTGCTTGCCGCGGCCCGCCGTCGCGATCGTGACCTCGCCGGCCACGTTGCCGGACACCACGTGCTGCCCCGACGGTAGAACCTGGAACAGAGTCAGCTGGTTCTCGTCGTCGAACTCCCCCCCCCCGAACGCCTCGTCGCCGATCGCGAGCGTCGCGATGGTGCCGGGCGTCGTGCTGTTGTACGCCATCACGTTGCACGCCGCCGCCCCGCCGGCGAACGATAGGCTGGACCAGAACGCCCGCAATGGCGCGTTGCTGTCGGGGGGCGTCAGGCCGTGCGCAAACCGCTGCAGCGCCAAAATGCCCGCCCCGAGATACATCCCGCCCGTCGACGTCACGGCCGTCGCGCCGCGCGCGCCCAGCGTGCCCACGCGCAGCACCGCTCCGCTCACCTCGGCCTGCGCCGTCAGCACCATCGCCGGCTCCCTCGCGGCCTCGCCGCCCGCCGCCACGGCCCCCCCGTCCTCCGCGTCGTCCGTCATCGCAGCGCCCGACATCGTCGCCATCTGCCGCGGGGCCTCCTCCGCGGTCCTCGCGGAGTACTCCAGCAACGCCCCGCTGTGTAGCCCCACCACGACCTTTCCGTCGCACACCGCCACGGCGCTCACGCCCTGCAGCGCCGACAGCTCCGTGCGCACGCGCAGCGTCGAGGCCCTCGAGGGGCTGTCGGGCGGCCCCTCCCCTTGCGAGGCGGTGTCGTCGACGGAGAGGTCCCCAGTGTCGATTGGCGTGCCGGTGTCGCCGTCGGTGCCGAGGGCGAGGCGGCGCGGCGACGGCGGCGCGTTGCTCGGCGCCGGCACGCCGAAGAGGCCCAGCGCGCCGTCCGCCGCCCACACCAGCACGTGCTCCAAGTACCCATCGTACGACACCTGACCGAAGCAGCTGGCCACGATCTGCTGCGGGAGGAATACGCCGGGGACCGGCCGGAGAGAGTATTCCGGTGGCGCGATCGCCACGGTCGCCAGCGCCACCGTCGGGCCGGAAACGATGATTTCGAAGGAGGGCGTGGTCTGCGCGATGACCATGTCGTGCAGGCGCGGGAGCGAGGCGCGGAACGCACACGTGAGCGTCGTGAGGTCCCACAGGCACAGGAGGCCCGCGACGTCCTGCGACACCGCCCACTGCCCGCACTCGGAGGCCCGCACCAGCGACACGGTGTCCTCGTGCTCAGTCAGGACACCCCGGTGCCGCCAGGGCTCGCCGTCCGCCGTCGTGTCCATGAGCAGGATGTCGCAAGCGACGCGCTTCCCTGGCTGCGCTTCGTCGTCCTGCCCGGCCAGCCCGACCAGCGCGATCGCGCGCCCGGGCACCATATGCACGCACGTCACCTGGCTGGGCGCCCAAACCACGGCGCGCTGCCGCCCGGACCGCACCGACTCCCACATCACGCACCGGCCCATCGTGTACGCCAGCGCGTCGTCCCGCAGCAGCGCCATGTCCAGGATCGGCCCGAACATGTACTTGGTGAGCTCCCTGGCCTCCTGCGCGTGTGGTGGCATGCGGTCCTGGTCCACGCCAAGGCGCGACCGCTGCGCGCGCGGCGTGACGCCGGACGCGATCATCGCGTGCCGCGTGTTCCGCAGCGCCACGCGGAAGTCGTCCGTGCCCGGGACCGCGCACTCGACCTCGATGATGGAGCGCCCCTGCGTCACGAGGGCCACGTTGGTGTGCGGCACGGGCCGGAACTGCGTCAGCGGCGCGGAGGGGTCCGTGACGAAGACGGTCTCCGAGACGGGGCGCTCGTCGAGCAGCGCGGTGAGCGGGTGGCTCAGCACGCGGATCGTTCCGTCGGAGAGGGCACAGAACACAAGCTTTTGCAGCCCGTCGACGGCCATGTCGATGATGTCCGCGCCCTGGCCCGCGACGGGCACCTCGAATTCGAGCAGCGACGTGGCGAGGTTCCAGAACTGCAGCACGCCCTCGCTCGTCGCCAGCACGGCTTGCCCCGACAGCGGCGAGAAGGCCAGACGCTTGCCCTTGGCGTGCGGGAGCACGGCCTTCCCGAGCGGCTTGAGCGTGCTCCCGGCGAAGAGCAGCACGACGTTGAAGCCGGAGTCGGGGTCGGACGTGACCGTCCCGAGAAGGCCCGCCGCAGGGTCCGTCGCCAGCGGTATACTCCCCCCCGCCGCCGCCGCGATGGGGAGGTACTTCACGGGGGCGTACTGCTGGAGCGCGTCGTACACGACGATGTAGCCGTCCTCGGATGCCGACAGGAGGTGCTTCGCGTCGTCCGTGAAGGCCAGCGACGCCACCCCGGTACGGTGCTGACAGTACTCCTCCAGCACCACCGCGTTCGCCGTGTCCAGTATGCGCACGCTGCCGTCGTCGTAGCCGCACGCGAGCGCCGCGCGCGCGTCCTTCGGGGCGCCCGGCCGCGGCCGCGGGGCGTAGGCGACCGCCTTGCACGCCACGCCGCTCGCGCACGCAAACTGGCAGACCTGCTCGAGCGTCCGCCGGGACCACACGCGCACCGTGAGGTCTGCACTCGATGTGCAGAACTCCTCGCCCGTCGGGTCGACCGCCAGCGCCACGATGTCGTCGCGGTGCGACCGCATGAAGACGCTGTACGTGTGATCGCGCACGTGAAGGACGCCGAGCGTGCCGTCCGCGTTGCCCGCCGCGATCAGCCGCCCGTCCGACGACACCGCCATGCCCACGACCGCGCTGTCATGCTCCACCTCGAGCAGGTAGTCCTGGAATGTCATTGGCCACACGCGGATGGAGTGGTCCGCGGACCCAGACACGAAGACGCCGTCCTGCGCCACGCCGCAGTTCACGGGGCCACGGTGAAGGAGGTACACCGCCTCGAGGCGCAGCGCCGCGACGTCCACCTGCAGCACGTGCCCCGTGGCCGCCGACAGGTATGCGTAGCGCGACCCGGTGCGGAGCAGCGCGAGGTCGCCGTCGAACGCGATGTCCGTGAAGACGTTGCTGCCGAGCAGCTCCCGCAGGACGCGCTCGCCGTCCTGCTCGTCCACCGCGCCGGGCGCCTGCGGCAGCTTCGCCAGGTCCAACACCATGTGCCTGCGACGGAACAGGGGGCTCGCGACCCAGCGTAGATGCGTCAGACAGTGCGTCGCGCGGCGGCAGCTCGGGCGGCGCGCGCCACCCGAGCGCGGTGCGTGGGCGTGATTTGCAGCGACGACGCCCACACACGCACGCTGGTCATGTCCGAGCCCCGCCTGGCGGGCGCGCACCTGAGCTGGCGGCCACGGAGGCGCCAGTGTCTGACCGCGCCCTCCCCGCACGTCAGCAGCACGTACGGATCCGCGCCCTCGCCGCCCTGCCCCCCAAACGGCGAAAACTTCACCCGCGCGCAGCCGCCGTCGAACGACGCGCGGTCCAGCAGCATGACGTTGCCGTAGCCCTGCGGCGGAACCGGCAGGGCGTCGGCGCCGGCGCCGCGCGGCTTCCCGAACACCGCGCTGACGTCCCACACAGCGAGCATCCCCCTCCCGGCCGAGTCCTGGCCCAGCGCGGCGAGGCGCTTCCCGTCGAGGGACACGTCGAGGTCCTCAACGGTCCAGGCGTGCTCGGAGACGACGGCGAGGCACCGGCCGGTCGCGAAGTCCCACATGCGAATCGCCCCGGGCTCGGAACGTGAGCCTGCTTCCCCGGAGACGAGCAGGCGGCCGTCCGCGCTGAAGGCCAGGCACGAGACGGCATTGGAGTGGCCGCGGAAGACGCGTTGCGGCGGGCGCGGGGGTGTGCCGGGCTCGGGCGCCGCCGCGGAGTCGCTGCCTTCCACAGGGGCTGGTTGGCCCGCGTCGTAGGCTGCGAGGTCCGTGGCGACGATCAGAGACTGGCTCGTGAAGACGAGCTGCTTGGAACCTGGCTGGAACGCTATGCTCCTGCGCGAATGAGCGTGCACAGCGCGGGAAAACGCGGTCTTTCAGAGCAGCTTGGAGTCAAGCACTCTCTTGGCGGGGAAGGCGCAGGGGGCGTGGCTGGGCGGGCAGGCGCGGTGTCGAGCGCGCGACAGCGTAGAGAAGACGACCAGGTGCCTCGGAAGGCGGCTCGCGCGGGCGTTGCGGGCGCGTTGCGGGCGCTGGTGCGGAGGCGCTGTGGGGGTGCTCAGGCGCGCCGCGACGGACCTGGGGAAATCCGGCGTGTACCCCGACACGTACGCAAGCGAGAGATCGGCCTCATCGTCCGTTTCGGGGCCTGCCTTGCTCGCTGGGTGCACGGACTCGGGCCCGGAAACCGCCCTAGGATGCACCATCACGTCCTATGCTCGCGAACGAGCCTAATGCCACGCCGACCGGCGCGCTGCTCTAGTGCGTTCGAATCAGTCGCTGCAAGGCCCCGAAAGGGCGCGCGCGAGCTCGTGTCAGCGACGCGGGCGTGCGAGATCCCTGCACTGCATGACTGCGCCACCTGCACGGCAAGCGCGACGCCTACACCTCGACGAATGCGCGTGATACGCAACGGCCGGCCGATGCTCGCGATGGGATGTGCGTCTGACGCTGGAACTGGTCCAAATAGCAGCGGAGACGCTCGTCCGCGCGATGGCGGGAAGTGCCCCAGGTTGAACCCGGCACGTCAGTCCGCCGCAGCCGAGCACGGAACGCGCATCAAACGATGTCCGACAGACGCTACATTCTTCCAGTATCTCGCTTGCTGGCCCACGTGCCGCGCGGATACGGCGTGACGTGCTCAGCCCGCGCACACAACTTGCAACCGCACGTCGTGCCCTCACGTGGGGGGGCGGGCACCGAGCCCGTCCCGCCCGACTGCGCCGTGCGTCTAGCTTGCTATCTACGCGGGCGCGAGGTTGCGAGCGCGACCGGGCGAAGCTGCGCAGTGCACGTGTGTTCATTGAGAGGCAACCACGTCGCCACGTGCACGCCGGATGAACGTAACCCTTCAAGGCGTTCCGCGATGCCGACGCGCACGGAAGGGGCGCACACGCGGGCGCCGTACCAAGCACCTCCGTGCGTGTGGACGGGCAGTATCACCACGCGTCGCTCCGTGAAGTAACGCGCCCTGCGCTCAGCATACTGCGCGCGCCACTTTGCTCCAGCAAGTCAAGCTCAACCGGTGCGCTGTGGGCCAAAACCAGCGAACCAAGTTCAGGTATGATCGCTGTTCCAGACCCCCGGTGTCACTCGCGGCCCCCGTTCACTGCCGCTCCATGATTCCGGCGGGTCTTGGCCCGATGGCCTCCTTCGACCACGGCGCGCGGCGTGACGCGCCGATCCGCGCGTCGGAGACCCACGCTGGATGTTGCAAGCAGTAAGAACTGCTGCACACTGTGCAATGTTCTTGTGTCCGGATGGACCGCCGCCGAACCATCAACGTCGCGCGCATGCCAGCGACTGCTGGCAGCCTGCCAGCTGCTCGATCACCAGCCCAGCGATGGTGAAGGTGTCGCAGTGTGTGCGACGATAATCGTCGCCACACACGCTCCGCCGCGGCATGCTCCCGCCCGCTCCAGGTGCCTCTTTGCGACAACGGTCGCTGTCGTTAACGCCACGCTCGGCTACGCTGTGCGGGGGACGTTCCGCTGCGTCGGGGTCGCAGCGGCAGGGCTGTGAGGCTGGCGCTTGCCTGGTCCGACACGGCGGTCACCGCAGGGCGCGCACGCCGGGCGTCGCTTGTTCGCGGGGTGCAACGTTGCGACAAGGGATCGGGTCTGGGCGTGTGGAGGGCGCGGTCGCCGCGCGTGACGGGGGGCTTGGTGACGGCGCTGGGACGCCCCTCGTGAGTCGAGCAGTGGGGACTGCCACGCCCCTCCTGAGACATGGACGCGCGGCCGCGACGCACACGCAGTTTTGGTGTCGCGCACGCATCGCGGTCGGTAGGTTGACGATAGATTCCACGTCCCCGCGCACGTTTGGGTCTGCTCGAATTCGCGGGACGACACGGAGGGCGGTACTCGCAGTCGCGCGGTGCGGTGCGTCGCGCCGGGGGTCGGGCCATGGCGCCGCCTCCTGCGGATCCGGCGCAAGCTGCGCTCGACGAGATGCGGAAGCGCGTCGAGCAGGCGTCGGCGCTGGTGGCGGCGCTCTCGGACAAGCACAGCTTAGCTAGCCAAACAGTCCAGCTCTACTCTTCGATCCTCGACGAGATCATTTTCGAGACCGTGCTGCCTGTGCACCGAGAGATCAAGATGCAGGGCGGCAGCCCAGGTGCAGGCCGGAAAAACGGCGCCACGGACCGCGCGCGGAGCAGGTGGGTCCTCCTGGCCTTCGAGGGAGCGCGGTCGCCGGGCCCGGACTCCACTCGTCATGCGCACGGCCTCGCAGGGATCAGCACAATACGGGACATCCGTTCGCGGAGCCGCATGGGGCATGGGGGCACGATTGCGGCGCTCGTCGCGACCTGCCCCGCACAACAGCTGCACAGGGCATCGGACGCGCGCCTGCGCACCCCTTCGCCTCCCATCGCCCCTGCCACAGCCCGCTGGCATCTCCTCGTTCGTACAGTTCCGCACCGCGCCTACATTGATTCCCTCGTGCTTCGGTGCGCAGCCCGGCGGAGGCGGGTGCAGCAAAGCGGCAGCGTGTCGACGGGGCCGCTGCGTCGCCCGACGACAGCTCCGTGCGCGCCCTGCCGCCGCACTCCGCGGCGGGGAGCGGCGGCTCAGGCGGCCGCGACATCTTGCAGGGAGCATCGAACCCGGGTACGAACGGTGAGCGCCCCCACACCAGGCGCGTATGCGGAACGTGCCACCCGGCGCCTGGCGGCCGCGGAGTCTCGCGGCGACGTGCGCATTTCCTGCCGTCGTGGGCGAATCGAGCGCGTATGACATCGGGCCTCCAAGGGCGGGTCCATGCGCGCGGGGATCGCACCGCGATGACCCCCGCTAGCCTCGTCTCCCATCCCGCTCCGGCCGCGAGCAGCAGACACCGTCCGCGCCTTCCGTTGATGCTCCCGCGTGAAACAGCGAAGAAAGACCTTGCCGCACGGCTCCGTGGCGCCGGCGGGCCGCCAGCACCGCTGCAGCAGCCTGCACTGTCGCTGGCTGCGTCTGCCCTGACCCCCGCGGCGCCGCTGGCCGTTGCGCAGGCGCCGCCGCTCCCACAAGCGACGACCCTCCCTCGAATCCCGGCGGATGGTATCGCGGGCAGAGAATGGACATATACGGCCGCATTATTCCCACGACAACATCAGAACAAGTCAAGTGCCCCCAGTGCGGGAAACGGTCCGCCGCCGCGCGGTTCACGACGCACCTAGAGCGCTGCTCGGGCGGCCTGGGCGCCGGCAGCCAGGGCACGCGGTCGAGCCGGCGAGCCGCAGGGCTGCAGTGAGCTTGCGGCACGCGCACGACGCCGCGGCGAGGCGAGCAGGCGCTCCACGCGGAGCGTGGCGCCACGGAGCGACCGTGGACGCCAAGGCTGTCCCACACGCACGATGGCGGACGCCACACGCGCGATTTCATGTTGGGCTGGCATGCACCTCTGCCAGTGTGAGCTGGCGGCCAAGTCGACGAGTTGCGACGGCCTGGTGCTGTGACGGCGATAAAACGCACGGGGACGGGGCGGCGGTGCGCGCGCGGGCCTTCTGGCAGTGTCTCAGAGCCCCAGGTTAAAGCCTGACGGACCTTCGATTGTTTTGTTCTTTCGTGTTCCTGAAAGTTATCCATGCACCGAAAGACACGTCTTCGTCGCCCTGTGCGTTCCTTACACTGCACACACGCTGCAAAGGCGTGTCCGTGGCCGGCTGCAGCGAGGCGACCGGCAACTTGTCCCTTGTCACTTTTTGCTCCGAAGCACGCGGGAGGTCTTGACGGTCTCCTCGAGCGGCACGACGGTGATGTTGAACCCGTCGTCCTCGCCGCCGAGTCCCGGGACATCCCCCGCGGTCGCGTACTCCGGTTCGATCTCCTCGATGTCGCCGCCGTCCGTGCCCTCTGCGTGCCACGCCGCCACAGGCCTGCGTGCGGCGCAGGAGCGCACGAAACGCATCAAGCGAGCCGCAGCGTGAAGAAGCAACCACATCAGCGCCGCGAGTGCCGTGGTGCGCCCGATCCCCGCTCGCGGAAGCGTGACATGCGACGGCCGTGCTGTCGTCTCTGCAGTCAACATGCGTGCATGCCATGTGTCTCGCGCTCACCTGAGCCGGAACTCCGACATGCGCTTGTCGAACACGCGCAGGACCGCGGCCTGCTGCGGCGTCAGCTTGTCGCCGGCCCGGCAGACCGAGTGCGGCGCCACTAGCTCCACAACCCCCTTGTTCAGTCGCGTCGGGAGGCCGTTCTGCCGCAGGTGCCGCTCGAGGGTGTGCGGGACCGGATCCCCGTGCGGCCCGATCACGGGGCCCTCGGGGAGCGAGAAGGCCTCCGTCGCGACGGACCCGGCGCGCGCGTAGTCGACGTGAGAGAAGTTGACCAGCGCTGCCTGGGCTTCGTCGTTGTCGAGGTTGGTGAAGAAGAGGCCGACGTTGCCGCGCAGGAACGGCCCGAGGCCCGACACGCCGCCGCGGTGCTCCTCGGCGGTCGTGCGGCCGAGCGCGACCTGCGTTGCGAGCGGGCGAGGGGGCGGCGGGTGTGGGAGAGATGGCAGCGGCGTCGCGGGGGCGGCGGCGTCGCGCTCAGTCGTGGCTCGCCTTGAGAACCTTCGTGGAGCCCATGCAGAAGCGGGAGGTGTCCTTCAGGTCTTCGCGGAGCTCCTTGAACTTGTCGTTGCGCATGTTGTCGTAGGCAAACACGTAGCAGTGTTGGTACTGCTCCAAGCACGCGCGCACTGATTCGATGAGGCCATCCTTCCACGCCTTGCCCTTCTTCTTCACTTTTGTAAGCGGAACTGCGCAGCGTGCGGCTCGGCGGACGCGTGACCTCCGAGCGCCACGGAGATGCAGGTTGGGGGGGAAATAGACCGCGGCGACGTCCCTGGAGCGTCTGTCGCTGATCAGCGCAGCGGAGCACGATATGACCACATACGATACTCTTCGAGAGGGGCTTTCCCTGACCAGGCGACGCCGCGAGCGCCCGCACTGGCGCTGCGCGCTGCCGGCTGCTGCAGGCAGAGCTGCCGCGCCGACCGCTCGCCGCGCCGCCTGTCGCGGTACACGGCTCGGGACAGAGGCAAGCGCTTCAGCGGTGCAATGTGACACACCTACGCGATCACGCTTGCTCTTCGGCATGGCGCTCGCACTTTCCCTCCCGCCAAGTTGCCTGCCCTCGCCGCCGCCCGCTGAACCGCCAAAACCGTCAGGTGTGTATCTTATCGATAGGATACAGCGATGTGAGTGGCAGCCGGCCTGGCACAACGGCACCTCGATCGCACGCCGTGCGGTTGCGAGGCTGCTGGGTGAACGTGACGCAGAGTCGCCCTCGAGCACGAGACGGCTTGCGAGTGGAGAGCGACACTTGTGAGCGGGTTGTCACCATGCACAGCGGACAGCCGCGAACAAGAGATCGAACGGCGGACGCCGGCGGGCCGCCCGGGGCGGCTGCTGACGGCCATCACACCGGTGTCGGGCAGCAGACCCCCCCGCGCCGTCCAGCGCCATCTCCGCGCCACATGCCCACACGTCTCGTGCCCGTGCGCCATTTCGCACAACTCAGCTCGGGCCCATTGAGACGATTCAGCTCCCCCCCTCAGCCCCGAGGTGTGGAACATTGCCGTACTACCTGTCCTGGCCGAGCGCGAATTCACGCGAATCGTACCGTTGGCAGGCAGCAGGCGACTCGGCTGCGCTTCGCTGCCGCGCGGGGCACTCGATCCTCGCGGACTCCGCGCGCCCCCCCGCGAGTGCGCCAAGCGCAGACGCGTGAGGCCGGCGCAGGCCCGAGGAGGAGCCCGAGCAGGCCGTCCGCCGCGTACGGGCGTCGGTCAGTTGACCATGTCGGCGGCAGAGACCATGGGCGACCGCGCCGCGATGAAGCAGTACTGGGAGGAGCACACGAAGGAGTGTTCCGTGCAGGAAATGATGCTCGACTCCCAGGCCGCAGAAATCGACGAAATGGAGCGACCGGAGGTGTGCCGCCTCGCTCATCCCACCTGATATCCACCAGGATTCGTGCTCGTGCCGGACACGTCTCCATGGCTGCGAGGGGCGCCCGCCGTGGCTGTCGTTGTCTGTCGATCTCTCTGATCGCCGACACCGCGCCATTCGCGCGGTACTTCCGTCACCCGATCTTTCACGATGATCCGCATGCCCAGGCCGCGCGGTGCTGCGTCAGGCAGGCAGGCAGCGGCCTGCGCCCTCGGCGGCCTGGGTGACCGAGTGCAAACAGTCGCCACGCCCGCCACCGCGTTCGACGCGCCTGACGTCGCTCCCACGTGCGCTTCGACGCAGATCCTCGGCCTCCTCGGCGACGTCTCGGGGCGGCGCATCTTGGAGCTTGGGGCAGGCATTGGGCGCTTCACGGCGCCACTCGCCACCAAGTGAGCCCTGGGCGCCTCAGAACGCGCCGCACACCGCCGCTCCGCATCGCCAAGCCCTGCACGTACTTCTTACATTCCAGCCCGATGTTGAACGCGGCGATCCCGCCCCGTTCCACGCGCCACGCGCCCCTGCAGCCCCACCGCCCTCCGCCCCGCGCACGGTCCGCAGGGCGAAGCACGTCACCGCGGTGGACTTCATGCCGCACCTGATCGAGGAGAATCGCCGGCTGAACGGCGCGGCGCACAAGAACATCGACTTCCTCGCCGAGGACGCCACCGCGCTCGAACTCCCGCCCAACTCCATCGACCTCTTCTTCTCCAACTGGCTGCTCATGTACCTCAGCGACGCCGAAGTACAGTCCCTCATGACGCGCGCCCTCAAGTGGACGGCCCCGGGCGGCCGGCTCTTTTTCCGGGAATCGTGTTTCCGCCAGTCGGGGGACAAGAGGCGGGGGTTCAACCCGACAAAGTACCGCGACCCCGCGCAGTACTTCGCGATGATGGACGCCGCGAGCCACGACCTCGGCGGGGGGCGCGAGGCCCGCTGGGAGCTCGAGGTGTGCCGCTGCGTCGACACGTACGTGCAGCTGAAGCAAAACCAGCACCAGATCTGCTGGCGGGCGCGGCGCGTCGAGGTGGAGATTGGGGAGGATCCCCCGCGGACGAAGTGGCGCCGCGACCTCGACCACCGGCAATACACCCCCCGGGGTCTCGCGCGGTACCAGGCGGTGTACGGGGAGGGCTACATTGGCCCGGGTGGGCAGGAGGTGACCGCGGAGCTGGTCGGGCGGCTCGGGCTGTCCGAGGGACAGAAGGTGCTCGACGTCGGGTGCGGCGTCGGGGGCGCGGCGCTCTACATGGCGGAGCGGTGCGGCGTGGAAGTGCGCGGCGTGGACTTGTCCGTCAACATGATCGTGGCGGCGCTGTCGACGGCTGGCGGCCGCGGCGCGAAGGTGTCGTTCGAAATCGCGGATATCGTGCTGCGGGACCTCCCGGACGGCGCGTTCGACGCGGTGTTCAGTCGGGAGGCCCTGCTGCACATTCCGGACAAGCTCGAGGTGCTCAAGAAGTGCTACCGGTGCCTGCGGCCCGGCGGCACGCTGCTGCTGACGGACTACTGCGACGGGTCGGCGGGGGTCGCGGGGGGCGACGAGGCGTTCGCGGGCTACGTCAGGGACCGCAAGTACAGCCTGGAGACCCTCCAGGGGTACGAGGGGCTGCTGCGTCAGGAGGGATTCACGGAGGTGGTGGCCGAGGACTGGACGGCGCGGCTGATCGGGACGCTGGACGCGGAGCTGCACCGGATGTCGGCGAACAAGCAGCAGTTTGCGCGACAGTTCTCACTCGAGGAGTACGACGCGATTGTTGCGTCCTGGATGTCGAAGCGGCGCAACGCCGAGACGGGCAGCCACCGCTGGGGGCTGTTCATCGCCCGCAAGCCGGCCGCGTAGCCGGCAGCATTGTGAACCTGCGCTGAACGGGCTTCCGGGGATTGCAGACCGAGTTCGACGGGCTCATCGAAAGCGCTCGACTTTGCGCTTCTGGGGAGTGAACGGACGTAGCAGTACATCGCTCACATCGCTCAATGAGGTGTCACATTCTTCGCGTCGTCAACCATAAGGCTTTGGGACCTGAAAAGATCATTCGACTAGGTGGCGAGTCATGCTAACCCCCCACCGTTATGGTAGCAACAGGTTCGGCAGCTGTGACAGAGTCAGCCTGGAGCAGATCCTCGATGCCACGAGCGAAGATCGCCATGCCTCGCTGATTCGGCAGGTTCAGAAGATAACGCACTGCAGCGTTGGCAGCGGCTTCCGAGTCGAATGGGACCTCCGGTGTTTCGTCACAACCACACTCTGCACAGAGCGCTGCTAATGCGAGGTCCTGCGCGCGGCATGAGAGCGCGCGGCCGCAGCGGCGGCGAGCGCACCAGCTTCCCCTGCGGACCGATCCAGCGCACCCCTCCATCCCGAAACACGCAGTCCACAGGCACCGCGTCTCGCCGCCCAGACAGCCGCCCTGGCCTGCCATCAGGCCGTCTCATGCCTGTCGAGCGTGCCTGCTGCCCGGACCCCTTGCCGTTAGCCTGCTCGTGCGCCGACTCCGCGTTCGATCCCTTCACGCGGCCGACGCTGCCCCGCCGCTGCTGCGACGCTTTTGAGGGGGACTCTGCCCTTGCACTCCCCCCATCCTTCTCCTTGCGCACCGCCGCGATGCTCTTCGACCCGAATCCTTTCTTGCCCCTGTCGGCACTCTTGCTGCGCCGCGGCGACTCACTGCGACGCACAACGCTGTCCTCCCGCCCCTGTGCCCTGGCCTCGCCCGCCCTCTGCTGCCCCGCCCTCCCCCGGCGCCCGCCCCGCCTGCTGGATGCAGGGCGCGCGCTCGGGCTGCGGCCCCCGTGTTTCCTCGCCCCGCTGCCATCATCCGTGCTCCGCCCCCCTGGCTGCTGGACAAAATCCGGCAACATATGCCTCGGAGTGCACCCGAGGTTGTGCGAGGGCATCGGGACCGCGACGCTGCGCGTAACTGTCTGCGCGCGGCTCCGCCCTGGCGGGAGCTGCTGAAACCGCTCGTTGGGGGGGTCTGGAAGGTCATACCCTAGCAGCCCCCGTTGCCCGGCGCCACGCGCCTCGCGCCTCCCGAACTCGTACACGTGCGGCGGCTCGTGCCGCATCAGCGACACGTGCATCTCGGGCATGCCCTCTGGCGACGCGTTCTGTGCCGCCACCGCTTCCCGCACCGCCCCCCGCAAGCGATCGAGAGGGTACGGCTGGTACGGGTGGTCCTCCTCGTAGTGCTCGGCTACGATCCGCGCCGCGCGTGTCTGCGCAGGCCGCGAGCCCGCCGACGCCAGCGGCAGCAGCCACGCAAGGCTTAGCAGGACCGAGTGCGCGGCCGTGCCCGCCACAGGCCTCGCGTCGAGCTTGGACGCGAGCGTGTTGACCGCGTCGCGCTTGAGCTCCCCGGACAGCATTCGCCACTCCCAGCCCTCAACGAAGTCGGCGAGGCAGTCCAGTACAGGCGTCTCCCTGCCCGACACGCGCCGGGCGGTGCCACTGCCGGGCTGCTCTGCCGCGAGGTCGCGCGCGCGGGATAGCGTGTCCACGAACTCCAGGCACCACTCCAGCGTCGCGCTCTGCTCTTCCAGCTCGCAGAACGCCGCGGAGGACTCCAGTACTGCCTGGACAGGAGGGCTCAGGGCAAGCCCACGCGCGAACCGTTCCATTTGCGCCGGCCGGCTCTCGCCGCTCATCCAGCCCGCGAGCCGCTCCGGGTTCAGGAACTCCTGCATCAGCCGCCGCCTGCCCCTGCCGTGGGCGCTCTGTCCGGCCCGGTCAATGAAGAAAGCTTGACTATGCGCTGAACCCCTCAGCAGGCTCTCCACCTCGTCCCTGCCGGCCGGCAGGCCCGTTTCACCGCGCGCCGCCGCGCGCCGCCGCTCGCCCTCGGTCAGGCCGACCACCCGGCCCGGCGCCACGTACGCCGGCGGCGGGACGTCCAGCATGCGTTGGTTCCCCAGCCACCGCCGCCACCCCGCCTTTTCCGCCCCGGCGTTCTTCGAGCCCTCGACGTTGCGGATCGTACCGATCCTCGCTCCAGGCACGCGCGCCCACAGCCCCGCGGCCGGCCCGCCGCGCCCTCTGCCTCTGGACACCTGCCTTCTCTTGCCCGTCGTCCTGGCGGCCCCGCCGGAACGCAGCTCCGCCTTGGCCTCCTCGAGCAGGAGAGGCGCGAGCTGCCCGGGCTCCGACGCCGCGAGGAACGCGCCTGCCGCCGCGCCGTCGAGGCGAGTGTTCATCCCCGCGGCAAGCAGGGCGATGGTGCTGGAGAAGCGGTTGATCGACGCGAGCTTCTCCATGAGCTGCAGGCACGTCTGGCACTCGCTGTACATGTCCTCAATGGGCGACCCCGCGTCCATGAGCGGCCGCAGGAGCGCCGGCGCGAAGTCCTGTGCCGTGCGCGGGAGCAGCGCCATGCAGCACTCGTCGGGACGAAGGGGCAGCCGCCAGCGACTGGTCATCAGCCCGCTGCCGGCCTGTCCCCAGGGGCGGAATCCGCCCGTGTCGTTGAACATCTCCGGCCTCGACGAGGGCTCGGGAAGGCTGAAGTTGTCGGTTGCGGGCCCCCGCTTCGAGAGGTTGCACCCGTCCCGGCGCGGGCCGCCGTTCTCCGGTGGGGGCCACGAGGAGCTCCATACGGCGTTGAACAGGCCGAGGAGCTCCTGCGCGGCGGCGTGCTGCTCCTCGGTGGCTGTTGCCGTGGTCACGCGGGATGTGGCGCTCCTCCGCGGGATCCTGGCGGTGTCGCTGGCAGGAACGGGGCCGTCCTTGGCGTAGGGAGGGCGTTCGAGCTGCGGGTCCGCGAGGAGGAGCAGGTCGAGGACGAGCGCGAGCTGCTGCGCCGCGGGAGGGTGCGAGTCGTAGTGGTAGGCGTAGTTGGGCACGTCGCACGCAAGGAACATTTCGAGGTTCCAGCGCAGGCCCTGGAGGTAGTGCAGGATGTCGGGGAGCGGTTTCCTGCACAGCACGAGCGCACGCGGGCCCTCCGTGAGCGTACCGCGACGCCAGAAAGCACGCGGCACATGCGCGTGGCGCTCAAGGCAGGACGAGGGGCGCGGAGTCCTCACGTTGTCGACAGGAACCCGGAGTCCCGCTCGAGCGCCGCGGCGTATATGATTTTGCCGCCCGCCCTGGTCACCACCTCGCGCAGGAAGGGCAAGTTGAAATGCACGTTCCGCTCCTCGTCCAGCCACGTCATTCCGTGGCCCTGGAACGGCCCCGGCGCGCTCCGGAGCTCCGAGTACACGCTGAGCATCCCCGGCACCCTTGTGTCGTACAAGAGCCAGCTGGCAGCACGCAGCCCCCGCACGGCAGGGAGGTAGTCGTCGCCCCCAGACATGATGTGCACGAGCGCGACGTCCCGCTTGACCGTCGCGAAGTCCTCGGCGTCGCGCCCGCGGAGGCCCGCGACCGACATCCACAATTCGTCGACTCCGGGAAGCTTGCCCGGTCTGCTGCTGGCCGCGGCGGCCGGCTTCAGGCCGTGCTCGCGCCACAGCGAGGCCGAGAAGCGGTCGATGCTGACCGCGAACTTCGACCAGTCGCGGCGGAGCTTCGTGAGCCGGCGGCCCTTGCTCGCGATGCCGTCAAGCACCCGTGCGTCGCTGTCGCGCAGGCCGTACGCCGCGGGGTCGACGTCCAGGAGCTTCGGCGCCCGGAATGTGTCGAGGTTGAAGAACGCCGACAGCTGGCTGCACTGCAGGTACACGTTCGGCACGCCGCTCAGCGACCCCAACAAGATCAGGTCCGTGTCGTTCCCGCACACCAGGTGCGTGTCCGGCCGCCGCTGCCGGCCCGCCGACCTCGCGGGCTCCAGCGGGTGCTTCACGCGGTGGAAGACCTTGAGCTCGCCCTCGCCCGCGGTGCGCGACCCGGATATCTCGAACCGGCGCGTCCGCCATCGGTATGACAGCAGGCGCTGACACACGAAGTACTCCAGCAGGTGGTCGACCCAGAGCATGAACGGCGTGCCCGGCGTGAGCGCGATCGACAGCCAGGGGTTGTCCTCCCAGTCCTCCGGGGGCACGCCGCTCCGGGGCGCGCCGGCAAGGAGCTCAGCGCGGGAGGGCTTCCGCTCGCCGGCCGCGCCGCCGTCGTCGTCGCTCTCGTCGTCGTCGATGCCGCTCTCGATGAGCTCGCTGGACTCGGACTCCGAGCCGGAGTCGGCGTCGCCGTCCGAGTCGGCGGAGTCGCTTGGGGTGCTGCGGTACTCCTTCAAGCGGCGTGTGCGCTGGACGAGGAGCTTCGCGAGCGGCGCGGGGCCGTCGAGGGCGAGCATTACGGTCTTGCGGGGGTTGGTCATCTGCGGCGGGGCACGGGGGCGGGTGCGTGGGCCGGGGGCGGGAAGGAGGAGAAGCGAGGAGAGCCGATGAAACGCGTGGAGAAGGATCGAGGATTCGCGAGTGCGGATGGGCGGGTAGCTGGCTTACGTTGAGGACGGCGTCCAGCTGCTGATACAGGATGATGACGAAATCCCGCTCGCTCTTGCTCTGCCTCACGACCTCGTGCAGAACGTTGGGCATGTCGAAGTACACGTGGTCGAACTGCGGACACGCGGGGCGCGGCGTTAGCGCACGGATTGGTTGAAGCTGGAGCTTCTCTTGCAGCCTACGGGGCCTCGTCAAGACTAGCAGCGTGTCGAACGGTGATTCGGCGATCTCGGCACTCGTGGGAAGGAGCTGCGCGCTGCCATGGGCCTCGTCAGCGTTCGAAAACTCGCCGCGCCGCCCGGCCAAGTTCGCAGGAGTGCGCGCTGCTGGCGCGCAGTTCCGTTGGAGTGCTCCTCCGAACTCTCAGGGCTCGGCACCCCTGACATCACGGCATCGCGCAGGACCCTCTCCGGAAACACCTGGCGTCTGGTCGCACGCTGGCGCCCGGCTGCTTGCATGCAACCAGCCTCGGCGCACAAACGCGCCGCACGACGTCACGGAGCGATTGAATCAAATGGTCGGGATGAACGGGTTCAACGCATGGCACAGAGGCGGGGAACGCGTCGGCACCACGCATGACGAGCACGAACTGACAAGCGCTTTGCGCAGCAGTAACGGCTGCAGCCGAGGCGCAGCTGACGCGGACGAGGACGCATTGTCGCCGCGAAGCGCATGTCTGTCTGCAGCGAGTGTGCTCGGTGGCCCCGGCGCTCGTCTCACCTGCGCATCCCTGACGTCAACCACACACTCTGGATGGGCAGTGAAGATCCACTTCATCAGCCCTTTCACGCCCATGGTGCACGCTTCGACCCAACCCTGTGCTCAGAGATGAGCAGGCCTTGCGGCGCGCGGTCTTCGCCACCGCTCGGGGCGCGAGGTACCCTGCCTCCCGGCGAGCTGCCTGGCAACAGTTGCCACGGCGGCGCTCACGCGGCTCTGAGGCGACTTCCAGCCGCACAATCCATGGCGCCGTCTTATATACTACGTTATCGACTTCGCGTGGGCGCGCGACCCACGGTGCTCCCGTCAGACAACGCGAAACGCGCCGATTGCTGCACTGGGGTGGCGCGCACACTCGTAACCGACGACCACGACGCGTTCACGGCCGTTGGCAGCGTCCAGCGTGCTTGAGAAGTGCGCCTGCAGCACGGCACGCTGCAACAAAGCGCTCGCTCGCCGCCTCAGGGGAGGCTCCCGGAGCTCAAATACGACGCCCCCCTCGACATGTCACAGCAACGCAGTGTGTTGCTGTGAAGGCGCGGACCCCCCCTGCGCGCTCGTAGGTCCGACGCAGTCTTGCGGCGATCATACAAGCGGAATTCGGTCCAGCGTCCGTCCAGGCAGCACGTCCTGTGGAGTTCCGTCACGTGCGACGCACCGTGTTGCATCACCGACGCGGGTGCCAACCCCCACCTGCGACGACACAGCCGCGCGCGGCACTCGTGCACGCTGGGTGTGCTCGACTGCTGCGACACTCAAGGACGCTTGCACACAGACCTCGGCCGCGCAGCACCCAGTTGGACGCCCAAGGCTCGCCACCCGTACACGGCGCGTCTTCCGCACGCGTTTCGGCGCCACGCGAGCCTTCCTACGTTTACAGTGTCAGTGGCCGAGGGATGCTCGCCCACGCGTGTATGATGGCGCCCGCCTACTGCGGGACGGGCAGCTTCTTGTGCGTGTACTTGACGCCCGTGTCCTTCGCGACGTACTCGCCGTTCCCGCACATCACCCAGCGCGTCGTCAGCAGGCCCTCGACGCCCACGGGTCCGCGCGCGTGGATCCGCGAGGTGCTGATGCCCACCTCGGCGCCCAGGCCGAACCTGAACCCGTCCGAGAACCGCGTCGACGTGTTCGCGAACACGCACGCCGAGTCCACCTTGCGCACGAACTCCTCCACCTTGGCCTTGTCCTTCGTCAGGATAGCCTCCGTGTGCCCCGACCCGTACTTGTGGATCCAGTCGATGGCCTCGGGCATCTCCGGGACGACCGCGGCGGACACGTCGAGGCTCGAGTACTCGTGGTGCGGGTCCGGCGCGACCGAGTCGAGCCCGAGCGCGGCCTTCTGCTCCTCGGTGGCGCCGTGGACCTTGACGCCGGCCTCCTGGAGCGCCGCGACCACCTTGGCGGCCGCGCCGGACGCGACGAGGTCCTTGTGGAAGAGCACGGTCTCGACCGCGTTGCACGCGGCGGGGTAGTCGGTCTTGGAGTCCACGACGAGCTTGCACGCGAGGTCGATGTCGACGTCCTTGTCGACAAAGATGTGGCACACGCCGTCGGCGTGGCCGAGGACGGGGATCTTGGTGTTGTTCTGGATGTGCGAGACGAGCGCGTTCGACCCGCGCGGGATGACCAGGTCGATCACGTCGTCCAGGGACAGCAGGTCGGAGATCTCGTCGCGCGACGTAACGAGGCCGATCAGCGAGGGGTCGACGTCGGGCTTCAGCGCGTCCGTGATGACCTGCAGACATGGCATGCGACAGCCCGGCCCTTGAGGAGCGAGATCGGGCGCGAATACGGCGCGGAGACGCGGGGCGGGGCCACCGTTTGTGTGCAGGTGCCGTGGCGCGTGTGCAGGGCAGCGTGGCGGCGGCTGGCGGGCAGCCGTGCGTGGCGCTCGCGGAGGGCGCTACGGTCGCGGCCCGGGCGCGGGCGGGCGCAAGGGCAGCGCGGCGCGGCGCGATGTCCGCGGGCAGCTGCGGCGCTGAAGCGAGCAACAGCGGCGGACCTTGTGGATGATAGCGTTCGAGAGGGTGGCCTCCTTGCCGCCCTTGAGGAGCAGACCGTTTCCAGAGCTGATGGCCAGCGCGGCAATCTGGGGCATCGCGTCAGGACGGGCCTCGAAGATGATGAGAAGAACGCCAATGGGAGAAGTCTTCTGCTCGAGGATGAGGCCCTCCGCGATCTCTGTCCGCTTGATCACCTGGAAGAAGGGCCATGAGATGCTGCGCGGGCGCGGTGGGCGGCCGCAATGGGGCGCAGTACAACCCAGGCAGCGCGGTGAGAGAGCGTTGCGCAACACGAGCACGGACGCACCCTGTGCAGAGGCTCGTCCTGGCGCGCGATGGCGCGGATGCCCTCAGCAAGCTGCTGGATCTTGCCGTCTTTGAGAACGAGGCGCTGCGGGGCACGGGGCGAGGCAGGAGGCCAGGTTGAAGGACGTGGGTGCAGCGCCGCGGCAGGCAGAGATGCGGGCGGTGGGGTGGGTTGCAGACGCGGCGCGCGGCGCGATGCAACTAGGGGGAAGCCGTCTGCAGCGGCTCTGCGTGGATGGCGCGCCTCTCGGGCCTCGCGCCGATGCGTGCCGCAACCGCCATAAGGCGCCGATAGCCGCGCGTTGTCGCTCTCATCGAGGCATCCGCCGGGCGGAACGAGGAATTCGTGGGCTATCCTGGCAGCGCACGCGCGCCGGCAGGCGCGTGCGGGCGCGCAGCCCCCGCGAGCGGGTGCGCCTCGGACGCAGCGTAGACAGCTCGCGGCGTTCGCGCACCTGAAGCAGGCTGTCGCTGATTTTGCCGCGCGCGGCCTCCACGTCCTTGTTGTTCTCGGCGCGGATGGCGTCCTCGTTCGCCAGAAGCGCGTCAGCGACGCGGTTCAGGATCGCTTGCCTCTTTTCTGTCGGCAGCCCCGCGAGGATGCGCCCCTGGTCGCGCGCGTGCATGGCCATCTCGCGCGCGTGCATCTTGTCACCGCTTTACGTTAGGCGCACGGGGGTGCGGAACTGACGCGAAACGGCGCTGGTATCCCGTGAGGAACTTTTCGTGTGTTGAGATGCGATGTCAGCTCGTGGCGGAAACGACAGACAGAGACGCGGTATGCGACGCCAGCTCATGCCGCAGCCCGCGCGTGGGGCGCGCCCCTGAGCCCCGGCGGTCGACGGCTCGCGCACGACACATACACCACCGACGCCCCGCAGCAGAAGCACGTGCCCCGCGCCGCGCATTCCGGCCCGCGGTGGCGCCGTGGGCGGCCACTGGGCGGAGCCACTGCGCAGAGCGACGCATTTCGCCGGTGTATCGACGCTCGGCGTGACACAGCCGCGTTCGTAGTGCGTTGTCCGCAGCCCGCAGCTTGCGCCAACGCGAGCACCCGCGCTCCCACGCGGCGGAACTACCGACTCGGAGGATGCACGTGTCTAGCGCGACGGCCGGCCGGCTCGGCGCGGCGCAGGCCCCCTCGCGCGCCGGGACCAGCCTCCGCCCCGCCCCCTGTCTGCGTCGGCCGCGGGCGGCCAGGTGCGCAGCTGTCACCGTCGCAACGCGGCACGGCGTGAGCATGTGCACTGTTCCGTTGACCAGGCCTGTATGAGGGAACGTCTGGTCGGGGATCGATGACGGGGGCGCTCCTGTGAGATGCATGCAGGGTATCGACGCGCGTTGTGGCGTACGACTGGGAAAAGGGCGCGATTTCGTGGGACGAGGTTGGAGAGAAGGCTGGTTTAGAGGTCCTGGACGGGTTCAACGTGTCGAAGACCTACATGCCGAGGTCCTCGCCCGGTGAGTGTGCAAGGCCTCTTCCCTCCCCCTAACGGCGCGCGGCGGCGCGGCATCCACGGGCGGATATTCCGTCCCGGCCACGCGGTCTGGTGTTGGACATGCTCGCAGACGTCGCGTGCGGTGCCGCTGGGCCATTCCCGCGGGACTTTGCGGCGGGTGCTCAGCTGCGGCGTTCAGGCCGCCAACGCCGCGCGAAACCGACCGAGTGCAGCCCTCCGCGCACACATTGCGCGATGGCGTATATGTGCGTGTGCACTCCGGGGCGCCGTTCGTCCTGAAACCCGTCGCGTCAGGCACATCAGGAGCAATTTCATGTGCGGTGGTTGCCAAGGCCCGACCGTGAGCCTGCGCAGGGTCCCGCAGCCATTCCGCGGCCGCTTCCTCGCGGCGTGTTTGGCTATCCCCTGACGACGGGCCGCCGCGTCCTGGTCGCCAAAAACCCACCTCGCAGCTGCACCCGGCCCTCACTGGCTGCTGGCACTCTCTCCGCCGATCGCCGCAGTGCCGTTCCTGCCCCCGGTGCGCAACGTGAAGAGCAGCAAGGACGTCGTGATCTACAGGGACTCGAACTCCGCCTGCCCCTTCTGCGAGCGCGTCTGGCTCGCACTCGAGGAGCGGGGGATCCCCTACGACACTGTGTACATCGACCTGCGCGCCACCCCGCAGTGGTTCCTCGATGACGTCGCCGCCAGCGGCAAGCTCCCAGCTCTGCGCGTGCGCGGCGAGTACTACACCGGCTCCATCAACCTCCTCAACGTGCGACACCATCCAAACCTGCGTGCGCACCAGCACTGCCTGCACGGCGGGGCCGGAACCGACGCAGCCCGCCACCGCTCGGTGCATCGCGCATCCTGCCCGCTGCCTGCACGATATCGCGCGGCCTTTCGCCGCAGCGACGCGGAAGCGTGGGACCAGACTGCGTGACATCGCTGCAGCTCGCCGTGCCGTGCGCGCACACCGCGCACGCCCGCGTCGCCGCGCCCGCAGGTGCTCGAGAAGGAGTTCCCGGGGTCGAAGTCGCTCCCCTCGCTCCTGCCCCCCTCGTCGGACTTCCCCCGCCTGAAGGAGCTCGTCGACAACTTCGACCGCGACTCGATCCAGTCGGTGTACAACAAGCTGCTCGTGCGCCAGGCGAGCAAGAAGGACGTGCTCGCGAAGGCCAAGGAGCTCGACGCCTTCATCGGCGAGCGCGGCGGGCCCTACATGGTTGGAGACAAGCTCACCGTCGCAGACTGCGTGTACTTGCCGTTCATGCTCCGCCTGAGGTGCGCCGGCGCTCTGCATGCTTCCCAGGCGTCTGCACGCCTAGGCTGCTGCCGCGGCTGCGTGCGGCGCGCGGCGTCACGGTCGAGCGCCGGCGCGTGCTGCTGTGCAGGGCGCGCTTGTCGGCGCTGCACGGCGTGGAGATCGACGACGCGAAGGCGATGCCGAATCTATCGAAGTGGTTCGAGACGATCACGGACCGCCGGGCCGTCAAGATGGTGATGGGCGACGACGAGAGCTTCATTCAGCGGCAGTGTGAGCGCGACGGGTCGCGCAGGCTGCCCGAGCCGCTCCCGAAGGCGGGCAGCGCGGAGATGCTGGCGCGGCAGGAGGCCGCGGGGAAGATTATGGCGAACTTCGAGTTCTTCCTCGAGGTGCGTCGCGGCACGTGGCTCGCGATCCTTGGCCGCCCCGTGCTTGCATCCTGCTGCCGCGCCCCGCGCCTGGACACGCGCACCGCAACGCGGCGTCGCGGCGTCCCGTGGCGAGCGCAGGACATCATCCTGCACGCGGGCCTGTGCCGCAACCGGACGAGCGCGTATGGACACACCGTCAAGTCGGTGAACGGGCACCCGCCGGAGCCCCGCGGCGCCACGCTGCGCGCCGTGGACTTCCACCTCCGCCGCGTCGCGCAGTACCTGCTCACGGGCGACGTGGGCCCCACCGCCGGGAACGTCGAGGCGTGCGCCGTGGGCGCTGCCTCGCTGATCTACTTCCGCAACGCCGTGAGGGCGCCCCGCGACATGTCCGCCGCGGCGGCCGTGCAGTGCCGGCATGCCGTGGACCGCGTCTGCATGGACATCTTTGACGGCAACTACATCGACCACCAGTGAGTGCCACGACCTCGAAAACGCGATGTTTGCACACGGCACTAGCGAACGAACAGCCTGCACGGCATCTCATCCGCGGTCCAACCCGCGTCGCGTGTGTTCGTTGCAGCTGGGGGAAGGGCCTCTGATCACGGTGCGGGGGCGGCGCTCAAGCAGCAGCGAGAAGGCTGTCGCGCAGGGCAACCATGTTAAAACGGCCATCAAACATTCGCAGATGTCACGGGTGGCCTCTGCCGCGCGTGGTCGCGGAGCAAGAGCCACCGTTGCGCAGCATCCGGCGTGCGGCTGTAGTGTGAAGCGACAGCAAACTAGGAGCGTCACAAAGGGGCCTCACGATGCCTCATTTCGCGGGAACGGTGCACCGCACTGCTCCCACACGCGATCGGATCTGCCTCGAAATCTCGCCGTCAGCAGCTGGCGCAGTTACTGTCGAATGTCCGCGTGGAAAAGCTTGTCTCAACCGTGGTGGTGTGACCGTCGTGGCCGGGTAGGCATGCGGCGACAGGACAGAGCGCGCCACTCCCTCCCCTGCCCCGTGCAGGCGCCGCGCCCTCGAGGATCTATGTCACCACGCTATGGCAGGTGCAAAGCAGTCTTGGATCTCTAATCGTCAGCGGCACCAGAGCCCCGCACGCCAGCGGCCACCCAGGCGCGGCCCCGCTCAGCTCGCCACGCTGCCCTGTCTGGCATACAGCTGCGCGAAGTTCGCCCGGCGCTTCTGGTCCTTCTTGGCAGCCCGGCGCTGCCGCAGCTGGCGGAACTTGAGGCACTTGGGCACGGGGCAGTTCGAGTTGCTGCAGCGCTGCATGTGCACGTGCAGCAGCGCGGCGATCTTCCGGCACATCTGGCACGTCCGCCCGTCGCACTGGCTGCCGTGCGAGAAGAGCGTTTGCTTGACGCGCTGGCAATTGGGCACCTGGCAGTTGGGGTCCTGGCAGGTCGCCGCGTGCTCGAAGACCTTGATCGCGCGCTCGAGCCGCTTCTGCCGAGCCTGCTGCTCGGCGCTCGCATGCTGCTGCCCGCGCGGCTGGCTCTGGCTGACCATGGGGTGCTGCTTGTGCTTGCCCGCCTGATGGCAGCGTGTGCACAGGTCATAGTCTTTGCAGACGGTGCAGCGCATGCCCTGTCCGGGCTCGATCTCCACGTGGCACCCGTTGCAGTTGGAGCTGAACGCCGGCTCGTCGGGGTTGTGCAGGTGGTAGAGCACCATCATGGACGAGTGCTTGGCGCGGCGCAGGGTGTCGAACTGGTAGTGGTTGCCCTGGCACAGCGACAGGAACTGGATGCGCGTCTCGAAGAACTCGCACTGGAAGTCCGTGTCGCCGTCGTGCGTGGCCGCGAGCCGCGGGTGCTCGACGAGCTGCATGTCCTGCACGGCCACGCCGTTCGGGACGACCTTCTGCCCGGCCATGCCCACGGGCAGCTGCTGCTGCGCGTGCAGGCGGTTCACCTCGCTTGTCCAGCACGCGTGGCAGAGCGTGAACGTCGCGCGCTGCATCGCGGGCGCGTTGAAGGCCCCCGAGATGTGGCGCGCATTCACCTCGCCCGCGTGGACCTCCCGCGGCACGTAGTACACCTCGCCGTCGTAGTACTTGCGGCAAAACGCGCAGTACGGGTACAGGTGCGCCACGATGAAGTCCTCGCGCATCGTGCCCATGCCTGCAATCATGTTGCGCATCACCTGCTCGTCGGTCGACACAGGCTCGCGGGAGCGCCCCTTGCCCTTCGCGCCCTTCCGCGCCTGCGCCGCGCCCTTCGCGCCCTTCGCGCCCTTCCCGCCCGCGCCGCCCGTCGTCAGGCTGGCCAGGTGGTTCTCCGCCTCCCCCGGCCAGTAGTCCCCCTCGAAGTAGGGGATGTCCATCAGGCTGGCGCGGTCGCGGCGGTGCTCGCGCCCGCCGTCAAAGAACGTGTCGAACAGGTTCGTGCAGTGGTACACCACGCCGTTCTCCTGCCCGTACTTGAGCATCGTCAGGTACCACTCCCGCAGCTTGTCCGAGCGCGGCACCTTCTGCCGCTGCGGGTGGCAGTACATGATGTAGTCGTCGCCCTGCGTGGGCGGGCACGCCCAGATGTACATCGACGTGAACCCGCGCTGCCGCACGTGCTCGATGTAGCCCAGGAGCAGCTCGTGGTACACCATGGTGCGGACCGAGATGCCCCCGCGGTCCGTGGCCTCGTCCTCCGGGCGGAGGTACTTGACGCTGTCGAGGTAGCTCAGGTACACCGTGCGCCTGTTGGGCGGGGGGCACTCGGCGCCGAACTCGTGCAGGTACATGCAGAAGAGGAGCACGTCCACGCCCTCGATCTTCTGGAACAGGACGACGACCTTCTGCTTGTACGGGAAGTCCGCGGGGTACCCCTGGGCCTCGAAGTGCTCCCTGAACTTGGGGAGCACCGTGCAGACCTTCTTGCACGCCTGCACGACGCGCACGGTGAGGCCGCCCACGGTGCTGGGCAGCGCGGCCGCGTCCACGCCCATCAGGCGCGCCTTGTCCTCGCGCTCCCGCTCGATCGCGCTCTCCAGCCGCTGCTCGAGGAACTTCGACAGCGCGCACGGCGGCAGGTCGCGCGCCGTGAGCATGTGCGACGGCCGCGTGCGCAGCGGCGCGCGCTCCCCGCGCTGCGTCATCTCCAGCATGCACTCCGGGCACAAAAACGTCGCCTCCTCGGGGTTCCGCCCCTTGTTGAACAGCCCGCAGATCTGATGCACCCACGCGTCGCACCGGTCGCACCCCACCCAGGCTTCCTCCGTCTCCTCCTGGTTGCGCTTCTTCTCCAACCCCGCCTTTCGAATCGCGATGCCGTCGATGTGGATGTGCTCCTTCGGCGGCTTCCCGTAGCACCCGTTGCAGATGTACACGCGCTGGTTGTCCAGCTGCGGCTCCTGCCCCGTCCAGTACTGCTGGTTGGCCTTGATGCGCAGCTGGCACACGCCGCACCACAACGTCGGCGGCGCGAAGGTCAGGCCCTGCTGGTGGCACGCCTTGCACGTGTTCACGTCCACGCCCATCGCGTCCGTGTGCACGCGCGAGCGGTCCGTCTGCGCGGGGTCCCCCGACCGCAGCGACGTGATGTGCTGCTGCATCTCCTCGACGTCGAAGCACTCAAGGAGCGACGTCAGGCCCGCCTGGTTCATCGGGCCGCGCTTCGGCGGGCCCTGCTGCACGATCCGCATCGGCGCCACCGCGCCGGCGTCCGGCTGGCGCTTCATGCCCGCCACACGCTGTGGGGCCTGCGCCGCCTGCGCGGACATCGGCACGCTCATGTTCGGCACGCCCTGCGGCCGGTGCACATGCATCAGAGCCTGCTGCGGCGGCGGAGCCTGCCCCGCCTGCTGCGCCATCGCCGCCCTCCGCAGCCGCTCCACGTGCGTCTTCACTGGGATGCAGATCGGGCACTGCGGGTTGTTGCACTTCGAGTGGTGCTTGAGGAGCTCGCGGCTGCTCGCGCAGCGCTGGTACTGGCACTTGGTGTCCTTGCACGTCAGGATGTGTTGCCAGAGCTCCTTTGCCACAGAGCAGTTGTCTCCGTACTCGCACTGGCCCGCGGGCGCCTGGCACCGCGCGCAGTGCCGGAGGAACAGCAGCCACTGCTGCTGCTTCTTGATGAACAGCTTCTGCTTCTCCACCTTGGCCGCGCGCTCCTGCTCGCCCACGTCGCCGCCCCACCCGCCCTTGGCGCTGTGCATGCCCATGCCGTGCTGGTCGCCCTGCCCCGGCGGCCCCTGCTGCCCGGGCGTCGGGATCACGCCCGGCGGCAGCCGCATCGGCCCGGGCGCCCCGGGCGGCGGCCCATTCGGCGGCCCGTTCATCCCCGGCGTGGCCATCTTCATGTTCATACCGCCCACATTAGTCCCCGGGGTGGGTATCATGCCGCGCATCATGGGCTGCGACATGCCGAGCGACGGCTGCGCCATCGACATCGGCATTGACGTCGGCCCGTGCGACATCCCCATGGGCATGCCTGGCCCGCTCATGGGCATGTGCATCGACATCGACATCGACATGGACATGGACATGGACGAGGGCATCATCATCGAGCTGCTGCCCCCGGGCGCTCCCATGGGCGGCCCGCTGAGTCCTGGCGACGGGATCATGCCGCCGGAGCTGCCCATGTTGCCGTAGCTCTGCGGCACGTTGGGGGGGTTGGGCATGATCCCCCCCGGGGTGCTCATCATCGGCGGGCCGGAGCGCATCTGCCCGCTGTTCTGCGCGCCCATCTGCGGCGGCATGCCCTGCACGGACATGCGCCCCGGGACGGGAATGCTCGCTGGAACCGGCATCATGCCGGGGACGCCGCCGGGCCCGCTGGACGAGCGCATCGGCCCCGAGGCGCTGCCGCCGCCGCGGAGGAGCACGGGCGCCCCATTGGCCATCATGCCCGGGCCGGGAGGGCCCATGGAAGCAGGCAGCCCCGGCGTTGGCATCCCCTGCGGCGGCCCTGACATGCCCTGGCTGTAAACGGGCGGTCCAGCGCCGTTGGAGGCGCGAATACCGATGTTGGAGTAGCCCATGCGGTCGCCCGGGCCCGGCCCGCTGCCGGGGGGGCCGCCCATTGGGTGCATCGTGTGCAGAAGGCCCGCTCCGGCGGGGTCAGAGGACGGGGGCTGGCTCGCGGTGGGCACCATCATGCCGTTGCTCGGGAATCCTCCTGTCATGGACGGGTTCGGGACCGACCCGGGCGGTGCGCTCCCCGCGAGGTGCATGCCTTCGGAGCCGAGTGGTGCGCCCCGCTGAGGCGCCATCTTGGCCTCCGCGGGGGCGTTCGGGCCGTCGAAGCCGCCGTACATGGTAGCCATGCTCGGGTTGAGCATCGCCGCGGAGTTCCCGGGGCCCATGGGGCCGGGGGGCATCCCTCTGCCCGAGTAGCCCATCATGCTAGTCGACTCCCGATTGTGCGCGGTAGAGTACCCCTGGCCTGGCTGCGGCGCCTGGAGCGGCACGGAGCCATTCATGGGCTGCATGTGCATCGTGTCCGGCTTCGCCTCGGCCTGCGCGCGCCGCGAGGGGTGCGAAATTTCGGTCGGAGTTGCCCACGCCCAGGGTGCGACCGAGCAGCGCGTGCGGGCCTGCGGGGCGCCGCCGAGGAGGCCCGAGCATCGCGCGGGGCAGTGGACGATGCGAGCGGGGCAGTGCGCCTGTGCGGGCGCGCGTGGGCGCGGCGGAGGCGCCGCACGGAGCGGCTTTGAGCGAGCGCCGCGGGCGGAGGAGCCCACCTGGTAATAGCCGGCGGACGGGGCCGGCGGGCCTTCATTGGGCTGCGCGGGCGGATGCTGCTGCTGCCCACGGGCTGAGCTGCGCGCCTGCTCCGCGCCGGCGTTCTTCGCACTCGAGTTCTTGAGCCCAGCCACCAGGTGCTGGAGCCGGGCCTCCAAAGTGCTCTCGTTCATGTACTCTTCCTGCGCGCGGGCGGCGGCAGATGGTGGCGCAATTTGACGGATCTTATTTGTTTCTTCCGAGCGACCCGATCGACGCGGCCCGCGCGGCCCGCGACGCGCCGCTCTCGCGGGGTGCAGCTGCACACACCTTGGAGCGGGCCTTGTGCATCAAGTGCACCTCGAGCTTGTTCACGAACTCCTCCATCTGCTCCGCGCGACTCCCCAGCTTCGTCTTCGCGAATATCTCCATCCTGCAAGGCGCAACCGGAGACCCAGGGCGCTCGGGCCGCACCGCGCTGCGCGTCGCAAGCCTAGGCACTGCGCGGGCAGGGGGCGGGGCAGAGAGGCCGGAGCCCGCGCACATCTTGCTCCGGACGACGGTGCGCTCCTCCGGAGACGGCTCCCAGCCCGCGTGGTGCCCCGGCGGCCCCGCGGGAGCCACCGGGGCGGGCGCTTTCGCAGCTGCTTGCTCCTCCATGCAGGCCGTCTACTTCCGGGCGCCGCTACACGCCGCCATGTGCACCGACCCCTCGTTGGCTCGCCTTCGTGGATCGCTGCGACCGCCGACCGGCTTTTGCGCCGCCGCCCCGCCCCGCCCGCCCCTCGTGCTGCTCGGGACGCCCCGCGACCCTCCCCACCCCCCCCATAGCACCCACTCTTGCACGTTACGCCCCGCACGGGGCCTGCGCGGAGAGCCGCCGCGCGCCTCCTGCGTGAAATATAGTCCACGAAGCTTGCAGGCGCATGCGGCGGCGCAAGGCCTGGCGTGACGCGACGAAACCGGCCTCAATTTCACCAGCGCTGGCGCTGGCTTGGGTGCGCGCCTCAAGAGCGGCAGGGCCTTTACTTCGCAAGACGTGGACGTTGTGAGGCACATTCATAGTAGAGTATCGCTCTGCGCTGTCTCAGGGCGCCTCGGCCGCACGGAGCGGGCCCGCAGCGCGCTCTCACTCGCACTGGGTGTGATTCCCCCGAGGGCGGGTTGCGTCGGGGTATGCGGGCCCGGTGCGGCGGGTGAGCGGCGCCGCCGTCGAGAGCAGCTGCAGGGGCGCGCGTGCGGCGGTCGGGCGGGTGCGCCGCGCGCGGCCCGCTCGCAGGGCGCGCGCAAGGGCACCCAGAGTCAATGGCGGGCCACGGTGCGCACGTGCGCGGGACTGGCGGCATACCGCGCGGTGCGGCCGCGCCGGATCGTCGGCGTTGGTGCAGCGAGAGCATCGCGCGGGTCGGTCGGGCGCGGGGGCGGCGGGTTGCGCGGCGCGGGGCAGGGCGACAACTCGGGGGAGGATCACGCGCTGACGGACCTGGAACCTCGACTGCGAGTGGCACGCTAGTGCCCACGTCATCTGCGCCGGCGCGGACACCGCTCCTGCGCGCGAGCACGCGCTCGGCCCGCGGCCAGCGCTCCGCACGCGCAGCCGGCGTTGCGCGCGCGTCACGAACGCGACGCCGCGGCCGATCCGCGCGCACGACGTCGTCCCGCCAACACGCATGGAGGAGGCGACGCGCACCGCCTGCTTTGCGCGGCATCACAGCAACTTGCGGCGCACGTGGCAGCCGGCGCGCTGGCGCGTGGCCCGAGCAGCGCGTCGCGGCCCGATCACGTCCGCGCCAGCGACGTGCGTTGCCGTTTGTTCTTAGCTGCTTCTGTGCACTGCGGGCACACCCACGTGCCCTGCGGCTCCTCCGTCAGGCCCACGCATCCGAAGTGGTACCACTCGATCGGGCAGTCGTCGTTGTCGCAGCACACCATGTCGCCGTAGCTCGCCCGATTGCACAGGCAGTAGGGGGGGCCCTCCGCCACGACCGCCTCCACCGCCGGCATGTCCACGGGGATCTGCGCCTCCAGAATCGCCGCGGCGGCCAGCCCGGTCGGGGAGCCCGCCAGCGCGGACGCGCCAGCGCCCTGCGTCGACCCGGGCGGTCGACCGCGCGTGCGAGCGCTCTGGCGGGGCCCTGTCGAGCCCGTCCGCGGCGTCTGCGGCACCGGGTCGATCCCCAGGGCCTCCTGCTGCGTCAGGATCTTCTTCTGCATCGCGCGGATGTCCTTGTCCAGCAGCTTGATCTTCGCGTCGAGCTCGTCGTATGCAGCCCAGGCCTCCTTTGCCCTCTCCTCCGCTGTCGTCTCCGTCTGCTCGAAGATTTCCTGCGGCGCGGGGACGGACGCAGTGCAGCGAGCGCGTCGGGCCAGGATGCGTGCTGGGAACGAGACGCAACGCGCCCGTGACGCCGTGCGGCGCCCCAGAGGCGGCGGGAAGCCAGAGACCTGCCGCCTCGACTCCTGGCGGCTCGCCCTCCCACAAGCACCAACGTCGCCGCGCGGGCCCGCGCGCGCGCCGGGGCTGCGACAGGCCCGTCTTCCCGGGTCCGTCACGCCACTGGGCGCCAGGAAAACGCACTGCCGGGCGACGTACCTCCACAGCTTCCGCGGCGCGCCGTGCCCGCTCCTCCACCCCACTGCTCCTTGGCCCCTTCCCAGCCCCTTGCCCGCCGTTTCCCGCCGCCACCACCGCCGTATAGTGCTCGAAGAACCGCTCGGGCAGCAGCCAGAGCAGCTCCTCGCCTCTGGAGTCCAGCTCGCGCACCTTGGAGAGCTTGTCGCACATCGAGGGGCCCAGGGCGTTGAGAGTCGTCACGTACGAGTCGAGAGTGGCGTGCTTCGTGCCGCCCATCCTGCGCCGCTGGCGCCCCGCGGCGCACGTGAGACGTGTGTGTAGCGCGCTTGGCCTCCCGCCCGCCGTCTGCGCAGCCGCCAGACACTGCCAAACTGCGCGCACGCGCGGCGCGGCGCTCCAAAAGTGCCCGGGACCACCACCGGGGACTGCTCGGCCCGACTGACGCAGGGTGACGCCCGAAAACCACGTCGCGACGCCGCCAGGCCGTAGCTGCAAACAAGCGCGTCCCTTCGGCCGGAAAACTCGCCTCGTTAAAGGCCGGACGCGGCGAGGCTTGTGTTCAGCACTGGCGAGGGGTGGTGCCCCGCGCGCCGTCCGGGCCGGGGCACACCGGCGCCGGAACCTGACGGTGCGGACTGGCGCCTCGTTGGGCACGCAGGGCGCGACGGGAGCGAACAGGCGCCGAACGGGCCTGACATCGCGTCGTGTCACACACTCGCAGCCCATGCACACGCCGCGGGGTGCGGTGCGGCGCTCGTCACGACAGCGCCATGCCGAACTCGTCCCTTCGAATCGGCAGGTGCACGAGCAGCACCTTTTTGCCCGCGTCCCACTTCGCTGTGCCCTTGTCACTGTTGACGCGGTGCGGCAAATACACCCCGAGCTTGTACGCCGGGCTCGCCACGCGAAGGTACGTCTCCTGCGGCGGAGGACACTCGGGTGCGCCGTCGCAGCAGGGACGCGGGCTCGACCGACGAACGCGAGCGCGTGGCAGGGAAGCCCCCCCCCCCGTCGGTGACGCAGCGGAATGGCTGCAGCGGGGGAGCAGGCGGGGCACAGAGGAGCTCGCTGCGGGCCGCCGGACCTGCACGTCGAGGTCGATTTCACCGATGCCGGTCGCGAGTGGCATCCGCACTTCGACAGAGAGCTGTTCGCAGTTCGTCGACGACGGCGTCTTCCCACTCATCCCGAGGTAAGCGTCCTCTGCGGAACATGGCGGGGACGAGCGACCGCGTTGTGAACCTGGCGCCGCCGGGCCGTGCAGCGGCCGCGCTCGTGCTGTACCAGCGACTGGCGCAGAAGCAGGATTCGCGGCGTCGCGGGCACGCACCGGTGCCGACGGCTTGCCGGTAGATGATGTCGTATTCTGGCTGTTCCCTGCCGTCGTCGATGTCGTCCTCGAGCACCTCGGGCACCTCCTCCGGGTCCCAGATTGCTTTTGGGTCTTCCTTCGGTTTCGCGACCTTGACGCCAGGGAGCAGTCCGCCTGGACCGATCGCGCCCGGGTTCGGCCGCGACAGCTGCTCGGGCACCTCCTGCGCGCACCGTGCACCGAGCGACCTCGCGCTGGTGGGCATGTGCGCACGTCGAGGAGTGGCTGCCCGGGATCGTGGGCCAGGGAAGGGGGCGCTGGGGATGATCCAGGGGCGTGGGAAAGGTCGGGGCGCGCGAGGCGAGCGGCGCGGAGTGCGCTGGACGCACGAACCCCTGGACGAGCGCGCACCGGTCAGACCGCGGGCGCGAGAGCTGGGCAACAACGATGCGCAGCGCCTCCACCAGGTGGATATGATCGATGACAATCGTTTTAGGTGGACCCGGTCGCGGGAGAAAGCCAAGGGCCCGAGCCAGAGCCGAGCATGCGAAACAGCGCAGGGATGAGCCCTGCGCCGCCGAGCTCGCGCGGCCAGCGAGGTCTCGCCACGCGGATTCAGCGAAACGCGGGCGGTGTGAGGCGCGTTGCGCGGCAGGAGCGCTGCGGGGAGGTCCGCGACGTAGAGGAGCTGGTGCATCCGGGCCAGGAGGGACGTGCTCACCTCTTGCGGGTCGGTCTTAATAAGGTCCATGAGGCCCTGCAGGAGCTGAGTATTGTCATACTCGGTCATCTCGGCCGCGGCTCCCTACGATTTCGCCCAAGGTGCGCACGCCGCGTGCACAGGAGTAGGCTGGGCGGAAGACGGTCTCTCTGAGCCCCAGCCACAGGTGTAGCGATGTGTCCAATGCGCGACCACATGCTGGTACGCGGCGAGGCACACGCGCGCCTATGTGCGCGGCGCGCGGTGACACGAGGCGGACCGCGGGCCGTGCGTCATTCCACAGATGTGTTCTACCGCGCCACGGCGCAGCCAGGACACCGCGCGCAAGTCCGCGCGGCGGGGCCGGGAAGATTGAGAATTGTCGAGGTTGCGGCGCGCGCGCAAAGTAGAAAGACGCTCTCATATCGCGAAGACCGCGCTTTGACGGCTCGATTGCACCTCTGCGACGCCCGCCGCGTGTCGGACCCCACACCAGCCCGCACGAGATACATCGCAACCGCTGTACGTGGACTGTGAGCGGCAGTATGAGGCACTTGCCCTGCCGGGCGCCCGGGACCTGCGTGGTGAGAGCTGCAACAGCCTCTAGGGGGAAAACGCCGCTGTCCTCCGTGCGCGCGCACCCAGCCGCCGGAGCGTCGCACGTCCGTCGCGTTCCCGTTCAAGCCTATGCCGCGGAGGGCGTAGAGGAGGCGCGTTCGTCGCGGGACGGCGAGGGAACCGGCACCGAAACCTCCGCCGCCTCCGAGGCCTCCTTCGCTCCTGGGGATGTCGTGGTCGGGAGGATCTGCAAGGCCACCTCGCAGTTCCTCAGGGTCGAGCTTCTGGACCACCCTGGATGGTTTGGGTGAGCGTCGCCGCGCTGCTCTCTGCACGGGGCCCAGATTTCAACCTGCCCATCGCATGCGCTTGCCCCCGGCACCGTCGCTTCCGGACGCGTAGAAGAGCTGACAAACCGTAGCAGGCTGCACAAGCGCTCCAGAATCGACCTCCGCGCGGGGCAGCTTCGGCCACTGCGGCCTCACGCGCGATTTGCGGCACTCCCCTCCATCTCGCTTGCGTCCCATCGCCGCGCTCGTGTGGGCCCGACGTGGCTTTTCGTGCCCTGTACTGGTCTCCACATGGCTTGTGCTACATGTCTGTCCAGTGGCGCAGCGTCCAGCCGCTGTTATGCCACCGCCAGGCCATCTCTCATCCCACCGGCAGCCACCAGCGCCTCCGCGCGCACGGAGCCGTGGAGCGACACTGGCACCCGTCCTGTCCGCGGCATGCCGAGCACGATCAGCGCAGGCCGAGCCGGAAGCACCCCGCCCCGCCGCAACGCTTGCTTGGTGCCAGGGCTCCCCGCGCCAACGAACATCACCCTCCTCGACTCGCAGTATCGTCTTCACGCAAGAGTTCCCAACGGTCTTCGGCCGGCCAAGTGCCAGGGCTGACGGAACCAAGCCGAGCGCTTCGGACCTCTCCGGCACCGTCCGCGAGTTCCGGGTGCGCACACGTCCCCAGTCTGAGTCTTCCCGGCGCGATGCAACACCAGTCTCTGTTTCTCAACTGCCAAGGCAGCTGTCAAAGCGTGCCGCCAAGCTGCACGGGCCAGCGGCGCCGCACCGGAGCCTTGCGGAGCTCCGCGGACCGCGCTGCACGTCACGGCCTGGACGCTCCCGGCCGCTGCTGTGCAGATCGGGGACGTCGCGGACGACATGACGCCGACCCGCGGCCCCGTGCTGCTCGCTCGGACGCACGACGACATGCTCAGGGGCGACCGCGCGAAGCAGCTCCTCGAGGCGAGCTCCCTTGCGCCACATGGTCGTGTCTCAGCCGCCGCGTGCAACCCGTCATCTCTCGACCGCCAGACCGATCCCTCCGCCTCGACGTCTCGTTCCGGGGGCGCGTTTTTCGGCTCGTGCCGCCGGCGTGCGTGCCCGGGCGCGCCGCCCCAAAGCCACTGCTACGCCGCCTTGCCTGGTGCACGCTGAACGTCCGTGAGCGTGCTCCTAACTTACGCGGCGGACAAAGACACGGGCTCCCGTCACGTCTTTCGAAGGCGGCTCCAGTCTCTCACGCGCTGCCTTCGTAATCGGCCCCGACAACCGACGACAGACCCACCTGCCCTCACCCACCATTGAACCTGCGCCGGTGCGTTGCGTGTGCCATACTGAACGCCGACGGCGCTGCCGCGTTGCCTGCGCAGGCCTGCTTGACGGACAGGGAGACGTTCATGGCGAAAGTGTTCAGCGTCAACAAGGGCGGTGTACTGGCATCCGTGGCGGGCCTGACGCTGTTCGTGCCGAACTCGCACCTCATACGCGATGCCGACACCGAGGTCAGGAAGCAGTTCCGGAAGGTACGGCCCACAGCGCGGACCCAAACTGCTTGCGGCGGGCCCCGCGGCATCGCTGTCGCAGAAGTGCGCCCTGGCGATACCGATTCGAATCACCAGCCGCGGCACACACACCTGCGTATGTTCGCACCCCACCGGCGACGGCGGCGACAACCTCGCGTCGGACTGCTCCTGAGCGCCGCCAACATGCGGTATCCCGCAGGGCACCGAGATCGAGCTGACGCTGATGCGCGTGGACGAGCCCGAGGACTTCCGGCACGGGCAGGCGAAGATCCTGGCGTCGATGACCCTCGCGCGACAGGCCCACGCGTACAAGCGCATCTGCGTCGGTGCGCTTGTGTCGGGCAAGGTGCGGCGCATCGAGCCCTTTGGCGCGTACGTCGGAATCGACGGCACCTCGATCAGCGGCCTGCTGCACGTCAGCAACCTCAGCGGGCGCTACGTCGAGGCCATCAGCGACGTGCTCTCAGTTGGCGAGCCAGTCAAGGCAATCGTCATGGGCATGGAGGAGGGCTACAGGCAGATCTCGCTGTCGACGGCGGAGCTCGAGGACTACCCGGGGCAGATCCAGGAGGAGAAGGCGACGGTGATGGCTGCCGCGGAGAGGCGGGCGGAGGAGTTCAGGTACGCCGGTGGCACTGCGGGCAGCGTCCTGGCGCGGCTGCGTGTGTGCCGTGCGTGTGTGCGCGATGTGCGGCAGCGTAATCGTGTCAAAGGCGCGGTCGGACCGCGTTTCCGCACATGCGGAGGAACGAAGCGGCAGGCAACAACAAGTTGCGACGACGCTTTCTGTGCACGTCGTGTTGTTTGGCTGCAGGGAACGGTTCGACCAGTGGATGGAGGAGGAGGGGACGGAGCGGGAGGACGGTTCCTGGATGTACGAGAGCAGCGAGGACGACGTCGGTGCGTGAGCTGCACCAGCGCGGCTGCCAAATGCATGGCACACACAGCACCGCGCAAAGCGGGGCAGGCGCCAGCTTGGCGCGCGCGAGCGTCACGCCGGATCAGCTCGCGGTCTGCGAGGCACTGAAATGCCTGGAAGAGCCCGTGTGACCCGGAGTCGCCCCTCCGTCCCCCATACTCCAGCACAGCAGTCGCCCTCATGAGCGGCGCTAACGCAAGCGGCTCGAGGCGACCGCTCCGGTGGCGCGCGACCAGCCACACGCAGGGCACGGCGGCAAAGGCCCCGGCGTAGTCGCGGGAACAAGAGACATGTTGATGGCAAGTGCGAGTGAGACGCCACCTCGATTTCGGGTATATGCTGTTACACGCTGGGCGGTCGTGCGTCGGCGCGCCGCCGGCCATCAGAGGCGCCGGGCCTTAAGTTCACGCGGGCCGGGAAGCCCGCGCTCCTCGCTCAGGCTGGGCGCGTGTAGGCCAGCGATCTACGCCGCCGCAGAGGGCCGCCGCAGCGGGAGGGTAGATCGCGTCACGTCAGGACATGGCCGCGCGCGGCACCTGGGGGTCGCGTCGCGAGCGGGCGGTCGGCGGGGGGGCGCTTAGTAGGCCTCCTCCTCCTCCTCGTCGAACTCGCCCTCCTCCTCGGCGGTGGCGTCCTGGTACTGCTGGTACTCCGAGACGAGGTCGTTCATGTTGGACTCGGCCTCGGTGAACTCCATCTCGTCCATGCCCTCGCCCGTGTACCAGTGCAGGAAGGCCTTGCGGCGGAACATGGCCGTGAACTGCTCCGACACGCGCTTGAACATCTCCTGGATGGCGGTCGAGTTGCCGATGAAGGTCGCCGACATCTTGAGGCCCTTGGGCGGGATGTCGCACACCGACGACTTGACGTTGTTGGGGATCCACTCGACAAAGTACGACGAGTTCTTGTTCTGCACGTTGAGCATCTGCTCGTCCACCTCCTTGGTCGACATGCGGCCGCGGAACAGCGCCGAGGCCGTCAGGTAGCGCCCGTGGCGCGGGTCGGCGGCGCACATCATGTTCTTGGCGTCCCACATCTGCTGCGTCAGCTCGGGCACCGTCAGGGCGCGGTACTGCTGCGAGCCGCGCGACGTCAGCGGCGTGAAGCCCACCATGAAGAAGTGCAGACGCGGGAACGGGATGAGGTTCACCGCGAGCTTGCGCAGGTCGGCGTTGAGCTGGCCCGGGAAGCGGAGGCAGCACGTGATGCCCGACATGACGGCCGAGATCAGGTGGTTGAGGTCGCCGAACGTGGGCGTCGTCAGCTTCAGCGTGCGGAAGCAGATGTCGTACAGGGCCTCGTTGTCGAGGACCATGCACTCGTCGGCGTTCTCGACCAGCTGGTGGACGGAGAGCGTGGCGTTGTAGGGCTCCACCACCGTGTCCGACACCTTGGGCGACGGCACCACCGAGAAGGTGCACATCATGCGGTCGGGGTACTCCTCGCGGATCTTGGAGATCAGGAGCGTGCCCATGCCCGAGCCCGTGCCGCCGCCGAGCGAGTGGCAGACCTGGAAGCCCTGGAGGCAGTCGCACGACTCAGCCTCCTTGCGGACCACGTCGAGGACCGAGTCGATGAGCTCGGCGCCCTCGGTGTAGTGCCCCTTGGCCCAGTTGTTGCCGGCACCGGTCTGGCCGAACACGAAGTTGTCGGGGCGGAAGATCTGGCCGTAAGGGCCCGAGCGCACCGAGTCCATCGTGCCGGGCTCCAGGTCCATCAGGATGGCGCGGGGCACGTAGCGGCCTGCAACATTGCGAGGGAGCATCGCGGAACGGGTGGGCGCGGGGCGCGAGGCGGCGGGCCGGGGGCGCGGGCGCGACTTGGGCTGCCAGCACGGGTCAACAACACGCGCGGGCGCATCCGGCCGCAAGTGGGGCCAGCGGCGCGCGAATGGCGCACCAAGAGCTCGAAAAGAGAGGAAACGCGGCGCCGCGGCGCTGCTGGCGCGCGGGATCGGGCACGTCCGGGCCTCGTGTCACCGCGCAACGTGACGGGGGCGCCGTGCGCGCGAGAAGCGCCACGCTCGCGCGCGGGCAACGCTGCTCGCAACGACAGACGTCGGGAGGGGCGAGCGCCTCGGGGGGAGCGGGGCCCCGCGGCGCGCAGGGGCGGGTTGCTAAAAATGCAGGGTCGGCGCGGGAGGCACGTACCGCCCGAGGCCTCGTTGAAGTACACGTTGATGCGCTCCAGCTGCAGGTCCGAGTCACCGTGGTAGGTGCCCGTGGGGTCGATGCCGTGCTCATCGCAGATGACCTCCCTGCGCGGCGGAGCCAGGGCGGGCAGCGGTTCAAGCGCGGGTCGGCCAGCGGCGGCATCGTGGGCGCGCGAGGCGCCGCTTCGCGCGCGCGGGCGCGTCTCTCTGTTCGCAGGAGGAGCGTGCATGCGGGGCGCGCGGGCCGCCGTGCAGGGGGCGGGGCGCTCGACGACCAAAATGGCAGGCGAATGCGAGGGCAGCTGTTGCCGTGCCGCGGGGCGCGCAGCGGCGACATCCGCGCGAAAACCGCGACATTCGCCCCAATTAGAGCGCGGCTGGGCGCGCGCCGGGCCCCGAGGGGCCGCGGCGAGGGCGACGCGGGACAAAAATGGGTCGGGGTCACTCACCAGAACTTGGCGCCGATCTGGTTGCCGCACTGGCCGCCCTGGCTGCATTTCGCGAGAGGAGAATGTGAGTGTGTGAGTGGACGACGGCGGGAGCGGGGCGGGGGGGCGCGCGCGCGCCGGGCTCGGGCATGCCGACAGCGGCAGGTCGAGCGGGCCGCGCGAGCGCGTCGCGCGCACGTACATGTGAACGATCTCCCTCATGTTTGCTGTAAGATTGCTCTTCTCTCACTCCGGAAGTGTTGTAAAGAGTGACCAAGTGAGCGGCGAGAGCGCCCACTTGAGCTCCAGGCATGCCAGCCCGTTTGGCACTCCCCCAACCTCCCTCCCTGACGGACGCCCTCCCTGACACCCTGACGGCAGCTCCGGCACGCGGGCCGCGGCCCACGTACCGGCCTCGTTGCGGGGAGGTGGCGCGCCGGCCCGCAGACCCGCTGTCGCGGCCGCACTCCGCGTCAACAACCACGCCACATGGCACCCCGCCAGCAGGCCCTGCAGCGGGCCATTCCGGCACAGCCGGACCCCGTGCGCCCCCCCTGTCGATCGAACCGAGCGCGGGCGGCGCGGCACGGCATCGCCCAGGGCGCGCACGCGTCCCCCGCACTGAACGCGCTCGCCCACACCTGCAATGCTCCCACGCCGCCCACGCCCGCGCCCCCAGCGCCGGACCTCGCGCGTTCGACGCGGCACGAGCGCTGCGAGAGCGACCGGAGATTCGTGCGGCGCGCCATCGTCGGCGCGGTCGCCGCACCGGCCCCCGGCTGTGTCGTGCCCAGCATGTCTGCGCCGCAAGCCGATTTAGTGCCGTGGCCGCGCCCGGTGCCGGCAGCCCGCGCGCGCGCGATGCGCGCGGGCTCTACAGGGCCGCGGGCATACGCGGGGCGAAGCTCGCGCGCGCGGCCAGGCCGCAGGGGCCGCGGCGCGGTCCCTAATCGAGACCACAGCTGCGCAACCCAGACCTGGTTTGACGACTTGCGCGCACCCGCTCGACAGGAGGGCCGCGGCGCCCGGACGCCCGGGCTGCTGGACACCCGGGCGGCGCGGAGAGCGGGCGCGGCCCGCGGGCGCGCGTAGGGCGCGGGAGGCCATCGTTGCGCTATGTGAGACGTGCGGGGACAGTCTGTCTGTTGTGCACCAAGGGGCCTGCCCTGTGGTCATAGGAGCGCCCTGCGCGGGCCGCCTGCACTGCTCCGGGCGGAGTAGGAGGCTCGTGGGTGCATCGAAGGGTCGCCGCCAGTTCCTGGCTGCCCTGGCGCGTGCGTGTTGGCACTGGGCCCCGGAGAAGAGTAGCGGGCCTGGGGGCGCGTGGTTTGTGGCAGCGCAGACATCGAGGTGCCCGTCATGGCGATCGATCCAGCAGCCGTGTCGGTGCGGCAGGTACGCTCCGGCATCGCGCCTCTGTCGTGCTGGGCGGGCGACCGTGGCTGTGATGCACGCGCGCAGGGCACCTCACGCCGCCCCAGCAATGAGCGGCCGCTCCGTGTCTGCGATGCAGCTGTACAAGGACTGCATGCGCCTTGCGCGGCACGTCGGGGCGGTTCAGGGCAACGGAGAGGCGCTCCGGAGGCAAGTGCGGGAGGCGTTTGCTGCCAACAAGCACGAGAAGGACCCGGGAAAAATCGACGAGCAGAAGATGGCAGCGGTCCGAGGTAGGTCACGTCGCGAGCACCGCCCCGGGCCCTCAGCACCTCTGCTGGACAAACCCCGCGCAGACAAGGCACTGGCATCCTCCGACGATGGTTCCGCGGCGCAGGCCTGGGCAACTACGCCCTGCTGATGAGCGGCATGCTGAGGGACCCGAACGCGCCCCGAGACGGCGAAGGCGACGCGGGCGCTGAGGAGCCGCCGTGACACGCCCAGGCGTGCACATGGTGAGCGATGTGTGTCGCCTACGTATCGCCGACTTGCTCCCGCCCGCGCGGCGCTGGAGACGCAGCTAGCTGCACGCGCAGACCTCGAACGGCACCATAGGAACGGCACCATATGAACGGCACCATATGTTAGGTCTGTCAATTGTCGTGCCACCATAACCGAGTTGTTTCGTTGGACGCCGATGGAGCGCCCCGACCCCGGGCGCGCTGTGATCGACGCTGGACGCACGCCGGTGCGAACCCCCTGGACGCCGACCAGGACGCATGACTCAGCGTGAAAGCGACGGCACACCTGCCGCTTTCCGCTGCCCCCTCAGACCTCCATGGGACGACGCCACGTGCCGGCACCAGCCTCCAGCACCGCACCTGCGACATCCGCGCGGCGGACGCAGCCGTGGGCAACTACTCGAGTTTTTGTTTCCCCGCACCGCCATGATGGCGGCAATAATTGCCGCAGCCATGGCCCGGACAACATGTGAATCGTGCATATACTTAATTTATGGAACTCACAGCCCGCATCGCGGGGATTGCAGCCTGATCGTAGGCCGGCAGCAACGGCCGCGGTGATCATCAACCACGAGACCTCAACTCAATGTTGTGACGGGGTGAGAAACGCAACGCACCAAACACGCCGGAAGGCGCAGAGCTAGATCCGCGCGAGCGATGCGCTGCGGCTCCAGTCTGCGCGCGAGGGAGGGTGGCTCGAAGGAGGGGGCCGGGGGTTGGTGTTGTTGCTGCAACGGAGCCCTATCGGGTCGCGGCCATACTGGTGACGAGAGGCACCTGGACGACCCCCTACAGCCAGCGACGATTTTTGGAAAATAGGAACTACGGAAAAGCAAGGTGGGCATGTGCACAGCATGCCAGGGCGCAGTCTGGAGCAGAGACGGCGTGACGAACATGCTCCATGTTCGAACCCGCTCCGGAAAAGGAGGCCTGACAGAATTTGTGTGTGCCTCCCAGTCTGTGGAAGGCTCGATCGCGGGGGCGGATCACCGCCTGGCTGCGAGACGGAGGAAGGAGCGCAGGACACAAGAGATGCCCGTCGAGTGCCCTGCGACCTGCAGGACCTTCATGCGGGGGACTGAGACTGAGGCCGAGACTTACCGGCCGGAGGCGGTCCACCGGGATCGTTGGGGACGGGAGGGGCGCAGGCAGTCGAAACACGAGTGCATAAGAGGTGAACATGAGTACGTTGCAGGTGTGGCAGGAGAGGAGCACAGGCGCTGCGTGAGTTGTCACGGCAATGGCAGAGACAAAGGCAAATATCACAACGCTTGGGGCGCCCCACTACGGTGTGAGTTCAAATGTGCATCACGCATGGCGGGACCGTCGGGCGCCGGCCGGGACCGTCACGGAAACAAGACAGCCGTTCATGCTCGCCCTCGCGATCGAGAGGGGCTGGGAGAGGAGGGAGAGAGGGGGAGGGGTCGGGGCGGGGCGGGGGTTGAATATTCATGGCTGCGACGGTTCCTCTTCGGAGTCGCTACCACGCTGCCGCTGCTGCTGTTGCTGATTTGACAACGCGATGATGGCGGATGCCACGCTGTCGTGCCCAGGCGCACCGGGCTGGGCAGCGGGCGCGGGTGCCTGGCTTCTGGGGGGGAAGGCCGACAGCGGCGTGCGGCGCTGCTGCACGCCCTCACCAGGGGCCTGCACCCTCCGGCCCCAAGACGGGAGCGGCGGGGGGAGCCAGCCGTCCGCGGGCCTTTGCTGCGCGTTGATCGTGAGCGGCAGTGGCTGCGACACGACGTGCGCGGGGGCCGAATGCGTCGGGGCTCCTCGGACGAGGCGAGCCAGCGCGGGGGGGATGTGAACGGGTTCCGCGCGCGTCAGGCCCCGCTTCTCCGACACTTCCTTTAGACGTGTGTACCAATGATTCTTCACCTGGTTGCCCGTGCGCCCGGGAGGCAGCGCGCGAGCGATTTGCGCCCATTTGTTGCCGTGGCGAGCTGCAGGGCGCGGGGTGCCGGGCGGTGCGCAGTGAGTGGCCAAGCGAGCGCGGGAGCACGCAGGCACGTTCTGTCTATGCGCCGCGGCGTGCGTCGCACCTTGCTCCGCCAGGATGATCTCGTCCTCTTCGGGCGAAAAGGGCGTGCGCCGGAGACTTGTGTCCAGGTTGTTGGTCCACCGCTGTCGGCACTGCCGGTCCGACCGGGGCTGGAACGACGTGAGCTGCGCTTCCATCTCCTGGTTGAGCACCGCCGCGATCAGCCGCCAGTTCTGCGGGCCGAACCGCCCGATGACAGACAGCAGCACGTCGTCCTCCTCCTTCGACCACGGTACGCGCCCACGAATCTCGCCGTGCCGCTGGGGTACGTCGAGGCCTGTGTCATGCGAGTTGCCCGGCGACTGCGTGCCGGCAGACGCCGGTGACCCCGTGTCCGGCGCAGTGACGTGCGGGGGCAGTGCCGAGGGCGGCAAGGCGTCCGAGCGCGGGAACGCGGGCGCCGGCGGCCACGGAACCGACGCTGGAAGAGGCAGCGCGGGCGGGGCGGACAGCGCCAGGCCGGGGTAGGCCGCAGGCTGAGAGCCGAGCGTCACCGGCGGCAGCGATGGGTGGACGACCTGGCTGGCCTGCAGGGGGGTTGTCGAGGCCCCGAAGCTCGCCGGTGGCGCTGCAAGGCCGAGAAGCGCGCTGGAGAGCGCACCGGGGGCCGTCAGCTCCATCGGCCCGGGGAGGACCTGCGCTGCTGGCAGCGGCGCCGTAACCGCCGCGGATGCTGTGGGGTCCTGCGGCAGCATGCGCGAGAGCGCGGAGAGGTGCGCCATCGGTATATGCGGCAGGAGCTGCGAGGGAAGGTTTGCGATCGTGCGCAGGATCGCGTCCGGCGGCAGCGCCATCGTCTCGCGCACCGGGCCCAGCACCGCGGCCATTATCGGGAGGCTGATGATCTCCCGCAGCACCTCCAGATCGTCGTGGGAGAGCACCGGAGTGGGCTGCGCCGCGGAGGGCTGGGGCACGCCCACCGCGCCCGGGCCCACCGGTAAGGCGCCACAACCCTCGTTGCCGCCAGGGAAGAAGCGTTCGGTGTAGGGGTCGACGTCGGCGCTTCGGGCGACGGGCGGGTTCGGCGCGTGCCGCTTGCGCGGCGCTGGGCTCGCGTCGCGGTTCCCGGCGCTGACGCCGGGGTCGGTCGGCGAGCGGTCCTCGCGACGCTGCTTGCGCTGGGCCTCGGGCGCCTTGCCCGCGGAGACTCGCCCTGCCGAATCGCCCGGAGCGGTGTAGGGTACTACAGGGGCGTCGCGTCCTGAGCCGGAGCCGGAAATACGGGCCGAGCCGTCGCGGGGGGACGGATGTGCGCCCCGCGGGCGATCACTGCGGGCAGGACCCGCCCCGTGACCCTGGCCCAGCTTGCCTTCTGGGATGGGATCCGCTGTGGATGCAGGAGCTGTCCCGCGGATGGCCGCGTTCAGCTGCTCAAGGGCCGAGGGCGCCGTAGATGAAGTGACGTGTGCAGGTGTTGCAGTGGGGGCGTCAGGCGCTGGCGCCTGTGAGCCACTGAGCAGCGCGAGAAGCTGCGCGACTTCCGTGTCGTTGGACTGCTGGGGTATGCGCGAGATGGCCTGCAGCAGCAATCTCGCCTGCTCGGACGAAAGCTGGATGCCGCCTGCGTCGCCCGCGCCGCTGGCAGCCTCCGCGACCTGTGGTTCGCCCTCCTCGGGGGAGGACAAGGCCCGCTGATTTGACATGCTCAGCAGGCCGACGATCGTGTCTCTGAACTTCTGACGCCCACTGCACTCTCGGAGGTAGCTACAGAAAAGATCTGGGCAGGACCTCACTCATTGCAGGCCGACGTCGCGGCCCTCGGGTTCTGCGTGCGCAAGGACGCTCATTCGTGCGTTGAGATCGGGCGGGGACGCTTGACAGGCAGGCCCGGAAACCTCGCAGGAGGCCGGGGCGCCGTCGCATGGCAGCAACGCAAATTGGGCTGTCCCGGCTTGTCTGACGGGATCTCGGGATAGCCTAGCAGCGCCACACTGAATGGAAATGCACTGGCCATGCCACTTGCGAACGGCACATGCGCGAGAAGGGCGCCTGTCGGCGCATCAAGAGGCATTCTGAAACTTGGATGCTGGAGCCGTGCGCGAATGCGGTAGCTGTTCGCACGTCCGGGGCAGCGCGAGCGGCTCGGGAGACATCGTGGCTGAGACTGAGGGCCGCATGCTTCTCGAAACCGGCACCACGGGTGGCGCCGCTGCGGCCGAGTGGCTGGTACACTGAGCGCTCTCGGGGCGCGCGGGCTGAGCGCGTTTATCGGCAGCGTGTCGCCGGACACGCAGACATGGTCTGTCTAGCTCGGATTGGGCGGCACGGTGCACCAAACATGCGCCTTCCAGGAGGAAAAAAGAGGCGGGAAGCAGTGACAAAGGAGAGTCCACGGACCTGGCGTCCACGACGCAGTCCACGTCCTCAGCACTCGGAGATGAGATCTGTTGAAATGATTCGCGGCGCTGGAGGAAGCCCGACGACGGTTGCGGCCCCGGTCCCCGCGCTGCCGTCACCAGGTGCCCGCGCCGTCGGTGCTGACGGCGAGCAGCAGAAGCTGTGCGTGTCGGCGCAGCTGGATGAAAGTCTTCGCGCAATCGCCGCGACAGCCGATGCAACTTCTGCAGCGACAGCGCCGGGCGAGGACCTCCAATGGCCTTGCGAGCTCCCCGTGGCGCCGCACGAGCCGGAAATTGCCCCAACGACGAGCCGGAAGCGTCGTCGATACTTGACTTCGAGGGCCACGCGTCGCGACGCCCCAATCTGGCTGCGCGGGCCCGGCGGGGGGGGGGCGCCAACGGTCGGGGGGCTCCAACCCTGATTTCACGGCCCCCGCCAGCTCCCCTGGCGAGCCGCAAAACCGCGCACCATAGAGCACCGGATGCTACTGTTTCGCCTGCACCGCCCCGGGCCCGCAGCACCTCTGCTGGGCGCACGTCGGGCAGGAAAGGCGCTAGCGTCCATCTTGATTGCCGGTGCGCAGGTATGTGCAACCACGCCCTGCTAATGAGCGGCATGCAGAGGGATCCTGATGTGCCCCGAGACGGCGACGCGGGCGCTGAGAAGCCGCCGTGACCCGCCCAGGCGTGCCATGCGTGTCGCCGACTGCTGCTCCGGCGCTGCAGCAGCGCTGGAGGCGCGGATGCGCGCGCGGCCCTGGAAGCCGGGCGCGCGGCTGACAGTAGCGCAGGATGTTGGATGATCGCCGAAGCAATATACTGCAAAGCAGTGTCTCTTCGAGCCGCAGATATCTCCATGTCTCGCGAACAGCTGCAAGGCGGTGCTGTGAGTGACCATACTGAACCCTGCGCCGTCCCCGCACGACCCCCCGGTCCCGTCGCCCGGCGGCGCAGCGACGCACCGCAGCGCAGGGCGCCTCCTGCGTGTCCTGGGGCTCGACCCCAGTTTCCCTCCCCACCGGCCATCTCAGCGCGGAAGAATGAGCTCGCCGCAGCGGTGGTCGTCGCGCGCGCATCGAGGTCACGCGAAGCCGCGCCGCAAGGCAGGCGCCCTTGACACCGGAGGGTTCGCCGACGGGATCACCCGGTAGTCGACATCTCGCGGCGCCCATCCCGCCGCTGTGGCATTGTTGCTGCCGGACGAGCTTGCCCCCGCTCAGCGCTGGTGGCGGTCTGCGAGTTGCCCCCCCCTCCCCCCCCCCTCATCGCTCGTCACCCTCTGTTGCGTTGCACTTGTGCCCCAAAGCAGTTGGGGAGGCAAGGGCCTGCGACGCAGATTTTTTGTCGAATCTCGGATAGAGAACCTTGGAACATCACACCGCGAGGAACCAAGGACCGTTCTGCCGTCGCGAGGGAGAGGTACGCGGCCCTGACACTAGCAAGGCAGGAAGGGACGGCTCCCGCAGCGCGCACCTGCGCATGGCTGCACTGTCGGACAGAGCAGGGCGCTTGCTAGAGCCCAGGGTGTCGGGGAACGCTCGAACCCAGCGGTTTCGGGCGCACCATTGCGTCGAACTCCGAGCATGAGGGCAAAGGCTAGGTGTAGGTCTAGGCGCCGCTCCCTCCCTCCCTGCGGGCTATGCGGCTTCCTGCGGCGCGCCCTTGCACTGAATCCACCCATGCGCACTCATACGCGACCTACGAGTCGCGTCCGTGCGCAGATGCTTCCAGAAGTACGGGACCAGCCTCAGAGCAGCGCACGGCGCAGCTCCATGCCGCTGGCCCCGTCCAACTTCGGCACCGCGCCGCTGACGTCGCTGGCCCATCCCAGGCCAGGCGCTACGGCCCCCCGGTTGTATTCAAACCTCACCCCGGTCGGTCGGCCCTCGTATGCGCGCGTGGCGCCTGCCCGAGGCTCCAGTGGGTGCCGGTTGGATTCGATCGACCTACCCGGCGAGCCCGCGGACCCCGAAGGCCACGGCCCGGGACATATGGAGACGATCGTCGAGAAGTTCAGGCGCTCGTCCACTGCGGGTGTGCCCAGCCGTGCCGCTTTGCCAGGCCGCACGGCCGTGCACGGAGACGTCGGCGGATCGCCACGCGTTTCGCGGCTGAGTGATGCGGGCGTGACCAACAACGCGCGCGGCGCGGCGTCGGTTCGCGCGTCACTGGGCGCACAGGACAACAAGCCTGTCCTGATTCAGCTGGGCGACGGCAACTGCGTGCTGGCGCCGGCAAACGCTCCCACGTGGATCGGCGACGGCGAGGCGAGCGGGGCGCGCGCGGAGACCTCGCAGGACGGCACGCAGGGCAGCTCTTCTGGGCAGACGATCAAAGTCACGACTGGCGCTTCTCTCAAGAACCTCCTGGACAAGCCCGCGCAGCCTGCGGGCCTACCTGTGCCCAGGCGACCGTCTGCAGCCATGGACGACAAGCACGGGCTGTCGGCCATGCGCAGGACCACCACGCCCCGGTCCAGCCAGGGGCGCAGCTCGGGCGTCGTCGACGCCGCCGGGCAGCGCGTGCCGTCGCTGCGGCCTGCCCTGCGGCCTGCTGGCGAATCTGTTCTCGCCTCGGGGTCGTCCTTGCGCCCAGAGAAGAACCGCCGCGTGTCCTTCAACCCAGCCCAGGTCGGCGACGCGGTCGGCACGTTCTCGCGCCGCCCGACGCTCGACGCCCTGCACTCTGTGGAGCTCGACGCCGCGGGCTCCGAGGCGTCGTCGTCCAAGTCTCGCCGCGCCACGACCCTCGGCTTCCTGCGCCAGGCACGCAAGGATAGCGCACGCGCACGGCGCACGACAATCGCCCCCGATGAGCCGGTCACCGCGATCCCCGCGGCCGGGGCATCCCGTGAGGAGGTGCTCAAGGCGCTGCACAGCATGACGCTGGAGGCGGCGCTGGCGCCGGAGCCGCGGCCCGATGAGGCGAAGAAGGAGCGCCGGTCTTGGCTGGCGTCCATCCGTGGCGAGCGCGTGGCCTTCGGCGAGGGGCACGGCAAGTTTGCGAGCAAGCACACGTACTTTCCGCTGAACGACGGGCGGTACAAGGCGTACCTGCGGGACGTGCAGGGCCTGACGCGCATCTGGGTGGAGGCAGTGGCGGCAGACGACGCGCGCGACGGCGCGGTGATGCGGTCGACGCTGGCGGCGATCGCGGCACGGCGGGAGTCGGAGGCGCTGATGGCGCACCCGCAGGTGCTGAGGGCGACGGTGGCGCGCATGGCGTCGCGTGCGGGCGCGCACGGGCCGACGGCGACGCTGCGGGAGCTGCTGTGCGGCGCGTACGACCACGCCACGCCGGTGGAACTCACCTTGCTGCAGTGCGAGGTGATTGCGCTGTGGCACGGCGGCGACGACTGCTTCGGTGAGCGCCGCATATTAGTTTCAGGACTTTGCATATGCTTTTCTTTTCTTTTCTTTATATCTTAGCTTCGCACATGCTGGCAAGCACATGCACACGACCGTCCTGTTGCTGCGTGGCGCGAGAACGAGGCGCGGCGGATGTGGTGCTGCAGGTCTGAGCGAGGAGGAGTTCAAGGCCCTGGCGCACATGATGGCAGCGTTGGAGACGTTCCTGGGAATTTCCGGGCAGGGCCTGCCGGCGGACGCGCTGGGCAACGTGGCGCTCGGCGTGCACGGCGTGGCGGAGACGGCGCACATGCGCGTGATGCACACGCGCATGAAGACGCTCGAGGCGCGCCACGGCGGGCGGCACCTGGACTTCCGAGGCATCGTGGACTGGTGGCTGAACGTCAATGCGCACTCGGGCTTCGCGCTGACGCTGCCGATCGTCAAGTCGCTCGGGGCCCCGAAGTCGACGCTGCTGCGCGAGGCACTTCGTACGTTTCAAGCCAACCTGCAGCGGTCGATGGACGAGGCCGGCGACGATGGGCTGAGGGATGTGGGCAGTGAGCTGGACCGGTCGCTGTCGCGCGGGAAGCCCCGCAGGCGGAAGTCCTTGCCCGTCTGAAGACACGTCTCTCTTTCGAGAATCGCACATCGTGCCCCTGGGCGGCATCGGCGAATGATTGCTCGCACGTGACAGTGATGACGCCGCACGCAGCGGCGAGCGCGCCACGAGATGATTGGCCTATGTCCCGGCCTACCGAAGGCACATATTTCCAAGGCGTGAAACATGCTACTCTCTAGATTCTTCTTCTTCTTCTTCGTCCAGACTGATGGAAGGCTGCAATTTGCAGCCCCCAAGCACGCACGATCTACCTTCCCCTTTCCCACCTCGCCCCTCCCTACTCTCGCCACCACCACCCCCTCCTCCCCCCCTCCTGTCCTCCTCCCCCTCCTGTCCTCCCCCCCTTGTTCATCCTCTGACGTTCTGGACTGATTGAATTGTCGATCAATCATAAAGACATGTCCAGAGAGATTCTCGTGTGGTACGACGGTGCGCCGCAGCAGACGGGACCCGACTCCACGCCGCGTAGATTGTTTTGCTCTCTGCCGCAGGCACAATCGCAGCGGCTACGATTTGTCTTACACCTTGAGGCCAGTTGCCATCGCCACCGGATCCGAGCTGTCCACTGGCGCCCTGCCTGCTCTCCACACGACTGAGATGCAACGCCGCGCTGGCAGCCGGTCAAGCGCGTTCGATGCCCCTTGATTCAAGCGATCACGCAGTCGCTGCATGCCGCGATTCGCTCAGAAGACTGCACTTGGTCGCAGAGCGCCTCGAATCGTTTCTTGGCGCCGACTGCGTGCGTGATGGCATGCGGCCTGCAGCACGGCCATCGATCACCACGAAGTTGCCTGCCCCGGCGGTGAGCTCGCCGTCAATCCCTAGTGAGGGAGTTGTGCCTCGAGGGCCCCCGCAATTTGACAAAGACGCCCGTCCTTCCGCCCTTTCCAAACATGTCGTAGCACGGTTCCTTTCGCGCGCGACTACGTGCGTGGAAGGACACTGAGCCTGTTCGAAGTGCTTGCGTCAAGCGGCGACATCCAATGCTGGTCCCCCTCCCCAAGTCAACTGCCACATTCCGTCATTCAACCCCGTGTAAGACCCTCAGGTCGCCCCCAGAGTCGCGTCACGCCGTGCATCCAGCAGCATCCAATCGCGACACACTGAGATCCGTGATGTTGAACCCAACGCCAATCTCATCAATCTCATCTCACGCGGTCAATCTCTCCGCGCCAAACGATCGATTTGGCGATTAGTGCGCGATCTCGGTGGGCGCCCGTCCTTCTCCGCGCGACGGTCAATTACTTTGCGACGTTGCCCGGGGCTGGAAAAGGACCCAGGGGGGGTTCAGGGGAGTCTCATGACAGCACGCGAACGCTGCGTGTCTGGTCGAGAGGGAGCGGTGGGACGCAGCCCGCGCACTGCTAGTACGCAGCGCTCCCCTGCGCCCATCTGAGCATCCCTCGTGCTGCCAACGACGGCCAGCACTGCGTGGCCAAGCCCCGCCTTGGTTCTTACACCAGCCCGGCAGCGCGAGGGAGGGGTCGGACGCGGCAGCCTGTGTCCGAGTAGGTTCAGGTCTCTGCATCGCTGGTTTCCGAGCTGGCGCTCCCACACCTGGAAACAGAGTGGCGCAGATTCCTTCGACAGAGGCAGGACGTCCCCTGTCGTCGAGGAGCGGGACGATGGGCAAGCACAATGGGAAGGCGAGGAAGTCGGGAGCAGCCGTGGGAGGCGCGTTGACGAGCAAGGCGCGGCAGGTGAGCGCATGGCGCCCGCTTCCTCGGCCCGCTGGCAGGCTGGGGCTCAGCGCACCGCTACGTCGAGACCTTCGAAGTGCGAAGGATGACGACTGCCCCTACATGACAGCACAAGCGGAAAAGTGGCAGGGACGGAATAACTTCACGTGCGGGCCGCAGCACGCCGTTGCAGCCGCCGAGGCCCATGGGCTTTTCCGGACCGTTCGCCTGCCAAGCGGGACGTTTTCCCGCGAGCACGATCGCCCAGGCAAAGAGTGCTCGACTGTCTCGCTCGGTGAATCCGATGAGATCGCAGCGCCGCTCCGCGTCCCCACCGGCCGCTCTACACAAGTGCAGCCCCGCGCTCCTCTCGCGCCGCAGGAGAAGCGCGGTCACCAGCTCATTGACCCGAAATACGCCCACATGCATACGACGGACGCTGCCGCGAGGACAAACATGCAGTCTGCGCTCGACCAGACCGATCTCGGCGAGCTGATGGACATGGCAGACCTCGCGCAGAGGGACTTTGCCGGGACGAAGGGCGAGGTGCGTTCCCGCGCTCCCTGCGCGCCGCTCATGCTCCTGGCCCGTCCCGTCCGGGCCGTCGCCACATGCGAGGATGCGAACATGCAGGCAAAGTAGCCGATTGTGGTTCGAGTTGCGCCGGTTGTCGGGAGCTCGCAGGTGCTGGTCGTGAGCGGGCCGGGGCTCGTGGCGCAGAAGGACACTGAGCGCGAGGCGGCGGCGCGGCGCGAGGCGGAGGCCCGACACGCGCACGCGCTCAAGGTTCCGCGTCGCCCCGCCTGGACTCCTGACATGACGCCCGAGCAGCTCGATGACCAGGTACGGATCCAAACGCAAGCCCGCGCCGCCACAGCCTGCCGCGCCGTCCGCGCGGCGGCCGCGGGGATGCGACGGGCACGAACCAGAGCTGGCACCGCCCACAATTATGGTTTGCCCTTGCGCGTGGCTCGCCGCTTGTCCGCGCCCGGCGGCCCGCGGCAGTTGGAATCTTGACTCGCCAGAATGTTGCGGTGGCACTATCTGCACGAGGGCTCGCACCGTAGCACGCTGGGCGTGCTGAGATGCACTGGCACAGAACGGAGTGCTCGCTTGCCAATCGCCGCGGTTCGCGTGCGCCGCCAGCTGCTCGCAGGAGCGGGACGCGTTCCTGCAGTGGCGGCGGGCCCTGGCCGCCGCGGAGGAGGAGGAGAGTCTGGTCCTGACCCCGTTCGAAAAGAACCTCGAGGTCTGGCGCCAGCTGTGGCGCGTCCTTGAGCGCTCTGACATCATCGTGCAGGTTCTGGACGCGCGCGACCCTCTCCGGTACCGCTGCGAGGACCTCGAGGCGTTCGCTCGCGAAATCGCGCCCAGCAAGCGCACGGTGCTGCTGCTGAACAAGGCGGACCTGCTGCCGAAGGAGGCCCGGGAGGCGTGGGCGGCGTACTTCGACGGGCTCGGCGTGGAGTACGTTCTCTGGAGCGCGCATCTCGCCGCCAAGGTCCGCATCGGCCCGCGCCTGCAGCTCGTATCTGTGCAGCGCGCGTCTTTGGTGCGTTGGTTCCGACCGCGCGGCGCGTCGTGCGCGTCGGCTTGCTCGCAGGAGGCGGAGATGCAGGCGCAGCTGTGCAGGCAGGCGGACCTTGGCGCCGACGTGGACGTGGAAGCGTCGATGGCGGTGTGGCGGCAACAGCAGCACGCGGGCTCCGGTCGGGCGCGCGTCGTGTTCCGCGACGAACTGGTCGGCGTCATGGAGGCCAAGGCACGGGAGGCGGCAAGCGAGGTAGGTGGGGGCGACGCAGGCGGGCCGGTGACCGTGGGTATGGTGGGCTACCCCAACGTAGGCAAGTCTTCGACGATTAACGCCGTGTTTGGGGGGAAGCGCGTGGCGGTTGCAGCGACGCCGGGGAAAACGAAGCACTTCCAGACGCTGCACGTGCACGACTCCCTGGTGCGGCCCCGCGCCCTCTTTCGGCTGCTGCCATCGCTGTGCATAGCGTGGAAGCGCGTTGTCCGCGCACGTGGAGCAGCCTGCCGTTTCAACCGCCGCTGTCGTGTTGCACAGGCGGAACCCCGCACTCAAGGAGCTCGATGCGTCGGCATGCGGGGATGCAGGTCTTGTGCGACTGCCCAGGGCTCGTGTTCCCGTCCTTCGCCTCCAGCAAGCCCGAAATGGTCGCGGCGGGCGTCATCCCGATCGATCGCCTCACGGACATCCGGCAGCCCGTCGACGTCGTCGCCAGGCGCGTCGCGCGCCCCTACTGGTCGCTGTGCTATGGACGCATTAACATCCCCCGGCCCGGGCCGCTCGAGGACCCGAAGCGCCCCCCGACGGCCGCGGAGGTCCTGCGTGGTCTATGCACACTGCGCGGGTGGGTCAACGGGAGCGGCCTGCCAGACGAGACTCGTGGGGGACGGCAGATACTAAAAGACTATGTGGACGGTCATCTACTGTCCTTCGAGTACCCCCCCGGCCACGACGGCCCGCGCCACGCGCTCCCTGCCGAGTTCGACCTGCGTGCGGACGCGCGGGCGTCGCAGGCCAGCGCGGCGCTGGCGGACGGCGCGGATTCGCTTGCTGCTGGGAGCGTCGCAGCGGAGGGGCCCGGGGGCGTGCCGGCGCCCGCGCCGCTCGACGAGGAGGCGGCGGCCGCGGAGCTCGCGCGCGACATGGAGATGATGGGGATCGGGCAGGGCAAGGCCAAGGCTCGAAGACCTGATTACAAGTTTCAGAAGAAGGAAAAGAAAGGCAAGGGGCAGCGCGGGAAGGGGGCGTACGGCATCAACATGGACGGCACGGGCGACGGGATGGGCGTCCTGCGCGGCAAGCGCGGCGGCATCCTGCCGGCGCATCTGTCCGGGAGCTAGCGTGCAGTGGCTGCGAGCTGGAACGAGCGCAGTGTCCGAGCGGCCGGCGGCTGGAGCCGCGACAAGAGGACCGACGGCAGCAGTGGCGAGTCGCGATGCAGCTGCGCAACATGATTGAGCCACGGGAGCCGTGCGGTAGCTGAGATTCGCTGTTACGACTGCGCAGCTCAGAGTCGGCCGCGAGACCAAGTGCACGACGTCTGCCTGGCGGTGTGATCTGCGCCGGTGCGATGCGGCGCCGCGAGGGCGTTGCATCACATCACGTTGCCTCCCGACCCCCCCAAGGTACAAACTCGAAGTCCTTGCTCGCTGCGACAGGCGCGCCGGCGTCAGACATGCGTCCGAACTGCAGCGCCCCCGAGCCGTCGAGTCCGCAGTCGAACGTGGCGACGCGGATCTGTCCACGCGCCCTAGCACCCCCGTCCCCTGCCGCTACACCCCACCCTCCCCGCGCCCGCACGCACAGCGCTGCCATGTGCTCTTCTCCCGTGAACTCCACTCCCTGATACAGCGCCAAGCCGTGACGGCACGCAAGGCCCGCCTCGGGCGGTGCCGGGGGGCTGTCGAGCTCCAACTCCCCCCCCTCCCCGAATGTCACCGCAAAGCCCGACAGGCCCGGCCCGGCGCTGATGCCGCACCCCTCCGCCTTGACGAACGCCTCCTTCATGCACCACAGCCGGCCGAACTGCGCCACGCGGCTCGAATGTTCGGCGAGCGCCGCCAGCTGTTGCATCTCTGCCGGGGCCAGTCTCTTGCGGGCGAAGCCGAGCAGGTCGCGCCGGGGAGCGCGCCCGAGTCGCTCGACGTCGATCCCGACGGCCGCTCCGCGCGTGACAGCCAGCGCGAGGAAGCCCCGCGTGTGGGAGATGTTGAATTCCAGGAGCTGAGAAGTCGAGATTTCTCGACTCGCCCTCTCCGCGATGTCCAGATGGGGCTTGCCGTGCGCGTTCGCGCGCAGCGGAACGGCGGCCGGTGCGCCAGTCCCGATGTACGCGGCAACGACGGACCGAAGCAAAGCCCGTGACAGCACCTGCGCACATGCTAGCATGCTTCATGTATGTTGCAGGCGGACACGGCGGCCAGGGGCGCGGGTTGGGCCGGGCGCTGCACGCAGGAGGTCGTGACGGACCTGCTGGGCGCGGTGCTCCTGCTCCAGCCACGCGCCGGAGCACCTGTCGCGTCGTTCTACTGAAGTGAGGTGGCTCGCCGCTGCCTCCAGCGTGCGAGCGCTCGCCAGCATGTCCTTTAGCGTCGACGGACCCACGCGCCACAAGTCCACTCGTCCTTGGAGCAGCTGTGGAGCCAACGCGCTGCTCGCCCGTGTCGCGGCAAGCCTACCCAGCGGTGGGCAGCCTGGACCAGTGGGCCGCGCGGCACGGTGCGGGGGGCTCGTCCCCGCGCGGGGCACGCCGGTTCCGCTTGTGTGAATTCTGGCCGCCTGGCATCTTTGAGCCGCGGAACATCGGGCGGCAGGCTCCAAAGTGCCCCTCCTGCTGACCCCAGCGCTCCAAGTGGCCTGGACACCCGCGTAAGACATCGCCCTCCGTTGTGACGTTCGACACAGTCTGCCCCGTTGATACGCAATGTTCGCTCTCGGCGCAGGCGATCGCTGCCATCGCGCCGCGCCGAGCGCCACGCGCGCGAGGCTCGCGCACGCACACCCGGTGCTGCTACACATCGGCCCCGCAGCACTGGCCGCGATTTTACCCGATCTGAGCCCTCACGCCAGAGGACTCGCACAGATCTACGCCGCGGCGATGGAGTGGAAGCGAGGCGTCAGCGTGATTCGGCCCGCGTGCGGTGATTCCATGTCGCGCGCTGCATCGCGGCGTCCGAGGGCGCGGACTCGGTGTCGGGAACGTGGCGCAGGGGACAGTGGTACCGATGGGCGTAGCGGTGGTGCAACGTGCCGGGCACGCAACGTGCGTCCTGGGGAGACCTGACGTCACTTGGCCGACGTTGTTGCGTGGGGGGTTTTGCCGGTTTGCGGCTACACCGGGCCAGCAAACCGACCGCACTGCTCACTCCTGCACAGTTCAGGCACGTACACTCGTGTGAGGTCCAACCAAGATCCGCGAACTGCGTGTGCTGGCCCCGTAGGCGTCGCCGCGCACCCTGCAGTTGCCCGCTGCCTCGTCCCCGGCGCTGGGGCGCGTACGTGGGGTCCGTGGGGCGCGAGGTCCTCGTGGAAGTGGGACCACACTTGAATTTATCGGAATTTCTGTTTCCAGGAAGAGCTGAGGAAGTTCCGAGCCGGACGGTGCGGTGCGAGGAGTAGCGCACCATGCACGCGCCCCGGACTTTCGCTCCGGACCACCGGAACATAGGCGGGGCTCACGACATCCTGAATCAGCTAGGCGCGCACTACCGCAGAGTCGACCATGCGGGCACGTTCGGCGCCACGGAGACGCAGTACGTGGCCGAGGGCATGGACGGTGCGCGGCGCCTGGCGGGGGTGCTGCCTGGGAGGCCGCGGCCGTCCGACAAGTGCATCACGATCCCGTCGGCGGCTCAGCTCAGCAAGAACAAGGCCAGGCGAAAGCGGGAGACGGACTTGACGGGGCCCTTCCACCGCCGAAACGTCTACCATATGTGCAGGCACGCCACCCCTCGGACTGCGAGGGTTCTCCCTTGCCTGCGCCTCCGCGTGCGCGTGGCCCGGAGACGCGCGAGGCAGCATGCGAGGTCCGGAGCAGCCTGCGCTGCAAGGGCCCGCGCTCATTGCGTGTCGCGCTGTCGCGGGCGGCCTGCAGGCGCATGCAGGACATGTACTCGCTTCCGGAGCGGATGAAGAACCCGGCGGACATCATCGCGCACCCGCCCCACATCCGCAAGAAGCCCTCCAACGTCAACGCCACGGCCATGGCCCTCTGCCCCTGGATCCCAAACAACCCCTACTGTCGCACGGTGCGACGCGCCCGGCCACGCCCTCGCGCCGCCGCTCGCATGCACTGGCCTGGAGCAAGCGGGCGCGCGGGCCCCGACGGGCTCCGCGTCGCGTGGAGTCCGCCCACGCCCTGTGTTGGCACCTAGATCTCCTTCGCGACTTTGACCGGCACGATTCCGCCGCTGCCTGCGTGTTCCCGTGCGACCGCTGCGCCACGATGGCACTGCATGCAGAGGCCGTCCACGGCGCCGTCAGGCGGGCGGGCGATGGCCTCCGACGCCGCGGCGGGGACACGTCAGCGTGGCGGTGAGCCGGCGCTCTCGGCGGCCGCAGGGGCCCCGGCTGCGTCCCTGTACCAGCGGCTCAAGGCCAGACTGCTTCAGGTCATCGTGGAGCAACGGCTGTACAAGGAGAAGACGCTGCGGGCCTTTTTCGAGCGCGAGAGGGCGGCGTGTAGCGCGGACACCCTGCCAGTCATGGTGGCCGTGATATCCGAGTTGGAACGCGAGCTGGACGTCGTGAGCTGACGGCCGAGCGCTGGCGAGGCCCTGCGCTCGCTGCGAGGGTGTCGGGCACGCCGGGGCGACCCATGCGGGGCAGCGAATGTGACCTTTCCTTGGTTGTGGATCCAACGCCCTGCAACCTCGAATGACGTCCGCTGGAGTGAGACCAGGCCATACCAGAGGGGAAGCGGAGAGCCTTTCGGCGGCGCGCCGCGACGGCGCGAGGCAGCTGATCGGCGCACAGAGCAGCCCGTCATGGGTGCGAACGCCTCGAAGAAGTCTCTCGACGCCTCCGGCGGGCCCCGGGGCGAGCCTGCACAGGTGAGTCCCGCGACAGCCTGGCGCTGCCCGCGCATACATGCAAAATCGTGGCTCGTGCATCTCCAATTCGCGTCAACGATCGAGCGGTCGATCGTTCGCGACCGCGTCGTGCCCGATCATGACGCTGTATTCGCGCGAAGGCTACATGGACATTGTGGCGACTGGTGTTGACCACTGCCGCAGAAACCGCAGGAGGGGGAGCTCCGGCGACCCTCGGAGGCGGACAAGCACGTCATTCACTCGCCAACTGGCCCAACCTCGGAGAAAAGCGACCGGCCGCAGCAGGCACACGCGGCCAGCGCCGCCAAGGTCTCCTCGCGGGCACTGGGTGATAGGAGGCTCGCAGACGCCCGCGACGAGCACAGGTTTGGAGCCCTTTGACCCGGACTCGCATAGCTGACCACTCTCTTCCACGGCCATTGGCTTTTATTTGCGGAGCGAACTGCGGCTGCGCGCCGCCGCGGCAGTTGGCAGTTGCTGAGAGGGGTTCCTGCCGTGCGCCGCCTGTACGCAGAGCGAACGCGCATCAGAGCCCAACGAACCGCACGACCGGAACAAACAGAGCGAGCCTCGACGGATCGACGAGCCCGTCCGCGGCGGGCCTGCCCTACGTGCACGTCGTTCCGCGCGGCTCCATTGACGGGCGGGGCCGACGGTCCTTGGACGGGGGACGGCCGCAGCGGGGCGCCTTCGCGGACCCAAAGGCGCAGGCGCCGCCCACCGCGCCGGACCGCACCTCGGGGCGCGCAAGCCTCGACGGCAACCTGCCGGCTGCGGTGCTCAAGACCGACGGACGTGCGGCCCCGCCGAGCTCGCGCAGCGCAGCCGTGCACGATATGACTCAGCGTGTGCTGAGGTGTCTCATGCCTCCTCGTGCGCGTCTCGCGTTGCAGACATCCGCGTGAGGATCGGTAAAGAAGCTCCGACGTACGTCTCCAATGCTTGAGGACGCTGGAGGCAGGCCTGTGCTGCCCGGACGAGCGCCGTCCGACTGCGCACTTTCACCACGTGCGGGCTCGCTGAATCGAGCCACTTCTTCCCCCCACCCCCCCGTTGCTCGCTAGTGCCTTCCTTGCACTGCACCGGGACAGAATCAGACTGCGAAACACAACAACCTACGCTCCCTGTCGCACCAACGAGGCAAACATGTGCCTATGCATACGTTGCACAGCAGGACGCACCCTCACGCGGGCGCCGTCCAGCTGCCGGCGCGGCAGCTGATGGCGTCGCGGCGGTCGAGCGGGCATCTGTAGCTACATAATCCGCATCCAGCACCTCTCCATCGTGCATCTATACCCAACTAGGCTCTGTGATCTACCGCGGATGTCATTCAGTCGCGAATTCCTCGAAACTCGCTCATTAACCGTAGCCGCATCTGAACGGCCCAGTTCTTCACGTCCGGGCGGCTGGACGTGAACGAGCCACGTCCAAGCACCGAAAGCGCACGGTGCATCGCCGAGCACGCCACACGCGCGCGCCTGTCCGAGGCGGTGCGCTCCCGTACAGAGGCAGCGCCAACACAACTGAGGGCGACACCAGGCCCGCGCAGCGGTCGCTTGCCGTCCCGTGGGGTGTGCGGCGCGCGCTTCGTGTGCACACAGCGTCCGGCGGCCTCGCCGCCTCGACATGCGCCGCCCGACGGCCGCGCGACTCTGCGCAATCACACACAGGGTTTATGCGCCGTTGGCGGGCCTTCCACGGCGGGACACACGCCTCCAGCGCGTCGCCAGCATGCCCGCCTGATACTTCACGCTCTGCACGCCCGCGCGGCTCGCAAGCGGTCCCAGGCGGCGGCGAGGTCGAGCACGCTGTGTCATGTCCTTGCGTGCCTCGTTGACCCGCCGCAGCTGGCCACGGACAGCCGCCGACACGTCAGGCTGACTCCCTCGCTGCCATGATATGCAGGACGTCGGGCTCTCCGCGCGGAAACGAGCCCGCCGGGCGCCGGCCGCGCCCTGCCGCTGGAAAGGGACACGCGACGCTGCGGTACAGGTCCCACGACACGTTCGAGGCAGTTCGTGCGACGCGGCCTGTCCGGCAAGCCCGGTCGACCGCCAAACAGCGCCCCGCGGTCGCGCTGGTGACGCAGGATACTTCCGCGTCGGCGCGTTCGGTCCGTAGTAGGCAACATTCACGCCAAGGAGCATGTTGACGGCAGGCCTTTGAGACGCAAAATTCAGCCCTGCCGACCACGCTGGCGGGTAGCTCTTGCTTCTAGGAACTCGTCCGGTGGCCGATGATCCGCAGCTGTCGTCGAATTATTCGATCCCCGGGGGGGTATGGCGGACCGGCGGTGCGGTGCGAGACGCTTTGGGGAGCGCGCGGCGCGTGGCCGAGGCACTCGCATCTCGTCGGTGGCAAGTGGAGATTACCTCGCAACCATGGCTGCTCGTCTTTCCACCGTGAAGGTGCGTCTCACGCGGCTTGCCGTCGATGTGCCATCCAGCCCTAGCCTCGTCCTCGAACGCGCCTCACGGGCCCCGGCGCGTCCCACCGCTCGCAGGTCTCGTGCGTTGCACGTCCCCAGAAGGTCTCGACGCGGTCGAAGGTCGCGCAGAAGGCCCTGACGATCCCGGTGGACAACAAGGTCGAGACGACCACTCGCTGGGAGCTACGCCTTGGTGAGTGCGGCCCGGCGCCTCCCCCGCGCGCCTGTATGCTCAGTTGGAAACCTCCTCCCGATAGCGACCCTCGACCGCGCGGGTCCAAGCCCATCGAACGCGTCCGAACGTGCCCCCGTGCCCGGCTTGCAGACGATGCCTGGGCGAGCACGCACCAGACCCTCAGGGACCGCTTCAACGCCCTGATGGTCTGCGACGACGACGTGTGCACCGTGCGCGCCGATGGAAATTCCGAGGTGGTGCGTACCTGCCGAGCGCGATCCTCCCTGCACCCCCGGACCGGGGCGCCTCGAACCCCCGTGTTCGCCCGCGCAGCTCCTCTCTCTTCACCGAGAATTCATGTACCGGGGGGCAACGCGCCTTCCCCGCGCCGCCCCTCGCGCCTCCCACGCCCTCTTGCCTGCTCCCACACACCCGCGCCCCCGCGCCGACGACGCCCTTCCGCCGCCTCTCCCGCAGACGCTCGGCAGCTGCAAGGTCAACCTGCAGTTCTCCATCGTCGACTCCGGCCTCACCATGACGGTACGCGCCCGCGCGCAGTGCCCTTGTGCCCCGGCCCACCCTGGTCGCCTCACGCCGCATAGCGGGCTGAGCGCGCCCCCCCGCCCCACCCCGACGCGCGCACCCGACGTGAACCGCGGACCCCTGGCGGTCTCGGCCCCCGCGGCACCATGCTTGCACGCACCGCGACGCACTCGGCCGTCAACTCCTGCCCAGCCGTCTGCCAATTGGTCAACCAATTGCCCCGCTCAGTTGGTTAGCCCTCCTCGCCGCTGCAGAACATGGGGGGCAACGAGGACATCGTCATGGTCGACGGGTGGTGCGTCCCCGAGCACCTCGCCGTCCGCCTGAGGGAGGGCGCGCGCATCCGCGTCGGCGACGCCGTCTTCCGCGTCCACAATGCCACGCTCGAGGCGGAGCTGAACTAGCTGCGCCGCCCGGAGCGTCGCCGCGGTGCACGGGCGCGAGACGGCGCCGACGGGCCAACCATGTCGATACGGCCCTGTACATGCTAGAATTCCTCTCCACACGTGGGCGGGGGCCGCAGCGGGGTGCTGACAAGGCGGGCGCGACGTGTCGCTCGCGCCCGCGTAAGCGGCCCGCGACGCCCGCGCCGTCCCGATCCGACGATCCCGCCTATCTTTACGGATTCCCTTTCGTTCTTTTTCTTCCACCTCACGCACGCACGAGGCGAATCGAACGCCTCCCTGCCTAGCCCAGCCCGGCCGGCCTCCCCTGCCCGGGCTCCGCGCGCTTCAATCGCGCGCCAGGTGGCCCCTGCCGCTTTCCGAGGCTCTTCCAGCTGGGAGGCCCGCACCCGCGAATCTGTCCCTCGGGGCAGGACCGTCGCGCGCTGCTGGCAACTGCCGCACCTCAACACACCGCCAACCGCCGGTGCGCTTCGCCGCGCGCTCGGCCGCTTGCGGCGCTTCTTCGCCCCACGGGTGAGGACACCGCATCGCACTCCACGCGGCACCCCCGCCGGGGCGACATCGACCACACAAGATGAGCTGCGCCTATGCAGCCTGCCAGAGCAGTATCGACGCTGCCGCTTTCAACGTTCTCAAAACGTTGCTGGCAGAGTACAGGTAGAAAACCAATGAGAACAGCACGTCCCCCTCTCCCACCCCCCCCACACCCTTCGTTGCCACCCACACTCTGCCTGCCCTCACGTCGTGCGCCGCGTCGCCCGCGTGGCGCGCGGCCGGCGTGCGTGTACTCGCAACCCCTCCCACCTTGTTCAGCCCGACTTCCCGGTACGTCGTCGTCGTCGGGGCACCGACCGCTGACGGCACCAGCCTACGTGTGAGAGACCGAACTACCGCCGCTGTCGCGATTCGTGCCGGCCACGAGTATCACGGACGAGCGTCGCCGGAGCATTCTGCTTGCGCGGCGCACCTGCGAGCCGCCTCTAGGGCTACCCCACCCACGGCCGCGGCTGCCCCGAGATTCTCCTGGCGCGGGGCTGTCGACTCCTGACGGCCCCAGTGCCGGTGAGCGTCAGGCTACAAGGAGCACGTCTCGTGACCGCAGCTCGACGCGTCGCCCGTTCATGTCATGAATCACAGTAAACAAAACTGGGGAAAACTGCCGCGGGACAGACCGTGCCAGGTATCTCGCCGGCCTGTCCGCCACGCCGGCGAGCGGACGGACGTGGAGATCTGGATGGAGTCTGGAGTCACGCAGGGTCTGCGGTCATCTGCAACAACATTCGAATTCGTCGCGGAGTGCGACGTCGAGACATGCCGGGCCCGTGGCGCGGCGGCACGCGCGGCGGCAGCCTGCGTATGTAGGATCGGGTGTTCCGCGCGTCGCCGGCTGCGCACGTGCGGCGTCGAAGCGGGGCCAGCCGACCCCTTCACGCCGCCATCGCCAGCGTGCCGCTCGGCGCGCGCAGCTCCTCGGCCGACATCGACAGCATCGCGATGAGGTCCCGGGCGATGTTGAACGTCGCCTGCGGGGCCCCGAGCGCCTTGGCCCGCCGCGACAGCTCCGCGAGCTTCTCCGGGTCCGTGAACCACCGGCCAACGACCTGTGCCGCCTTGTCCGAGTTGGGCTCGAAGTCGCCGACCTCGTTCTCGACGACGTGCGGGATGTTGCCCTCCTCCTGGCACGGCACGAACGCGTTGAGCAGGATCGGGCAGCCCACGGCGAGCGCCTCCGCGATGGTGCCTGGGCCGGCCTTGGTGATGATGGCGTCGCAGGCCGTCATCCACTCGTCCATGTTCGACACGAACCCGTTGACGATGACGTTCATGCCCTTGGGGTAGTCGATGGCGCTGAGCTTGTCCACGAGCGCCTGGTTGCGCCCGCAGATCACCACGACCTGACACTTGGCGCCGACGTGCTTGGCCAGCGCGCGCACCGTCTTCTCCACGGGGCCCATGCCCTCGCCGCCGCCGACGAGCAGCACCGCAGGCGTGCCCTCCTTCAGCTTCAGCTGCTTCCTCAGCTTCTCCTGCGCGGCGCACGCAAAAACAACGCCCCAGTCAGGCCATGCGCCACACGCACACAGCTGCTGCATCGCGAGGGCGGGTGGCGACGCGCCGCGATCGGCGCAGCGGGGCCGCGGTGCGCGTACCTTGGACACCGACGGGTTCGAGAACGCGGGCCGGATGGGCAGGCCGTGCACCACGATCTTCTCCTCAGCAACGCCGTACTCGATGGCGCGGTCGCGGCAGTACTCGGTGGCGACGAAGAGGCGGTCGAGGCGCGGGTGGAACCAGGTCGGGTGGCAGGTCGTGAGGTCGGTCACGACGGTGGCGAAGCGCGGGCGCGGCTTGCCCGTCTTGCGCTCCATGCGCTCGAGGATCTGGATGCAGGCGTGCTGCATGAGCGGGTGGAGGCTGACGACGAGGTCCGGGTCGTACTCCTCGAAGGCCTGGGCGATGGAGTTGTGGCAGGCGTGCGACATGAAGTTGAGGTACGGGATGTGCGTGAGCTTGGGCTTGAAGAGGTTGAAGGAGATCCGCCAGAGAATCGGGTACTTCACGAGGGTGCTGTACGAGTCCGGCATGCGGTCGTACGGCCACGGGGTGTGCTTCTTCCACAGGTCCACGATCGAGATGTCGTACCTGCGCGCCGGGAGCGGGAGGAGCCAGTGAGGCAGGCAGGCTGGGCGCGGTCGGGGGGCGCTGGTGCGGCGCGGCGGGCGCTGCGGGGTGGCAGTGGGCTGGCGTGGGGGTCATGGCGGGCGAGGTGACTGCGCAAGGGGCTCACTTGGCGCCGTAGAGCGACTCGATGGCCTCCTTGACGGCGCGCGCTGAGGCGCGGTGGCCACCGCCGGTGTCCGAGATGAGCATCATGATGCGCGGCTTGCCCGATTGGCGCTTCTTCTGCGAGGCGTCGGTTCCGCGGGGCAGGAGGTGGGATCCTCGGCCGCGTGATGCCGGTCGCGGGTGAGGGGCATGGCGGAGGGCAGGGCTGGGTGCGCGCGGTGGGTCGCGGACCTGGGGGCCAGACGGGTTATGCGCGCTGCGGCCGCCAATCAGCGAGCTGGCGAAGGATCCCCCTGGAATGCTTCCCTGCGGCGCGCAGACGGCGGGGCGGGAGGCGCGCTCAGGGACTTGGAGAAGGCGTGCGGACAGAAGCGTCGGCACGGCGCCGTGGGCGCATGGCGAGACGAATGCGCGGCCGATTTCGGCAGGGAGGATGTATTTGAGGGCATCAATGGGCGATCCAACGCTTCCCCCGCGGGCTATGACGGTACACGCGGCAGAAGCCTCGAGGTCGAACTAGGCGGTGGTGTAGCGCGAAATTGGGGGCGTTCGTGACGCATGTAACCGACGATTTCGCGAACGTGGTGCCAATCCGCCATGGTGTCGCGCTGGAGATCGCGAGTTCGGCATCTACGACACCGCGCCACGCGATCCGAAGCTCGGCTCCCCTTCTGGGGGAAATCCGCGCCCGCCCAATCGCGCGCATAGCCCCGCCCGCAAGCGCCGGAGCCGCGTGCACGCACCCACAGGCCGCCGCCGAGGAAGCTTCCGAGGCCAATTGACCGCACGAAGCTCCGCCACCACGACTGCGTGCCCACGCCCTTCACGCGCACCCCATTCGAGCCTCCGGCCTTGCCAGGACCCATGCGCGTCACCTGCCGGCTCGCAGTCGACGAGCTCTTCGGCACGGCGTCGCTGTGCGACCCCCGGCGCCGCAGCCCGGCCGACGCAGTCGCCTGCGTGGCAAGGCCATAGGCAACGCTCTTAGCCATACCGTCCATTGTATTGTCCGTATCTGTCGTTGGATAAACTTCGTTCTTTGTCACAGACGCGGATCTGCCCGGGCGGGCGGGCGGCGCCGCTGTTGTAGGCGCGGGGCGCCTCTGGCCGCTGGTTCGTCACACCCCTGCCCCGGTGAGACCAGTGCCTGAGCGTGGCGCGGACCGGGCTCCTGGAGCCGCACGTCGGGTCACCATCGCGCGCGGCGGCGAGGACTTGGTGTGAGCTGGCCGGCGAGAGCGTCACCTTGGCAGTGCGGCGGCGTTGATAGTGCTCGAGGCGGCGAGAGAGAGCGCAGGTGGGGGCAGGCGAGCGGGGGGTGGGGAACATGGCGGAAAAGAGGACGATGCTGACGATAGTGGCCGCCGATGGGCAGCTGTTCGAGGTACGCGCCCCGGGACCGGCCGCGCGCGGCCCAGAGCGGCCGCGCGAGACGCTACTCAGGGCAGCGGATCGCCCCGCGCTGGGCGGCACGGAGCGCCGTGGGCGCGCTGTCGTCGCTGGTGCTGGCAGCTCTGGGGTCGAGAAGGGCACGGGGCGTACTCTATGGCGCCGCGCGCCGATTGCGTCGACGGGTCGTGCGTACAGCTCATGTTCTGTTGCCCAGGTGGCCCGCGGGCGCTGCGAGCTCACCGCTGGCGCTGCTCGGTGCCGTTCGGCGCGCTGCAGATTCCGAAGGATTTGGCGGTGAACGGCTCGGAGGTCATCAAGCAGATGCTGGAGGAGATGGACGACTCGGACAGGGTGCCAATCGAGAAGGTGTGGTTCCCGTCGCGGCGGGCTGCCCTGCGAGGCTGGCGTGCGGATGCGGGCGAAGTTTCGTCGCCTGTGGCGCACGTGGTCGCGGACAATCCCCTTGACGACTAGCCGGCTGGACAGATACGGGATGCAGCTCCTTGCTCACCGCTGTGCGCGCGGGTCGCTCACCGTCGCCGCAGGTGGACGGGAACATCATGTCGAAGATCGTGGAGTTCTGGAAACTCATGAGCGACAAGGAGAAGGTGCGAGCGACCACTGCGCCCGCGCCAGGGCCAACGAGAGCCCTTCACGAGGCCAGCAGCTCGAGAGGACGCGCCAAGCGCTGTCTGCGGCAGCGAGTCGCGTGCCAGCAGCGCGCCCGACGTCAAACCCAACCGCTGCACCTCCCTCTCGGTCTGCAGTCTGAGGAGGACCTCAAGGTGTCCACCGCGACCTTCCTAGGATCAATGAAGTACTCAATGATCATCGAAATCATGATTGCCGCCAACTTCATGAACGCCAAGGTGCGCCTCGCGCCGCCCCGCCGACCCCGCCCCGCCCCTGAGCCCCGGCAACGGCCCGCACAGGCCCGCCGAAGCGCCCGTCGTGCTCCCATGCCCCGCAGTCCTTGCTCGAGGCGTCGGTTGGGTTCTTCGCCAAGCGCATCGCGAACAAGACGCCGGACGAGATCCGCGAGGAGCTGGGCATCCAGACTCCCTTCCTGGAGGGCGAGATAGAGGAGGCGATGCAGACGAACAAGTGGGTGTTTTTGAAGCGGGACGGCGAGGACGGGCCGTCGGGGAGCGCCGCAGCCGGACGGAGCGGCGTGTCGGGGGCAGGCGGGTCCTGAGGTGGCGCGGGGCGCCCGCGCGGCGGGAGCCCGCGGGCGGCGCACGGCCGCCGGCACGCGCTTTTCGAGAGCTGCGTCGCAAACGCTGGCCGCGCTCGGCGGAGGTGGCATGCGAGGGCCATGCTGTGAGCGCGACTCGAACGATCCGGGAGAGCGCGGCGCAAATCACACCGTCGTAGCACAATGCGCAGACGACAGCGTGTTTGTTCGCTGCCCGGTGGTGTGTGGAAACTGCAGAAACAAAGCCTCTGCGGATCCGGAGCCAGTGCACGCCGACGAGGCAGGTCGCTGAGGTGAGGTGATGCGGTGATTCAAGAGGCGCGCGCTGCTGGCTCGGGCCGACAAGCAAGGCGCACTTGTCCGCTGCCAACGCCGCTGTTTATGTTCACAATGTTAGTCAGGCAATGCGTGGTGCTCCTGCCCCCAGGCGCCTCGCTCGATGATCCCCGCGGCCTCCAGCTCGGCCACGAACTCGTCGCCCGTGCACGGGGGCGGCCACGAGAAGAAGAACCCGTCCAGCATGGCCTGCTCTGCTGAGACGCGCTTTGACGGTGTCACGCGCAGCAGCGCCGCCAGCAGCTCCACGAGGCCCTCGGGCGCCCGCGGGATCAGCCGTCGCAGGCGTCCCACGGTCGCTCGCTGCCCGCCGTCGCCGGCGGGACCCTCCCCCGGAGGACTGTCGGTGTCGGCGTTCGTGTCGGGCACCACGACGCGGCCAAAGTCCGGGAGGTCGGCGGCTTCAGGCCACTCCGCGAGGTCCACGGATCCCATTTTTGATAGCACGATGCACAGCTGCTCGATGTCGCCGCCACCGGGGAAGAGGGGGGCGTTTCGAAACAGCTCCCCTATCACGCACCCCGCGGCCCACACGTCGACTGCGGGGCCGTACTGGTGCGCGCCGTACAGCAGCTCGGGAGCGCGGTACCACCGCGACGCCATTCCGGCCGTGTACGCGGGCCGCGCGGCCCCGGCCGGCGGCGTGCCGGCAGCCATTCGGGCCAGCCCGAAGTCGCCCAGCTTGATCTCTCCGCGAGCCGAAACGAGCAGGTTGGCGGGCTTGACGTCTCGGTGAAGGACGCCGGCGGCGTGGCACGCGGCGACGGCGCGCAGGACCCCCCAGGCCACGTGCTTGAGCGCGGGCAGCGAAAGGGCCCTGTCGCCCGACTGCTGCCGGGGCGAGCCGGGGTGCAGGGCGCCGCTGCGGGCTGCAGGTGCACCGCGGCACCGTGCGAGGATGTAGGCCAGGCTCGCTGGGCAGAACTCCATCACGATGTGCCGCGCATATCTGCAAAAAAGGAAAGCGAAACACCAAATCATGATTCGGAACGGTACCGGGCAGTTTGGTGCACCGGCTCGCGCGGCTCGCTGTCAAGGGTGCTGGATGGACGCGAGAACGGTTCGATCGATGGAGCAGCAAGCAGACCGCCAGGGGCGGGACAGAGGCGAATGGCGTTGCGGGCGCTCGGCACCTGCCGGGGCGCTCGCCGATGATGTTGACGACCGACCGATGCCTCGCCGCGCGCATGGTGGCGATTTCGCGGTCGGGGTCCGGCTGGATGATGTCGCGGGAGGGCTGGCGATGGTACAGGCGCTTTACTGCCACCCTGCGCGACGACCAGTGCGGATCACATCGCGATGGATACGCCACGTGCGACAGCATGTGGACTGAAGCGATGTAAGCAGGTCAACGCAGCGGCACGAGTCCCCAGCGGACGGCACGGGATCGCAAACGCACCCGGTTACGAGCTGCGCTGCCGCTGCGGCACACGGGGGCGCGACTCTCGCTTCATTCAGGGATCATTCGCACCTGATCCCTATTCTCGTGTCTCTGGCCAGCCAGACCTCCCCGAATGCGCCGCGGGCGATGAGTTTTTCGACGGAATAGTGCGGACCAACAGCCTCGGCCACATCCTCTTCTGCGACGTGCATCGTGCGTGGCAATGGCCACCAGGTCCCTCACCGTCGACTACAGATGCATGTCCGCCGCATCACGGGGCACTTCACGCCCCGCTTGTGCGCAAGCGCGCCGCTCTACAAGCACCCATCTGCGGCGCGCGCTAGCACAAGCCACGGGTGTCCTGGACGCCGATGACGCAAGAACGGCCGCAGTGGTTCGACGGAAATGCACCAACGCGCTCCATCGGCGCGCTTACGAGCCGCAGGGACCCCTCCAAGGCCCCGGGCCGCCCGGCCTTGGGGGGTGCGGTGGGTACAAGGGGGAGTGGACGGCGCGTGCCCGCATGATCGTCATGCAACCAGGCGACCGATGCCATCGCGGCATCCCGCGCCGGCGTGGGTTTTTCCGGCGACCGTGGTGTGGTACTCGGAGACGCCCTGGACCGTGAACTGCGCCAGGGTGCAGGGCGAGGCCCCGCGGGCTAGATGTTGCCGCCGAGACAGCGCCTCGTCGAGCGTATCTTCACGCGGGAGTTGCCCGCCCCCCTCTGAACGTTGCGTTGTGGCAGGCAGAGACGGCGGCACTGCTGGTGACGCCGCGAGCGACGGAAACGACATCCACTGATCGATCGCGTGGCCGGAGGGGATGAACGCAGGGCACGACCAGCGGCCCTCGAACATGCCTGGCGCGCAGGTGCGCCGGTGATCTCGCCGGAGGGCGCCTGCACGATGAAATGAAATGCATTGCATTAATTCATTACTTTCTGCCCATCGGTCTCTGACAGATCCTCCGCGTGAGTGCGATGACGTCGGTGAGTTGACGTCGCGGCCGTAACGCTGGACGCTCCCTAGTGTACGCGGTGGGCGTGGCGAGGCACCCATAGCGGTTCGCACGCTCGGCCAAGGACACCTCCCCCTGACAGCAGCCACCTGCCCCCAGACGTCGTGGGCCGCACCGAGCAAGCGTATGGACGAGGTCGCGAGGGGGGCGGTGCGGGTGCACGGTGGCGGTCGCGTGCGCGCATGATGCTGCGCTGCAGGGGCGCAGTCTCGCCTGCGCAGGCAGCTCTTGCATTATGTGTGCCGCAAGGGCGCCCGGACGGGGGCGCGACCAGACACGACGCGGGCGACCATGACGCGGGGTTTCACACGGCCCGTCAACATCCTTGAGAAGAATTGCAAGTCTCGCTAAGCATACAACCCACCTCACCCACAATGCATCCGCTCCATCCCCGCCGGCAGCACCGGTCCGCTGCCCTCAACGTCCCACCGATGCAGACGGTCCGCGACACTCTGTTCCAGCGTCCCCGTCAGATTCTCGCACCCTCGCACATACAGCTCCTCCAGCGCGTGCAGTCCCCCCGGCAGGCTCCGCATGTCGCTACAACGTGCATCCAGCACCCGCAGCCTCGCAGCACCGCCCAGCACCTCCGCCGCGTCCTCCCAGTCCAGATCTTTGCACCATTCGACGCCCAGCTCCTCCAGCGCGCCCATGCCCCTCGGTAGCTTGCGTACGTTGCCGTGTGAGGCTTTCAGCACTCGCAGCCTCGCAGCGGACGACGCGGGCAGGAACGCCTCGCCGTCCAGCTGCCTGCAGCCACTCACGTCAAGCCTCTCCAGCGCCGTCAGCCCCGCGGGCACCCTCCTCACTGCAGGGCACCAACGGACACTCAGCCTGCGCAGCCTCGCACAGACCGGCGCCGGCAAGAAGCCCTCCGTGATTTCTCCCGGGAAGCCGCTCAGGTCCAGCTCCTCCAGCGCCGTCAGCTCCTCCGGCACCCTCCGCAGCCCAGCGCTGTCAACCCTCAGCACGCACACCGTGGGAGCGTTGCGCAGCGAGCCGACGTCCAGCGAGCCGCAGCCTCTCACGTCGAGCTCCTCCAGCGCCTCCAGCCCCTCAGGCACCGCCCGCATCCCCGTGTGCGGAGCATTCAGCACCCGCAGCTCAACGGCGCCCGTCAGCGCAAGCTCAGGCACAAGCCCCTCGCACCCAGCGACGTGGAGCTCCCGCAGCGCCCGCATCCCCGCAGGCAGCCTACGCAGGGCACTGGACTCGGCGCGCAGCACCCGCAGCCCCGCGGCGGACGACGCTGGCAGGCACGCCTGGTCCAGGCTCCTGCACTCGCGCACACTCAGCTCCTCCAGCGCGCACATCCCCTCAGGCACCCTCCGCAGGCTGCTGTAGTCGGCCGTCAGCACCCGCACCCGCCGAGCGCTCGACGCGGGCAAGAACGTCCAGCGATCCAGCTTCAAGCACCAGCTGACGTCCAGGACCTCGAGCGAGGCCATGCCCTCCGGCACGCGCTTCAGCACTGTCCCGCCCACCCTCAGCTCTGTGATGCCCGCCGCCACGCCCGCAGGCAGCCACTCCCGCCCCCACATACCCTCAACGTCCAGCCCATACACTGCCACGTCCACGTACCGCAGGCCCGTCATCTCCGCCGTCACCGCCGGCGCCGACGCCAGCTCGCGCCGGCCGGCATCTGTCCGGGCCAGGGACACCAGCAGACTCCGATCTCCCGCCTCCACGCGCACCACCGCGGACGGCAGATCACTGCCCACGTCGCAAGTGCCTGCGCGGCGATGCAACCCCCACTCCCCGCGCCCCGTCGCCCATCCGACCAGCGACCTCGTCCCCTCCGACACCCGCCCCTCCAGCCGCCGCGCCACCGTCTGCCCCACCCGCTCCTCCGCACGACGGCTGCGTGCATCCCCTGACCACCACCTCGCGCCGTCGCAGCTCTCCAGCACCGCAGCCATCATCGCCGACGACGTCGCCGCCAAGGCGATGCGCGACTTGCGCGACAGCTCACGGATGACGCTGGCCAGGGGACCGTCCCGCCCGCACTGGATGTCCTCCAGCTGATACGGGGGGCCTGCGCAATGTGAGCGCTCGCAGAGCGCGCCAATGTCGCTGTGCCGTCCCCGTGGCATGATGCTGTGATCGCTGCAAGCTACCATGTCGCGTTCCCGCACCCGTGCGCCGCTTCCTGCGCCCACGGAGACAGCGAGGGAGGTGGGCCATCAATCGTTGTCGTCCGGCAGCGGCGACGCGCTGCCGACATAGAGCCGTGCTCTGCTGATACTGAGCGTCGCAGTGACACGCTTGACATCCGCCTCGAGCGCGGCATGAGCACGCGGCAGCGCGCCAAGTACCTAGGCAGCGCTGCATCGCCAGCGGTGCCGCATGCATGCGCGTTCCGGACACGCATGTGCAGCGCCGCACTGCCAGCAATATACTACGTACGTGTGCACGCACAAACCTGTTCACCGTCCGCAAACGCACGAGGCTCCTGCTGTTCCCCACTGCTTGCTAGTGCTGGACGAGCGGGTGCGCTGGGCTACGGGCCCGCGCGGTCGTGGCGGTGACGCCGAACCCCCCGCGATGTGTGCGGCCGGCGCGGCGAGGAGCTCAGATCGGCTCACACGCGCTCAGTTGAGGACACCTCCCCTAAAGCAGGACGAGCATCACGCCGGAGAACCTCGACGCGAACCTCGACGCGCTGATGCGGCTCGCGGCCGCGCGCCCCGCCTGACGTGGCAGACTGCACGGGGCAAGGCGTGCGCGCGGAAGTACGGCATCGACTGCACAATCGCCGTGGCAAGGCCGTCGATCCCTCAACACCGCCCGCACGTTCGGCGCCGGACGCCGGACATGCATCGGTCACGCCTGGCATGGACTACCTACGCCACGGCCACCAGCGGCTGCGACTGGCTTCTGGAGAGCGACGACGCGGGCCGCACGTGCGGGTGCATGTCGATCGCGTTTCCTAAGTGCTCCTGCGCGCGTGTTCGGTCGCGGTCGTGTTGTAGCGCTGTGCGGGCCTGATGACAGCTGCGTCCGGTGGGGATGTTGCGCCGTGCTGCCAACGTCCGTCGCCTGCTGTCGAAAGATGGCTGTTCCCTGCAGCGGGGCGTCGCGGGAAGCGAACACCAGCCACTGCTGCGGCCCAAACAGCTACGAAGGAGGGACGCACTCTAGACATTGATTTTCATATCTGAAAGTCGTCAACATTGAAATGCTGCGGGACTCGCCGAAACCCCCCCCGATGTGCGCAGGCTACATCGCTTTTCGGCGGAGCACCGCGCGCCTCACATGGATGATTCTCGTCCGCGGGCCGACTCACGCACCATGATCGCGAAGCTCGGCGTTTTGGTGCCGATCCGGCCCGCGACGCTCGCGACCGCGCAGGAGGGCTTGCTGGCGCTGAAGCGCGGCCTGGACTCCGATCCCTCGGCCAGCTATCGCCTTTTCATCGGATACGACGACGACTGTCCCTGCCTATCGGGCAGCGTCGTCGCGAGGAAGCAGCTTTGCAAGACCCGAGGAAATTGCAAGTATGTTGCACTTCCTCGGAGAGGCCAGGAGCCGTTCCGCGCCTGTCGGGCGTGGTCCCTCATGGCGAAGGCAGCGTACGAGGCTGGCTGCGACGTCACGGTCCTCCTCGGCGACGACGTCCGCGTGCTGCGAAGTGACTGGTTTCAAGAAGTGCGGCGCTCGTTTTCACACGGCGTCGTTTGCGTGGCCATGAGGGAACAGCAGGCTCCAGCGTGGCCGTGTTTCATCGCGGTCCAGAAGGCCCACTTCGACAGACACGGAACGATGCTCCCGGGCGCCTTCAACAACCAGGAGGGAGACCCTTTTCTATGGGAGCTGTATCGCAGATCCGGCAGCGTCGCCTGGACCGAGCACATCTTGCTGGTCAACGGGCGCGGCGGCGTGCGCAACGGCCTCACCCCGCTGCTCGGCCCTATGCGCTACCGCCCGATCCACTACCCCTGGCGGCGCCCGATCCTCAGAGGCGGCCGCAGCATGCTGGACCAGTGGCTCGCGCGCGGGCCGCAACCAGCCGAGGTCGTCACCATGGACGTCGCTGTGCCCTGCTTCAGGGTCGCGGAGGCCCTTCCGCTCTTCGAGAGCCTCCTGCGGCTGCGCGTCCCCGCCGGAATGGACGTGCGCTTCGTGCCCGTGATCGACGCGCCGAAAGGACTCGCAGGCGTCGACGCGGCGACGGTCGCGGCGCTGCGGCGCCTGGAGCTAGCCGACCCGCGCTTCCGCGTCCTCGTCAACGACGGCAACAGGGGCGCGAGCTTCTCGAGGACGCGGGCGATGCAGGCCAGCCACTCTGACTGGGTGTTGTACCTCGACGATGACGTCATGCCGGAAGAAGACCTGCTGGAGAGGTACTTCGAGGAGATCCAGGCTCACGGGAGGCGCGCCGCGGGCTTCGTCGGCTCGGCGCGCATCGGACGGGGCGCCACGGCCGCGGAGGCCGTGGCGGGCGACGGAGTGCACGCTTCCGAGGTAACGTACTTCTGGACGATCGCAGAACGGCAGAACCCGGTCCCCTGGGGCGTGACCGCGAACCTCCTGCTGCGGTGGCAGGACGGCCTGGCATTCGACGAGCACTTTCCGCGCACGGGGGGGGGTGAGGACATTGACGTGTGCATCCAGGCCGTCAGACGGAGCGGGCTGCCGCTGCTGGCCGCTCCCAGCGCCGTCGTGTACCACCCGTGGTGGCCGTACATAGTCGGCCGGGTTCCAGTGTGGGCGAGGTTCTACCGCTGGGCCGTGGGGGACTCTCTGCTGCAGGACAAGTACCCCTGCTACACCTACCGCACGTGGCCTGACGCAGCGGAGCTGTGCCTCCTCCTGACGCCGGTGATGGCGTTCATGCGTCCGGCGGCCGTTCTCGGTGTCCTGTGTGCCGTGCTGTGCGGAGACGCGGTGGGGTCGGCACTGTGGGTGTACGTCAACGTGGACAAGGTTCCCTGGCTGTCGGGCGCGCGCAGGGCCCTAGCCGCGGTCGAGTCCATCGGGCCCCGCTGGGCGTCCGAGGTCGGGCATCTCGTCGGCCACCTGCGCCGCGGGCGGCCGGACAACCTTATGCGCCGCTTTGACTGGTTTCTGGGCACGAACGACACGGGACGGACGTATGAGCACGTGAGGGGTGCAGTAGTGGTGGTGTGCATGATCGCAGCTGTGTGGATGCATGTTGCCGTGCTGTAACGCGACAGCTGCGCGCACTAAACGGTGTTCTTGTGGACGGTCCGTCCATGCCAGGCATCAACAGTTGTGAAAAGGACGCAGCAGGCGGTCGCTCGCTCACCCGCCCACGCAGCAACATGCACGACTATGCGCGCGCCGAGCACGGCGACGATCGACGTGTCAGCGGACGCAGCGATCAACACAAGCAGCCTCGCACAGTTAGGCGTTGCCGGCAGCGCCAGGAAGAAGCCCTCCGTGATTTCTCCCGGGAAGCCGCTCAGGTCCAGCTCCTCCAGCGCCGTCAGCTCCTCCGGCACCCTCCGCAGCCCAGCGCTGTCAACCCTCAGCACGCACACCGTGGGAGCGTTGCGCAGCGAGCCGACGGCCAGCGAGCCGCAGCCTCTCACGTCGAGCTCCTCCAGCGCCTCCAGCCCCTCAGGCACCGCCCGCATCCCCGTGTGCGGAGCATTCAGCACCCGCAGCTCAACGGCGCCCGTCAGCGCAAGCTCAGGCACCAGCCCCTTGCAAACTGCGACTCGCGCCTCTCCTCATCCGCGACGTCAGCTCGCCGCCGCGCCGGAGCGACGTCAGTATCGCCTCGCCCATGCACGCCGTGCCATCCCGGACCACCTGCCTCCGCACCCCGACTCAAATGTCCGTCGCGACACTCGTTGGAGTGCGCAGCGATCCCTGCGCCGCCAGCAGCCGTCGGTCCGCGATGATCTCACCAACGAGCATGCACCGCGACGTCAGGACCGCCATGCTAGCGTCACACACGGCGACAGCCAGCCAGCGCAACGCAACCGCATCCTCAGGGCACACCCCCAGCGACCACCTGTGCGCCCTCTACGCCAGCCACGCTGGCCACGACGCCTTCGGGCTTCCCCTGAGCACCCATTTCCACGCGCACGCGCTCGACTCGTCCCGCGCCCGCCGCGCCGCTCTCCACCACAGCCCGCGCCGCTGCCGACAGCACCCACCGCCGCAGCAGACCAGCCACCGGAGCCGCGCCCCTGCCGACGGCAGCAGCTTGGCTCGCCACCCACGCCTGTACCGCTGGCGACACCTCCACAGCGCAGCGCCCTTCGCTGCCCGCCCCCGCCAGCTTCCCACACTCACGTGCGACCACGGCCCGCATCTCCTCCGGCCCAAGATCCCGGAACGTCACCACGCCGTCGAGCCTCGCGAGGATCGCCTCGGAAAGGCCGGCCCGCCGTGTTCCCGACCTCTCGCCCGGCCCAGGTGGCTCCGCGCCTGGGCCCCCTCCCACGTCTGCGCCGCACGCTGCTGCCTCGCGGCGGAGCAGGTCGCCAGCCGGCTGCGACAGCTCTGCACTGCTGTCCCCCGAGTCACGATCGCCCGACGAGCGCGACGGCGCCCCCGGCGCCGGCGCCACCTCCGTCGTGCGAGGGTCGTCCAGCGAGAGCACAATCGTGGCGTGCAGGAACGATGCCGGGCGCCCGAGACTGTCCGTCGTACCCCCAGTGTCCAGAATATGCGCGAAGAGCGTCGCGATGTCCGGGTGCGCCTGCAGGACCACAACAAGGGGCCGGCGGTGCTCAACGCAGTGTCCGATGCAAGTGGGGTCAGGCCTACGTCTGCAGTGGCACAGCTACCGCGAGTGCGAGCAAGGTGCGTTGCGTGAGGTGCGCACCCGGTCGAAGTTGTCGAGCAGAATGAGTGAGTAGGGGCGCTGGCGCACTGCCTCTGTCAGCAGGCCTCCGCGGCTGTGCCCGATGTACCCCGGTGGCGCGCCGATCAGCTTCGCCACGCTCGACGCCTGCGCGAACTCCGCCATGTCCACGCGGAGCACCGACGCCTTACCGCCGTACAGCTCCTCGCCCAGCAAGCGACAAGCAGTCGACTTGCCGACGCCCACCGGCCCGCGCACCGCGAGCGCCGCTGCGGGCCTTTGCGCGTCGCCCCGCGCTCCAAGCTGCAGGTGGCCAGCGCGCACGAGGTCCACCAGCGCTCCGACCGCCTCGTCCTGCCCCACGATGGACTGCGCTACCACCTCCCGCAGGTCCGCCAGCTTGCCGTCCATCCCGCCCTCCGCCGACGCGCCCCCCGCCACAGGCACACCTGAAACTCGCCCCACAGCCTGCCACACCGCCTCCACCGTCAGCTCCGGGAGCGGCGCCGCCTCCGCAGTGCCCACGCTGTCGCGCGCCGCCACGCCCGCTTGCGTGCACGGGGCCTCGCAGCTGCCGCCGCTGCCTGTGCACCCTCCCAAGGTGCCGCGCGCAGCAGCGCCCGCCTCGCGCGCGCGGCGCACCGTGCTCGGCTCTGGCCTGTTCTGCAGCACCACGCCTTGGATGAGCTTATCAGGCGACACGTTGAGGAACCGGTGCGCGCACGACGGACACGACAACGTCGTCGCGTCCGTTGCCCACTCCGGCGGCGTCACGGGGTACGCGCAGTGCGGGCATGGCTTGGGGGGGTTGTGGGGATCTGGAGACGCCGACTGCGCCGCTGCTGCCGCTGCCGCGTAGCCGACGCCGCCGCTCCCGCCGTCCTCGTCGCTACCGCTGCCCTCGCTGTCTCCGACCACCCCGACCGACACCCGCGACCCTGGCGCCCCTTGCGACCCCTCGCCCCCCGTCCCGTACTGCCCAGGACCCCAAATCTCCAGGAATTTGCGCTTGCGCGCCTCTATCGTCTGCATGTGCCCCCAGTGGCCCGCCGCCGGCCGCTCCGGCGTCGCTCCGAACCACTCGAGCAACTCCCGCCGCCTGCGCGCCTCTTCCCACCCCTCCAACGTCTGTCCAGCAGCAGGGGCGCCCCCGAAGCCCGCGGCCGCGTCCAGCGGCCCCGGTGCGGCCGCAGCATGCGCGCCCTTCGATTTGTCGTCGTTCTCGCGCGCAGCGGCGGCCTCCGCGGCCTCGACCGAGAGCCGAAGCCGCAGGTGCGCCGCCGCCTCGTCGATGATGTCGATAGCCGAGTCAGGCAAACGGCGCCCGGGCAGGTAGCGCGGCGCGGCCTCGCACGCGGCACGGATCGCGGCCTCGGAGACCGACACGCGGTGGTGCGCCTCGTACGCCGAGCGCAGCCCCATGAGGCACGCTACGGCGCCATCGACGGAGGGTTCTTCGACCATGACTTTCTGGAGGCGGCGCGCGAACGCGGCGTCGTTCTCGAGGTGCTGGGAGTACTCCTGGAGCGTCGTGGCGGCGATGCAGCGCAGCTCGCCGCGAGCGAGGGCCGGTTTCAAGAGGTTGGCTGCGTTCATGCCGCCGTCGGCCTGCCCGGCGGACAGGACCATGTGGCACTCGTCGATGAAGAGGATGACGTTCGTGTTGCGCTTTACGTCCTCGACAATGCCCCTGCGAAGACACCGGGGTCGCCAGGCGGGCGCGTCGCGACACACGTGCAGCGGCACGACGGCAGATGGACAGGCACGTGCCGCGCGGGGCCGCGTGCCCGCGGCGAGCGGACCTGATGCGGTCTTCGAAGGAGCCGCGGTACTGCGTGCCGGCGACGAGCGAGCCCACGTCGATCGACACCAGCCGGCACCCCAGCAGCCCCGGCGGACACGCTCCGTCGATTCCGGCCAGGATGCGGGCGACGCCCTCGGCGACCGCGGTCTTCCCGACGCCCGGATCGCCCAGCAGAAGGGGGTTGTTCTTCGTCCGGCGCAGCAGGATCTCGAGGACACGCGTGATCTCCGCCTCGCGGCCAATCACGGGGTCAAGCAGCCCAAGCCTGGCCTCCTGAGTCAGGTCGCGCCCGTACTTTTCCAGGTACCTGCGTATGATGTTTTGGAGCGTCGCACAATCGCTGCTTCTCACCACAGGCACCGCGCGGTGCATCCAATTAGGGTGCAGACAAGTAGGTCCGCGCCGGGGGGCCCTCAGCGCATGTGACCGAATTTGAGCCAGCGCGAACGATTTCGAGACTCATATTCAGTCCAAAACAAGGAAGATATTCGTGCGGTAATGCCACTCCCGCTGCCGTCGCCCCTGGGAAAGCAATGCGGGGGAAGCACGCGACGTGCGACGCCAGGGTCGCCTCGCGGGGGCGACGGCGTCTCGGGCCGCTGTTCCGGGCAGCAGAAAACGAACGCTTTGCAAGCGGATGCGCTGCACACCTCCCACGCTGCTCGACTCGCGACCTCATAGGGTGCCCCATCTCCCCCATTTCCCGCTCGAATCCGGCCCCCGAGTCGCGGCAATCTGGTGGAACATCCTCGTCCGGCGCAGCAGCGCCGGCGATGTGTCGAAGTCCAGGGCCCACGGCACCGCTCCGGCGCGCACCAGCCCCCTCCGCCAGCGACCCGCCCGGCCACGGAGGCACAGGGCGCTCCGGGGCGCGGTTGCGGTCGTACGCGGCCGTTGGAAGCCACCTCAGCCCCGCCACTGCCTCGCTGCACGTCTGCTGCGATTCCTGCGCCAAGTGGCCCCAGGAGCCAGCGACGCCGCGCGCGGGTGTCCGCACGAGAGCGTTGCGCACCCCTCGCATCGCTCCGTGACCCGGACGCAGCGCCCGGGCGCAGAGGCTCGACCCTGTGGGTCAACAGCACGTACGAATGTGCACTTTCGTATGCGGCAACGCGTCAAAGTGAAGTCGAATTGAAACGGCACGATCTCTGGACACCCCCCCTGCCATGACGCGAGTTCTCGCTGGCACCTACGAGCCGCCCCTCAGCAGAGGCGTTCACGGCACGCAGCGCACAGCAGGCGCGGGCGCGGCTGCGAGCGTCCGGGGCGACGGCGACCATCGACCACACCTCACACCCCTGCTGCGCGCGCAGCACCCGCACCGCACCCGTCGCCCCCCATGATTCCCTCTTTGTTAGCAGCACCCTTACCCGCCTCATCGGCCCGTGGCCGCCTTTCTCGAATACCTCCTTCTCTCCCGCTGCACTGAGACACCCCCTCACTCGCTGTCAATGACATACACCTCCCGCCCTCCCCGCCTGCGCGCGGCCCCGCCACGCCCCCTAACGCCCCCCGCGACCTTCCCGCGCCGCCTCGTCGCCACCCCGCCGTCGCTGTCGCTCCCCTCGCCGTCACTCGAGTCGAACGTCAGCGTGCGCGTCCGCCGCCCAGCAGGCGCCTTCTTCTTCGCCGCAGCCGCCGCGCCCCTGCGCCCAGCGCCGCCGCCGCGCTTCGCGCCGTTGCCGTTCCGCGCCGCTCCCTCGCTGCAGTCCTCCGTGTCGCTCCCGGAGTCGGTGGCAGACGTCGCGGCGCGGTTCGAGCGGGCCGACGGCCGCCGGCTCTGCCGCCCCGCGTCGCGCTCGCCGCTCGAGCGCGCAGCCTTGTTGCTCCGCCCGCCCCCGCTGTCCTCCAGGTCCTGTGCCGCGCGGCGCTTGCGCCCCCCGCTGTTGTCGGCGTCGAGCGGTGTGGCGGCCTTGCTGGGCTGGCTCTGACTCTGCTTGCGCGGACTAGTGTACTCGATGCCGAACGCGTCCATGTCGTCGTCGGTGTCGTCGCTGGAGCTGACCCGCTGCTGACGTTTCGCGGCAACAGCTGCCGCAGCGCGCTGCGGGCGGCGGGCCGCCGCGCCCTTGGGCGCCTCCTGCTTGCCCGCCCCGCCCCGGCGCTTCGCCACGCCCTGTGTGCGCGCAGCAGGCTTCCGGCCGGGGCGTCCCTTGGGCTGCTTCGCGGGGGAGGGGGTGTCGGGCGCTGAGTCGGGTGCATCGTCCCCGCTGCTGGCCACGCAGTCCTGGCTCGCGAGGTCCTCCTCGGTGTCCTCTGCGGAGTCGTCCTCGTGCTCCTCCTCCTCGCTGCTGGAGCCGCTCGCCACGTCGTCGGAGCTCGGATAGAGCTCCGCAGCAGCCACCTTCTTCGGACGGCCCCGGCCGCGCGCGGCGGGCTTGGCGGCGCCGCGCTGGCGCGCAATCTCGGCCTTCTTTTCCTGCACGGCCTTCACGGCCTTCCTGCGCGGGATGAAACGACGCGAACGAGACACCTGAGCCCCCTCTCCAGGCACACACAGGTAGGCACATGTCACGTGCCTAGCGCGGGGTCTCTAGGCGCGACTGTGGAGCGAGGGCGACGCACTGGAAGTACCCGCCACCGAGCTTGGTTTGCTTCGTCCCGGCCTTGACGCCCCCCCTGCGCTTCGCCACCACCTGCACCCCCTCGTCGTCGCTGCCGCCGTCGCTTGAGCTGCTGCTGCCGGAGCCGCTCCCGCTCCCGTCTTCGCTGCCGGACGACGCGCTGTCCTCGGACCCAGACTCGTCGACGCTGATCGGAGACGCCCCACGTCGCTTGATCTGCACAGCCACACCAGGAGCCAAACCGGACGCGACAGCACGGTCAGACGCACGCAAACGGCGCCTCTGCGATGACACCGTCGCACAAACACCCGCGGCGGGGAAGGGGCGGAAAGCTGCACGGCCACGCAACAACGACACAGGCAGCACAAGATGCACCGCCGGCCACCGCCACGCACTCGCCCGGCGCGGGCGCGCACCTCGGGCACCCGCCCCTCCCACTCCTCCCCGTCGCTGTCCGTCGCCTTCCGCGCCCGCTCCGCCTCCGCCGCCGCGTGCCGCATCGCCTCTTCCATCTGCTGTGCACGATCCTTGATAGCGCCCAGAATATCGTCCTTCGCCTTATCGGGGGGGATCACGATGCCGATGATCCGGCTGCCCCCGCCGCCGATGACGTTCTCCACCGAGCACCGCGCCACCTCGACGTGCCGGTTCTTGGCGTACAGCCGCCTCAGCGAGTCCTCAATCAGGTCCCACAGCGACAGCACGACGCCGCCGAGGAGGTACCTGCGGATGATGCGATCGCCCCGGAACTTCTTGATCTTGAGCTTCTTCGCGAGCTCGATCTCGGCCTCGTCCGCGGCCTTGGCCTCGGCCATGTCCGGGATGGTCTCCACCGCTGGCGAGGGCTCGGGGCCGTGCACGTGCGCCTCGGGCGACAGCGCGTCCGACACCACCGCGATGGCGTGCTTGCGCACGCCCGGCGTGCCCGCGGGCGGCGTCGCCGCGGGCGCCTGCTTCTGCGGCGTCTTCGTGGCGTCGCCGTCGGCCTGCTGCTGCTCCTGGGAGCCGACGAGGTCCGTGGCGTGCTCCTTGTCGGTCATGTCGATGAGCTCGCCGCCCGGGGGGCCGCGCTCGTCGAGCGGGAGGTTGCCCTCGGCCCACTGCCACTCCCACATCTTCTGCGCCTGCTCGAGGGTGCATTTCTCGTAGATGCGCTCGAAATCGGGGACGTGCTTGCGCTGCTGGATGCAGTTCTTCGGCCGCACGACGACGAAGCCGGGGTCCTGCGAGCGGACGCGGGCGGGAACGGTGGCAGCGTTAGCAGTGCTGTGCGGTGCGGGGACAGAGACGGCAGACGCCCTCCCGCGAGCAGCGGTCGCGCAAGACGACACGCGCAGCGCGACGCTCCGCGCGGCATGCGAGCCCGCGCAGGCAGGGCGCTGCAGGCAGACGGGAGCAAAAGCCTGCCCTGGTCCCAAAAGCCTCATGGTCCCGCGTGCCGCCTTCCGCCACGTACCTTGCCGAGGAACAGCTCCTGCTTGTACGCCGCGAACGCCACGAGGTGCTTCAGGGGCCCCGTAGCGCCCACGATCTCGTTGCGCGACATGTAGAAGCCCGTCTTGTACGGGGCCGTCTCCCTGATGTCCGCGGGGATGCCGAGGCCCCGCGCGGCCAGAAACTCCCTCCGCTCCTTCGCCGTCTTCTTCTCCTCCGCGCGCGCCTCCTCCAGCGACGCCAGGACCGTCTCCCAGGACACCCCCCGGTCAATGACCACCTCATACAGCGTCGCGGGTGCGCCCGACGTGGGGTCGCGGTACAGCGTCTCGGGCTGGCGCAGGAGACGCACGCTGGTGCCGCGGAGCTCGGTGATGCCCTGGTCGTACCGGCCCTCGCGCTTGGCGCGGCGCACCTTCTCCTCGACGCACTGCTGGAAAAAGTCGAACAACTGCGTCTGCTCGGCCTCGGGGAGCCCGAGGAGGCGGTTCAGGAAGCGGTTGACCTGGCCCTTCTCGTTCTCCTTCACGGCGACCGTGCACGACCCGTCGTGGGTGCGCAGGCATGGGCGGCCGCGGACCGACTTCGGGAGCGAATCCGGGTCCCCGATCGAGGGCATGGAGGGGGGGACGGAACCCGGGGGCAGGAAGTTGCGCGGCGGCTCGATCTTCGCGATGCCCATGACGGCGATCAAGTACCGGCACTCCTCGTAGAACTCCCGCGCAGGCAGCTCCGGCTCGTCACCCTGCACATCAGAGAGGCGGGGCGAACGAGGGCGGAACGGTGGGCGCGAGGGGGGCGTGACCGAGCGGCGTTGCGCGTCTGCGGAGCGAGGGTGGAGGCAGCGTGTGCTCCTGCATGCATTGCACAGCAGCGACGCGCCACAGGTGCCCGCAGGCGGCACGGGCGTCACCTGGCAGTCGCGCGGCGTGACGAAGGCCGACCCGCCCTCGATGATCGCGGTGTACATCTCGCGGAGCGCCCCCCGGCCGTAGTCCGTCTCGAAGTTGAACTCCGACATCGACAGGCCGAGGCCCGCGCGGCGGTCGCCCTGCGTGAGCGCGCCGAGCGACTCGAGGCGCGCGGCGACGGAGCACGCAAACCGCCGCTCGCCGCCGAGCGGCGTGAAGAGCAGGCGGTACTCGGGCGCCGACACTTGGTTCGCGCGGTGCGAGCGGCCGAACTGCTGCACCGCGCGGTCGGCGCTCCACGGCAGCTCGAGCGTGATGTGCACGCGGCGGCGCTGGTTCCGCACGCGCCGGTCGGCCTGGAGCGAGATGCCCGCGGACGCTGCCTCCGAAATCACTGCAACGTACTTCTTCCCTGCCTGGAACGCCGCGCGCTCCTGAATGTTGAGCATGTCGAGCGACGTGCCCCCGGTCGCGCCCTGCAGGCGACAGCACGCGAACGGGTGGGTCGGCCGCGCGTCCCGGCACCAAGGAGGACAGCAGCAACATGTGTGAGGACAGGGGCATCTCCACGCGCGCGGGCGGGCGGGTGGAAGGCTCACCGTGGCGTTGCGCGCCTCGTACTTGACCGACTTGCCGTCCTCGGACCGCACGAGCCGCGCCTTGCGCCCCGTCATCTCCGCCACCTGCTCCGGCCCGCCCAGCTGGTCGATCAGGTCGTCGAGCGGGTTCGCGGGGAGGTCCAGCCTCGAGATCTCGTCGAGGAGGCTCTGCCGCGTCAGCCACGCCTCGTAGTACACCGCCTCCTCCGGCGACTGCGGCACCGGCAGCTCGTACCCGCGCCCCGCGCTGTCGTTGGCCTTCTTCTCATCGTCGGCCTTGCAGCCCTGCTCGGCCTTGGCCGCGGCGTTCGCGGACCGCGAGAGCGACTCCAGCACCGTCGTGCTGATGCCGGGGTTGGGCGGCATCGGGAACCAGTCCTTCACGAGCTTCAACAGCTGCTCCTGGGGCCCAGAGATGAAGTCGTCGAGGTCCTCCACGCCCTCGTCGCGCTTCTTCCGCTCGACGGCCTCGCCGATGCGCGCCTCGCCCGTCGTCTGCAGCCCGATCACGACGCACTTCTCCGCCTCGAGGGCCTCGTTTGCGATCTTGACCAGCGCGGGAACCTTGGCCGCCATGCACATGGACCGGAAGAAGCGCTGGTGCGTCGCCCAGTACATGTTCCACAGGCGGTTGATCTTGCCCTTGCCGCCGAACGCGCGCTTCGTCGCCCGCTCCTGCAGGAGGTCCTCGCCCTGCGCCGCCGTCACTGCGTCGCCGTTGGCCGCGCCGCCGACGTCGTCCGTGCCCGGCTCGCCGGTGCCGGCGTACCGGTTCGCGATGTCGTTCGCCTTCGTGAGGACCGCGTGCATCTTGACCCAGAACCACGCCGCCTCCGTGTACATCTTGCTCATGCGCTCCTCCATCTGAACATAGTCCACAGAGAACTCCGCGCCCTTGAAGCTCAGGGTGCGGCACACGAACATGCCGCGCGCCTTCATGTCCATCGCGGTCATCTCGAGCGTCCCCATGCCGCGCGTCGTCACGCTCGTCAGGAAGGACCCGAAGTTGTGAAACGCTGGCGCGCCAGGGCCCCACAGGCCGAGCCGGACCATGTAGCCCATGTTGCGCGGCTCGCTGGCGCCGGTCGCCGAGCAGTACACCACGCGCGCGCGCGGGAGCCGCTCCTGGATCGCCAGGACGGCCAGGCCGGTCTTGGACGGCTTGGCGCTCTTCTCGGCAGGGACGAGGTTCTTGGCCTTGTGCGACTCGTCGAACACGATCAGGCCGTCGAAGTCCGGGCCGCACCACTCGACGAGCTGGTCGAGGCGCGTGTTGCACGAGCCCTCGCCGCGCCGCCCCGCCGCGTTGCCCGACACCAGCGCGCTGTACGTCATGAACACGACGCCCTCGCGCACGCCGTTGCGGGCGCTCGACAGCGGGCCGTACTCCTTCTTCTGCAGCGCGTGCACGTTGCCCGCCCGCACGATCTCCGTCGCGCCCACGTCGCGCAGGTCGCGCTCCGCATCGACCAGGAGATCCGAGGACACCGACACCCAGATGTGCTTGCGCCGGCCCCGGAGCCAGTTCTCCAGGATCATCCCCGCGATCGTCCGCCCCTTGCCGACGCCCGCGCCGTCTCCGATGAAGAACCCGCACCGGAACCCGCCCTGGAACAAGCGGTGACGTTGCAACGAGTACACGATCGACTCGAGCTGCAGCCCCGAGAGCACGCCGCTGGCGACGGCGTCGCGGATGCGGAGGCGCCGCTGGAGAGGCGCGGGCGGCGGCAGCACGGCCGCGAGCGACGCGGACTCCACCACAGGGTCGGGATGCGTCACTCCGATCATCAGGCGACGCGGAGCGTAGTCCGCGAAGTGCTCGCCCTCCTGCGACGAGGGAGCGGGTGCGGCACTGTGGGCCGGCGCGGTGCGGGCGGCGGAGGGGCGCCGTGGAGGGCGGGCGTGCGCTCGCCGCTGGCGGTGGGCACAGCGCCCACCGGTGGCGTCGTCGTCGTTCGCGGCCCAGCAGGCGCGCCGGCGGTGGCTCGCGTGGGCGGGCGCCACGGCCGCACGCGCGGCGGCGCAGTGCGCCCCGAGCGCAAGCCATAAACGGCAAAGGTGCCGCCCGCGGGCGCAACGGCAACGACGCAGGGACTCCAGCGAGCCGTTGCCGCGCAGAATGATTTCGCTCGAACTCACCAGCACGAGCTCGTCGTCGTCGCCCCCGCCGTACACCTCCTCCATCGACCGATTAAACATGCCCCCCGCCTCGGGGCTGTGCGGGGCGTCCATGCCGCGGATCGCCGCCAGGCTCCCCGGCGCCGCGCCGGAGTTCCCGAAGGCGCGCTGCGCGGCCGTCGGCGCGTCCTGCCCCGCGCGCTGCTGCGCGTGCGCGGCGATTTGCTGCGCGCGCAGCTGTCCCGTCAGCTGTTGGAACAGCTGCGGGTTCGAGGCCGCCGCGGCCACCTGCTGCTGCAGCGCTGCCTGGGCGGCCACGTACGTCCGCTGGTACTCGTCGTAGGCCTTCTGGTACCGGGTCCCGAGCAGCTGCCTCACTTGAGGGGTGATGGTTGTCACCTTCTGTTGCTTGCCGCAACGCACGCACTGGAACGCGGGTTGCTCCGAGCGGATGAACTCCGGGATGTCGCCCATGCGGACTGCGGGCGCGGGCGGGGCCGGGCGGGCGCGGGCGGGGTGAGTGCGGGCGGTGGGTAGGCCAGAGCGTGTGAACATGGACACAGTGTGGTGGGGGGCGTGGCTGCTGGGCGCCGTGTGCGGCGCAATGGTCGGGAAACGCGTCGCTGTGAGGATCGTGTACTGCGTGGACGCTCGTGGGCGCGTGGCAGCTCGTCTGGACGGCGAGCGGCGCCGCGGCGGACGCGTGGAGTGAACGGTGTGGGTGGAGGGCGCAGTGAGGTGCGCTCGTAGGCGGCGAGGAGTCCGCGAGGCAGAACAGGCGCGGAACTGTTCCGCTGGACACTGCGCGGCGCGCAGTTGCAGCGCGGGCGAGCGGCAGCGACGCGCGGCGCGAGGCGGTGCAGAGCGACATGACCCTCCAGTGCCCACTCGCCCTCACGGCGGGCGCAGGGGGTCTTCGGGCTGGACGTGCGTCCGTTTGGGCGCCAGAGGGGGTCGGGGCGCCGGCGGGGGCGCGAGTCTCGTGAAACGCGCGGAGATTACGACGCGAGGCGGCCCGAAAACGTGTTGGTGGAGTGGTGGGCTCTTAGAGGAGCGGGAACGGAGGCGCGGGGGGGCGGCGGGCGACGTACATTGCTTCTCCGTCTGGCATGATCCACATTTGACCTTCAGAGCGACGGCATCCATCACGGGATGGCCGAAAGGCGCCCCGCCGGCCATCTTGGCCTTTGCCTGCGCTCTTCTGCAGGTCCCGAGCGGAACGCGAACAGACGGCCTTGCCGGCCGGAATGTCCGCACTGGGCCGTCCTCTGTGGCGAGGTGGTCCCTTGCGAGATGTCTGCGGAGTGAGCAAAGGCGCGGGGAGTGAGCGCGCGCAGGACTTGAATTTCGGCTCTCCGCCTGGACTGGTTCGAACGCCGCGACCGGCACGGAATCGAAATGCCGCGAAACGCCTTCGATTCCACGAGGCCGAATCGAAACACGATCCGTGCGGCGCGGCGCGAGCGCGGTCATTGCGCGGTCGGGGCGCGGTCGACGCACCTCGACGCCCGCCAAAAGCGCCCTCGAATGTCCGGGCCTGCTGCGCGCCACGTGGGCCTGGGATGTCGGCCTGGACGACACCTGCGCGTACCCTAGCGCGTGACCTCCCCGCGCGCGGTGCTGCGGACCCTTCAGCCCCGGCGAGCTGCCCGCGGCAGCCCGCCTGACTCAGCGTCTGACCGACAGCCGTCACAGACCATGGCGGCCCGACCTGCACGCAACATCCGCGCGCCCGCACCGCCCGTCCCCAGCACACACCGCACGTGCGTCTCAAGGACTCCGAACCCAACGCTGCGAGCGGCACGTCGCTATTGATTGATGATCATTATTGATCACATGTGCTTGTACAAGCGCCGGAATCACTCCGGCCGCCACGCAGGAGCCGGGCGCCGACCCGCGCCGACCCGCAACGCGCTCAGAACGAGTGCTGGTACTCGGTGAACTCCACCGAGTCCATGACCTCGCGCGCGTAGTCCGCGCCGCGCGCTTCAGCGTCGAAAGGGAGGATGTCGCGGATGTCGCGACTCAGACCCGTTTCCTCCGGCACGCTCAGCACCGCGCAGCTCCACCCCGTGGCCTGCCCGCCCGCGTCCGCGGGCGCCGCGACTTGCACCGGCCGCCTGCGGGCATGACGTGCCAGAGAGCGGGTTGGTCCCCAGAGAGCAAGCGAACAGTAGACTCAACGCGTCTGGCCCACGAGAAGGCCTGGTACCGCAGTTGCAGGCGCAGAATCACCAAAGCGACCGCGGGACGACGCGAGGCGGACCAGCAGCGGCAGGAAGATGGCTGCACATGTGCGGGCAGAACACGCGGGAGGAAGGGGGAGGGTGTTGAGCGCTGGGTCGTACCTTGGGTCGAAGTATGACATGAATTTCCAGGCCCGGTTCGACTCCGAGAGCAGCCCGAGCACGCCCGGGGAGTCCGGGGACCACTTGTAGCAGTTCCGGTGCAGGAACATGGGGTCCCCGGTCCCTGGTTCGAACTGGATCATCGTGTGCGACCCCCATGCATTGCCGACGCCGCCCGCGGCCATCCCGACGAGGTGGTAGGGCTTCCGGAGCGCGCGCATGGCCATGGCCAGCGTTTCCTTGTCGCCGATGCCGCGCTCGTTGGGCACCGTCATGCGGTGGAAGAACGAGAACCGGAAGTTCTGGTACATGTAGAGGGAGAGGGCGTCCCAGTGGCGGGCCTTATCGAGGATCATGACGGAGGAGTCGTGCGTGGGGAGCGCGGGGCGCGTCGACACCACGTGCCACGAGTCCTCCGCGCTGAACGCCGGCTGCTTCGGGTCGGGCGATATGCGGAAGTCTGCAAAGGGGGAGGAAGCAACACGTGAAGATATCAAACACCGACTGCATGTGAATTGATGTGCGTTCTTCGATGTATGTGTGTACGCATGTGCATGTATCGGATGGACGCGCACGCCCGCGCGCTGCACGCGCACGCCCGCGCGCTGCACGCGCGCGCCACGGCGAGCACGGTCGCGACCCCGCGGCGTTCTCCCACACGCCCTGCCGCAGCCGGGCCCCCCACGAGGCGCGAGGCGGTCCGCGCCTGGGAGCTCGCATGCATACATCGCACCTGGATAGTAGTCGAGGAAGCGGTCGGTGTTGACGTCCGGCGGCGCGGGCGAGTCCGGCTCGACGCCGTCGTCGTCCGGGCACCCCCACGTGGGCGCGGTGGTGAACTCCATCTGGAACGTCCGCGGGTCCGCGCGCGGCTGCGGCGTCCCGTTCCAACACGTCCGGTTGTTCGCGGGATCCTCGAGCTCCCTGGCGTACGAGATGTCGCGCCACCCGAGCAGGTCGTGCGCAGAGAGCCCGAACACCGCCGCCAGCTGGCGCATGGCCATGGAGTCCACGTGATAGTACCAGTAGTCCGGCCAGAGGATCATGCCGGTGCTGTTGTACTCGCGGCTGTCGAGCAGCGCGCCGACGTCCTTCAGCGCCATTACGTCCGAGTCCAGGAATATGACTTCCTCGAATGCAGAAAACATGATCGAGAAGGCCTTGAGCGCGAACCCCACGACGGGCAGCGAGTTGCGCCGCCGGATGTAGTCGAGGTCCTCCATCGTGCGCACCCACACGCCCTGCTCCGACAGGTGCCGCAGCATGTTGCTCTTCGGCATCTCGGCCTTGGTGACCCACAGCTCGATGGGGAGCTTGCACCCGGCGTCGCGCAGGTACCGCACCGCGATCAGCGCCGTGAGCATGTACTTCTTGCCGCCGCCGGGCATGACGATGCCGCGGCCCTTGAACAGGCCGGGGGGCTTGGGGGGAGTGGACTCCAAGAACATGCCCCACTCGTACGACGCGATGATGCGGTGCAGCCGCGAGCCCGTCAGCAGGTGCTGCGCGCAGAACGACGGAGCCGAGGCCGCGAGCGATGAGCGCGACGCGGGGCGGGCGACGTGCGCCGGCGGGGCGGGGCCGAGTGTGCGCAGACGGCGGGGGGTGTTGCGCGGACCTTCCAGCCGAAGAAGTCGCGGACGTCGCGGTACTTGTTGCAGAGCTCGAGCGCGTACTTGATGATGTCTTTCCGGTTCAGCTCGTACTCGCCGTACTCGTCGAAGGTCACCGTGACGCGCTCGGGGCCCAAATACACCTCCCCGTCCAGCGCGAACTCCCCCGACCCCTCCGTCCTCACCTCGTACCGCTTCGAACCATTGACCTTCGCTTTCCTCGCCTCCTTCCGCTGCTTCGCCTCCGCGCGGTCGCGACGCGCCTGGGCATCAATCCTGGCCGACTCGCGCCCAGTCAGGTGCCCGCCGTCGTTCCTCTCCGGGACGAACTCCGCCGCTACCGCGTGGGGATTCATGCTCTTGATCGACTGGGAGAGGGCATGGAGCGCGTCGGCGCTCGCGGCGCGCTTCGAGGCCGCAGCGCGCACGTGCCGGTTGGACAGGCGGGGGTCGGAGCTCGAGCCCGTGGCGTCGGCGCGCGGGGCGCGCGGGCTGGACTTGACGAGGAGGAAGAGGACGCAGCAGACGACGAGGAGCTGGACCGCGACGAGGGCCTTGCGCGCGAGCGGCCACGCGCCTGCGCGGGCGGAGCGGTACCGCAGGGTGGGGTCCCCCCGCGCGAGCGGGATGAAGCTGCTCGCCCGCCCCGCCCGCCCGTGCCCCGCAAACCCGAACATGGCGAGGACGTCCATGTCGCTTCGGGCCGGCCGCGCGTGCCCGCACGACCCGCCCACCCGACCTTGCTGTCCGGCGAACCTCGGAGCTCTCGCGCCGACCCGCAGGGGGGGAGGCACTCTCGGCCGCGAGCTCGCGGGCAAGCTCTGCTAGCAAAGCAGCTCTGGCGACGCGAAAGTCAGCGTGGACCGGCGGGTATCTGCTGCCCTGTGGCTTGCAACTTGGGGCTGGGCTGCCTGCTCCGATTACCACTGAACGAGCTTCTCGAGCGGCATGTGACAGCGGGCCGGTGCGCTCAGCTCGATCCGGTGCCGCCCATCATCGTTTGGTGCCTGGCGGCCTCTATTCAGCGCTGAACGGCGCAATCTAGTCTCTAAAAGAGCTATGTTCCGCAGTGAGCCCGCGACAGGCACTACCTACTACGGCCGGTCGTGGAAGGCGCAAGTGCTTGCCGAGTTCTTGCCACGCAGCCTGTTCAACGCGGCACCAGCGGGGGAGGTGAGCGAGGAAAGGCTACGTAAGGCCGCCTGACCTGAATCATGCGGGAGGGGCAACAGGCGGTGCTGCTGCGCGCTTCAAGGCCCGCAAACGGGCTGTCAAAGGACACAGCATCCACGGCTACGCCTCGCGGTTGCCGCTGGCCACGCTTCAAGGGCGTGCGTCACGCGGGAGCGCAGAAGAGGCTCGAGGCAGGAGCGGAACGTCAGGGGAGGCATTTTGGGCCCAAAGCAAGGCCGGGATGGGCGCTCGGGGGAGGACGGGCTGGATGCGGCGCAGCAGCTGGGGGCGCCGCCGGACTGCACTGTGCCGAACGAGTCGTGGTTTTGCGGCCCGTCGGCGGGAGGGGCGGCCGCGGTGGGGCGGTGCGCATGTCGGGCAGCCGGCGGACCATGTGTCGGCGGGCCAGAGCGGGCGCCGACGTCCAGCGAGGCGGCTTCGGGCGCGCACGCCCCTGCCCCAGGTGGGCTCCATGGCAGGGCGCTGTGGCCCGTGGGTGGGGGCAGTCGGCGGCGCGAGCGACTCGGCGAGGCGGCGGCCGGTCTTGCGGGTCGCGCTGGGGCGCTGAACGGGCGTCGCGGGCCGCCGCGGCGCGTGCAGGCAGACGCGCTCATGTGGAGTGGTCCGCCCACAACGTCCGCCACCTCCGAGTGGCCGCGGCTCCGCTGCACGCGGCCGGGCGCCAGCGGCTGCGACAGCAGTGCTGGAAGTCGGTCGGGCCCGGGTCCTGTGCGGCGCCGCGTGGCGCCGGCCCCGCCAACGCATGCCTGGGGGCGAAGTTGACCGAGGGAACCGCGGCACGGATGGGCGGTGCGGGTGTGGATCGTAAGGACCGCGCCGCCCTTGTGCGTGCTGCTGGCGAGCGCGTCGCTGCGGTGGTAACCCACTCCTCTCATTTCGGGGCCCTGTGGAGGCGGTGTGGGGTGTCGGGGCTGACCTTGCGTCGGAAGCGCCGCCTCGGGCACGATGGCGCGGTTCCGCTCGACGCACGCGCACATGTGCAGCTCGGTCACCTCGCCGGCGCTCTGCAGAAAGGAAATCTTCCGACACGAAGCGAGCTGAGCGGTCTCCGACCCTACGGCAGCGAGGCGATCTCCCACGAACGATGCGCGGCTTGACGCTCAAGGTGGGCCGCCCCCGGCAATTTACCTCGGTTGCATTCCGTTCCGCGCATTCGCGCCCGTAGCCCCGCTCGCGCGCGCGGGCGCGGCCGGTGTGCCTGTCTCCAGGAGCTACCTCCCCCGCGGCCCCCGCGGGCCGGTTTCGCGTGCGAGCCGCGCGGCTTGAACGCACCCCATCGTGCACGTGCGTCGCCTGTTCTCGCGTGGCCTCGCTTTCGTCGCACAGCGCCGCGGCCGCCCGCCCTGGGCTGGCCAGTGCCCCTGCGCGTCTCCTCCGCACCGCTCGGCGCGGGACCCGCGCAAAAGCAGCGCGGGCCGGGCAGGCCACGATCCACCCTGCGCGCACGCGCCCAGGAAGCGCCGTCCCGCCCCGCCACGTCGTCGCATTGCGCTGTGACCTCGCCACGCATCCCTGCCCACCTCCTCGTGCGTCGCAGGCGGTTGCGGCGCGCAGCGCGCGCCCCGCGGCGCCCGCAGCGGCGAGTCTGCCGCGTGTCGGTGCGGCGCCTGCGCTGCGGGGCCCTGCTCCCGTCCGTGCGGAGCGCCGGTCCCCCGGCACGCCGTACGACCAGGACTACAGCCCCGGGTACACCCCGCAGCCCCCCGTGTTCGAGAACCTCGAGCGAATCATCCAGACGAACTTCCCCGGCGGGAACCGCGGCTGGGAGGAGGTCGAGGGCGGCGCCCTGATCCTGCGCCCGGCCTCGAAGACCCCGCGCGGGGTGGTGCACTTCATCGGGGGCGCGTTCGTCGGCGCGGCGCCGCAGGCAAGCGCCCCCGCGCGCCCCCGCCGTCGCCCACGTGCAGACGCAGCCGCTCGCGGCGTCGGCACGGCCGGAGCGCCGCACGCCCGGCTGCGTGCGCGGCCGCACGGCGCAACTGCCAGCAGTGCACCTGCGCGTGCCGCGTGGCGCGCGGCCGAACCCGCGCGATCCCGCCCCGCTCCGCGCAGTTCACGTACAGCACGTTCCTTGAGGCGCTCGCGTCGAAGGGTCTGATCATCGTCGCCACGCCGTACAACACGGGGTTCGACCACATGCGCATCTGCGACGAGTGCAACTTCAAGTTCGACCGCGCGATGATCCGCATGGGCTCCGAGGTGCGCAGCGCGCCCCCGCACGCACCGCGCGGCCCCGCACGCACCGCGCGGCGCCCCACGCCGCACCGGGTCGGCCAGCAGAGCGCCGCCAGCCGTGCAGCGCCCCGGTGCACGCGCGGCGCGGCGTCGCACCGCGCGGCGCGCACCACACTGCGTCGCCGCCCCGCGTGCTCGCGCGCGCAGTCATGCGAGCTGGCCGTGCTTTTCGACCACGCTTTTGCATCTGTCGTTCGCGCGGAGGCCCATGTCTGGCGAATTGCGCGTGTGCCGCGCAGGTGTCCGGGCTGCCCGTCTACGGCGTCGGCCACTCCCTCGGCTCCCTCATCCACATGCTCATCTGCTCGCGGTACCCGGCCCTGAGCCGCGCGGGCAACGTGTTGATGTCGTTCAACAACCGCCCCGCCACGGACTCCATCCCGTTCCTCGCGCCCGTCATCGCGCCGAGCGCGTCGCTCGTCGGGCCGATCCTCAAGCAGCTCATGGACTCGCCCGTCCGCGCCCCGGCCCAGTCGGCGTACAAGAACCTGCGCAACATGGCCCCCGGCGCGGCCAAGCAGCTCCTGCCGCTCTTCGAGCAGCTCCAGAGCATGTACATCGACGTGAGCCAGGGGCGCCGCGAGTTCATCCCGGCGCCGGAGGAGACGCGCCGCCTCCTGCGCTCCAGCTACGGTGCGCCCCGCCCTGCCCGCGCAACGCCCTGCGCGAGCGCGCCGGCTGGCCTGCGTGCCTGCCTGCGAGCCCGCCGCAGCAGGCCGAGCGCACGGAGGCCGTGCGTGCGCGACAGCGGTCCGTTGATGCCCCGCCTTTCGCGGAGAACGGAGGCGCGTGGCGGCGCGTGCGTGCGCGTGCTGAACACGGGGGTCCCGCGGCGGCCCTGCACTCGCAGGCATCCCGAAGAACCTGCTCGTGCGGTTCAAGAACGACTCGATCGACGAGACCGCGGACCTCTCGTCGCTCCTCTCCAACTCCTCGGGGATCTCCGAGGTGCTCAACATGACGGTGAAGGTCCTCCCGGGGGGTCACGAGCGGCCCCTCGCGCAGTCCTTCGTCGAGGTGCCCCCGCAGGTCGCCCGCGCGGGCTCCTCGGCCGCGGAGTTCATGTCGAAGCTCGGCCAGATGGCCAGCGAGGCCGGCGTGCCCTCCGGGCCCGGGTCGGCGCTCGACACCTTCTCCGGCGCGATGGACTACGTGTCCGACTCGCTCGCGTACACGGCGTCGGGTAGCAAGAGCTCGCGCGCGATCCTGGCGCGCGACCTGGAGGACCTGGCGGAGCAGATAGCCTTCTGGATGGGCGTGAGCGACTTCATCAGCACGCGGCCGCCGCGGCAGATCCCCGCGCCGCGGCCCGAGGCGCCGCGGACGTCGCGGTCGCCGCGCAGCCTGCCGCCCGCGGCGTACTAGGCGCGCACGCCCTTGCGGCGCGCGGGGCCGTGGCCGAGGGGCGGCCGCGGGTAGGCGCACGTGTGCAGTGTGTGAAGCATGATCGGGACAGAGCGAGGCACGATCGCAGCGATGAACTCGTCTGTTGCGCGCCCCACCATGCCGTGCGCGGCCTTGCTTTGCCCGGTGGGGAGGGGGTTGCGGGGCGACGTCGAGTGCGGCGCGATCCGCGGTCTCGACTGCGGGCGACGGAGCGTCGGTGCCGGCGGGTGCACCAGCGACGACGCGCTGTCGGCCGCGGCGGCGGAGCGTGGGCTGATGATACGACCCCCCTTGGGGCGTTCGATCAACTGAGCGTCGTTGCCGCCGGTCGGCCGCCGGTGCTCGTCCGCGCCCGGGGCAGACCGCCGTGAGTCCGCCGTCGACTGGCAGTCCGTCACATGTCCTACGCGCGAAGGCTCGCCCGCGGGCCGCGATCGTGCGCTCCCGCGCCGCTCACGCCGCCAGCCCGCCCTCGGGCGGCCCGGGCTTGAAGATCTGCAGCAGCGCCTCCCGGCCCGTGGTCTCCCACGCCTCCGTGTGCCGCACGACGCGCTCCCGGCCCCCGTCCCCCGCCAGCTGGTACGTGGTGTTGCCCCTGACGTCCACCAGGGGGTGCCACGGCAGGTTCAGGCCCGTGATCAGCCGCCACTCGGCCCTGAGCTCCACGGGAGCGGCGCCCTCCGGCGTGATCCGCGCCGGGCCGGACAGCAGGTCCACGCGCGGGTTCACCAGGAAGGGCACCAGCAGGCGGAGGTTGCTGCGCCATCGCTGCAGGCCGTTGAACTCCACCGTCGGGTCCTGCGCGCGGAGACGCACGGACACGACATGCGCGTTGAGCGGAAGAGGTCTTTCCGAGCAAGCGGCGGAGGTCGTCCCGCGGGGGGCGCACCTCGAAGAGGCAGTCGTCGTCGTAGATGGCCCCGTCGATGCGCCCGGTGACGAAGTACTGGCCGCGCACGAAGTCCGTGGCGATGCGCTCCGCGACCTCGTCGACGCGGCCGGGCGCGACGGGCGGCAGCACCGGCTGGCCCGGGAGCGCGCCGCCCCCCGGATCGCGCTCGTCCGGGCTGATGAAGCGCAGCACGTCCGTTGCGGCGTTCACGATCGCTTCTTCGGGGTTCCACGGCCTCGTGGGCGGCCGCGTGACCTCGAGGGTCGCGGCCTCGGGTGGCGACGGGGCCAGAGCCTCGGCGCTCTGTGCGATCGCCGAACCAGGGGCCAGGGCGACGGAAGCCGCGAGGAGGGCGGACGCAACGGCCGCTGCGAACGGCGAGGCGGCGCTCTGCCGCGGCGCAGCAGCGGCCCGCGCGGTCATCGGGGCGATGCGCTGGGTCGCTGGAGCGCTGGCGGTGGAGGGCACGCGAACTCGCGGCATGTTGCGCGTCGTGAGATCCACCCCGCGCGGGGACGAGGCAGTGGTCGAGCAGCGTCGCAGCGAAGCACAAGAGCCGCGAATCGCGCCGCGGCAGGCCTGCGCGGACCGTCCTTCGCAGTAGAAGATCCGCTGATGTCAGGGTGCCGAACGCGCGCACTCCGCGGCCGCACTCTCGCCGAGCAGGCGTTCGAGCCTGCGCCGACTCCGCGGCTCCCCTTCGCCGCGTCCGCCGCACGCCACCGATCTTTGAGGGAAGCACCTGCGCGGCATCTCGATGCGTGAACTGCGGGCGTGGCGCCTCGGAAAGCGCGGCGTCGAGCCACGAGTGCACGCGCACAACTCTAGGCGCGTGCGTGTGCGGCCTCGTGCCGGGCGAGGCCCTGACCTGCGCGGCGCGGGTGCCGAGACACCGCTGCGAGACAGCAACACGCCGAGGAGCTGGCCCGCGACGTAGTCGACCTGAAAGAGAAGGTGGTCGTCCGGGTGACTGCGGGGAGAGGGCGCCCGCGCTGCGTGCGGGGTCGCCGACGGTCTCTCAGCCCGCAGGTTCAGGCATGTTATCGTATCCCCCGTGCCGCCGTCGCGCGTGGCTCGCTCCCCAACGCGAACGTGGCGCCGGCTCCATGCCTCCGCGACGCTGGGCGCGCTACGTCATCGTTTGCGTTGTTACAGCTGTTCATGATCGTTCGAGTCTTGTTTTCTCTCTCTCTTAATTTACGGAATTTCTCCCTTTGTTCGCTCGGGGCCTTCGTCAAACCGCCTGCGTCGGGGTCTGGGGCGTCCACGTCCGTGCTTCGTCCCGGGGCCTGGTGCCTTGAAGCCCGTCCCCGTGGCTGGTGGGGCGGCTGTTGTGCGACGGGGCCCGCGTGGACGCCGCGACCGACGCGACGCTCGACACGCTGACCGTCACCCCGCCGCTCGCGTCCGTCAGCGACGCGTCGACCTGGCTCGCTCCGCCGCGAGCGCACCGGGACACGGGGCCGTGTCCGGCGCGCGGCGGGGCGCTCCAGGTGGCCGCGACGCCGCGTCGCGGGGAGGCTGCGGGTCTCCTGGCGCGACGACGCGGCTAGAACAGGGGCAGGAATGCGTCGACACGCAGCTGCGGCCCTCCGCTGGGCGACCCGCGCGCCACCGTCATGGCGCAGTACGGCAGGTCGTCCGTGAGGGCGTTGTCGCCCACCCCGCGCCCGCGGAGCAGCATGCAGTTCGCGGCGACGCCCCGCGCCGACAACGAGAGCGTCCACGAGGTCCCGGGACGCGAGCGGCCCCCCGGGAGGTCTCTCCGCACCGTCACCTTCGGGCAGCCCCCGTGGTCCGGGCCGGACGAAAACGCGAGCGAGTGCAGCCCCTGCGGCGGCGCAACCGGCGAATCAGACACGCCATCAGATCATCGTGTGCCAAAGCAGCTCGTGGTGGCGGTGAACGACGGGCGCCGCAGCGGGGGTCTCACCCTCGTCGAGCAGCTCGCGCCCGGCCGATCGCTCGGCGCCGCCGTGAAGGCCTGCACGAGCACAGAGGGGTCGCCGCCCGGCAGCGCTTTCTTCGCGGCCAGCTTCAGGTGCGCCCGCGCGCCGCGCAGCGTGACGTCCGTCGACAGCGTCGGCGGCTTGGACCCCGCGCCGGCGACCTGCCCCTCGCCGCGCAGCCTCCACTCGAACAGCCGGGACGACGCGCTGGAGATGGTCGCCACCTGCCGCGGGCCGCCCGGACCGGTCTCCGCGCGCAGCGTCGCCCGCGCCTGCACGCACGCACGCATGCACCAACGCGCCTGAGAATCTCGCGCGATGCCGCAGACTGTCCGCGTCGAGCAACGAAAGCAGCGGCGGCGCGCGCGCAGCGCTGCTGGCCGCGGTCGTCGCGGCACTCACCCCGAGGATCCCGAGCGGCAGCGACGATTCCGACTCCATGCAACACTCCCCCGTCGCCATGTCAATTGAGATGCGGTCCGACATCGTGACGGACTCGTAGGGGGTGTACGACGCATCCAGCTCCACCTCGGGGCTCCGGTCGCTCCCGCACAGCACCCGCGCGCCCAGCGTCGCGTCGCCAGGGCCGCCCAGCTTGCTCTTCACCGCGGGGCCCTGCCGGCCCCGCCGTGCGCCCTCGCGGGGCCGCCGGCCGCCGTGGCCGCGCTGGCGCCGCGCTGCGCTCGGTCGCGGGCCCGCGCCCGGGCGCCTGCGCGACACCCCGACCCCGCCGTCGCCGCCGGACGCGGCGGCGCTCACGGGGGGGTCTTTCGCGGCGTTCGCGGCGTCTGCGGACGCGGCTTCGGCGGCCGGCGGCGCGTCGGCGTACCTGAGCGAGAACCCGACGACGGAGTGCCAGACATCCGTGTTTCGCCCCGCGGCCGCCCGCCCCTGCCCCTGGCCGCGCCGGCCGCGAGGCGTGCCCCGCGTGGGCGCGAGCGGGTGCTTGTGCGCGGGGGACGCCGCGACCGACGCGACGCTCGACACGCTGAACGTCACGCCGCCGCTCGTGTCCGTCAGCGACGCGTCGAGCTGGCACCCGCTACCGACCAGCGGTGCGCCTAGCACGGCGGTTGGGCCCGCCGCGAGCGCGCCGGGACGCGAGGCCGTGTCAGACGCGGCGGGGCGCTCCAACCGCAGGCGGTGCACCTCGGAAGGCGGGAGCTGGACCGCCGCGCTGATGGAGCTGTCGCTGTCGCCCGAGGCTGCTCGCCCGCTAGCCTCTACCTGCCCCCTCAGACGGGCGCGCGCCAGCGACCTCTGCGCGCCGCGAGCGCTCCGCACGGTCGTGTTCTTGAAGTTCTGCTCATGTGACCGCGTCTGGGCATCCCACCAGCCCGGGAGCGCGCCGCTGCGTGCCTCTGCGGCCGCCGGGGGCCCCGCGGTGAGGCCCTGCAGGCACTGAGCCCACGCAGCAGGCCAGACGACGCGTACCACGGACGTTTCGTCGGCGCGACGCATAGCTGCTTGTGTCTTGCGCGCTCCGCGTCAACCAAGTGGCGTGGAAGCCTCTGGAGCGTGCGCACGGAGCGCTGCAGGGTGTTGCTGGGGCTCGTGGCGCGCACGGGGGCGCAGGCAGCGGTGTGTGCGGGGCCGAGAGCCTCGGTTCCGTCAAGTGAACGAGCGCGTCATCCGCGGGCGGGAACTGATCGGGCCGTCCGCGCTTGCACGGGCGTGAAGCCCGGACCTCAGGGAGAGGAGTCCCTCAGTCGTGCTTCCCTCGATGTCGGACGCGTCGACGAGGCCCTACCGAGCCTCTACTACTACTGATCGCCACCCGCCGCGCGCGCCCACACCGCGCCGCGAGCGTCGACCAGATCGCGGGACCGACGCTGTGCCGCGCGACGATGCGGCGACGGGCCCGTCGCTGACGTTCGACCGCTCGCGAGCCCGTTTCGGCGCACGACCGGACGCAGGGGCGGACCTACCGGTCGTGCCCACCTCCCACGCACCACAGCTCGCGCGGGGCCACAACTACCGCGCCCGTCGCACAGACGGATGTTTGGTGCGATCCTGACGCGGGAATTCAGGAGACAGAAGAACAGACAGCGCGAGGAAGCCGGGCGAGTGGCTCAGCCAGCCCCTCGCCGTCGCCCCGCGAAGCGCCCCGCGCGTGTGCACGCTACAGCGAACCCGGAGATGGAGCAGGTAGCCAAGACGGCGTCCCACGGAAGGGCGTCGCAGCCCTCGGCGTTCCGAGTGTGCGCGGTGGAGCCTGCACTGGCACAGCGCATCGCCGACCGCTACGACCTCTGGCCGAGCGACGCCGCGCACAGCATCGTCTATCACCCGTGCTACAACATCGGCTTCTTCGGCGTGGAGAACTTCCATCCGTTCGATTCGAAGAAATACCAAAAGGTGGGGTTTGGTTGATTGATGCACTCGTCGGTCGTTGGCGTTGGCCCCCGCGGTCGCAGCGCGCAGCTGGTGCCCCCGCGCCCGCGCCCGGCCCCACCGCAGGCCGCGGCCGTGCCAGCGCAGGTGGTCGCGTACCTCGGCAAGCGCGGCGTGCTGCCCACGACGTGGACGGGCGGCCTCCCCGGCGGCGTCGCCATCGCCCCGCGCGAGGCCACGGAGGCCGAGCTGCTCGACTTGCACGAGAAGGCCTACCTCGACGCGCTCCGGCACTCCAAAAAGGTCGCGCAGGTCCGCCCGCCCGCGCCCGACTCGCCCCCGGTCGACACAGCTCCTGCTGCTGCTGCCGCTGCGATTGGCGAAAGCCCCAAGGCGACGTGGACGGCGGCCGCCCGCGCAGGTGTGCGCGCTGGACCTCCTCGGGTTCCTGCCGTCCTTCATCCTCGTCCCGCGCCTCGTCCGGCCCATGCGGACCATGGTGCACGGCACGACGCTGGCGCTGGCCGTCGCCGCGACGCGCGGCGCGTGCCTGCACCTCGGGGGCGGGATGCACCACGCGTGCGCCGAGGACGGCGACGGCTGGTGCATGTTCGACGACTGGTACCTCGCGCTGCGCCGCCTGCGCGTGGCCTCGGGCGGCGCGGTGCGGCGCGCGCTGTTCATCGACACCGACGCGCACCAGGGCAACGGGCTCGAGCGGGACATCATGACGTTCGGGGACGCGGACGTCGAGGTCCTGGACGTGTTCAACGAGGAGATCTACCCGCTGGACTACGACGCGCGCCAGGCCATCCACGTGCCGGTCCCGCTGCGGTGCAACACCAAGGACAAGGCGTACTTGTCGAAGCTGGCCAAGGCGCTGGAGAGCACGCTCGGGCAGCAGGCGCAGAAGCAGTACGACGTCGTGATGTACAACGCTGGCACCGACGTCCTGGACGGTGCGCCCGCGCCCGCGCGAGCCGACCTGCCCGCGGCGCTGCAGCTGCGGGCGCCCACGCGCAGCTGCGCGTGTGCCGTCGCGTCCGCGCAGGCGACCCGCTCGGCGTGCTGAAGGTGAGTCCCGAGGGCGTGGTGAGGCGGGACGAGATGGTGTTCCGGGCGGCGCTGGACGCCAAGGTGCCCATCGCGCTGTGCACCAGCGGCGGGTACGCCTCGAACTCGTGGCACGTGATTGCGCAGTCGTTCGAGAACCTGCACAACAAGTTCGGGCTGCTGACGCCCCCGCGCCAAGGCGGCGGCTAGGCGGCGACTAGGCGGCGGCGCGGCAGAGCGTCAGCGCCGCCCCCTTGGGTTGGCGACAGCGGCGGGGCGCGTGTCGTGCTGGTGTGACCGAGCAGCGGCGCATCGTCGTCGCGCGCTGTCGAGTTTGTACGCTTTTCAAGTTGCGGTGGCGCTAGCGGGGCGGAGGGTGCGTCGCTGCGCGGAAGCCGAGTCTCGGCCTGACGACGCGCGTACCGAAGCCGCGGGGACGCGGCTGCGGGCGTCGCAAGCGGATGGCGACGCACGGCCCCGGGCAGTGCGCAGCCGAATCCGTTCGCCGAACGACGCAGGACGCTTGGGGCGCAGCGACGTCGTTCATTACATCGGTCAAGTCGCGCCCCACTGCAGGTGCTCGTCGAGCCCCTGCCCGACGGAAACCCCGCCGCGACGCGCTCAGCGCCTCACTGCCCGCCCGCCGCAGCCCGGCCCGCGGCCGCGGTCTCCAGCAGGTGTTCCCGGAGCTTGTCCAGCGCCCTGTACCTGTGACTGATCCCGTTCTTCACGTCCTTGTCCATCTCCGCGTACGTCTCGCCGAACCCGTCCACCTCGAACACCGGGTCCCACCCGAACTGGTTGTCCCCGCGCGCCTGCACGATCCGCCCCTCCGTCCGCCCCACGAACGTCCGCGGCGCGTGTCCCGGCCCCAGCGAGAAGGCAAAGATGCACTGCGCGTACGCCGACTTGTCCTCGAACCCCGCGAGCATCGCGTTCAGGCCCGAGTGGCCGAGCTTCTCCAGGAACCTGCGAGGCAGCGCCACGCGCGGCGCCGGCGACGTCGCGGCGGGCACGAGCGTCTGTGCGGTCGGTGTCGGTGCGGGCGCGGCGTGCCGGGGTCGCGCACCACTTGATGTACGGGCCCGGGAGTCCGTCCATGGCGTTGAAGCACAGCGACGTGTCCTCGACCATCACGGGCCCGCCCACGGCCTCCGCCGCGAGGCGACACTTCTCCTTGGCGATGTCCTCGGGCTCGCCCTGGAGCTCGGGGAGGTCGACCTTCTGCGAGCGCACCTCGAAGGGGAGCTCCGAGCCGGCCGCCAGGATGGCGGTCACCTGCGCCGCGCGCGCGCGTGCGGGGGGCAACACACGACGCTGAGAGCTTGGCGGGCCGTGCGGAGGCCGCGCACGGCCTCGCGGATGACGGGTTGGCATGACGGCGTAGCAAGGCAGGCACGGAGGTCGTTGGCCCAAGCTTTGGGGCGCGGCCGAGCGCGGTAGGCGGGGGCGCGCCCTGTCCTCCAGAGTCAGGTTTCGCCCGTGAGCGGCCCTGTGAGGACCGCGCTGGGTTCATCCTGTTGCCCCAGACGTACTTCAGTTTGTGTGGTTTCCAGGCGCCCGTGAGCGGCGGGGATCCGATCGACGCCGGACGCGGCGCAGACGCGCGGGTGGGTGTGCACAACACCATGGCGCTTCGGCCGTCCTGCACGCGGAGTTCCGCACCTCTTGGAGCTTCTTCTGGTTCCCGGTGACGAAGATGACCGCGTCCATCGCGGAGATCGCCAGCGCTGCGGCGCGGCTCGCCGCTTGCGGGACGACGGAGGCGCGGCGGTGGCGGGGGGCGCGCGACGCGGTCGTGGGCGCAGAGAGCACCCGCGCGGGGACGCGCAGTGCGAGCATCCGAGGGTGGGGAGCGGGCTGCGGTCGCGTTGGAGCGGCTCGCGCGGTGCGTTTGTGTGTGTGCGCGTCGAGGGAGCTGGGAGACGTCGCCAGAGCCGGTTCCTCGAGTGTCGGTCGCCGGGGCTGACCGAGGGGAGGGGCGGGGCGAGCTGCTCGGAGCCGCCGCCAATGGGGGGCGGCTGCGCGAGAGGCTGCGCACGCATCGCAGGCCGAAGCGAGGTGGCCGAGATTCGCGTCTCGGATAGTTCCTGGCCGCGCGTGAATCGCCGCGTTCGGGTCCCCTCCATCTCGCCGGGTACCAAGCCAAGCAAGGAGCTGGTGCGTCGCACACAGCGGCCACACCCGAGATTCCACGGCCTGTCCGGCGAGGAACGTCAGGAGACATCTCGAGCGCGGCCCATCCTTGCGTTCTAGAGGCGGTCCCGCGCCGCCGGGGCGTCGGCAAGGCCGCTGCGGGAGTTGGGCGGCGCCGCTCGCGCTGCCCTCGCGTAAACGACCCGCGCGACGCCGGCGGGCATAGGTCATGTCCGGCTGAAGGTGTGTGGGCCGGCTCCGCCGCGGCCCGTGCGTCCTCGCCGGCGCCGCGTGCCCGCAAGCCTCCTGGTGCAACTGCCCCGACGCCTCCCGGCGCCGTCCCGCGGAGCGCGTGGCCGCATTCACCGCCTCCTGCGTTTGCCGCGCGCGCACGCGCAGGCCGTCCGCGGCGATGCTCGAGAGCGTGTTCGTGAGCGGTACGACCTTCCGCGTCCTCAAGTTCGGCCAGCGGATCACCAACGGTGAGGATCGCTCCCCCCCGTCTCGCCCGTTGCTCTCCCGCACGCACCCGGGCTCGCGCAGGCCGGCCGGCCGCGGCCTCCGGGCGCGAAGCCCCTCGCTGCACGGTGCCTGAGCGCACGGGCGCCGCCTCGGTCCTCGATCTGGGTCGCAGCGGACGGCGGGTCGGACGACGACAGCCACGCCCGCGGCGCGGGGCGTGGGCAGGGGCCGTGGCGGGCGCGGGCGGGGCCGCGGGCGCGGCGGGGCCGGCGGCGCGGGGGCCGGCAAGCGCACGACGGTCACGCTGAAGCAGCTCATCGACGCCGGCCTCATCGAGGCGGGTGCGGGCACCCTGGAGATGACGCACCGCGGCACGACGTACGCCGCCGACCTGACCCCCGCCGGCAAGGTGGCGGCCGAGGGCAAGGAGTTCGCGTCGGCGGGCGCCTTCTCGCTGCACGTGAAGCGCAAGACGCAGCCGGGCAAGGCCCGCGACGACGGCTGGAAGTCAGTCAAGTATCGAGGGCTCCCGTTGGAACACTACAGGTGCGAGGACGGCGGCCCCGAGCGCGCCGCCGCGCTCGGCGTGCGTCCGCGTCGTCGTTGCGGACGTGCGGCGCTGGGCGTCGCTGCGTGCAGGAAGCAGCACGTGGACAGCGCGCGAGGGCCGCAGCAGGCCCGCGGCGGGCGGCGGGCGGGGGACTCGGGCGACGAGGAGATGGACGAGGACGCGGCGCCGGAGGGGGCTGGGCGCGGGGAGGAGGCGCAGCAGGGCGACGCGCCCGCGCCGGCGGAGGAGGACGTCAAGTGGGTGTGCTGCGAGAGGTGCGCGTGCGCGTGCGCTTGCGCGTGCGCTTGCGCCCTGCCCTGACCGGCGCGGGTCCGTCTGACCGAGTCCCGCCGCGTTCGGACGCGCTGCGCGTCGTGCAGGTGCCAGGAGTGGCGCGTGGTCCCGGGGGCGCACTACGCGACGATCGAGGCGGCGGGGGACGCGCCGTGGTTCTGCGAGATGGCCACGTGGGACGTGCGGACGACCGTGCCGTTCAAGCCCGCGTGCCGGGGCTGACGGGTCCAGCGACTGGTGGTGCGTGAACGGTCGACACGCTGGGAGGAGGGGTCGCGGGGCGCGCCGTGTGAGGAAGACTCTGTCGCCGCAGCCGCGCCGCAACGCTTGTGGGCGCGCCGTCCGACCGCCCGCAGTCGTTTCTCGCGCCTGCGTGGGTCCGATGGCGTGGATGGATCCCACACCACCCCAACTGCCCCCAATCGACCCCCACGTCGCAGGGACGCGCATAAGGAGCGGCAGGTACGTGCATAAAGTGATCCAGCGTCATCGATGCGATTCGAACGCACGCGGATTGCTCCACCAACTAGCAGCTGTGCGTGTCCACGAGTGTCATGAGATTTTAGACACATTGGTCCGCAGACCCATACACAAGTAGCAGGCTGGCGCCTTAACCACTCGGCCACGATGACGAGATCGTTTCGCCGCACGAAAACGATCGCTGCGGAGGCGGGAAATATTGAGCGTTCCAAGACAAAGTTACAAGTTACGCACAGACGGGCAACCTTCGTTAGCTAGGGGTAAGAGCACTCCGACGAGTATGGACACCTCCTCTCTCGAACTCCTACTTCGTGCCATCGCGCTAGATCAACAAGGCGAGCACCGGAGCGGTCAGTTCGGCGCCCGAGTGACCGCGTCGGGAAACGACGGCTCTGGAAGTGGCCTGGTTCGCGGTGTCCAGCGCGACCCCTCCGGGAGGACCCTACGACTCCAGGTGAGCAGAGCGCACTCTTTGGCGCGTGAATCGCCGGGAAAGCCGCGCACGAGGTGCAGAAATAGGCGCCGTTGACCTTGCGGTTGGCAAGCCTGTCCCAGCCTAGCACTGCGCCCTGGGCCCGTACGGGCGCCACCAACGCGTCGACACAACGGCGTGCCGGGCCCCTTTGGCGCACACGGCCCCGGTCGCGCCCTGTATGCTCTCAAACGTCCAGCTGGAGCGGAGGGTAAGGGCTCAGAGCAGCTCGCCTCGCCCTTGCGCGCTCGGATGGTCGGCGCAGCACCTGAACTCTCGTGATACATCACAGCCCAGTCGATGCACGACGACCTAGCGCAGTGTGTTGGCCCTGTAGCGCAGGCCACCGCGCGTGAAAGTCCAATATGTGCCTCTGATTCCACGTTTCCGACTTACCCGCGCCGCACACCCGTTGCTGCGCCGGTTGCGCACCATCGATGCACTCTTCGCGTTGTGTGCTACGCGAATCACCCACATACGAGCCCGCACGCGTCTTGCTTCACCCCCCTCTTCCCTCTGTCCGCCCATCTGTTGCTTTCGCGTCGCACCACTGGGGGTTTCCCGCCTACATTCTATCGGAGGTGCTTCCATGTGGCTCTGACATGCCGCCGAGTACGTCCGCTGCTCGTCGCAGGGACTCCGTAAGGGCCACCGGACGGTCTGTCATGCTGGCACCCCGCCCGCCAGCCCGCCCGCGCCCGCGGCGCCCGCGGCACACCAGGAGCCCGATTCGGTCGACGACGGCGATGCCCCGCCAGTTCTCCGCCTCACCAGCGTGCCGCTGGACGAGGATGGCGCCATGGGCCCGAACCGGCGCGGGAGCAAGGCCGGACGGTCGGTGCCTGCAACCAGCGAGCGGCTGCAGCTCAACGGCCGCACGCGTGGAGCTGGGCGGCCGACGGGGCTGTTCCAGGCGGGGCAGCAGGCAAACCAGCTGACGCTCCAGAACTTCCTTGGGCAGAAGCGGGCCGCGCCAGCCGGCAGACTGCCGCAGGGCGGGAACGCCCCTGCGAGCCCCTCCCCGCCTCAAGCGGCCGCGACGGAGGGCGTGTCGACCAGAGCGCAGGCCCGAGCCGCTCAGCCGTCGGTCCCCGAGCCTCCCGCCCGCCCCGCTCCCGACGCTTCGCCAGCGGACGAATCGGACTTGGGTTTTGATCCCCAGCCTGCATCCGAGCGCCCCGAATGGGAGGTGAGCGCGCCCGCCGCTCCGTGACCTGCCTGATTGTCCACGTCCCCGCATTGTCTGCCGTCTGGGAGGGCTGGTGGGTGGTTTGCCTGACCACCTGCACCCGCCTGGAGTGCCGCTTTTGCTGTGTGTGCTCGAGCGACCGCCCGCCACGTCAGCAGGCGCTCGTTCGTGATCCGCCGCCGCACCGCGGTGTACCTGTCTGCAGATCCTGCCCGGAGGAAGGGCCAAATGGGGCGTCAACTTCCCCACGTGGTGGGTGATGAACTTCGGGTGGCACTTGCTCTCCGGCGCGCTGGACGGCGGCCACATGGCCAAGCCAATCCGCTTGGAGTACTTCACGGCATACAAGGGAATACCTGGCGTCATGCTCGGGCCAAGCCTGGAGCACATGTACGCAAACGGCGAGGGTGTAGACTGGGAGCACTGCCCCTCCATGAAGCTGGGCCGCACGGTGCGGTTCCCGAAGCTGACGCCGAAGCAGCTCATGGAGATCCATCCTGTCGTCTTCTTCGAGCCGGCGATCTTCTTTTACAAGATCCCAAGTGCGTGTCCAGCCCCTCGCGCGGCCCCCTCTCGCCTGTCGCAACGCATGGTGCTCGAGCCCACGCCGCGGCGATTCTCACCCGCCCCCGGGCGCCCGACCAACGCAGGCTGTCGCGTGGTGGAGTGCCCGGGCTGCGGGGGGCGCGCCACGTCCAAGGGCCCGAACTACGGGCTGCACAAGCGCGTGTTTGACATCGACCGCAGCCTCATCACCTTCTCGCGGGAGTGGCTGTGCAACGCCTCGGAGACGAACGAGCTCACGGGCAAGCCGGGGTGCGGGTACGCCTTCAACCTCACGAACCCCGGGTACATCGGCAAGCTACCTCCCGCTGCCAGGTCGGCCTACGACAACGTCGTCCTCCGGGACAAGAACTCAGTGACCCGGGACACGATGGACCTGATCTCTCGCATCGGCGCCGGGACCTCCATGCTGAAGGTGGAGCGATTCCTCAAGGACGCCACGATCACGCGGTGAGCGCCCCGCGCGTCCCGAACACACACACGCAACATCCCCAGCTCCTCCTCCCGCCCTCGTGGACGCCCACAGCACGTGACGCGACCCAGCCGCTCCGCGCGTGCAGGTACCTTCGCTTGCGGCTGTGGCTGACGGAGATTCAGATCACGAACGCCATGTGCGCGGGCCACGACGGCAACTCCCTGTCCGACGTGCACAAGTACTTCGAGGCCATGGACGAGCTCGTCGTGGACAAGTCGTGCATCTCGGCGCGGCACAAGTTCTCGCGCGAGTCCATCGCGCAGATGCGAGCGCAGAGAAAGGCCGCCGGCCGACGGCGTCCTGCAGCAGCGGCACGCGCCGCCACCGAGCCCCGCGCGCCGGCGCCCGAGGTGGCAGCGGCGCCGCTGCCACCGCAGACCAAGAACGGCGTCGACGCCTTGATGCGTTTTGCGGAGCCACTGCCGAACGACCCGCTGCGCGAGGACTTTGGCGTCGGCCACCGCAGCCCTCAGCACTCGATGGAGTTCCTCGCCGACGCGTACACGACCTGGCAAGTGCGCGACCTCGCAGCAAAGGGCGACGAGATCCCGGCGCGCCTACACAACGCGCTGCTTGATCTGGCGGGGATTCCCCCGGGCAAGCCACTGTTCGACCTCCCTGTGGCGGCGTACGTGGACGTCGAGGTGCACAACCCTGATGGGCGGTGCGGCGCGACGGCCCAGACACTCTTGGCCTCCACCGTTGCCGAGATGGAGAACGACTTGGCGTGGATCAGAGGTGAGACGATCGACTTTGCGTTCTACAGCTTGTACAACGAGATGGAGGACGAGTGGGGGCAGCATCGCGCGGGGTGAGTGATCCCGAGCTGAGACCCCGTATCAGTGAGTGCTGACGAGCGCTGGTCGGTCGACCTGCCCCGATGCCACGCCTTTGGAATGCCACGTGGCACAACGCGCGAGCACCCGACTTCTGCTGCAGGGGTCAGCAGCTGCTGCACGACGTCCTGCTCGTCTCAACGAACGCGCTGGTGAACCTCATGTGCCACTACGACACCCGGGAGTTCCCCGAGTACCAAGTCGCCACTGACAACACCCGCAAGTTCGTGCGCCAGCGCTGGTTCTCGGCCGAGATCCTGGCGGCCTTCGGGTACCGCCGGCGGGCCCGCACGGCGGCGGTCGACCCAGCCACCGGCCAACCCATGATCGACGCGCACCGGGTCATTCTGCCGGTCAACGCTTCCGCGCAGCCGGGCGGGTCCTGCCAGAACGGACGGAGGAATCACTGGTACACCGTGGTCGTCGACAACGTCGAGGGATCCATCACGATCCTGGACACCCTCCGCCGGATGTACGTGAAGCATCACGAGTGGGTGCGTGATTGTTGTCCACTGTCGCTCTCGCGTACACATGTGCCCATCCGCAGCCCCGCTCCTGCACGACAGACCACCTGAACTCCGCCTCCGCCATGCGTGCAGATGATGTCCATCCTGCCCGTCTTCCTGAACGACATCCGGGCGGATGCACGCCTGCCTGCGCGCCGCTGGACAACCGTCGTCCCTCAGAACTACCCGACGCAGGGCAACTATTACGACTGCGGGGCCCACGTGCTGCAGATGGCGGAGTGCTACGCACGCGGGCTGGTCCTGCTGCCCGCCATGCAGGCGCCGCGCCACGCGGGCCCGGAGCAGCAGCTGCCGAAGCTCGCGTCTCATCGCCAACTGGTCGACTTCGTCAACCGGGAAGGCGCGCAGGCCGCGAGGAGGGCCGTCAGACGGCGGATCGTCGAGCAGTTCCGCCGGAGCCTGCGCAACAAGGACCCCACCGCGCTGCAGGCGATGTTGGTGCTTTCCGAGCGTGCCAAAGCCCAACATGGGAACGATGCCGTTCGCGCGCGCGAGGTGCTCGTCAACGTCGCGGGCGACGACGTCCTGAGGGCGCAGCCGCTGGCCGACATCCTGGCGGCCGCAAAAGCGCAGGGCCGCCAGCAGCGCATTGCCGAACTGCGGCGAGCCATCCCGAAGATTCGCGATCCAAGGCATGAGCGCGCGCGACCGGCAGCTGGTTCAAAGGGTACTGCTTCGGACTCGGACACCCCCCCTGAGCTTGCTAGCGGCGGCGGCGCCGGGCACCCCCCAGCGCCGCCGGCGGCGGAGGCAGCCGACAGCGACGCCGAGGACGACGACGGCGGCGGCGCGCCCCCGCTCGTTCCCGCGCCTGATGACGAGGACTTCGCGCGTGCGCGCAAGGACGTGGTGGATCGCGCGGTGATCGACAGGGCGGAGGCGGTCTTCGTCGAGAGGATGAGCCAGTTCGATTTCTACGGCGCCGAAGGCGACGGGGAGCCGAAGCCCACGCCGGAAGCCCCGCCAGCGAGCTCGGCCCCGGTGCACCCTCTCAGCCGCCGTGGGCTGCGCGCGCAGGCACAGGAGCACGCTGCCGCACAACGCCATCGCGGGCGCCATCGCGCGGCGCATGCGGAGCAGCCCGCCGCGGCCCCCCGGGTCAAATCCGAGGCTCCGGCCGCTGGCCCGGATGCCGGCGCGCGCGACGAGGCCACGGGTGCGCGTACTGGTCCAGTCCAGACGCGCCTGCTGCACCACTGGTACTCCGCCTTCGACATGGAGCAGATGTCCGAGTTTGCGGACAAGGAGGGCTACGACGGCAAGTTCCTGTCGTACGGAGCCATCATGGGGCGGTACCTCGAGGAGTTCCTGCGCCTGGAGCCCTTCATGAACTGCGTTCTGGACAGCGTGTGCGCCGAATCCTACGTGCTGAGGGGAGACACAACTTTCAAGGTGGCCAAGGGGATTCATCTGGGCGGCGGACGCGTTTGCGACGGAATGTACTTGGTCCTGAACGAAATCGGCCAGGTCGTGGCGTACAACTTCGTCACGTCCGAGAGTGAGCGCCCCACAGCACGCGCACGCGCACCCCACCCCAAGCTCGGCGGATGACGTCCGCTTACCACGCCGCGCCACCCCGTCCTTGCTGCGCAGGTGATGCAGCGATGCAGCCGATCCTGCAGTCCCTCGCCACCCGGCTCAAGTACTTCCGAGCGCTCGAGGGCAAAGAAGGGGATGGCATCAAGGCGTTCTACGACGACCTGTGCTGTTTGCGCGACAAGCCCATCCTGGCGGCCTTCCCCGACCTGAAGCTGGTCCGCGTGGACCTCTGGCACGCCATGAACCGCGTGCTGCGGAAGACGAAATCCAGTCACCCTCTGTTCAAGACTTTCAGCGGTATGTTCGCCCTATGCTTCCTCGAGTACGACCAGGGCGATCTTGAGAAGTACAAGAGCTACATCGACGCCGAGGCGCAGCGGACGACGGTGTCGAGACGTGCGAAACTGCCGCAGCCGGGGACTCCCCTGAGCAAGCTGCCGTACTACAAGCACTGCCGGAGGCATTGCCGTGCGCGCGTGCGCCCGCCCGAGGAGATCGAGCGGTGTCTGGAGAGTCTGGTGCGCGAGATGGAGGAGCGCGCGGCGGGGGGCGAGCCGATCATCCAGTCCGACAGCGGCGACGGCGTCAAGCACAACCGCGAGGCGATCGACAACCTGCTCGAGCACGTCAGGAGGGGCTGTCTGCAAGACTGGTCGGGGAGGCTCGAGGACATGTACACGGTGGACCCCGGGAAGCACCGGTGCGGCCTGCCGCAGTACCTCGCGCTGAGGGGGTCCGGGTACAACGAGGCGCTTCACCACCGCCTGAACCAGGTCATGCCTTCCAACCACAACAGCATGCTGTTCACGCATGCCAAGATGCTGACGTCCATCACGATGTGGAACAAGGAGAAGGCGGACAAGCACACCGAGGGGGCCGTCTTGCCGACGACCGACCTCACGACGGTCCACGTGAGTGAGCCCGCCCGTCCCGATGCGCACCAGCTCGTCGCACGTGCGCGCGACCTCACCTGGCGGTACGCTGCTTGGCCCCTCCGCAGGACATCAACCATCTGGAGGCCAGGATTTACGGTCAGGCTCCCTACGCACACGTCGTGCGGGCCGATCCGGAAGCACCGCATGGTAGCCACGGCTTCGGCGAGCACTTCAAGGTGTTCGGCACGCGTGGAGAAGGGCTTACGACGCCGGAACACATGGCGATGATCAACATGCAGGACAAGCTGGACAACGTCCCGGCGGACTCCGCGCGGTACACCGCCATGTCGGCGTCTTCCTCGCACGTGTGCGACGAGGAGGTGCGCGTTGGACGCGTTGGCGGCCCGCACGCGGCCCCTTGCCCGCACCGCACAAACACGACGCGACCAGGCCGCCCCCGTCCCTGCCGTGCACGCAGCTGAGCCTCGACACCGCTGGCATAGGCAGCTTGGACGCTGACTTCCAGGCAGTCAACAGCCAATATCACGCGAAGAAGAAGGAAGTGGCTGATGCACTTGCCGCGCAAGAAGGTCCGAAGGGTGCGCGGACGCTGGTCGGGCACTCCTTGAAGCGCAAACGTCCGGCGCCAGACGAGGATGATCAGGGCGGGGGCATCGTGACCAGGGGCGCCGCGAAGAAGACCAAGGGCGAGAAGAAGAGAGGTACGCGCACGTCGCTCCGTCAGCCTGGGCCGCTGCCGCCACCCTGCGCGCGGCCACCTGCGCTCGGCACGCGTGCAACGCAGCGTATCCACGGCACGATGGGAGCGTTCGCGCGCACGGCTCCTTCAAATCCCCCCCCCCATCTTATATATGCTTGTGCGAGTGCACTGCGACCATGCAGGCGGCACTCGGTACAAGTCGGGCAAGGGCAGCAGCAGGGCAGTGCGGCGCACGCCCGGCGTGGTGCGGCGCGCTGGTGCGTACCGCGAAGAGAAGATGGGCGAAGGTGTGCCGGCGGCCATGAAGGGCCAAATCGGCCTGAGGCCGAAAGATCCAAGGCGCGACCCGAAAGCGGTATCGAGGGAGGAGCATCTGATGACACTGTGCCTGCAAGCTGAGCGGAACAACACGCGACGAGCTATGCAGCTCTACAACGCCTACGCCCTTCACCGCGCCGACAACCCAGTCGAGTCGGAGCCGGGCGGCCTGCTGCTTCGGGACGAGATCGACTTCGTACGCCTCGCTGCACTCATGTGCGAGCCCTGCTGGCACACCAGCGTCCTCCGACTGCGCCCTCGACCTGCCCCGCACCACGTGCCACTGCACCGACGAGTGCGCAGCAAGCGCCCGCTGATAGCCACCACGCGTGTCGCTGCAGCCGAGGTGCGCATCCGCTGCATGCGCGCCGCATTCAGCTCACTGCACTGCCCTGAATTCGGTGCTGCTGCAGTAAGGAGCGCAACAACATGCAGGCATGCCTTCACACCTCCAACCCCGGGCTCGTCATCGATGAGATGAAGGCGTGCGTCGGTCTGGGCGCCAGCACCATCCGTCACGGGGAGTCCCGGACAGTTCCAGCGCGCATCATCGCGGCTGGGGGGCCCGGCGCGTACCCCAGTGGTGTGCCGTGCTCCGCCAACTGGTATGCCGGGGTGCTGGAGACTGAACGTGGGCGGGATTTCAAGCGGCAAGCCGTTGCGAAGCGAGCGAAGAGGAAGGGTGACCCGCAGCGCTGCATGTGGTGTCGCAAGCAAGTCGTGAATGGCGATCACGTCATGTGCCGGTCAGCACTTGGCCTGGGGAACCCTTGGATCAAGGGCATTGCAGGCAAAAACAGGGAAAGGAAGGTCGCGGAGTTCCAGGCGTATTTGCGCGGCAAGATCGACGCCCTCAGCGAGCGCCAGAGGGACGTGCTTGCCAGAGCACCGGGAGGCCTGCCTGCGCAAGCGCAAGGGGATGCTGGCGTCGTCGCCGCCCAGGCTGAGCCGGTGGAGCAGAAGCCACCGGTCGAGTGAAACATGTGTGAGACGGGGATGCCGCAGTGCCCAAAGGGCCGACGTCGGACCGCGTGCGTCGCTGTCGATGCCGCACATCAGGCTCACACACTTGGGACCCGCGGGCGCAAGATTGCGGCCAAAGCGCTCTGCGGGCGCCTGCTTGAGAGGGCCGTGGAGGCATGCCGCATGCGGGTGCGCTCGGCGGTCCGAGTGCGTCCAGGTCGGAGGTAGAAACGGACACGGGTCTGTCAGGGGCCAGGGCGATCTCCCAACCACCCCGGACGCGGCCGCGATGCGTCCAAGGGCACGTCACGGTCCTTACGCAGCGCTGCGCGCCGTTTCCGCATCCAGAGGGGCCGCAGAACAGACTGTGCGGGTCGGAGCGGGAAGAATTGCTGCGTAGCGGCCGCAATGGCCGCCCATGAGGGCCAACACACCGGCGCTCCGGGAACTTCCACGCGCCGCTCGCGGGCCTGACGGCCCGCTCGCGGGCGCGCGGAAATTCCCGTCGCGCACAGGGCGCCCCGAAACACGGAAATTTTGCCCGCACAGAGTACGCAGCAATATTCCCCCCCCGATCGGCAACTGTCCGGCGAACGGTCGCCTCGCCCCCGCGGGCCGCGATCGCCCCTGGCCGCATCTCGCACACCGGCCGCGATCGCATCACGCGCGCGCGCGCCCGGGAAACGCATTTCCCGCCTTGACCCCCCGCCGCCTGCGTCCCACCGCCAAAGCCGTTCCGCACGACGTCCGCCTGCGCCTTGCTGAGCTTGTCCGGGAACGCCACCGCGATGTGCACGTGCAGGTCCCCGCGCGACGCCGGCGCGTCCGCCAGCGGCATGCCCAGACTGTCGGGCTGGTAGTTCACCGACAACAACAACATGCAATTGATTGCCTGGGGGCTCGATCGGCTCAAGCGCGTGACCGAGCGTGCCTGCTCACGACCGTGTGATGTCCGCGCGTGTGGCACGTGACAGGTGCGCTGGCACGGGCACGCGACTGCGCAACAAGCGCGTCCAATGTGCGCCACTTCTCTCGAGAGCCCGCAGAGGGAAGGTCTGGACGCGACCTCGCAGACACCGGGCTGTACAGCGCCAGAACGGCTTGACGGGGCCCCTGGCCCGGCCCACGTGCCACACCTCCAGCCTGGCTGACAAAGGCCTCACACCCCCCGAACAGTCAACGCTGTTGCACGGGCGGCGCCAAAGGCAACGCGAAAGGACCGCCCCAACACTTCCGTTGCATCCGTGGCCATGTGGGTGGTCCGCTTGGCGCGGGCGTCGCGCTCCTGCGACGGGGCTGGCCAGTCCCAACAGCAAGCGCCCTGGGGGCGCGCAGGACGTGCGTGCCGCGCGTGACCCCCGCCCCGTGCGAGCAGAAATCGCCGTCAGGTTCGGGCCCCGCACCAGCGCTCCGCCGTCGCGGCCCGCCGCGCGCACGCGTCGTCTGCTGCCGCTACATCACATCTCATCTCCCCTCGTAGTGCCGTGTGCGTGCGCGCAGCTTCGCGCGCCGGTATGGGCCCAGTCAGATCGCACACAGCTCGCGATTGCCGGTCGCGTGCCGGGCGCCTGCCCTGGGGAGCTGCAGCAGGTGACCGCGATGGCCGCGTGTTTGTTTGCGTCCACCGCGGCTTGCCGAGAGCCCCGCCCCCACCCTTTTCCGCCAGAACAGCATCTTTGTACTGGTCGACATCCATCCGCGGGCAGGAAACGCGCCGTGCGTTCGCGGACGCCTGGCAGCGGCGCCTTGCAGCCTCTGCTTCATAGCCCCCGGCGCGGCCCCGCCCCGCAACGATCGCGAACCGGGCCTCTTGCTGTGCAGGATGTGAGCGAGGTTGGGGTCCGCCACCGCGCGCTTCTCCAGAGATCGTCTCTGGGCGGATGTGCGCCGAGGCCCACACGCAGGTGAGCACACGTGCTGCATGCGGGGCGGCGGGGTCGTCTGGGCGCTGCCTGCCGCGTGCGCCGCCTCACCGGTCGCACGGCCACGGCCGGGCACGACCGGGGCCGCGCTGATGGCACACAGGCGGTGTTTTGCGTTGCCGCAACGCCCCGCGCCATCTCCGCCCGTCCGAGCCCCAGCGCTCCGGGCGGTGGGCACGCGCTCGTCGCGGCTTTCTCGAGCAACACGCTCCTCGCTCCGCGTGCCGCTGCTCGCCGCAGGCGACGCGTGGCAGGTGCAGCAGATGCAAACGTGCTGACAGCAACGGATGCGCCCCCTCGATGACGTGGTGGGCGCCGTCGCCGCCGAGGGAGGAGAGGCGACAACCGCAAAATTGGAGCTCCTCTATACCACCCCGGCACGGTCACACGGCCCTGCCACGTCGCGGTGGGGGACTTGAGCGCCGTGCGCCGCAGGGGCGTGCGCGGGGGCGACGGGAGCGCTGCGCGGGGGCGTGCTGCACGAGGTGACATCGATGCGTCGCATCGGGCCGCAGCGCGACGCGCGCGCCTGCCGTCGTTGCGCGCGTCCGCGTCAGCAACAATGCCGCTGCGCCCGCCCCCGTCCTTGCCGGTGCGCGCGTCGGGCGGCAGCCCGAGGCCCGCGGACCACCGCGGCCTGCCGATCCCTCTTCGCGGGCGCACGTCCGGAGGGCGCTTCATGTCCCCCGCGACGAAACGAGCACCCGCGCGACATGAAGGTGAAGTTGAACAACAACGTACCAACATGCGCGTCGAGCCGCCTCTCCGGCCTGCGTCGCGGCGGACGACGCGTCGACAAGGTGGACTTCGACCTCGGTCCGTCGGCCCAGGCCCGCCGCGGCCTCCGCGGTCTGCCGGGTCACATGGCGCCTGCTGTCGGCCTCATACGCCAGCGAAACCCCCCCCCTGCTCGAGGATCGGACGCGCGACGTTGCTGCGCGGACAGCCTCTTGCCGGACAGACTCCATCTCGTCCTTCCCGCTCAGGTCTTTCCGCGCGCGTTCCCTCGTCCTCGTCTTTCGCGGCAGACAAGGACACACAACAGCCCAGGTGAGCGACCCATGCAGCAGGGCCCCAGGCGTCCGCATCGCGCCCTCCGGCCCGCACACCAGCGCAGACTATTTTAGTTCACCCATGCACGCGCGTGCGGGACCGCCAGGGCCGCGCGGTCCGCACCGTCGTGCGTTCCGAGGTTGTGCTTGGGACGCACCAAGGCGCGCTTTCTAGCCGCGATCGCGCCCCCCCGTCCCGCCGACCTGCGCGTACTATTCTGGTGCGTCCACGCACGCGCGCGCGAGACCGCCAGCGTGCACCGTGGGCCCGCGAACCTGCTGCTAAAGTGACCCGCAGCCTGCAGAGAGACGGAGAGACGCTCCGCCGCCGCCGTGCCGCCGTCGCGCCCGGGCGTGCGAGCCGCCGATGATCATCACACGCGCGGACGCCCGCCGTGACCGTCCGACCCATCGAAGGCCCCCTCACGTCGTCCGCGCAGGCTCTCACTCTCGGAGGCGACGTCCCGTTGCACGTCAGCCGTTTGCCAAGTCTGCCAAGGTCTAGAGCGCGTCTGGGGTGCGTTGCGTGGCCCGCCACCGTCCGCGCGCCGTCCCACGGCCGTCGCCTGCTCGCCGCTCGCGCTGCCTCCACACCGACGACGCCTGCAGCGGCCCGCGACTGACTGGCACACCGTCCGTCCCTGCCCCCCATCGCGCGCGCAGGAGATCCTCAGGAGCGGCATCACTGTCTCTGGCAGGCGTGCGACTAGAACGCTGCTACAGAGCGCCCGTGCAGGCGAAATGCGGGCCTGAACACGGCGAGCGGGGCTGCGCAGCGGGACCTCGGTGCCGAGGCCATCGAGCTGCTCGACGAGTCCACCGACTCCCAGGACGCGCGCCACGGCGCGGTCCTACGGCGGGTCCCCGGCGACGATTCGGATGTATCGGGCGACAGCGTCGCCGCGCAACACGAGGTGAGCCAGTCGGCACAACTGGTGTCATGTCTGTCCGTAGTTGCCCCATCCACGACTCGCATGCGAGGGTGGTGCGCGGGGCGAGGGAGGCGGCCGGGCGGGCACGCACATGACGTTCGTCAGCGCCCGAGGGTGGCGCTTGAAGCGCCCTTCAGGCGACCCGGGACGGTCCCTTCTGACTGCTACATGGACGCAGGAGGCCTAGACGATCTTCTGACGCTGCGGGCCGGGATGCGCTGCCAGCGTCGAGTCGGCCCGCAGCGTTAGAAGGTCGTCAAGGTCTCCTGCGTCCATGTAGCAGTCCTTGGTGGAAGGGACCGTCCCGGGTCGCCTGAGGGGCGCTTCAAGCGCGACCCTCGGGCGCTGACCAGCGTCATGTACGTGCCCGCCCGGCCGCCTTCCTCGCCCCGCGCACCACCCTCGCATGCGCCGCTGAGGCACACATGCGCCGCTGAGGCGCAAATGCGCCGCCTGCGGTCAAAGTGTGGCACCTCCGCGGAGTGGTTGCGGGCTGTGAACTGACTGACTGAACTGAACTGAGCCTGCGAGGGTGTGCGCGCCACTGCGAACCAACAACACCTTTTCCAACAACATCGCGCTGCGCAGGTTGGCCATCTGGAGGCAGCTCCTCCTGGTACACCAGCGAGACTTGATCAAGCCCTTCCAGGCCGGGAAGACTGTCGCGGAGTCGATTGCCGGCGCCATCAAGTCGTCTCCTCAAGCGCCCATCGACGACATTGCAGCGCCTCGGGGCGCAACTGCGCGCTCCCCAGGGCTGGATCGATCCCAGCTCCGGCGGCACCGTTCCCGTGGCGGTGACAGTCCCGGGGCAGCTGGGGAACGTTCCGGAGTGATTTCTGTCTAGGCACGTCCACATGTTGACGATCGATGCTTTGCTGGCGCGGCGTGCCCACGTCGAAGACAACGCTCAATTCATGGCGTGGGGTCAAGGGCGAGTCGGACATGGACGACTCGCCCTTGAGCTGGTTTCGACCCCACGCCATGAATTGAGCGTTGTCTTCGACTACTTCCCGAAACGCTTCAAGGAGATGTCAGACTCCTGCGCGGACCGCGAGCCGGAGCACGACGCCCTCCAGCATCGCCTGGACCCCGCCACGAGCAACCGCATGGTCTTTATGGTTGCAGACGATGGATAGGGACATTGTCTGCGCCCGCCCCCGCGTGTGCCAACTTCCAACCCCCTGATCCCCCCTCCCCGCCCTTCCCTCCCTTCTTCCCCCTCACCCCCACCCCGCTCCCCGACCCCCGACCCCGACTGTTCCACCCCCCGTCCCATTTCCAGTCCGTCGGACAGCGGTGAGTTTGGCCGCTGCGAGACCGCGTACCAGTGCCAAGCTCGTACCATGGCCGCTGCGTGCAGTGCAGCACACCCCGCCGGTACCAGAAGTCTGGCAAGCTGGAGGGCACGCGCGGTAGGCGCCAGGTTTGCTACTAACGTTTGTGGTGGGCGAACAAGCGCGGGAAGGTCATCTCCGGCACCGCGCCGGCCCACGGCCGCGACATTGCCGCGCTCGAACATCGTGGCTGTCCGTTTTCGAAGCGATGCCGCGCGTTCGTCGATCCGTGGGATATGGTCAAAGGTGCCTTTTGACAGTGTTCCAAGGATCGACGAATGAGCGGCATGACTTGGAGAAAGGACAGCCGCGATGTTCTAGCGCGGCAATGTCGCGGCCGTGGGCCGGCGCGGTGCCGGGAACGAAATTCCCGCGCTTGCGGGCATACCACCAACGTTGGTAGCACACCTGGCACCTACCGCGCGCGCCCTCTAGCTTGCCAGACCCTTTGTACTGCCGGGGGGTGCTGCACTGCACGCAGCGGCCCTGGGCCTCGGCAACTTTCGCGAGAAACGCGGCCGGGCATGCGAACGGGGAAGTACTTGGGCGGCAGCGCTTGTTCAGCTCTTGGACCGCCGCCGGGCGCTTGCAGCCACCGCCGTGCAACCCCCCGGCGACAGCCTCGCTGCGTCAAGGCAGTAAGGCAGTCGCTTGATGCAGCGAGGCAGTCGCCGGGGGCTTGCACAGCGGTGCCTGCCGGTACAAAGACTGCAAGCGCCTGGCGGCTGTCGATGAGCTGAATAAGCGCCGCCGCAGGAACGAGCTGGGCGAAGAGGGCGACCAAGAAGCTCGCGAAGAAGGCGCTGAAGCAGTATACTGCTACGTAGGTGCCCCTCCGTGTGAACAGACGTCGCACCCACCGCCTCACATGTGCTGGGACCCCGACTCACTGAAATCTGCCACTGCAGCTTGCCCTTCCTGCGTGCGGGTACTACACCACGCACGTCGTTGCTCTCGGCCAGCCCTCTCCTTGGTCAATGAGGTGAATGTGACCTCGTAGTGTACCACGTTGACACCCACGCACTCACCCTCTGCACGCACTCCGCGAGCACGTGTGCGTGTCCTCCGTCGCCCCCACGCCCTCGCACCACCCGTCACTCGCTCACACGTCACGCGCGGAAGCCGTTCCGCACGACGTCCGCCTGCGCCTTGCTGAGCTTGTCCGGGAACGCCACCGTGATGTGCACGTGCAGGTCCCCGCGCGACGCCGGCGCGTCCGCCAGCGGCATGCCCTCCCCGCGCACCGTGATCACCTCCCCGGGCTTGGTCACCGCGCCCACGCGGTCCAGCCTCACGAGCCGCCCGTCCAGGTGCCGCACCTGCTTCTCGAACCCCACGAGCGCGTCCGCGAGCGTCACCGTCGCGTCCACGTGCAGGTCGTTGCCGTCCCGGCGGAAGCGCGGGTGCGGCACCTGGCGCACCACCAGCTTCAGGTCGCCCGGCTGCCCGTCGATCTTCGCCTCGCCCTCCTCGAAGTACTCGATCACGTCGCCGTCGCGCATCCCGGGCTCGATGTGCACCGCGATGTCCTCCTGCTCCGCCACCAGCCGCACGTTGTCGCACTCCTCGCACACGAGCTTCGTGTACTGCTGGAACATCCCGGGGCCGAGCTGCCGCGTCATCATCTTGTTCTGGCAGTTGCACTTGCGCTTCCCGGGCGCCGGCTTGATCACGCCCTTCTCGCGCAGCACGTGCATCTCGGCGCCCAGGTAGAGCTCCCGGAGCGTCGCGTGCACCTCGGTCGTGACGTCGCCGCCCTTGAGGACCTCGGGCTCGTCGGGCGCGCCGCCGCCGAAGCCCCCGAACCCGCCGAAGCCGCCGAAGAAGCTGTTGAAGACGTCGTGCGCCGAGTGGCCCCCGCCGCCGCCGCCACGCTGCTGATGCTGCTTGAGGCCGTCCTCGCCGTGCCTGTCGTATATCCGGCGCTTCTCCTCGTCGGACAGGACCTCGTACGCGTTGTTGATCTCCGCGAACTTCTTCTGCGACTCCGGGTCGTCCCCCGCCTTGTCCGGGTGGTACTTGAGCGCGAGCTTGCGGTACGCGCGCTTGATCTGCTGCTCGTTCGCGGCGCGCGTCAGCCCGAGGACATCGTAGTAGTCGCGGCTGCGGCGCGGGGGTAGGCGCGCGGTCGGGACGCGCGACGGGCGGGCCCGGGTCTCTCCGGACACACGGAGCAGGAAGCGAGCGCGCGCCGCGGGGGGCCGGGCGCGGTGACGACGGCGCGACGCGCGGATCGACGGCACGCGTCGCGATCGAGACAGGGGGCGCGCGGGATGCGGGTATCCGGGCGTGGCCGTGCTGTGTGGGGGGCGAGGGGGGCGCAGGAGGGTGGCGGTCCGTGGCGACCGGTGCGGGGCGGGGGGCGCACCCGAGCGCCGCGGCCAGCAGGCACAGGAGGACGAGGAACGACAGCGACGCGCGCCACAGCATGTCGACCGCCTGCGCCCCTCCCTCGCGCGAAGTCGCTCAGTCGAGCACGAGCCCACACGCCCAGTCGAGGTTCCCCCTCTCTCGGCGCGCCCCACTTCCTGTCTCCGACACGCCAGGCGGGGAGCCTCCTCGCCGCCCTCGATCCGCCACCAGCCAGCCTCACCGCCCGCACAATCTCTGCGCAACGCCCCGTGCATCGCAGCCCGAGGGCGCCCCGGCGCGACCCGCCCGCACCCGCCCCGCAGCGCGCCCGACCGCCACCGCGCACGTCCCCGCCTGACGAGGCGGGGCCGCGGAGCCGGGGGGCGCCCAGGGGCCCCGCGGCCGCCGCCCGCGCGCCACTAGCCACGCCTGCTCCATCCAGCGCCGATCGAAGCCGTCCAGGGAAGCCGAGGATCGCCGGGTACCGCAGTTGGGGCACCAGAGCTGCGGTGGGCGGGAGTAGCAGGGCACGATGGCGTCCATGGGGATCGTGAAGGCGCGGGCAGGTGAGCATGCACCGCAGCCGCGGATCCGCGCGCTCCGCCGCCGCGCCCCCCCGGAACAGCGCGCCCCCGCCCGCCGCGCGCCTGGGCCGCGCTGGAGAGCGCTCGCGGACGCTCCCGCGCCGCCGCCCCGGGCCGAGCGGCCGCCCGGGCGCCCCGGAGCGACGGAGGCGATCCCTGGCGGCCGCCCGGCGCGCCGCACGCGCGCCGTGGCCGCCGCGGCGGGTCGTCAGGCCGCGAACCCACCCTCGCAGTTTCACCGCCCTGCTTCCGCGGCCCCCCGGGAACGCGTGCGCGCGCCGAGGCGGGATCGCCGCGGCGCGCGACGCTCCCGGGCCCACGCTGCTCCCGTCCGCGCAGCCCGCGCCCCGCGGCCCGGCCCGCCGCGTCCGGGAGCGCGACGCCCAGCACGCCGCGCCGCGCCCCCACGCCCGCCCGCCCGCCCCGATCCGGTGCTCGCAGCGCGCCGCGGCCAGGGCCAGACGGGGCCGTCGTCGACGACGGAGAGCATGTTCGTCATCACCCCGATGCAGGTCCGACACGCCCGCAACAACAACAGCACCACCACCCCACACACAATGGAAGATGCTCTCCCTCGCGCGCGCGCGTCTCGCTGCTGCCCGCGCCGCGGCTGCGGACGCGCCGCGGGGGCGCCCTCTCCCTCGCGCGCCGCGGGGCGGTGCTGCGGGGGTCCGGATCGGTTTGTGTCGTCGCTGCTCGCGACAGAGGGTTGCAATTGCACGCCTGAGACACATGTGTGCGTGCGTGGCGCCGCAGGTGATGGTGGCCTCGCTGATGTTCATCGGGGTCATCGCGGTGCTCCACATCCTCTCGAAAATCCTCGCGTAGGCGCCGGCCGGGACTACGACGACGACGGCGACGGCGACGCGGCGCGGGCGCCCAGGGCCCCGGGTGGGCGCGGCAGCGGGCGGCGGTCCGCGGGGTGCCGTGGACGCGCCGTGTAACCCCGAGGATGCGCTGCGCGGGGCCGCGCGTCCCGCACATCGCGGGGCCGCACCTCTCGCCTGCGCGCGCACGGACCGCACCTCGCTGCCGGCAGTCGAGGAATCATGGTGCGCTGCGGGCGCGCTCGCTCGCGCGCCGATCGCGCCGCGGGAGCCCGACCAGCCCCCCGCGCGGGCTGCGCCCCGATGCCACCTCGCGTTGCGCAACACCCCCCCTTCCAGGCCCCCGCACGCGCCGCGCCGCCGTTGCCGCGGCCCCCTCCGCCGACCCGCAACGCGTCCTCGCCTCGAACGTGCCATCGCGAGCCCCTGCGCCCGGCATCGCGCCCCGTGCTCCGCGCATTGCCCGCGTCCGTGCTAGCACTGCTCCCAGCGGCCGCCAGCGTCCCACCGCGACCCCGGCGGCGCGGGAGGATCTCTCACCGCACCGTTCAGCATGCAGGCGCTCCGCCGCCCGCTCGCACAGCGCGCGTGCGCGCGCCCCGGCGCCGCTGCCGGCGCTCGTGTCACGCTGGGCGCCGTTCGCTCCGGGCCCTCCGTCCCGCGCGCGGCGTCCCCGCGGTCCGACGCGGCGACCGAGGAGCGATCCGTCGTCGCGCACCGTGCCGATCGCGCGCAACGCGCCGCCCCTGAGGTCCACGCTGGCGGCGCCGCGCGCGGGCTTTTGCACAGCCTGGGCGTGAGTGGCAAGGCGGGTTTCGGGGCCGCGGCGGCGCTGGCGCTGGCCCTCGCGGTCGCGGGCCCCGCGCACGCGCTGCCGGGATCCTTCGAGCTCCCCGGCATCGTCGGCGACGACCCCGTCCGGTGCGCACACCGCCGCGCACCCCGGAGCTTCCCCAGCACCCCACCACGCTCCCTCCCCACGCGCGCCGACGCAGCCGATCGCGCTCGTTTCCGCCCCGCGCCCCCCCGCGCACGTCCCCTCGCACGCGCGCCCCGCGCCCGCCGCCCCGGACCCCGCCACGCGCGACGGCGCCCGTCCGACGACCGCGCACGTCGCGGCGCGACGCCCCGTGGCCCGCAGGGAGGGCTTCGTGTCCGGGCTGCTGCTGATCCTCTTCGCGGAGCTCGGCGACAAGACGTTCTTCCTCGCGCTGCTGCTCGCGCTGCAAGCCGACAAGCGCGGCGTGTTCCTGGGCACCTTTGGAGCGCTGGCGGTGATGACGGTCATCTCCGTCGGCCTCGGCGTCGCGCTGCACTCCTTCGACGACCTCCTCCCGCAGACGGGCATCCCCTTCGACGACGTCCTCGCCATCGCGCTGCTCGTGTGGTTCGGGGTCCAGACGCTGTCCGGCGCGGGAGACTTCACGGCCAAGGCCGGGGAGGAGCGCGAGGAGGCCGAGGAGGTGCGTGCGTGCGTGCTCTGTTCGAGCGTGCTCCGTTCGAGCGACCGCGACGCGCGCTGCGCTGTCGGGCGCGCTTCCGGCGTGTGTGGGGGGGTGTGCGGCCGCGGCGTGACAGCCGCGCCCGCCGCGCCGCTCGTGCCGCGCAGGCGCTCTCGGACGGGAGCCTGGCGTCCAAGGAGTCCCTCGCGCTCATCGCGTCGACGTTCGTCCTCGTGTTCGCCGCGGAGTGGGGCGACAAGTCCTTCCTCGCCACTATCGCGCTCGCGGCCGCGTCCTCGCCCGCCGGCGTCATCGCCGGCGCCGTGACGGGCCACGGCGTCGCCACCGCCATCGCCGGTGCGCCCCCGACCCGCCCCCCGCGCGCCCCCGCGCCGCGCGGCCGCGCGCTTGGCCCGCGCCGCCTCGCAGCCGCGCCGCGCCCGCGAGGGCCTCGGCGACGCACCGCGCGCGCGGCCCGGCTCGAGCCCGCCGAGTGCGGCGCGTGGTGGGCGCGCGGCGCGTGCGCGCGTGCGTGCGGGAGCGCTCCCCGACCACGTGAAGTGCGTGTGTGTGGCTCCTCGTGCAGTCGCGGGCGGGTCGGCGCTGTCGCAGGTCGTCTCGGAAAAGGTCGTGGCGTACGTCGGCGGGTCGCTGTTCCTCGTCTTCGCCGCCGCGACGGCGTTCGACCTCGTCACCAGCCTCCCTGCAGCTTGAGCGTGAGGGTGCCGCTCCCCTCTGTGACTCTCTTCGCGTCGCCCGAGCGTGCGGGCCGCCCCCCCAACGCGCGCGGTGTTCTTCTCCGGCCTCTCTCTCGAGCAGCGGCCGCGGGTCGCCCGGAGCCGCGGCGGATCCGCTCGACCGCGCCTCTGGCTCATACGCGCAGCGAGTGGTCCTCTGGGGGGGGCGGGGCAGGCGCCGCACGCGCGGCGAGCGGCCGACGAGACGGGTCGGTGCGCGCGCATTGTGCCAGTTTCGGCCGTTCCACGCACAGCCGGTTCTCGTCACGCACCGAGCGGGCGCCTTCGCCGAGGCCTAGCACGAGGTGGGTTCGAGCGCGGCGGACGCGCCCCTACGCGGTTGCGCGGACGCGCGCCGCGGCGTTCTCGGCTCATCCCGTTTTCTCCCGCCCGCTCCGCCGCCCCGCGGGCCCCGAACGGGCCGCTCGACCCCCGCGCCGCTCCCTCCCCGGCACGCATCAACTTTCAAGGTCCCTTCGAACCGTTTCCTCGCCGCTCCGGCCGCCCACCGCGGCGCGTTCTCACCCACTCTGCTCGCCACCCGCGGCGCAGGTTCACGATGCCGGCAGCGATGCTCGCCAGCGCCGCGCGGGCGACTCTGCCCACCCCGCCCGGTGCGGGCACCTCCTCCGTGTCCCGCGCCGCGCGGCGCGGCACGGTCGCGCAGGCCAGCCGCGACAGCCCCTTCGCCTTCTTCACGGTGCGTCCGCCGCCCTCGCCCCCCGCCTCGCCGCGGCCACGCGCCGGACGACGCCCCTCGATGCGAGGCCCACCACGCCCGCTCAGCCTCCCCTTGTGCCGCCGCGCACAGCTCGACGCGCCGCGCAAGCGGCGCGCCAACGAGCGCGTTCGGCCTGACGCTCCCCTATCACCACGTGCCGCTCGAGCTCGGCGCCTGCCGCTGCGCCGGGGGCCTGTCCGCGGGCCCTCATCCTCTCTCGTATCTCCAGAGCCGCACGCTCAGACACGAACGGCCGACTGCTCCCTGCAGTTTGGCAACAAGGCGCCGCGCAACGAGATGCAGAAGCAGCCCGGCCCGTCCGACGCGTCCGCGTCCTCGGGCGCCAAGTACGACGCCGTGTACAAGCCCCCGCCGCGCCCCAAGTCCGCGCCGAAGCCCGTCACGCAGTCCAAGGTGGCGGCGCCCCCCGTCATCCGCAAGACGGCGCCCAAGGCCAAGGACGCCGCCGCGGCCGGCGCCGGCGCGCCGCGGTCGTTCGTCGCGGCCGTGAAGGAGCCCGCGGCGCCGAAGAAGGTCGCGCCGGCGGAGGCGCCCAAGCAGCAGGCGGCGGCGCCCGCGCCAGCGGAGGCAGCGCCGCTGTCGGGGCAGGCGGCCGCGGCGGCGCCGGGGGTGGAGGCGGGGCTCGCGGACCAGCTGCGGAAGAGCAAGAAGTCGCTGCAGCAGCTGCTGGCGGAGAAGGAGGAGGCGCTCGCGGAGGCCGTGACGCCGCAGCCCGGCAGGTGCGTGGTGTTTCGCGCGTGGCCGTTGTTGGCTCGCCGCGTCGCGTTGACGTGGGCTGCGAGGGGGGAGGGGTGGCGCGGCATGCAGCTGCGGGGCTCTCGCGCCACGCATCGCGCGCCGTTGGTTGCGTCGACGCGCACACACACCCGTCGCCGCCGCCCCCGCGTGCTCCGCGCAGGCTCCCGGCGCCGGCGCGCGAGGTCGGGCAGCTCCGGAAGGAGATCACGGCGCTGCGCGGCATGATCGCGGACGCGGCCGCGGGCGGCTCGGCGGTGCCGCTCACGCCGGCGCAGCAGGCCGCCTCGCTCGAGGACGTCCTGCGCGAGGCCGGGCGGGCGGCGGAGAAGCTGTCGGGCGCGCAGCTCGTCGCGGACCAGAAGGCGGAGGCCGAGGCGCTGGCGGCGGAGAACGAGCGGCTGCGGGAGGAGGCGCTGCGGCTGCTGCGGTACAAGCAGAAGCTGGAGCAGCTGCGGTCGTCGGGGGTGAAGAAGGCGGTGTGGAGCGGGCCGGAGGAGCCGGCGTACCACGTGCACCAGACGGGGCAGGAGGAGCACGAGGTGTGGTGGTGATGGCGCGTTGCACACACACAGCCGTGCAATCGTTCGATCGATGGAGAGGCGGTGGGGATCGGCTGTGTGAGACTGGATAGGCGGTGGCGGCGCGGGTGGCGGCGCGGTCGCGGCGCGGGTGGCCTCGCAGGGCTGATGAGCGACGGCGAGAGCGGTGCCTTGATGGTGATGGTGATGGTGAGCGATGCAGATGCGCGATGTGGGCGCGGTCGCGTCGTGCGGTGTGCGCGGCGGGACAGGAAGAAGGGGGGTTGCGTGTTGCGTGCGAGACGCGCGGGGTGTCGTGACGGACTGCCTCAGCGTGCCACGTGGCTGCGTCGTCCGGCGGACGGGGACGCTCGCGGGGCGTGTTCGGCCGCGCGCGCTGCGGCGACAGGGTCGCTCGCGAGTTTCCAGGTCTCTCGATCGACGCGCAACCCCGGACCAGGCAGCACGCCCGCTTTGCACCTCCAGCACGACGATGCCCCCCGAAGTCCGCAAGACGTGCCCCGTCTGCCACTACAACTGGCTCGACAAGTATGGTGCGTGTTCGAGGGCGGCGTTCCGTCGCGCGCACGCCGCGTGCCGCGTCGCGCCGCGTCGCGTGCCGCGGCTGTACCCCTCACCCTTGCCCCCGCCCTCGCCGCACACCGCAGGCAAGGACGAGTGTCCGAAGTGCCTGTCGAAGTTGAGCGCGGGGGGCTCGATGAGTCGCGCGCCGGGCGACGTCTCCAAGTACGAGAAGCGCGCGGCCAGCGACGCTATGGAGAGCCAGAGTGGCGAGTGCCCCAAGGGCGGACCGCACCACTGGAAGGTCCGTGGAGCCGCGTGTTCGCTCGCATTACGTCTGGCGTGCCGGCGCGCGGGGCCGTGCGTCGCCAGGAGGGCCCGAGACGCGCGGGCAGGCGACCGCAGCTCTGGCTCCAACGGCCTCGACCGGCCCGGGTCGAGGTCGTCGTGTTCGGCGGTCGGTTCCGGCGTCTTGGGCGCAGGAAAATCTCGATTGCATCGTTGTCGTGCTCGGACGTGTCTGTCGTCGCTGCGTCGCCGCCCAGGGCCGCGGTGCGGTTCCAGCCTGGTTGGTCATCGCACCCGCGCGCCCCGGGTGCGGCTTCGCGCGCCGATCGCGCCGCGCCCTGCGCCTCGTCTGTCCCGTGCAGTTCGGCAAGTGCAGCAAGTGCAACGTCGGCGAGGGCTACAAGGGCAAGAGCGGCCCTGCCAAGGCCCCGTCGTTCCCCGGCGGGAAGAACCAGGCCTGCCCGAGCCCCAAGGTGCGCCCCGCAGCGAGCGGCGACCCGCAGCGCCCGCGGTCCGCGGCGGGCGCGGTCCGCGTCGCCCGCCGTGCCGACCGCTGCATGCGACGCCGCGTGGTGCGGTGGGGCGAAGCGGCGGAGACGCTCGCGCGCTGGTGCCGTGGCGCGCAGGCCGAGGGCGGGAAGCACAAGTACAAGTTCTCCAAGTGCCAGCACTGCGGCGCGTCGGAGTTCTGACGCGGCAGCGAACGAGATGAAATCATACCGAACTGGTGGCTGTCCCAGCGCCACGTGCGCGTCACGTGCGCGAGCGCGCGAGAGCGGATGCGCGGAGGGCGACGGCAGGGCCGCAGCCGGAGACGCGTTGCGGCGCGGATGCGTGGCGGAATGCCTTGCATTGTTCCAGCGACGAACAACCACCGATGTGACGCCATGTGACGTGTGATGTCACATTATGTGACTTGCGAGCGGCAGGAAGCCGGGTGCGAGCGCGGTGAGGCGGCCGCGCGGATCGCTGGAGCGTGCGCGGGGTCGGTGTATGATCCCTTTTCGCATGACAGGCCACGCGCGGGGGACGGCGATGACGAGGAGAGCTGAGTAGCCGTCGGCGCGTCGCCACACAACGCGGACAATGCCGCAGACTCAGTCACCGCTGTCACCCAGCCGGCTGCCGACACCCCCTGGTACAAGCAGCCTAGGACGTGGACCAGCACTTCGGCGCGTCGGCTGGCGGGCGTCGTCCAGTACTCGCGCGGCTCGCCGCGTTGTTGCTGACGACGCCCGCCACTCACTCTAACTGATTGCAGGTCAGAGCCTTCCCTTGGCACATGATGGCACGCTCACATGGCATTTCGCGCGAGTACTCCTAGCACGCTGCCGCCTTGATCAGGACGATAGCACACCCGCATTTCGTTTCGTGCGCGGGTGGTCAATTACTACTCTGTGTGTCGTGTTGTGCTGCGCCGGGCCTCGAACATGGGGCTTTGGCGCAGTGCCAGCTGAGAGCTACCTCCCTACTCCGGCCTTCAACCGTCGGCGTAGACGAGCCTGCCTCCGGCTAACTGACTCCGCCGTCTCACGTCCGTGGCTCACCGCCCGGCGTGCTAGGAACGCGCAACTTAGGTAGAGCTCTCCCCGTCATCGTCGCCCTCCCGTCGTGGCTTGATTACTGCATCCTCGGTCTAGTTCCGCACACCACCCTCTTTTCACCCCCAAAACCTCTCACCATGCGCACTCCAATCGGTCGCCGACGGAGGAAACGGCTCCAAGCAGCGTTGCGTCTCAGCGACCAGGCCGGCACCGCCGAGGCGCGCACGCTGCGTGGCCACCTTTCGAATGGCACCCTGTTCCACCATGTCGCAAATCTAAATGACCACGACCCGAACTTTCGACCCAGCATCACGCACGCACGCCGCATCGCGGCCGCTATTGCTCCGCAGGCATCTCCCCGTGCCTGGCCCCCTCCTAGCCCCCACCACACACCCTCCCACCCCGCCTCCGCACTAGCCCCTCGACCCTACTGGGACTACGTGCCCCGCGACGAACGGGCGCCCGCATACCCGCACCCGTGCCCCCCACCGAGCGCTCCTTTCCCACCGCCCCCGCCGGCGCTCTCGGACCTCGCCGCGCTACCATCGGTCACGGCAAACCCCCCGCTTGCGGCGCGCGGGGTTGTCTATGTCCTCTTGTGCCGGAAATACCCCTTCTTTTACTATGTCGGGGAGACATACCGCACAGCGATCGAACGACTGCAGGAGCACTTTGATGCAGCATTCACGCACCATCCGAACGCCGTGCACACCCCGCTTTACGAGTTTATGCGACGAGTGTGGGCGCAGTCGCCGAACGGCCATGTCCCGTGGCGCGACTTCACCATCGTGCCCCTCTTTCGCATCAATTTCGCACGCCAGGTGCCCATCCCGCCGGCGACTAGCCCGGACGCTTTGAAGGCCTGGTTCCACAAGTTCCGCACCTACTCCCTGGCCTGGGAGCAGACCATGATACGCTGTCTGGGCTCCACATACCCCGGCGGCCTCAATTACTGCAAGGGCATGTGGAATTTCGGCTACGGAGCTGGCCACTCTGATGCTGCCCCATGGCCTCTATCCCCCCTGGCGTTCCAAATCGCCGCTGACCCCCACCCCGTAGCGATCCCCCACAACGACTTCCCCGTCCCGCCCGGCCCGAGTGGGCTCCCAGCGCTGGCGACCCTCTTCCAGCCAACGTTTGCCATCTCCTCCACGCATCAACGTACCATCCACCTCGACGCTGACAACTGCCTCACAACTACGGCACCAGCGTTGTCCCTGCCCCCCGCTATCGCAGGCATGTCTCCGCGCCTCGGTACACGCGAGTATATCTACCAGACTCGCCTCCTTCTTGACGTTGTTTTGTTCCGCCGCGCCGGCGACACAGAGCACGATCATTGGAGACGCGCGGTGAACCATTGCACGGCAGCGAACATCGGAAAATACCTCTTCTCCCTCCATCACTGCGTGTCGCACATGCATCCCGATGCGCTTAACCTGGGTCTCGACGAGCCCTTCTTGGTGGACTCCAGCCGCGGCATGCGTGACATGGTGACCGCGTATCTACATGACAACCCACCACGCTCAGCGATACATGCTCAACAACCACCTCTGCTGCTGGGCGCCGACATCAAGCGGCTCTACCCGCACATCCGGCACGAGACGAGCGCGGACCACGGGACCGGCCTCATCGACTGCGTCATCGAACACATCGACGCTGTTTTTGCACTGCATCCAGGGCAACACCTCCTGATCGACTTGCAACCCGCGTTTGACGCGAGGGAGACGTGGTGGTGGGTGGCGCAGCTGCCGGACGCGGACGGCATGGTTGGGAAATGGGCACCGAGCATCGAGCAACTTCATGGTCTCGTGCACATCCTCGTCAAACGCGCCTACGTGGGGTTCGGGGGCGTCGTATATCACCAGACCTGCGGTGTGCCCATGGGGCTCTCGGCCTCCCCCCACCTCGCGAACTGCTACATGTTCCGGCATGAGCTCGCGTTCCTCTGCCAGTTTCGCGACCGCTGGTTGAGCACTGGCGACGTCGCTTGGCTGAAGGTCTTGGGGTCTTTCCGTTATTCCAGGCGCTACATCGACGACAATTTCTCTCTCGCGAACGCACTGTACCGCTACTTCAACACCCACCCCCGCCCCCCCACCCCGCCCCCCGAAACCCCGTCGTCGATCGTAGATCTCATCTCTGGTATACATAACATGTACCCCCCCTGTCTTGAGGTCGAATTTGACGCCCCAGCGAACCCGCTCGACGGTGTCTCCTTCCTAGACCTCCGCGTGCGTCCGCATCCCGAATATCAGGGCTTCCTCCTGATCTCGCACTATGACAAACGCGGTCTGTTTCCTGAGAACATTCACCTCATACAGTACCCCCACGCTTCGTGTGCGCTGCTGCGACGACACCTTTACAACATCGTCCGCACCGAACACATCCGCGTGTCCAGCGAGGTGACTGACCGCGACAGCTACGTAGCCAAGATGTCGGCCATGATGCGCTGCATGCGTGCGCATCGAGGTTACTGCATGCGACAGGTCCTGGCGATCCACCGCGCCGCCTGCCGGACGCACCCGAGCCCGCATTTTGGCCCTGCCACGCCGGCGGGCCTGGCTGACCTCGTGCGTCGCCACGTGCAGTTTGCAGACCATACTGGCCAACCTGCTGACAGGGCGTGCCCGGCGCCCTGCAACTCGTCACCCTCATACATGATCCCGGCGCTGCGAAGCTGGCTCGGAACTATCCAGCCATGCCCGCACACATGACGCACTCTGTTACCCCCCCGATGTTGACATGTTGGCCATGCGCGTATTCCGTGGCCGCTAGACCGAGGTATGATCCCTTTTCGCATGACAGGCCACGCGCGGGGACGGCGATGACGAGGAGAGCTGAGTAGCCGTCGGCGCGTCGCCACACAACGCGGACAATGCCGCAGACTCAGTCACCGCTGTCACCCAGCCGGCTGCCGACACCCCCTGGTACAAGCAGCCTAGGACGTGGACCAGCACTTCGGCGCGTCGGCTGGCGGGCGTCGTCCAGTACTCGCGCGGCTCGCCGCGTTGTTGCTGACGACGCCCGCCACTCACTCTAACTGATTGCAGGTCAGAGCCTTCCCTTGGCACATGATGGCACGCTCACATGGCATTTCGCGCGAGTACTCCTAGCACGCTGCCGCCTTGATCAGGACGATAGCACACCCGCATTTCGTTTCGTGCGCGGGTGGTCAATTACTACTCTGTGCGCGGGGTCGGTGCGTGCCTGGTGGATCATCGTACAATCTGTCTCAAAGATCAAATCGCACGTTGAACACGCAGCAATTCAGAGAGCACGGCATCTGTGGCGCTAATAGTGTAAGGGTAACATACAGAGTAGTAATTGACCACCCGCGCACGAAACGAAATGCGGGTGTGCTATCGTCCTGATCAAGGCGGCAGCGTGCTAGGAGTACTCGCGCGAAATGCCATGTGAGCGTGCCATCATGTGCCAAGGGAAGGCTCTGACCTGCAATCAGTTAGAGGGAGTGGCGGGCGTCGTCAGCAACAACGCGGCGAGCCGCGCGAGTACTGGACGACGCCCGCCAGCCGACGCGCCGAAGTGCTGGTCCACGTCCTAGGCTGCTTGTACCAGGGGGTGTCGGCAGCCGGCTGGGTGACAGCGGTGACTGAGTCTGCGGCATTGTCCGCGTTGTGTGGCGACGCGCCGACGGCTACTCAGCTCTCCTCGTCATCGCCGTCCCCGCGCGTGGCCTGTCATGCGAAAAGGGATCATACCTCGGTCTAGCGGCCACGGAATACGCGCATGGCCAACATGTCAACATCGGGGGGGTAACAGAGTGCGTCATGTGTGCGGGCATGGCTGGATAGTTCCGAGCCAGCTTCGCAGCGCCGGGATCATGTATGAGGGTGACGAGTTGCAGGGCGCCGGGCACGCCCTGTCAGCAGGTTGGCCAGTATGGTCTGCAAACTGCACGTGGCGACGCACGAGGTCAGCCAGGCCCGCCGGCGTGGCAGGGCCAAAATGCGGGCTCGGGTGCGTCCGGCAGGCGGCGCGGTGGATCGCCAGGACCTGTCGCATGCAGTAACCTCGATGCGTACGCATGTAGCGCATCATGGCCGACATCTTGGCTACGTAGCTGTCGCGGTCAGTCACCTCGCTGGACACGCGGATGTGTTCGGTGCGGACGATGTTGTAAAGGTGTC